ACAATACAAACGTTCAAAGAAGTTTATATCATTGCGACCAGAAGAAAGAAGATACTTACCACTTATCACCACCGTCGATAATAAACCAGAAGAGGATACGCAATCACTTAATATAGACCAGAGAACGAGCATGTACCAAAGACAGTAGACCAAGAAAGACCATATTAGCAGCAGCAGCAGTAACACCAGCACCATAGACAAACCAAAAAAAAAAAAAAAAAAAAAAAAAAAAAAAAAAAAAAAAAAACGAGCGACACCAGAGAACGAGCATGCACCAGACATAGTAGAGCAGGAAAAACCATATTAGCAGCAGCAGCAACAGCAGCAGCAGCAGCAGCACCAGCATCATAGATAAACCAAAGTACGAACACCACCAGCAGAGACCAGACAAAGACCAAAGAAGTCAATTACCACTTACCACCACCGTCGATAGACCAGAGAACGAGCAAGTACCAAAGACAGTAGACCTGGAAAGACCATATTAGCAGCAGTAACACCAGCATCATAGACAAACCAAAGTACAAACGCCGTCAGCAGAGACTAGACAAAGACCAAAGAAGTCAATTACCACTTACCACCACCGTAGATAGACCAGAGGATACACAATCACCGAATATAGACCAGAGAACGAGCATGAACCAAAGAGAGTAGACCAGGAAAGACCATATTACCACCACCACCAGCAGCAGCAGCAGTAACACCGGCACCATAAACAAACCAAAGTACGAACACCACCAGCAGAGACCAGACAAAGACCAAAGAAACAACCGCCAGACATGATAAACCAAAGACGCAGACAGCAGAGATACCAGAGAAGTAATGGCAGCAGTACTCACTCAAACAAGCAAAAAATCATTAAAACCTAATAAGCTCAATTAGTGTTAATTCTACGCCTTCCAGTGCTCGTTATCGAATAGTATCTAATATATTCCACTTTAAAGAAGCAGTATCAAGTTCTTCCAACAGTACAAGACAAAGTTATCGGAAGCTAGAGTGTTATTATCAGTCAAACGGTGTCCAAAACCACCATGGTTTGATACTAGAACGCGTTTTGCAAAAAGGGTAAAAATGGGGGCAGGGAAGAATGAGAGAGCACCCTATCCGACGTCACGACCAGTAGATTTAGTCTCAGTCTTGTACCGTAGCAGCCGTAATTGCGGTAGTTTAATTTGAAATTATGCAGTGGTATTTTCGTGTTCAAACTTGACTTGATCTCACATCCTTTAAACGTTTTTGCTAAATCTGACTATGAAAACTGTCGTTGTCACACCCAACTTTCTAATACATCTCTAAAGAACTAAAGAAGCCGCATCGAATGGTGCTAAGTACTCTCAGCTTTCAGACCAAAAATAATGAGCAATTTCCAAAAATATGAAAACAGGTTTTCTGTGAATATGTCAAAATTTAGCATATAAAAGTCTCATAGAAAGAGTTTCCAATGTTGCATTTCATCTTTACGATCAATTTGATCTAATATGTATTATAAGAAAAGTCTTTACTTTTGACGTGAGAAACGCTATCGTTTGATTTTCAAGAAGTTTCCCTTGCTAATACTCATGGAAAAACGATGATTTTCATGAATTTGCAACAACCCAAAAAAAAATTGAGATAAAGCATCAAGAAGTAAAGCGTGGCCAAGAGGAGGCGTGTGATGCTACTCCAAGCGCTCAAAACGCTTTGTGGCATGAGTTATTCGTGCTTGAAAATGGCTAGATTTGCACAGAATTCGACCTAAAACGACGGCGTAGTGGGCTGCGTTATCAGAAGAGTAAGTAAATTACACTTCTGTCTGATGACCCAGATGCTCTGTATTGTACATTATAAAATCTCTAGTATCACATCAACCCAAAGCGTGGAAAAGCTGTTCGCCCTTCGTGGTGAGATGCATATTATGGCTTAAAACCTTTGCCAAACAACCACAATGTTGCATACAAGCATGCATCTTGGGCTACAACATTCACTTTCTGCTCAAGCCACATTTACAGTATAGCAACATAGGTAATGTTTATCGTATTATATCACATCTATGTTTACAAGTCCAGTGAATTGTGTGTGTACGGATGTCTCAGGAACTACAATAGATTCAACCTCCCCAATGTCAAGATGTAGAGATCTACCTACACTACTACATGAAGTATTATATCGACTTATGTGGTCTCTCAACAATCTATACCGACAATCGATAAGACCCCAGTAGCCTGCTATCTATATAACATCTCAGCGTAGTAGTCATTGACCAGGGATCTATCATATTTAAGCTAGTTGGGTGCCCTGTAATAAAGAAGTTCTTTGCTTTTCGTTTTAGATAGAGTTGACAACTGATTATTATCATCGACTTTCTTATTAAGAATTTATCACAAAACGAAGCAAGTTATCAGTCAACGAGTTTGAATACATTACAACGCTTCCCAGCTTCGCATCTATCGATCTATTACTCGGAATTGCTGGTAATTAACAGGTTTTCATATGAAACTCATTACTCAAAATTGGCCTATCATTTCGAAAATCCTCTTATTCTCAGCAACAACTCTTTGCTAAACCACAACGAAACTAGCTATAACCAAGCGGTTTTCAATGCAGCGTTTCCCAACATTGCTTCCATTGATCTATTACTCGTAGCCACTTGTAACCAACAGGTTCTCATAGGAACATGCTACTTTCAAAGCTCTAGCATCAATATTTCTCTTTATTAATCATATTTAGGCAAGCGTTTCTTTTGGATCGCACACACAACCGTGGTATGTTGCACCATCCACTGTTCTATAATAAATAACTAGCACTGAGCTGAACCTCGTTTAAAACTGTAACTCCAGAGTATAAAGTAGTACGATGAAACATCCATCAGCCTAGATATCTTTACTACACAAATTTAAGCATTCCTGCTTCCTCATGCTACCTCTTGCTGGCCCTATTTATTTAAATGGATCACCTTCATCGGCAACCTGGAAATCGACTGGTGAGTGATGAACATCCCAGGATCACTATGTGTAGCGGTCGCATTTTCGAAGCTGTGGTACTCACATCTGTGTACAGCTCCCATTAGCTTGTTTGTTTCTATATGGTTGTACATATTTTACATCAAATATAATTTACTTCCTATTATACATGGCTATCAATGTGGTATCATCCTGTACTTCCAAGTACAGGGTTTCGGATACATTCATTCCGCTATTCGTTGCATCACACGACGACGCACACAACAGTGGATATTTAGTAGATACCACAAGGTATGTTCAAAAGAGAAGAGTATTCGCATGCCTACAACAAAACGTGCCATGGTATATACTCAAATAAGTTGTTTATACTGTCTGCAGCTATTAACGACCGCGGTGGTTGCTACTGATATATCTGATGGAAGAAAGTGAATCCCACGATAAAGACTCTACATGCCGGAATGTAACCTTGGACATCCGAGATATGTACGCGTTGACGGATCTTACTGGCGACAATTTGAGAAGAGTAAAGATGTATCCTTTTCAACCCGAATAGTGTTTGGTTACATTAGGTAAACTAAAAGGGATATCTATCAAGAAGCTCTTATACGCTTCCCACAGTCTGATTTTAGATCAATCTCATCTCATCTCAATCACCTTTCTCTACGATCTGAGCAATAGATACAGTTTGATTGAGGATGAATCCTCTTCTTTTCTCTCTTTCTTTCTTCTTCCAACGTTTCTATATTCTCTTCGTGGTATGCTCATCTATTTTTTTTTTGAAGAACTTACATAGGACATACCAACTAATATTTAGTATTATAGTTGCGTGCAATATCCACTGGTAGTTCGTACATTATCGACAATGATAACCTGTGATGCTGCCTATAGTGGGTACTTTTAGCTGTTTAGATCCTACTTTGGTATTTTGACGCGTTGCATAGCTATACTGTAGTTGTGTGATTACTCTGGAATCAAACTCGGAATAACAACTGTGAGGCTAGTCTACTTGTATCAGGTTCTTTATATCAAGGTGATGCTTTCATACTGACCGAACTGGTGCATCATCTGTCTGCAGCAACTGTTTTTGGCCAACTTGGCATCTTGATCTCTCATTTCTGGTTGGTATATGCCACTGTTTTATATGCATTTGTCGCAGGTAAATCTCAACATAATCCTTATTGTGAAGTATATAATACTAATAGGAGTTTTTATAGATGTTGGTCCTGCGAGAGGTAGCAGGAAGCCTCTGGTGTGGTGGAAACCACAACAGACTTTGGGGATAGGGTTAGGATAGCCTTTTCAGGCATGGGGAAAGGGGTTCCTGGCTCCCTTTACCACTAACAGCACAGACTATCTGAGTCTGCCATGAGCTGTCAAATCTTATCCTTCGAAACCCTTTGTACGACACGGAGTGTCGATCATTTGTTGTCAATGTGATTATGTAACGTTTTTCGAATAAATTTTGTTGTTTTGATCCTTAAATATTTCTATAAGCCTTTGTCAAAGTATTGGATACTAACATTTATTGTCTGTGGAGCAGTAGTTTTCTCATATTTTGTTTTTAGGCGACACAAATTTGGATATTACGAAATGTTTCTTATGTTGCGTATATAGCTATCCTTTTTATAATTATCAAATTGATCAACTCGTTTTTACAGTTTGCCAAATCGTAGACGGTATCATCTTTTGGCTTTAGTTTTTCACTAAATCTGCTTTTATTTATTGTTTCAAGGAAAAACTAGACTAAAATCTTTATCAAGATTTATGTCTAATTTCTAGCTCTAACACAAAGCTCAATTCAAAGCTTGAATCAAAGTAGAATACAAGTAGAAGAAAGAGACAGACTATATGAGAAAGAAGTGAAAAAAAGAGTGCTGCTTTATAGTTTTCAGGTTTCGCAAATCGAGTCATTCAGGACCGCTTTAAATGATGGGAACTGTAAATGCTTGATTGAGCAAATGTATATTCGCGCGCGCATCTACATCTGCGAATGAAATTGAAAGGTGCTTTACATAACGAAAACGCAAAACAGAATAGCATTCAATTTATTTACAGTGCTTCTTATCATTTTCTAAATTTCTCGAGTGTACTTGATACGCTTGTACTCACAACAGCGGCAATCGCAGCTGTGATCCCAATAGTTGTTGTGGATATCTTTTTGGGGCCCACCAAAGTGGATCGTAACAAGGATTTCCTTACCAGAGTTTCCACAGGGCCTCTTAGAAAAAGATACAGAACAACCCAGTAAACAACACCTTTGTTAGGGCCAAATGATAGCTGCAATAGCTGATGCGTCAATCGTTTGAAGAATGCTTGAATGCGCTGTACACGTTGGGTGCTGCTGGCCAATGCAAATGTTGGGCCTGTGGAATGACTGATTGTACCTGAAGTCGCTCTAGCTTCTGCTGAAATCGTGAGTAGCGCTGATGTACTGATGGCTGTATTTGGTGCTGCTGGTTCTACCACTATCACGGATGAGTTATCTGCGTCTTCAAGCGCATGTAGCCCCCCGGTAGATTTGTTCAGCGGTCTATGCTGTTTTGTGTCGATGAATGAAGTTAAGAAGTTGACACCCATGCGCAAACCAGCCCAGGAAGAGAGGTTTCCATAATAAGAGTTTGAGTTATGGAGGGATGTGCCAGGCAAAGTAGTTGAGCTTGTCAATGTAGTAGTTGTGGGTGTGATGGGTAACTTGAATGGTGATGAGATCGAGGGTGGTGGTATAATATCGGATCGGATAGGGGCGATCAATGGCGGTAATTCATGCATGGTTGGTGGCGGTATGGTTGGCACAGGTTGTGGCGACGGTAATAATACATCAGTGGCGTCAAAAAATTCATCGCCTTCATCACTGATACTGCTAACGGAATTTGATCTTGATCTGACTCCCTCTGCCTCTGCTTCTCCTGTTGATAAGGGTGGTGTGTTTGGTAATACTTCGGCTTCTTGGCGGCGCTTCTCATAGCCACAGCCGTATTTCTGCAACACTTGATCTGAATCAAAGGTCCACACATAATCGTCAGTGCCACCCATATCCTTCAAAATGCGATCCTCTGATACAATCGGCTGCAGCTCTCGGATGGTCGTAAAATGTATACTCTCTTTCGCCTCTTCACTCAGCAAATATTTCAATAAAGACCAAACGCCTTGGTACACCCAGCCGAAATTCAGCACATTGATATTGTTAACAAATCCCGGGAACCTCTCGTCTAGAATGACACTCATCATTTTGATCAATTCAGCATCCTAAAAAAAAGGCAATTAGTGAAAATGCATTAGATCTCTTTATACAGCCATCTTGAACTTACGATAGGGATCAGTGGAGCCTTTGCGACATTTACAAGTACTGTCATTCTGGACACAAGTGCATTTGGTTCTCCTTTGTTTTCTTTATCACATGTCATTTCCCATGTTAGCTTTCTTGCCATCTCCATGATCAAGCAAGCAAATGGTCGAATATGTTCAGTCAGCGATTTTTTCTGCTTGAATTGCTTTGGGAAATAGCGAAGTTGTACAAATATAAGCGGATGACTGGCTGTGTTGTCTGTGCCATGAAAGAATACAAAGCCGTTTTGGTCAAAAAATTCAATCGCATCCTTGAAAGTAAGGTGATCAATCTTGTACTCGACTCTCCATAAAATTGTGTCTAATAGTCGAGCGTGTGCTTGGTCAAAGTCGAATTTGCATTCTCTCAAGAACCGAAAGATAGTTACTACGGCAGCAGCAGCAGCAGCACCAGCTTTAGTATACTAGTTGCCATACTGAGCTGATGATATCATGATTACCTTTATCTCTCAAGTACTCTTTTGTGTCATTTAATTCATCGACAGTTAATTTCATCAATACGATGTCCTTCAACAGCGTTTCTTGCATCCTCGAAATCAACTCGCTGTTGTCTTGGTATTGTGAATTCAGAAACACCACTTTTTCTTGCTGTTCCAGCGAAACCATGGCGATTGCTATGTGGTATGAAACGAAAAAGAGAAAGAGAAAATAATAATAAAAAAAAAAAGGCAGAAAGATTCTTTTTAAGGCAGGAATCAGAGTCTTTAGAAAGAGTCCGCTTCAGCATGATTGCACACACGCTTAGCCTTAAAATGGCATGAATAAAATCTACAGTTACAATCCAAATAAAATGGGCCGAGCAAACAATGATTTATTCAAGATGTGACATAGAGATTCACTGCATTGTTTGGTCCTTTGTTTTCAAATCCCATTTGCACATCTTCGGATGAACTGATAGTAATAAGATCACCATCCTCGTCTTCGTATTTTAAACCTAACACGGAGGTTTCAAATTCCTGACCGCACAGCTTAATTTTACTTTCAATACGACGTTGGAGTTCCTCGAATTCAATGTCTGTTGGAACCACTACGACGTAAATTGCACCAAAGTAGTGCACCTTTACCTTTGTAATGTCCTGCTGGTTGGATAATAAGGGAGATGGCGTTGTGGGTGCGGTTGGTAGTTCGTATCTATAGCCGTTGCTTTTTCTCTTGCTTTCCTGAATAATACTGTTCAACGTAGGTAATTCGGGTGCTGTGTTGTGGTAGTGGATGGGTCTCTGGATATTGGGGCTGCTTTGCGATCTTGCTCGGACATGATGAGACTGGCTGCTGCTACTGTTGTTAGAGATGACTGTAGCGTCATCGCTGTCTAGTTGTTGCTGTTGTTGTTGCTGTTGTCTTCTTTGCCAGAGTGCTCCTGATGGCAAAATGCCATTTGTGCCATTTGCTGTGTTGTTGCTATTATCCGTGTTATTATTGGATGTAGGAGAAGGAGGATAACTTGTAGGCGGTGATGATGGGAAGGATAAATTAGATGGGGAATAGAGCGCCGATTCAGTCGAATGGACTGTAGATACACTTGCATTGCTTGGAGCAGGTACATGTGTAGGTGATCTTGGTAAAGGAGGTAATGTCATTCCAGGCACACCATTCATAAAATGACGAACCGTGCTGTTGTTGGAGAGAGATGCCTTTCTGCTGGACACTTCATTTGGATACCTGTGATGTTGGTAGCTGTAGGATCGATTCCTCATAAATAAGGGACTATTTGCTGAAGCGTTTTCTTCATCTTCGCTGTTGTTTAGTGATAATTCACCTTCATAGTAGTCCTCCTCGTCCTCATCGTAATGGAGCAGAGGGTTGTTTGTCTCCATGCGCGGTGTCTGTGGTGCAGAAATCAGGTCTACCTTGGTGGTGGATTCTTTCAACTCAATAATGACACCCAGCCACTGCCTCAACTGCTCGTCGTTTCGACACTTGAGCAATATGTTCTGAGCCTCACCCTCCATCCAAGACAAATGTAGAGTGTAATGACCTATACATAAGGAGATGAGTCTTTTACCCATAAAAAAAAAAAAAAAAAAAAAAAAAAAAAAAAAAGCTGTAATAACCTTACCATTTTGGCTAGATGATCCTTTAACATGCTCAATACGAGATAAAAATACCTTGCCTCTAAGCACCAGAGATCCTTCCTTTCTCTTTTTCTTAATTGTGATTGCATTCTTGTTCACATCCTTAATTTCCTTGCAGATGAGAATGACCTTTTGAAACAAAAACACTAGCATTTCCCTGCTGTGGTCATTGTCATGGCGCTGTAACGTGAATTTGTCATGGAGTAATAATGAGCCAGCGCTCTCCACAATGATGGTTGGGCTGCTTGTTGTGTCATCCACAATGCGTTTTTTTAGATCTTGCACAACAAGCTGGTTCTCTTGTAATCGCTTAGTCTCATTGACCTTCTTTGTCACTCGCTGAATTGCCTCTAATCCCGACTTGTTCTCTTTGCAATGCGGCCAATCCTCTGGTGTCGCTTTGACCAGTTGTTGCAGTAAAAGTGGGTATTTGCACACACGCTGAATGGGCTTGATCAGCATCGATGGTAGCTCATAAGTAGGCGACATGATGTTGGCTAGCTTCTGGAGTTTGTGTGATTCTTGTATCACCAAATCTTGTGCAATTTGGAAATTGGCACAGAAGGGTTCATAGACCGAAAATGCTTCCTCGAATTGCTTGAACAAAAGACCGAATCTCTGTTCTTTGGATGGATGTGCTGCTTGGTCCTCGATCTGGATCAAAAACCGTCGCTGGAAGTCCACCAAAGCATTCAGATTGCCAAACAAAAAGTGCATTGTGTCCTGCGATAGTATTTCCTGTGCTGACACCTCTCGCATGTAGTTCTGGGTTTATAACAGCGAAATTAGTTTTTTAGCATTTCTTTTTGAGGTCTAGAATTTACCTGTAATGATTCCAAATCTTGCACGTATTTTCTTTCAGTCGACAGTAGTTCAAACACAACGTTGTCTCTCATGTCTTTGGGCGACTCAAATGTCAGGCAGGTGCTCTCGGTCAGTGTGTCGACATGAATTATGCCCTGTTCCTCCAAGAGATCCAAAATACGCTTGACTGTGTTCACTACCTTCAGGGCAGAACCCGTGTTAGCCTGACATGCCTCTCATCCTGATAGTGATGGCTTACCTTGACAAACCCATTGGTATCGTTCTGGAATAGTTCGGTAACCGTAAATAATGTGTCTTCTGGAAAGTGCAGTTGATCTCGACATGCAATAATGAAATGGTATACACACGCCTTCGACTTGTTGGCTGCCGAGGAGTTATTTTTACTAACGGTAATAGGAGTATCTGGTTTCAAGGTATTGTATAGATAACATAGGCTGGATCCGTCTTTGCAAATGTGCCATAGCTTGGTTAATGGATCAGTCGCTGCGATATCTTGGTTGTTTATATCCACCATAAATTTATCAAATCCATCGACATATTCAAGCGCATTGAGTACTGAACGACATGTGTGGTAAATAGATTCCTTTTTGGTTGCTTGTTTATTGGTTATAGAGTCATTGGCAATAGGTGATTCTATCATTATTTTAGTAGGGAGTATAGAAAGAAAAGAGAGAGTATAAGAAGAAAAAAAAAAAAAAAAAGGGAAAAAAGAGAGAACAGAGCAAGTGAATGTAATTTATATCGTCGTTACACCCGCCAATACATTCTGAGACCTCTCTTTTTGGGTCAACATGTTGAAATTATCAGTGACCAGGTGGATACCGCCCTGAATTTTTAGCCTGTTGAGCACACAGCGTGTGTCTCAGAGCACCTCGTGTCTGTACGTTTTTCATTAGAGTTTGACATTTTATCAATCAAATATGAAAAGATCCACGAGGTTTATGCTAAAAAATCGAAACTGAAACGATCTTTAATAGCATTACTATTTTGTACAACCGACCTTTTTAGACTCTGTGTATTTGGCTGTTTAAGATAGGAGAACATGGACAGAGAGTGAAGTGAGTGAATTGCCGTTTATATACATATCCTTACTGTCATGACAAAAAACAAGTCAAAAAGGGGGGGGGGCTCAACATTGGGATGAGATGGGAGAGAGAAAGAAAGAGAGGAGGACCTGTTGCCATAGTCATTCTTACTATGCCATGATCTGACGGTGACTGTCAAGAAGGATGGTGTAGAGATGCAAACAGACACCCTTGATCATCTGGATGTGCGTAGTGTTGCAGTGTGAATGTGTGGTCATGCAAAATAGGAAAATGTTCAGTCTGTGCTTGATCATTTCAACCCTGCAACCTCCTTTCTATTTTTTTTTTAACAGACATGCTATTGAAAGCTATATGCAAGACATCCTTTCGAACCCTGACAACCAAATCAGTCCTCAGCAGCAAGCCTACCAGTGTATTAGCACCTCTGCAACAGTACGCTCCTACATTTTATACGAGTGGAGACAATATAAAACCGCTCTATCAACCATCTGATTTCTACTCGCATCTAAAAGTAAAATCAATCCATGCCTTCCAGCATCAGCTACTAACATTAGATGACAGTCTAGCATATTGTCTGCCAAAGAACGCGTGTTCATCGCTGCCTTGTATATTGGCCAAAGTGAGCAAGAGCTAGTAAGTAGCCCATGACAGCTCGCTACCTTGGATAATTAAACACATGTTTAGGTGGACACATTGCGCCTTGCGTTGGAAAGGACACCCACGCTTCAAGTGGATGTGTTGATCGATTGCCTTAGAGGAACAAGAGCTTCCAAAGGACAGAGCTCTGCAACCCTACTTTTGCCATTAATCAAGGACTACCCCAATCAAATCAACATTGCCATGTATCATACGCCTGATCTCACTGGTATTCTGAAAAAGACGTTGCCTCAGAGATTCAATGAGAGCATTGGCTTGATGCACTTGAAGGTGTATGGATTTGACAACTCTGTCATGTTGAGCGGGTAAAATAGCAAATCTGCAAGACAACCAGTAGATACTAAACATCCCGCATAGTGCCAATCTAAGCACGGATTACTTTACCAACCGCCAGGATCGTTACATGATATTCGACAATCAGAAAGCACTGACCGGTTACTATCATGACCTGTTGAAATTGGTGTCAGACTGTTCTTATCAATTGAATTTGCCCCAGCGTCAGGAGCAATCCTACTCGCTCACGATCAAGGACGACACGGCGGATCCAGTCAAGGACAGCAGACGATACAGACGACAAGTGCATCAGCGTTTACAGCAGTTTATTCAAGCGCAAGAGGAAAAGGAGCACTGTGAGGAGGATGGCAGCGCGGATACGGCCGTGCTCCCTGTGATTCAGATGGGACCCTTTCACATTCGCCAAGACGAACGACTCACTTTGGAGCTGCTCAACATTGCTAATCGTCAGCAAGACAATCCTTGGACCATTCATCTCACGTCGGGATACTTTAATTTCACCGAGAAATACAAGGCGTTTATTCTAAAAACTCGTGCTCGTTTTAGATTCTTGACAGCCTCACCCGAAGCCAACGGATTCTTCAACTCCAAGGGCGTATCCAGGTTTTTACCACCAGCATATACCTTTATAGAACGGCAATTTTATAGACAAGTCAAGAGAGCAGGCAGACAATCCGAAATCTCGATTGAAGAGTACAAGAGGCCAGGGTGGACGTATCATGCAAAGGGATTGTGGGTGAATTTGGGTGCGGACGATACTTTGCCTTCAGCTACTATGATAGGATCCCCTAATTTTGGACAGAGATCGAGCGAAAGAGATTTGGAGGCACAGGCATTGGTGATTACAAAGAATGAGAACCTAAGAAGGGCACTACACAAGGTGAGTTTTTTTTTATTCTACAGCTAGGCATCCAAACATGTTGACTGACTTGACGCCTGCAGGAGGTGGATTTGCTACATCAACATTCTGAAGTCGTTTCTAATGAAACGTTTGCTAAATTAGACAGACAAGTGCCAAATGGCGTCAAGATAGCAACTGCCTTTGTTAAAACCATGCTGTAAAATACACATTATTAAAGTTTGATTATTGACATGTTGCACGTTTTTTTTGTCATTTACACGTGGTACCAAATACACCTCATTGACAACAATGATTGTAAACAACAAATGTTTTTGTTTTGTTTCAAAACTATAAAAGGGTCTATTTTGATGACAACAAAGAAGGAGAGCCAAAGGCGTAGTTGCTAATAAGCATCATGAGATAGTATCGCGCTTTACGGGGGAGACTATCTATGGAGGCAGTGTACCATTTGGTTGACTGCCATGCCAATGTCAATACCTACATTCAATACAAATAAGCTTATTACTTGAAGCCCCAATCGAGAACAATTGGGCCTTGCTATTTACAATGGACCATCTACACACATTCAATAAAGACTCACAGACATTTGAAAGAGGCTAATAGTAGTATTGTTATTGATTAAAAGAGTTAAATTATTGTAGCAGAATTATTAGTTGGTAGTCAATGTTTGACCATTAAACAACAAGACATTGGGAGTATTATTGACAACACTGGTAATGACATCCTTGGTGGCAAGCTTTGTCAATTCCTTGTAGAGGTTGGCAGGAGTAGGATTGCCAAGCTTATTGATCAACAAGGCAGCCACACCAGCAACATGAGGAGAGGCCATACTGGTACCAGAGAGTACTTCAGTAGAAGTGTTGGAGTCAATAAATGTGCTCTTGATGTCAGTACCGGGAGCAATAATAGAGACGCACTTGCCCCAAGAGCTGTAGTAGGCAAATTTATCATTCTTATCGGAAGCAGCAACAGTGTAAACATCAGGATTGCCAGCAGGCAAGATACCACAACTATCGTCGCCCCAGTTACCGGCAGCAGCAATAAGAGGAACACCGGAATCCACAACAGCACTGATAGCAGCATTGAAGGCCTTGATGGCAGAACTGGCAGTACCAGCAACCTCCATACCAAGAGACATGTTGATGATGGCCTTACCCTTGTGAGATTTGGCGTGAGTAGTAACCCATTGCAAACCAGCCAACAAACTGGAGATAGAGCCAACGCCCTGGTCATTGAGGACTTGAACGGCAATCAAGTTGGTCTTTTTGGCAACACCATAAGTCTTACCACCAATGATACCAGCAACATGAGTACCGTGACCTTCACCGAGAGGAGAGACACCCTTGTAAGCAGACCAGCCCCACTTGGCACGACCGCCGAAATCTTGGTGGTCAACGTTCATACCATCATCAATGACATAGACGTAGGTACCAGATCCAGCAGTAGTATCGTAGATGTAGGGCTTGGTTAAATCACGCTTGTGTTCAGAGATACGAGCCAAGTTCCATTGGGGAGATGTTTGTTGAGAGTATTTAGCAGCAGAAACAGCATGCTTGGTGGTGGTAGTGGTTTTCTTGGTAGTAGTCTTCTTGGTGGTAATATTCTTCTTGGTAGTAGTGGTTTTCTTGGTAGTAGTCTTCTTGGTGGTAGTCTTCTTCTTGGTAGTGGTCTTCTTCTTGGTTGTAGACTTTTTGGTAGTAGCAGCTTTTCTAACAGTAGTTTTCTTCTTTGTAGTCTTTTTGGTGGTCTTCTTCTTGGTAGTAGTAACAGAAGCCTTCTTGATGGCATCAGAAGAAGAGTCTTCTTGATAAGAAGCAGCAGAAGCAGATGCTATTTGATTTTGAGGATTGTATGGACAGTTGTCATCATGTTCATACTGGTCGTAGTCAAAGTTGCCTTCACGACTCTCACTATGGGGGTTCTTTTTACTAGCACGGATATAGTAACGCTTCTTTAAAGCAGTTCTCTTGCTTGTGGGTAAATCAAATTGAATGTCTTGATCTGGAATAATCTTGATGATATCATCAGTGAATAAAGCCAACAATGTTTTGACAATATCGAGTTGTTCAAATTTGACACTGATGGCCTTGAACGTGCTTCCAATGTCATAGGCGTCGAACACATGCACTTGATCATCTTGTGTGTCTCTGCGAACAATACGATTATGAGTCTTTTCCAAGTTATGTCCACCGAGAGATTGACTAAAGATGGTGAAGGCACCATTGATGAATTCAGGCACAACTAGGAGCGACATGTTAGTGACAGAGTAAAAGACATTTTGCACAAAGTTACATACAATGCTTGATACAAGTGGTTTGATTCAATTGAATAATATAGTTTCCATTGCCAGAGTGCAGGATGTGTTCCAAGCTGTTGGCAGATGTAGTTGCGGTCAAGTACGAGACTGCAATAAAAATGAATGATTTTGGGATCAACATGGTTTCTATTTGGAAATGTCACAAAAAAATAATAGATGCTATTATTCAGAAAGGAAGGGAAGGTTGTGATATTTCCACAAGGAGATGAGAGAAAAGTGAATGGAAAAGAGGATAAAGAGACTCCAAAGGAAACTCTTTTGCCAGCATGTATTTATTCTAATTGATTTGTACAACTTGCAAGACTTTTAGACGATCTTAATTTCATTAGAGCTTACACAAGAATTAAATTTTAATGTAACATTTGCTTGTTGCAAGTGTAATAATATAGACTAGCAGTAGAGGTATTTTTACATTTTTCAAGCAGATACTTTAATAGCTTCCACCTGAAATGTAGTTGCTTGATCTTGCTCATCTATGAAAGCATCAGGGTCGTAAATGACCTTAATGATTAATGAGCAAGATGGACACTGTGCAACGTCAAGGCCATCGATCAATTCATCCTAGACAACAACACAGCTGTTAACCTCTCTGAAGCGCTCCACGGGCAAATATGCACTTACAGAGCTAATAATGAACTTGTCACCGCATGGACAAGGATAGGTATAGATGTCCTCCTCTTCGTCATAGTCCATGTCCTCAATTTCAATCTTTATATTAATGCAATCGTTTTAAAACTAAGTTTCTCTGTTTGTGAATCCCATGTTTTACACACACAAAACAATACCTCATCATAAAAAGATGCCATCTTTCTCACTATCTTTTGTTTATATTGGATTAATAATGCAAAGAGTGTCATCTCAAACAAATTTTTACTTGTAACTGAAGATATCATTCTATTTTTCACATTCAGAGTGTTTCAGCTTCTACTCGACTTTTTGCTCATTCCAGCATGTAACACCAACCCAGGTAATATCATCTATTACTGGCTATACACCATGCTCTCCTATAAATAAAATGGTAATACGCTACAAATAAACGTGATTTAGTGCACTGCATAGATCAAACTAGTCCCTAAAGGCAAATCCACCAAGACACATATTGACATTGGTAGTAGATCAACATCCAATGTTTCAGACCTATTGTAATATGTTTGCTGTTACACCATTGACAGCATTTCAAGGTAATTAATATCGAGTAAATTTATTGCTGCAAGGGATTAATTGGTAACAATTCTATCAGAATCAATAGGGCAGTAGATAGTTTCATTGGCATTGAAATTGAGCACGGTAGGCTTCATGCTTTGCTTTGAGAAGAGCATATTCCACACAATCTTGGACACCCATTGATGGCCTATCAAGCTCGGATGAAAACAATCCAAATTACTAAAGAACTCGAGAGGGAAACCAGTGATGTTGAGGTTAGCAGGCTGATACACAACGGCAAATGTATCTGACTTGTTTTGCTGATATTTCTCGTAGATGGAATGTAACTTTTTGTTGTAGGCAGCAGTGAGATTAAACATCTTTTGCAAACCCTCTTCGGAATTGCCGCAAGAGCATGATTTTCTATTGCCAATGGTGCTGGAATCATTGTTCTTGGGACGGCAGTAAGCTTGTCCTTCGGTAATAGGAAAGAGCTCGGATACATTGAATGTGCTGATCAAATTGACTAGCACATTGGGGATGCTATCATGAATTCTCTGGATGGCAGCTTCAACGTAACCGCCAAACTTGTCTGGAGTCACCTCATCCATGTAGCTGCTGTTGCAGGCACCACACATGTCATTGCTACCGATTTGAATATTGATCATCTTCCAATCATTCTCGAAATCGATATCCTCCATCGACATCATTTCTATCGTGATTTGACGTTTTAGTGACACGATCTCTATATTACTACACCTTACACAGCTTACGAGGAATCAAGTAATCAAGTTCGTGATCCAAGTTCATAGCAATAGCGCCGCTTTGAGCAGCATTGAGCTGGTCATGTTTAGATGAATCTATGTAGAATATACGTCAACAATATGGCTTAGATGATCGGCTAAACATGCTCCGCATTGCTTGGTCATTTTTTAGACTTTCGGAAGCGGGAAATGTCATGGCACTTGATATTTACATTCAGCGTAGCAATTCTCAGCTGCAACAGATGTGAAATGTTAGCATCAGCATACTACAGTACTAGCAAGTGACTATAAACTTTACCATTACAATATTCACCAATATGTTTGCCCTTTGAGTAGCCAGTGACTTTGGGTTGATAATGCTTGACATAATTGGGAATAGTAAATGCATTTCTATCGCCACCGATGCTATAGCTAAGGCCTCTGTATTCATTGTAAGAGTTGAGCGCTGCAATGATGGGATTGATGGTGGTGTCAAAACCCATGATACCGAAACCAGCGGTAATACTATCGCCAAGAGCACCAACCACCTTAATGTCATCCATACGAAGGTCGTGCACGCTTTGCGGACCGCCACGTCGAGGAGTCAGTGCAGGACAGCTCTTGATCTGTGTCACATTTTTGCTGTCAGTGACAGATGCAAGGGAACCAAGCACCAGCGTAATGAATGCAATGAGTTTATACATACTATAGTAATGGAAGAGCAAAGAAGAAGAAGAAAGAGCTTGCTGCTCTGTTGCTTCATAATATCAATGGAAACTCAAAAATGCGGACAATCGTTATGGTGAAACCCATGATCCCTTTGAGTTTTCCTTGAGCTACGGTGTCAAGTTTTTTCATCTTGAGATATATCTTAGTGATGCGTTTGGAGTATCCTTTTTCTCATCTAGTTGAAACACACTGAATGGTTGTATACTACACAGTAATTTGAGTACCATTCCCTAGTTGCAATTCCTGTATATTCGACAAGTTCAAGTCGATTGAATCTTCCATCATGGTTTCGCTTTTTGAATTCGACACTCCCATGACGACATTGCAGATGTATCTATCATCTAATATATACAGAGTCGCAATCAATGACAATTTCATATCAATGCCAATCTTTGTGATTGAATGCCAACCTTTGTAATAAGATGCGCTGTCTATTTATACGACTCTGAGCATTGCCTCCTTTTTTGGCGCGTCAAACCGAAGTCTTGTTGAAATTGCACTTTTGATATTTGGGTCAGATTAGGCTGAAGATTCTACCTTTGACACTAAAGTCTTCGCCCTTGCCTGCCACTACACAAGGGCTTGTCGCCAATACGATGAAAGGCTTGTATCGCTGTTTCGGAGTGCCTTTGACAGTCTCGTGCTACATACAGTTGCATGAACACTATATCTTGGCATGCGGGCATGGAGATATTGAGAGCATTCTTACTAATTTATTCGACCTTTTAGGCTCGAAATTGTTTAAGCGTCATGCCACTGCTGGCTGAATTTGTATGATCAGCGATGATTTGGTCAAATGTTGTAGCCACAAAGGAACGGATTAGTATCCGAATGTTAGTGTCTCGCAATCGAATTGTTCAGTAACAGTTGGCATCATTGACAGTCTACATTTGCCATAAATGTGTAGCAATTTCTTCGAAAGGCTCAGATGCAATCATAGTCAAGCACTATCCCAGGATCACCTCCGCTCAGGGGTTGTAAACTTGATATCTTGGATGTAAGAGTCTGCAAAAGCGTGTAAAGTATTCTGAAAATCTGGACAAATGTACCAAACTCAACTTTACGTCTCTTAGCCCTAGTTATTTTTGCCCTATTACCATGGCATCGCATGCACGACAAAGTCTATGCTTTAAAAAGAGAGGCAGCACATGCAAGAGTATATTTATATTTTCTGGGGAATAAGGCTATAGGATATAGTGTTGTATAATATTGCATAAGATGAGGAGGGTATTCGGTGCGCTTGTGCTTTATCTGAGCCTGTTGATACTTGCTGATCTTTGCACAGAGTCGACTTGCTCCCGCAATTCGCGAATAACGCAATCGCAGAAGGCGGTCAAGCATTTAGCCAACATGTTGAGTCCTTTGTCTGTCTTTCTGGCGATTTCAGATGGTTCAAAATCATCAAACACAATCTCAAATCTGAATTTACAAGCCCTAATATTACCATGTTAGTGTCAATGTTCGCACTAATTGAAACGTATTAACGCTTACGCAGAAAAGAAACGCAGATTCTCGATAGCTCTGTACGTACGACGACTATCATTATGTATCTTGGTTATTAACCCAAACGGTCTTCGGGAGCGTTTCACAAGACTATTGTAAACATTGCAGAGAACAATGCCATCTCTAAAGGGTATTTAGTTCAGTTATTCGTACCTTTTGCTGATTAGCTACTTACGCTAAAAATTGCAAAAACGCATCTTCATCTTTATGTGGGTCTGGAACGTCATCTTGCGTGAATGAGCCGTCTAGGTTGTCCAGAATCAGAGCATGGTATCTACCTGTTGCAAGTATTTTAATGTCAATGTCACTCGTGGTCAGCACAAATACTCCATATGTACCCATTGAATCATTTACAAATGAACCACGTTCAAGCCATTCTGGTACTCCATGTGTCGTTGGTTTAGTAGTTGCAGTGGTACTGACTGTTTGTTTTTGTTGTTGTTCCTCGAGCTCGCTTTCTGTCAAACTTAAAATTTGAGTTTTTCCCATTAGAGCTTGAATCTCGGGTGTAAACATGGCTGGTGGACTACCGATATGATGAGGCGGATTGAATGCATGTGTTTCAATCACATTCAAATACGTGTGGATAGCTTGTCTCTCCTTCTCCAACAAATCAAAATCAGAAGAACGATACAAGAATCCACCTGCTTCTGATCCGTCGTCCTCGTCGCCGTCTTCTTCATTTTCAACGCGGTGCTGATTTTCTAGCTCCTTCATGGATTCCAATAAAGTGAGGGATGCATGTCGCAGCTTGCTCATGGCTTCGTTCGATAAATCATGCCGATTGACTGTATAGTTTTTTACTGAATTCAGCATTTTGGTGACCACTTGCAGAAGAGGCAAGATTTGAAATGAACCAACGCTACTTGTATCATCAGCTAGTGGATGTGATGATGATGCGGATGAAGACGAGGATCGATTGGGCCCTGTCACCATGGACCATGTCGCTAATGTGGTTTGTATATCCTGGAAGCACATTTCCAATAGCACATCAAGGTCGGTTTCGATATCCAAATCAATCCAACTGGGTGGTGGTTCTCGTGGCGTAGGTAATTGGTCATCCATGTCATCCGGTTCCTCCATTAAAGGTCCATTTTGGAACCCTAATGTACCACCCCTTAAAATATTATGTGTGAATGTCGTGAAGAAATATGTACTCCTCAAACTCGCGTTTCTTACTTGTTTACTTTCAAGTCTCTTTTAGCATAAAAGTTTTGCAATCTCTCAATAGATCCCAAGGTTAATACAGAGGATCGTCGTTGCGCTGTATGTCATCAATCAGTATGGCTCTGCAGGATCAACTATCCTTCATCTTACCTGATCGAGCAAAGCCCTTGGTCTGAATACCGTTAATAGGCTTTAGATATCGTCTGCCAAACGGGCTTTGAGCACGAATGATAGCATCGTTATTGTGTTGTATTGGTGATGAAACTTTGCGTTCAAAACTGGAGAGATCATCGTCTGTGAGAGGCGGAAACGAATCGAAACTGTCCTGGCTCTCCCTGTGCTGTGCTGTGTCTGTTGGTCCAACAGGTGAGTCTAACGGATGCTGAAGCATATTGCCATAAAAGAAAGTAAAAGAGTGAAGAAAAAACGATAAAAAATCAAGGGGGTTGTTTAATAAACTTTCAGCAGTGTCATTCATTGGTATGAGGCGTTTGAAACTCAAATTCATCAGGTGTAATGAATTTCCAATTCATGTTGCATGTGGAAATATGGACACTAAACATGAGAAACGATCGCTATTACGTAGTGATGCTTTCATTGAGCATGACTAAGTGTATATCATAGTTATAAAAACTGATCATTCAATCCCATCCTTGCTGATTGCGTCAATTACTCTCGCTAGAAATTTGCAATGGCATTCGCGATGAAGAGTATGGGATGTTGACATTTCTGGCTAAAAAGAATTTCAAACAAGATACGTATGAAGAAGAGTTTCACTACCGCCTCTTTACTTGCGCATATAAATTGTAGCGCACTACAACAGACATTTAATGTATATATATTGATTAAATACCTACAGAATCATCATTTTATATGCCACTACTAATATGGCACGGCATTGCCCCGGTAGACGGTGCCGCCAAAATCAGTTGGATCTCCGCACGATATTCTTTCTTGATTTGTTAACTTTTAAAATTTTTGGACTTGATGCGACCTATTTTCTAAACTCGACTATATAAACTGTCATGATCACTTCTTACCTCCTAATGCATTCTGGGAGTGTTTTTCAAGGCGCATCCAATGGTACCCAATACAATAGATGTTTTGAATAAACTTATTGAATAATTTACGAAACTATGAAAAGAGGTTTCTGGCCAAAATGTCGAGATTTTACATATCAAAGTCCCACAAAGATAATTTCGGGGGTTACGTTGGGTCGATAGAAGCATTTTGATTTAAGATATACCATAGTAAAAGTCTTCGTTATCAAGGAAAAAAATGCGATTGTTTGATTTTCGATGAAAAGTGTGAGGGGTACCTCATGCTTTTTGGTCGAATTTCGTCCATGTTTTTTTGATCTCCAAAAAGTTGAATAAATGTGTCAGGAAGTAACTGCCAGATGAGAGCAATTGTTTGGTGCTATTCTGATGGCCCAAAACAGCCTTGAACGCGAGAAAACGCAGCTCAAATGCACTCAAATTTTGCTGTATTAGGCACACTCTTGACTAAAAAGGGAAAATATCTGTATGATACTTGCCCGTATATAAAATAGCTATGTATATATGGATGTAGAGCATCACCTAAGAATCAGATCCACATATAATATGAAGGGGTTTCATGTGTAAGTGGATGGCCAAAATGAAAGTAGCAGTATGTTGATAAGATAAACAAGGGCAATCGGTAGCGTGAAATGCCGCTGCGTAGGTTGGCTCGCACCGAAGCGTAGCGAAAGTAGAGAACCATCTGAAGCATAAACACTCATATGATTAGTGATTTTATACCAATCAACAATCAGAGTTCTTCTAACATTTTAGCTATATTAATTTTGCGATATTATTAGCCAAAGGTCCGCGGCAGCGCGAGCCGTTTGAACGTAGGTTGGTTTCCACCGAAGCGAGCCGTAGGTCTGGAAACAACTCGAAGTGTCGAAAGGCTCGTACCATAGTAAAAGTCTTTATTTTGGTGGTCAAAAATGCGATCGTTTAATTTTGGATGAAAATCATGAGGAGTACCTCACGGTTTGGAGTCGAATTTCGATAATCTCAAAAAATGCTCAAAGGTGTTCGTAAGTAACGACTAGGTGAGAACAACTGCTTGGTGCTACTCTGGCTGCCTAAAACAGCTCCTAACGCGAAAAATCACGGCTTAAATGCACTGTGTTTTGCATAGTTCTGGGTATTAAGAGGCAATACAAGTATGCTATCTGTACGCACATTGGTTATTTTCATTGATATAAGCGTGGAACATTGTTGAGAAGCCAGCTCCACATTCTAGATAGTTTATGAACGGCTCTCTTATGATAATTGAAGACGAAAGAGTGAAACTCTAGCATATATTGATCGAATGACTGAATGACATGCTTAACAGTAGGATGCCAAAAAACACGACCTTAACCGTGTCATTGTCACATTTCCATACTTTCCAAAGATCATCTGGAATAATAGAGCAGCGTTCCACATTATTATATACGAGTGTTTATACTTCAGATGGTTCTCTACTTTCGCTACGCTTCGGTGCGAGCCAACCTACGCAGCGGCATTTCACGCTACCGATTGCCCTTGTTTATCTTATCAACATACTGCTACTTTCATTTTGGCCATCCACTTACACATGAAACCCCTTCATATTATATGTGGATCTGATTCTTAGGTGATGCTCTACATCCATATATACATAGCTATTTTATATACGGGCAAGTATCATACAGATATTTTCCCTTTTTAGTCAAGAGTGTGCCTAATACAGCAAAATTTGAGTGCATTTGAGCTGCGTTTTCTCGCGTTCAAGGCTGTTTTGGGCCATCAGAATAGCACCAAACAATTGCTCTCATCTGGCAGTTACTTCCTGACACATTTATTCAACTTTTTGGAGATCAAAAAAACATGGACGAAATTCGACCAAAAAGCATGAGGTACTTTTTTTTTAAATTGTTTTTATTGATTGCTCCGTGTAAGTAGGTCCCTAGGGCACTACCAAGAGGCGGGCGCAATTGATATGATATTCAATTGTATTTAGGATAAAGCGATAGATGACAGGAACAGATGATAGATGACAATTGTGATTAGAGAATTACAATTGCTTGTGAATTTCAGTTTGGGCATGTAGTTGAAGGAGCTCGTTCTTGATCTGCTGGACCACATCGATCCATGTAAATGGAGTCGAGTGAAAGATCTTACGAACTTGAGCTCGCCAAATGTTCCCAAGTGTTACCAGTACGACCATGTGAGCAGTGGTGTATGATTTGGAGACATACTTGATGTTTTCAAAGTCAAGAGAGGAACAGGCTTGGATAATATCACCAATCGAAACGGTTGGCCACAAGAATTCAAAGATGATAGCTTTCCAGATGGATGCCTTACTGGAACAGAGGAAAAGCAAGTGTACAGCATTTTCTTCGTTACCACAGATCGGGCAGAGAGGTGACTCAGCTATCTCAAAGTAGTGTAGCAGGCGTTTGGTCGGGATGGTGTGGGTGAGGAAGCGATAAATGACATTACGGTGGACAAGGTTCAGGGACAGAGACCAGAAGAAATTCCAGTTGGACCTGGCGATGCTGAAGATATGAGCCTCGATGCATGCTGTGCGGAATGTTCTGGTTGAAATCTGTTGAGTGAGTCCTTGCTGGCTGTTGAAGTCATAGGAGTCAATGAACGGTTTAAAAGAGATGTCGGTTGTGCGGTTGGTGTCATCCTGAGAGGGTTGTAGCATGAGGCTAAAGTACGGTTGGATATGTACTTTGTTCTCGTTGATTTGCTTCAGGATTTTCTTGCAAGCGCGTCGAATGTCAGCTGGGATGGTTGGTGCTTTTCGTGCTTCGAGTTGCAGAGGTTGGTCAGGATTGGGTTGATAGAGATCCTTTACTTGCAACTGAGTGACCCTAATCGGCATTTTGGAGATAGTGACAGACGGCTGCAGAATGGCTTTGACAGGTAGGATTGAGGCGGTAGCAATGTTGATGTGAACTGGTTCGTGGATGCGTTTGAGGCGGTCAACTGATTTGTAGATCATTGTTACCGTGCTGGTGCGTTGTTTGGTGAGACCGGTGGTTCGTGTGAGGGGAAAGAGCAACGGAACCTGCACATGCGCACTCTGATTTTGCTTATTCACTAGCATGACCAGCATGAGATCTAGGATGTGGGACGAGTCAGAGGGATGGAGGAACGGTTGAACCCAACGAAAGTATAGGGCTGATTGCTGCAGAGCAACATCCAGAACACCTAATCCGCCTAATGGCTTCGGCTTGGTCCATGTGGCCCAGGGGATAACAGGAAAGATGCCTTTTCGTAGAAACTTGGTGCAAATGGACTGGATAGCTTGGACATTACTTTGAGCAAACGGAGTCACTCGTAGTACATACCAGCATTTGGACAAAATCAAACTGTTGAGCACTGTAGCTTTGCCAACCACGGAGAGACTTCTTACACTGTGGATTTTGGTAGCTGTCCGGAGATTGTCGACAAGACCACCGATAAATACTTCACGTTGTTGAACCGATTGCAGCAGAGGAAACCCGAGATAGATCACTGGATTGGAATCCATGTTGGATGTGAATTTTGTGATATTCATTTCTGAGAGTCGTGCTTGCCAATATGACCATGTGTTTTGACCAGAGAGCGAGATAGCTTCGACCTTGTTGTAGTTAATCTTGGCATTGATTGCATTGCATTAGACATCTAAGTGCTACTCGAGTCTTGCCAGATCAGGAAGGTCTTGAACAAATACAAAAGCATCGTCAGCGTAACATAGGTTTTTTGACACATGAACTAAAGGGTCATTAGCATTATAGTTGGGATGGTCAGTTGCATACTGCATTTGATAGCCGTGGTACAATGGATCATTGAGAATAGACCGCAGAAAGGGTTCAATAGCCAAATTGTACAAAATAGAGGAAATGGGGTCACCTTGCTTTAAGCCTCGCAGCTTGGGAATATCATCAGTAAAGTAACCATTCACATTGATGCGCAAGAGATTTTGGCCCATCATGTTGATGATGCAGCGGACAAGATTAGCAGGGAAGCCATAAGTAATGAGTGCTGTTTGAAGGTACGAGAGGTTAACTCAATCGTACGCTTTTTCCTGATCAAGACAAAGGCCAATTGCTTTGGGCATTTGGTGTATCACATTGTTCTTCTTTGCTAAGTTCATGGTTCGTTCAGCATCTTCCATTATGACTTGACACCGCAGAGCGTTTTGGGCAATGAACCTCCCTGGTACGAAGCCCGCTTGGTTCTCGTTGATCAGTTGCTTAGCGACTTCCATCATTCGATGATTAAGCAGACGTGTCAAGAGTTTGTAGTCAGTGTTGCAGAGGGAGATAGGTCTATAATTTGCCATGTCATTAGGGTCATTTTTCTTGTAGAGGATTGTCATGAGGGAGACGTTCCAAGACGCAGGAAATATGCCTTTGGTGAGGGCATCATTGTAGACCGTGGTGACGAGAGAGTGGAGGGGTGGGAACTTGAGAATCAGCCGGAGGAGTTGGTAAGGGATGCCATCGCTGCCGGGAGACGCAAATTTAGGCGATCTTTTACATTCAAACAACAAATCATCTAGCTCTACTGGTAGTTCGAGGAGTGATTGCTGTTCACCGTCAAGTTGCATGTCAGGTGTGATTTGATCCAACAATAGCCGCATTGATCTGGCATCGGGTGGAGTTGGTGTGTACAAATTCGTGTAAAAGCTGCCAGCGATCTAGCTCATAGTACCTTGATCAGAATGCAATTCTTGAGTAACTGGATGCCTCAGTTGTTTCAATTGACGTTGATTCTGTCTAGATACGGTGAGTTTCTTCAAGAACCCAGCATTTTTCTCTCCATTTTCTCTCCAATACTTCCCTAATTTGAGGACTTCAATTTCGGCGATAGAGTCTTGTAACGCACCAATTTGTTGGTTGATGTTGTCTAGCCCTTGAAATATCAGTCCCCGGTTCTTCTTTGCTAGCATACACCGATTCCGTTTTGCTTGTAACGTCTTCAGTGCCTTTCTACGCCAGTTGACTTCTTCCAGTTGGAATTGTCGGACATGCTCCTTAAACTCGTCTTTGATCCAGTCCCAGATCTCTTGAGGGGATTGGGTGGCTGTCTTGAGCTCAACTTGCGGCTGTAGACCTTGCAAGAAGATCACCAATTCACGACGAAACTTGTGGTTGTTGGCCAAAAAGGGATTGCATTTGTAGGCGCCAGGCCCCTGTGTTGCATCCTTTTGCAGTTGTAGAGTAATGACCAGCATTTCATGATCTGTCCATGTCGAGTTCATAAACTCCTGGGTACACTCTGTAACTGTTCCATAGGAAGTGTTGTTGCAGAAGATGTAGTCCAAGATGTAATGGAGATTGTTGGATCCATGAAAAGTGGCGCTCTTGTTTTCCCAAAAGCAATCGATGAAATGTTCCTCCAATAAGGCTATCCATTCGACTGTAGTTGCTTCGACTGTTCCATTAGATCGGCGAGACTCATATTTGTAGTTGAAATCTCCCAAAATAATCATGTTGTTCTGAATAGTAGTTGTAATCTTGTGTATCAAAAATCTGTGTTGCATCAATTCCGTGTAGAATTCCACGTTGTCTTTTCTTGATGCTGCTTTGCCGTATATGTTGAGTATTGTGGCTATGGAGTTGGAGGAGTTTGGTTCCTCTTCCGTCGCATAATGTACGTGTGCTAGTATAAATCTACCATTGATGCCAGAGTCAATGGGTGTAATAATGTATCTGTTGTTAAGTGATATGATTCCGCAATGTTTGGTGTAGGTGCTGGACTTGCTGGAAAACTGCATATCTAAAGTGTCTTGAGTATCTTTTTTGTCAGCATAAGATTCCTGGATGGCAAGAATATCAATGTCTGATGTTTTGAGGTATTTTATGAATTTTTTTCTGCGTTTTTTATGTTTTTGTGTGTCAGACCACGACAGTTGAGAGTCGCAATCCGCAATCAATGATTAGGTGCTCTAATCATCATATTATTCTAAGTGTTGAGGGTTGGACTAAGCAGTTTCTGATGTTTCCTGCCGTTGGGAGTCGTCTGAAGCTCCTTTGCCGCCCTTGTCGGTGTCGGTGTTGAATTTGCTGGCTGCACTGCCTCTGGTGAAGCGCCTGGTGAGATTGGCGCGCTGTTCCTGCTCCGTTCTGAGCTTTTTGCCATCTCTGCCATCTTCCAGATCTGGTTGTTCCTGAATGAGAGGCTCCTTCATACTGTCATCAGGCATAAATTGCTTGATCAGCTCTTGTCCATTCAGAGTTGATTCAGCTGCATTGGATGATGTCAATGTTTGCGTGTTGTTGGCAGATGTCTGTGCGCTCGCAGCATATGCATTTGGTGTAACGCCATCATTGTTACTTTTGGGTTGAGGAGCGGGAGAATCAATATTCATGTTGTCCTCATCAGTACCTTCTTCTTCCTCTTCCATGGTGGGTTCAGACTTGTTCTGTTGCTGTTGCTTCTTGACTGACTCAGTGTCTGTGGTTTCCTGGGTCTTGGCTACTACCACTCTAGGGCCAATGGGAGGGTTGGGCTCTCGGGGAATGATGGGAGTAGGTACCTTGCGATCTTTCCTGGGGATTGTAGTGGGCTTCTTGTTGGGGGTGTCAGTGTTATCCTGTCTAGGGCAGTTGCGGCTGACATGTCCATGTTGATTGCAGTTGTAGCATTGCGTGTACCTCTTGGCATCAGGACAATCGGCTTTGCAATGATCCGGTTTTTGACAGAGACGACAAAAATCTGGCATATCTTGCCATTTGAGAAGGACCTGACGGTTGGTGCCATTATCCAATCTGAAGTAGATAATTCGATCCAAGAATTCATACCACTATGGCCCAACTGGTGTTCTCACAGAACATGGATGTGCTCTTTTGGGAACATCGATGTTCTCATGAGCACATTGATGTTTTCATTTGAGAAGGTGTAGTTTTCCACAAGAATAAAATGGTTTTAATAGCTAAACTATAATATTGTAGGCAACAGAGAGACTTCTATTATCTGTAAGATTCATAAAATTACTAAACGTATTATAAATTGCACGAGAAAATGGCAATTTAAAATTACCTAATAACTACTTATTAAAGTAAAAGAATATATTTCAATAAGATACTCGAGTGATTTAGTGGGAAGAACGTCAGATCCACAACCGATAGGTTGTGGGTTCGACCCCGTTAGGAGCATTCTTTTTTTTTCAAATTGCTGAAAATCGATGTGCTCATATAAGAATATGGATGTGCTCACATGGGAACATTTCGGATGTTCTCATAAGAACATCGGCCGACTTATAATAGATCTTTAGGAACGCCGATGTTCCCATATGAAAGCATTTTTCACCTTTCGGGAACATCGATGTGCTCATTTGAGAACATCAAATAAATTCTCATATGAGCACATCGATGTTCTCATGAGAACATCAATTGGGCCGTAGTGTACGCCGGTTCGTCTGGCTTGGGGGTGATGTTCAGAGTGGCATAGCCTTGTCCGACGTAGTCGCCATGAGTGAAGGAGATGCCATAGTCCAAGACTTCTCCAAAATGTGACTGTCTATCCTTTATCAAAAATTCCAGGACAGGAACTGGCTCCATGGGTAGTCTGTCTAAACGAACATTAACTATAGTATCATTAGCTGGAAGAGAGGGGAAACCCTAGACAAAGGTCCCATCCGTCAGATTGAAGCCCTGCAGAATTGCGATGTGGCCAGGACTGTCGTGGATCCAACATGTTTCCATGATCTCTCGATTCATATACTTGCGAGCGAGTGCGAGATACTTTGCCGATATAATCGTTGTAGCCTTTTCTGAGATGAGCATCTTTGTTGAATGCTTGCAGAGCCTCTCGTAAGAGCTGTTGATTAGGCAACCCAGTAATGTCGATGAGCACCGAGTTGTCTTCAATGCCCTTGAGGAAGGGTCGAACCATTTCCACACTTTTGCTGACGGTGGCGTCCTCGGTCATCAGAGACTGATTCGATTCACTGGTGGCGGTGGAAGGTGTGATGGGTGTCTTTACGATCGTTGGATTGAAGGTCATCGTTGTATGCTTGATGCCCTTCGTTATCTTTGCCCATGATGCGTCAACAACGGTATTTATAGCCTTGGAGGTGCTACTTTCGGTTGTTGAACCTGTTTTCTGTTTTTTAGCGGAAAGAGCCATGAGCATGAGGTACCACTCACACTTTTCATCGAAAATCAAACAATCGCATTTTTTACCTTGATAACGAAGACTTTTACTATGGTATATCTTACATCAAAATGCTTCTATCGACCCAACGTAACCCCCGAAATTATCTTTGTGGGACTTTGATATGTAAAATCTCGACATTTTGGCCAGAAACCTCTTTTCATATTTTCGTAAATTATTCAATAAGTTTATTCAAAACATCTATTGTATTGAGTACCATTGGATGCGCCTTGAAAAGCACTCCAAGAAAGCTTAAAGAAGCATATGATGGTTATCATATTTTACCTAGTCGAATCTGCAAAAATAGTTCAATTGAGTCGAGAATCATCAAGATTTGGCCAATCTAAAACAGACTATGAGTCTGGGTTTGAATTAATTTTGACTGGTGGGGCTGGCTGGCAAACTCGACGCCCTTTTCATCATGAAGGCAATAATCTCCAAGTTCCTCTGGCCCACGGTAACCATTGATGATATCCGCCATTCTCTCCTTACTCTCGGCTTTTACAATATTCGATATAGTCAACGGCCTCCTGCTTCCTCCCATCAGGTAGTCATCGTTGCGATGTCTAACATTTGGAAGGCTCACTGTCGATTTATCTTCGATCAAACTTCCTTCGCTCCCGCCGCTGTGTTGAATAGTATCCGACTCGACATCCAAAAGATGATCGACGAGGACCTCATTTATGCCAGTCTATAACTGTCCTTCTTTCAAATCGTTTTCATACATTTGTCTAAACATATACAGTATTATCACAGAAAGTTGTGCCGGCCGCTTGATTATAGTCCTGATACTATAGTTTACGCGGAGCAAGTAATAAAAACCTTTAAACATCATGAAGGAAATACAGTAATAGATGATTTTGAAGCGCATGAAAAGTAGGTGGCAAGCCATAGCACTATCGTTCATCATGTTATTTCTTGCATTCTATATTTAGTAACGTTAGCCTGGAAATTGACGATTCATGAGCTGCATAAAATGTCTGCAGTAAGTAGGGGAATTTGGATCATAATCAACATTTCTCTCAAAGAGATGGTCAGTTTTGTTAAATCGGGTATTATCAGTAATAATATCAACTTTGGAACAAAATAAACATAAGTTCCTCATTCTTTAGTTTTTCAAACAATGTGTGGAATTTGAGGCTTTACAGACTAAAATTCACGGAAAAAAAAAGAATAAAAAAACAGTAAAGTCAACTTGATAAAGGTATGTTTTATTATCAAACTGACAGGTGTAAAGTAAACTGAAGTCTCTCTACTGGCCAGGTAGATGATCCTTCTTATATACTATAACAATGGATAAAAGTTCTATTAATTAGATTAACAAATAAGTCAACTCAGATCAACTAATGTCTAATCATGCTAAAAGACAACTCCAGCAAGCTAATCATGATTTAGCTCTGTCTGGATGAATAATTAGACTCTCATCCGAAGTACCCTGATCTATCCTTTCTATAAGGATAATTAATATCGATCTAGTAGCATGTATCCGATAGGTACAGTCTTCTTAGTCTATATTAATAGTACATATCTGAGTGTATATCGCTAAGCATACATCTTTAGCATGTATCTGGATATATGGCATGTCTATAGCATGTCTCATATATAGTACAAGTCTGTAGTACATAAAGTATCTGTAGCTAGTATCACGGATATAAGCATGTGTCTTATAGCGTGGATCATGAAGTGCACATCTGAAGCAACAAGCTCATATTGCATTAATCTTGGTGCCTATCCAGATATGGTAAACATCCGTAGTCAATGTCGGAATACAAGTATAAGTCTATAGTGCCATCCATGTCCGTGGTGCCATCTATAGCCTACATCTTATATAGTATGAATCTTATAGTACTAGCGTATCTGAAGTCCATATCTTCTTATAGTATAAATCGGTATCGTACATCTAATCCAGTGTACATACAGTTTAAATCTAAATCTGGTAACTGGATGAACTGTCGGAATGCAGATCATAGTGGATGTATTCCACACAATGTGTTACTTAGGTTTCTATTACATCGTGTTTTTCTCGATAGTGGTCAAGTAAGTTCGTTTTGTTGTCTCGATCGCAGCCGTTGACTAAACCTCTGAGGCTCCGGATCCTCGTTCAAAGAAAACGTTGACAGCATTATTGAGCAGAGGAAAGAGAGTAGAAATAACAGTGGTTTTTGTTGATTGATTGTAAACCATTAATCACATATGAGCCAGGCCTGACAGATGCCTTGTTACATTAAATCATGTTATGACGATAGCTCACCTAAGCCACCAAGGTTACTCAAATCGACCCTTATGGCCAGTGCTCTTGCATTGGTTACCACTTTATATCAAACATCAACAACATTTGCCAGATATCGCAATAGCAGCACCTATTGCTCTCTATCATTACTAATCCTACAATCTAGTTGCAAACGTATAAATACTCTTCTTTTTCTACTCAATTCCAGGATTTTCAGTTCATTTTATATACAAACGAATTGCAGTTTATTTCTATTGTATTTTACTATTCCTCTATTCTTAATGTTGGACCTATTCGATCTAATTCCACAACATGTATAAACCTGAAGTTCTCCAAAAAAAAACTTCCCCGAAATTCCTCGAAAAATACTGAAGCTTATATTTACTATCATGTTAAGTTATTAGCATACAAAAATTACAAAAAAAAATCACAATTCAAAGCTGTCATCAACACTGACATCAACGCTGACATCAACACTGGTTTAAACGCCGTCTTCATCACTGGCTTCATCACTGACTTCATCACTGGCTTCATCACTGGCTTCATCACTGGCTTTAACACTGGCTTTAACACTGGCCTCATCATTGGCTTCATTATTGGCTTCATCTCTGTTGTTAGCGCTTTGGACTTTGCTTGTATCTAGTAACAGTTAGAAGGTAACATGGCAATAACCGTTCGTTTACACCTAATGAGAAATGTGCAATCAATAACTTATTCACATTTGATTTCGGAGTCTAAACGCTTTTATAAAATGCGTGTAACGCGCCCCCGAAGGAGATCGCCATCATTTCTCTTTTTTCTTTTCTTTTCGTTTTCTTTTTGTTTTACTTACATTCAATCGTTGCGATTAGACAGACAATGGTCTTCATCACCAGGGAACAAGCAATTTGCATGTTTTATTGTGAACCTTTCAACAATAAAAACGTTGCTAAGTTTTCCAAAATCATTGATGACATGGAGAACGTTGAAATTTGTTATTGCGAAAATCCAAAAAAGCCATTGCTGTTATGTTCAAGAACAACCGACGCGAATTCTATTTACCATCATCGTTATAAAAGCAAAAATATTTCAAATGAAGCAACCGAACAAGTAAATGTAGACCCTAAGCTAAGTAAGTTTATTTACAGAATAACATAAACATGTTAACTTTTGAATAACGTTTTCAACTTAAGAAACGTTGACAGAATTAGTCAAATTTTTAAACTTGGTTTACCACCCATACAATCCAAACTCAGAAATGTACGAAGAAAAATCGGTTACTATCAACAACATCCTTTCAAAAGTATGGAGCCATTCGAGTTTGTTTGCTGATAAGAAGAGCCCTGCATCGTTTAACAAATGGTGCTCAACGAGAAATATAAAGTTCCTTGAACAGCAATCAAAACGAAAAAAAAATGATATGGATGAGAGAGTGTCTGTTCGTTCTCTCTACGTCATGATGGATAAGCATATCAGTAAGTAGATATATGATCCTTTAGTCTGTCATTACTAATATAATGAGTTACCTGAAGCTATAAACGATATTGCCGACTGTCTTCCTAAATATCAAGAATATATCCAACAGCTAAAAGATCAAGGCTATACAATGGTTGGTTACTGCAGAAAATCGAAGCAAACACGTGAAGACAGCAACGATCGACAACGTTTATTACAGAAACAGGTAGAAAGGTTGAAAGCGAGATCTTTGGTGGACAAAGTCTTTGTGTCTGTATATTGTAAATCGTCTGACCCCATTGCCAACCGAGATCTAAAGAGCTCAAGCCATATCTTAAATGGGCTGACAGGCGTGGATGGGGATATGCAAGGTAACACCATTAGTTGGTTTATGTTTCTTACTGACATCAATTTATTAGATTTACTGAAGGTTATATCCACCACTCAAAAAGTTTGTTTGGTCACAACACTTGATACCGCAGGTCTTACGACTAGTAAGGATGATTTATTATCATTTTTACGGTAAGTAAAAAAAAAAAGATCGAAGCAAAACAGTTAGCTAATTTTTAAAATATAGGGAATATACAAATGTAAAAAAAATTCTCGTTGACAATATTCCTCACACAAATGAAATTCATGTGGTAGATTGTGATGAAGCCGTTGAATGGCCTGAAAAACTTCAACTGTTTGATGGTCAAAATTAACTTCATCATCGATCGAAGTAAAGTTTATTGCCTTCTATCGTTTAGTAAAGTATATTTTATTCAATTTATTTACTATAAATATGGTTTTTTAGTCCATACGTTTATCAAAGCTTTATAAATTTTTACTCTTTCATTGTTTCGCTTTTTTTTAACTCGGCCGGACATTGTTGGTATTCCAAAGGTTTAAGTTCTAATGATTTTTTAGAGTAGACGAATGGCTTTTTTGGATTTTCGCAATAGCAAATTTCAACGTTCTCCATGTCATCAATGATTTTGGAAAACTTAGCAACGTTTTAATTGTTGAAAGGTTCACAATAAAACATGCAAATTGCTTGTTCCCTGGTGATGAAGACCATTGTCTGTCTAATCGCAACGATTGAATGTAAGTAAAACAAAAAGAAAACGAAAAGAAAAGAAAAAAGAGAAATGATGGCGATCTCCTTCGGGGGCGCGTTACACGCATTTTATAAAAGCGTTTAGACTCCGAAATCAAATGTGAATAAGTTATTGATTGCACATTTCTCATTAGGTGTAAACGAACGGTTATTGCCATGTTAACTTCCAACGCTTACTAGATACAAGCAAAGTCCAGAGCGCTGATACCAGAGATAAAGCCACTGTTGAAGCCAGTGTTTAAACAAATGATGATTCCAGTGTTGCAGTCAGTGTTGAGGCCAGTGGTGAGGCCAATGATGAAGCCAGTGTTGAACCCAGTTATGAAGCCAATGATGAAGCCAGTGTTGCAGCCAATGATGAAGCCAGTGTTGAAGTCAGTGTTGAGGCCAGTGTTGCACCCAGTTATAAAGCCAATGATGAAGCCAGTGTTGATACCAATTGTTAAGCACAAAGAATAAAAGGATTAATATTTGTAGCTTATAAAAAATGTTCGATATTATAAAAATAAGCAAAGACGTATTTGAATAAGATCAGACACAAAAACTAAAGATTTATTGATGAAGACAAGAGTTATTCTATTTATACTAAGATCTGAATGCCAAAGTAGCAATTTATCTTGTACAACGCTTATCACATCTGGTGAACCTCAGTATTTAGATAGCTGAGATGCACTTCAATTATCATAGTTTGTCCATGTTGTTGCACAACACAGACATATCTACCCATCAAGAATACCTTAATCTTTATAGACAGTTGTAGTCCTTCTGGCACAACACATTGCATAATAGTTCGACGTGGGGAATGTCCTTTAAATAATATATTTATGCAAGGAGAATTATATAATAAATAATACTTCAACACAGTGTTTGCGTTGCTGCTACAACAGTATTATCCTGGACAACTCACCACCAGACAATATTTCTAATTGTTGAAAACTATAGTGCAACATTGTATCCCTTATAAGGAGTTGTAGTATATCTTTTCCTCAGCCATAAATGCATAGGGCTATAGATTTATTTGATTGCACAATCTCCTTGCAAAGAAATTGGCTGTATGAGCCCAGTGATTCTGTTAGACAATTACAGTTGTATCATTTGCGGCATTGGTGTTGGAGTACTACCTGCGATGATAGAAAGACATCCTAACAAAAGTGATTTCGATTTCGAGGCTGAGGCCATCCAAAATGGAATTTTGAAATATTGATGCTAGAGCTTTGAAAGTAGCATGTTCCTATGAGAACCTGTTGGTTACAAGTGGTTACGAGTAATAGATCAATGGAAGCAATGTTGGGAAACGCTGCATTGAAAACCGCTTGGTTATAGCTAGTTTCGTTGTGGTTTAGCAAAGAGTTGTTGCTGAGAATAAGAGGATTTTCGAAATGATAGGCCAATTTTGAGTAATGAGTTTCATATGAAAACCTGTTAATTACCAGCAATTCCGAGTAATAGATCGATAGATGCGAAGCTGGGAAGCGTTGTAATGTATTCAAACTCGTTGACTGATAACCTGCTTCGTTTTGTGATAAATTCTTAATAAGAAAGTCGATGATAATAATCAGTTGTCAACTCTATCTAAAACGAAAAGCAAAGAACTTCTTTATTACAGGGCACCCAACTAGCTTAAATATGATAGATCCCTGGTCAATGACTACTACGCTGAGATGTTATATAGATAGCAGGCCACTGGGGTCTTATCGATTGTCGGTATAGATTGTTGAGAGACCACATAAGTCGATATAATACTTCATGTAGTAGTGTAGGTAGATCTCTACATCTTGACATTGGGGAGGTTGAATCTATTGTAGTTCCTGAGACATCCGTACACACACAATTCACTGGACTTGTAAACATAGATGTGATATAATACGATAAACATTACCTATGTTGCTATACTGTAAATGTGGCTTGAGCAGAAAGTGAATGTTGTAGCCCAAGATGCATGCTTGTATGCAACATTGTGGTTGTTTGGCAAAGGTTTTAAGCCATAATATGCATCTCACCACGAAGGGCGAACAGCTTTTCCACGCTTTGGGTTGATGTGATACTAGAGATTTTATAATGTACAATACAGAGCATCTGGGTCATCAGACAGAAGTGTAATTTACTTACTCTTCTGATAACGCAGCCCACTACGCCGTCGTTTTAGGTCGAATTCTGTGCAAATCTAGCCATTTTCAAGCACGAATAACTCATGCCACAAAGCGTTTTGAGCGCTTGGAGTAGCATCACACGCCTCCTCTTGGCCACGCTTTACTTCTTGATGCTTTATCTCAATTTTTTTTTTTTGGGTTGTTGCAAATTCATGAAAATCATCGTTTTTCCATGAGTATTAGCAAGGGAAACTTCTTGAAAATCAAACGATCGCGTTTCTCACGTCAAAAGTAAAGACTTTTCTTATAATACATATTAGATCAAATTGATCGTAAAGATGAAATGCAACATTGGAAACTCTTTCTATGAGACTTTTATATGCTAAATTTTGACATATTCACAGAAAACCTGTTTTCATATTTTTGGAAATTGCTCATTATTTTTGGTCTGAAAGCTGAGAGTACTTAGCACCATTCGATGCGGCTTCTTTTGTTCTTTAGAGATGTATTAGAAAGTTGGGTGTGACAACGACAGTTTTCATAGTCAGATTTAGCAAAAACGTTTAAAGGATGTGAGATCAAGTCAAGTTTGAACACGAAAATACCACTGCATAATTTCAAATTAAACTACCGCAATTAAGGCTGCTACGGTACAAGACTGAGACTAAATCTACTGGTCGTGACGTCGGATAGGGTGCTCTCTCATTCTTCCCTGCCCCCATTTTTACCCTTTTTGCAAAACGCGTTCTAGTATCAAACCATGGTGGTTTTGGACACCGTTTGACTGATAATAACACTCTAGCTTCCGATAACTTTGTCTTGTACTGTTGGAAGAACTTGATACTGCTTCTTTAAAGTGGAATATATTAGATACTATTCGATAACGAGCACTGGAAGGCGTAGTATTAACACTAATTGAGTTTATTAGGTTTTAATGATTTTTTGCTTGTTTGAGTGAGTGCTGCTGCCATTACTTCTCTGGTATCTCTGCTGTCTGCGTCTTTGGTTTATCATGTCTGGCGGTTGCTTCTTTGGTCTTTGTCTGGTCTCTGCTGGTGGTGTTCGTACTTTGGTTTGTTTATGGTGCCGGTGTTACTGCTGCTGCTGCTGGTGGTGGTGGTAATATGGTCTTTCCTGGTCTACTCTCTTTGGTTCATGCTCGTTCTCTGGTCTATATTCGGTGATTGTGTATCCTCTGGTCTATCTACGGTGGTGGTAAGTGGTAATTGACTTCTTTGGTCTTTGTCTAGTCTCTGCTGATGGCGTTTGTACTTTGGTTTGTCTATGATGCTGGTGTTACTGCTGCTGCTGCTAATATGGTCTTTCTTGGTCTACTGTCTTTGGTACATGCTCGTTCTCTGGTCTATATTAGGTGATTGCGTATCCTCTTCTGGTCTATTATCGACGGTGGTGATAAGTGGTAAGTATCTTCTTTCTTCTGGTCGCAATGATATAAAACTTCTTTGAACGCTTGTATTGTTGCTTTCTTTCTCATGATAATGCATTCATGATGTTTACTTTTTTGCGTTTTTCTTCTTCTTTTGTTGGTTGTGTTGCTTTACATCCGACTATTACCATGCATGTGCTCATGTATGAATTTTTGTTGCAACAACAACGAGCTGTTCTGAACGTCTCTGATGTTGTGTTTGTTATACTTTTCTTTGGCTCACTTTGTGTGAGCATCCCTTTTTTGCCTACATACTACTATAATACTCCTATAGTAGTATGTTCTTTTCTTCTTTTATTATTATTATGTTTCTTTGAAGCATAACTTTTTTACGTTGTGTGGATGTGCCTATCACTGAAGCTCAACAAGACTTTATCCGACACCAGGAGATAGATAGGCTGCCTCCACTTGGTTATCGCTACTTACTTTAGTGATGATTGAGGGTCTCAATACCTGAATCTAAAGCTAGGTGGTGTAAGTAAGGCATGCTCTAGCACCTGAGGGAAGTTTGATGATAGCAGCGGCTACATTGCTATATTAGCGGCGCTTAAAATTTTGCCTCACATCAAAACAGGGGGAAACCCTCGCAAATTTTTTTTTAGGTCAGCGGAGTTTTCAAGCAATCTGATTGGCTAAGAGGCTGAAGCAACGAAGTTCTACAACTACTTGATTTCAGATTGATGTCATGTATTATAACTTTGTGTTTGTAATAAAAGGTTATCTAAATAGATATAATTTAAATTCTTCCTTATTTAAAAGTATAGGATAAGATGTAATCATTTGATTTAGCATTCATTGCATAATAGTTCGACGTGAGGAATGTCCTTTAAATATATTTGTGCAAGGAAAATTATATAATAATACTACTTCAACACAGCGTTTGCGTTGCTGCTACAACAGTATTATTCTGGACAACAACCCATCATCAGACAATCTTTCTAATTGTTGAAAACTATAGTGCAGCATTGTATGCTTTAAGGAGTAGTAATATACCTATTCGTCAGACATAAATGCATAATAGGGCTATAGATTTATTCAATTTCACATTCTCCTTGCAGAGAAATTGTTGGTTGTATGAGCCCAACGATGAATCTGTTAGACAGTTACAGTAGTACCATTTGCGGCTTTGATGTTGGAATACTACCTGCGATAGAAAGATAACACCCTAACAAACGTGGTTTCGATTTCGAGGTTGAGGCCATCCAAAATGGAATTTTGAAATATTGATGCTAGAGCTTTGAAAGTAGCATGTTTCTATGAGAACCTGTTGATTACAAGTGGTTACGAGCAATAGATCAATGGAAGCAATGTTGGGAAACGCTGTATTGAAAACGGCTTGGTTATAGCTAGCTTCGTTGTGGTTTGGCCAAGGTATTAAACTATGATGCGCATCTCACCTAGGAGGGGGAGAAATACCTTTTTCACGTCTTATGGTAAAAATCGATTTTTACCCTCAATTGGAGGTGACAGTGGCAAACACACGATTTTCTTTAATAATAGCACGGAGACGTCTATGCGGTGCTCAACTCTGGTAAGTAAACTTTGGGCGTAGAATGCCTGATAGCAATACACAATAACGATTTCATATGCGCCACTATAGAAGATAGTTAGTCTTGAGCAATCGTTTTTTTGACAATTTGGCTGAGCCTGGCATACTGGATACTATAGATCCATGAGAACTGATGCTATAGTTTCAAATAAAATCTTAAAAGATAGATGCTTTTTGGTTCTACGCAATGAGTATTACTAAAAGTAAGTTTGTACATATCTTGTACATTTGTTCTTCAAAACAACCCCCTTCAAAATATTTGAAAAGCAGGTTTGTCTGAATATAAGTCTTGGGATAACTTTCAAGACTGGTACCATTCGATGCGCATTTCAATTTTGCACAAATGTACTATAAACCGGAGACAATGGTTACTATTCAGAAGGTTAAGTTAAAGCGATCAGAAGTTGCTGGTATTCGACATCATGTTGTCATGCGAATAATAACTTCTGGTTCCTAATAACAGATCTAAAACTGGTCCAATGACAGCTCGATAATGGTATCCTAGCCAAATGTGTGGAAGATGTTGAGCTGATTTCAAGTTATCGATGAATACTTGACATGCTGATAATTCATATTTTTAGGATTAAATAAGTGTCGCTTGCTTCCTTCCACTCCATTAAACCTTCCAGTTTAGGATATACACATGGTGCTCTCCTTAAAAAAGCACTTTTAGCTCAATCAAATCGTTCAGGCACCATCTTTCATCCGAAGCAAATACAAAGACAATTGCAAAAATACACAAAGATTTTATTTGCTTTAAAAAACTAAACAAAATCTTTTTCCGTATTTTGTGATTCATGGATCGATGCTACATGCATTTTGGTCAACTTGACGGGGATATAACGATCATTCACTGTGTATTTGACTGGGGCAATGTTCATTTTATGAGACATGAAACCGCCATGCACAATAGTACGCGAATTGTCTTTTGATTTGGAGGCCATGACGACAGTAGACAGCAGCAGAGCAGTGATGGTGGAGAACCACAAAGCAATATTAGCCATAGTTGATGTAGTAGAGATTAAAGGAAAGAGTGGAATCAACAAGCAAGCGTGTAGAAATACGAGATTTATAATCTCTCCCTAGCTGTAAATACGTGATCCCAAGGTTACATGCTATACAAAAGAGGTATTAAGGAGACCCAGAAGTTGTACACAAACGAATATGCGTGGAATTGATGGACAACATATTTGCTAGTGTATAAATACATAGCCCATCAAGTATTGCCTGCAGCATTTTGATGGTTATCTTGTGAGGTTATACTAATGCAACGTTTTATTTTGATTTTACTCTTTTTCTTTACAATTATATAATGTATATATATATATATATATAAATCAACCTTCTACCACAAAGTCATCTTCATCCACTACTTCATCTTCGTCTGCAACGTCCTCGATGACGACTGCAGTGGTATCACTCATGATCAAGTATTCAAATCGAATACAAGCATCTGAAGCTGTTTGTTTGTTCAATCTTTTGCCATGCTTGAAGTAAAGCAGTTCAGTCCAATCGATAGTATCCTTAACGTCCATGTCTTTTGTAACATCTCTGGGCCTGCGCTTGCTATTTGGGTTAAATTCACGGATTTCACTAAGATTAGAAAGAAGATTAATATGAATTTCACAAATACATCAGCGAAGAAATTACTTACTCGTCAGGAATATCATACAGTTCTACAAGCAGGTTCTTCATGTACATCAAAATGCACAACGCCAGCGCCAACTTGGCTGCCAAGGAAAAATCATCATCCATGTCTTTCTCGTCTTCTTCATCTGTAAATGCATCCTCGACAGTAGCCACAATACCTTGCTTTTTCAGAAAATGAACGTACGAGAGCAAATCAGCACCAAGCGTCATCAAGATGCGATCCATAGTATAGACCATGTGCAGTACTTCTTCTGTGGTGGACAGATCCAAAGAAATAGCATTCTCTGCTAGATACTTGAGGTAATCAATATCAATCTCATCGGCGGTTGTTGTCTTTAGGTCAAAACTGAATGGCTTGACGAGCGCAGAAAAGAAATCGAAGCGAGCCTTCTTTTTATCTTTCATGACCGAGAAAGTAACACCCAGCACAGCGTCCATTTTCGCATCACCACCTCTTTTGCCATAGCCTTTATTGCTGTGTGAGAAAATATTTGATATAAATATACACGAGCGTTTTGCTTACCTTGAACCTGACTACCATACAAAATCTTTTGGTACTGATAGGATGTAAATAGATATTCGTTCATTTGACTGTACAGCAGATTGCCATATTTATCATGCGCATATTTATGCAGGTAGAATGCCTTGTTGCGTAGAATCAAGTCAGGGCTCGTTTCAGCAGCTACAATAGCAGGCATACAAAGCACGGGATGCGCCAAACCTTGATGAATGATGGCCGACACGACTTCAAAAGCTGCATAACGAAGATCCTCGGACTCTGCCAAGGCACATTTGAGAATCTTTCGCAAGTATCTCTGCATCAAGGAGCCATTTACACCCAATTCAGCATATTCCTCTGTGTTGCCCAGCAATGTGTTGATATCAATGTCTTTGGTGTATATGACGGAGCCAGTGGAGCCCTCTCGCTTGTCGATTCTCTTTTCCTCAGCAGACAGAAATTCCTGATACACGCGCATAAGCTGCATCTTGAGCTCGATGGTACCCTCTTCAAAGATTTTGTCCATCAGCTCTGTACTGGTGGCGGATATCATGTAGGTGGGATGAGAGGCGAAAAAGTAGCCCAAACCTTGTAGTGCTGTCATACGCATCGACATGCCTTGGTCGCTCAAGTCGTCCATGAACTCTCCGGTGAAGAATTGTAACACATCAAACACCAACATACAAATATCCCCCTTGTAGACCAGATTCAGGGCTTCCATCTCTTTAGGCTTTTGCTCTCTTTTCTTGTCAAACTCAAAATTCTGACATAACAATCCGCACATCAAAATCATCTTGAGTACACCGGCAAACGACGAATCTTCTGAAACTTGTCCATTCGAAATCATGTGTTGAATTTTGCGAAGTTTGGCTAATAGAAGCAAGAGCATTAGGACAATGCATATTTGACTAGCACAGTGTACTTACAAACACAAGAACCGAGCATCTTAATAAGGATGTTGTAGCGCAACGAGATGGTATCCACAATGACACACAAGCAAGAGATACCATCTGTAATCAAGTCGAGAGGACATCGACTCAGCAGTTGCATCAAAATCCTCTCCACAGACGACACAAATTCAGGATCATGGTATTTCATTTGTGGAAGCACATCTCTGTAAATACTGAGCACATAACGAGCCTTTAACCATTCCGCCTGTTTGTGGTAATATCAGAAAAGTGTGCACGCATCTCATAATTACAACACTTACGTCTTCTGTAGCATTCAAATAAGGCTGTAATAGGGATATATGCGATTCACGAAGCAAACTAGGGCACGACTTGGTAAAGGAGTACACAGTGGCAAGACAATTGATGAATTCAGTCGAGTTATTTTCCTCTTCCAGTTTGATCATTCGATCGAACAATGAATCCACAATCCATTGAAACACCTTTTCATACCATATCAATGATTTATCATCCGCGCCTTCAATGGTCTATGACAAATGTTAGCATAGCTCATGTCCATTCCATATACTGAATCAGACTTACCTTTTGAATGATCTGTGATAGTGCTATATTCTGTGCAGAAACAGAGGGATCCAATTTGGATACAGCTCCCGTAATCACCAATGTCAAATCAGTGATTTTTCGCTTGCGTTCTTTTGGTGAATTTGCATACGAATAGCCCATATAGTCATTGCCGTCCTTCTCAATGTCTTTGAAAGGTAAAAACAGTATTTCCTGGGTCGCCTTCAATGACAGTTGACTGATAGTGATCTCGTTATCACCAATTCTCAACATCAACTTGGATGCAACGTCAATCTTGATGTCGCGATCCGTCAGCTTAAAGTAGAGTTCACGTAACAGTTTGACCAGACGTTTGCGCACAGTTACAGCAGTGTCCTAGATGCAAGGTTTATTTGTAAGATACATTCCACAAACGTTACCGCCAATCCGCCTTACCATGATTCTAGCACTGACAACCTCGTATAATTTCATAGGGACGTGATCCAAACGACCAAGATATTTCGCAACAACATCCACAGCAGCATCTCTAACAGACGGTGAACCGTCATGAATTCTTTGAACAATTGATGCACGAGTACGCGCCTAATCAAGAGGGTTAATATCAACTGTTTACTAAACTGTATCACCACACACACACACACACAACTTACATCGTCCATGATTTCAGGTACTTCCGAGGCAATTTTACCTATTGCCTTCAGTGCTTTTGTTCTGTATACCACAGCATCCTTATCCAAACACAACAGAATTTCTGACAGAATGAAATTGTAGCTGGTATATAATGTTTGTCTTGATGCCAGCAGCTCAGTCAACAACATGTAGTCTGATCTCGACATTTCGGGAAACTCGTATTGCTTTGCCTCTGTGTCATGGTTGGGAAAGGGATAGTCTATGCCCAGACAGGAGAGCCAGTAAAACTTGCACGTATCTCCCAACAACAATGCATTCTCCTTGGGCCACTTGGAATCTTCATCCATGGTGGTATCCATGGTGGTGGTATCGGTTGTTTCTGTAAGCGTGTCCGTGGTGTTGGTCGTAGGTTCTACCATGGTGGTATCCTCATCGAGATCATCCAAATCATCGCCGTCATTCTTTTTTTCAGTATCTTCAGTGAGGGTAGTTGTAGTATCGTTTGTTGCATTAGGCGTAGTATCAGTATTGTCAGTATTAACAGGCTTTACTGTTTTTCTAGCTCGCTTCTTTTGTTTGACCTCCCATCCTTTGTTGGCTTTTATCCAGACAACTGATTCAATGAACCCCCAATTGCACAGATAAAATTGAATTACGTTTGGATTGACTCGTTCTCCAAGGACATGGTCAAGCAGCTTTTTCCGACATTGATCCAGTAAGGCTAATGATTTAATGGGCGTGTCTTTGTCTACTTTAATGGCAAGTGTTTCATTCAATTCACAGATCCATTCAGGGGTATATGTCTTGAAGTCGCCCGAGAGTCGATTGTATCCTGTCTTGATTTTGCAGGAAATGATGCCCAGCCATTCGATTGCTAATGACTTGAGGAATTGATCTGAGCGATCTTCTGCCAACAAAGTCATCTATATTACATAGTCAGAATAAGCATCGCGCCGCTCGCTGCCTAAACCTACCAGAATACGACTGAACACTCGAATGATGAGCTCGGCAACAGGCCATTCAGGGTCATTGAACACTGTCATGATGTCTTGCAATGTTTGAGCCAGAATCGATCTGTATTCTGCCAGTGAATAGGCATCCATTTTTCTTGATTTACATCTACACACACACACACACACACACGATCAATCAGCCTTACACATCCTCACCAGCTAAAGAGCACACTTACTTTGACATGAGAAACTCCAAAAAGAAAGATGCGCTATTGGCAGCAGCTTCAGCACCCATTCTCCAGGCATCAGCCGCATGCTGCACAAGTTTATCATCCAACAGCTTGATCTGATCCAAATTTTTCGTTTTGACCGTTTTTTGGTACTTGATATACCACTTGCTGTACCAACCCTTATGACTCGCATAGTCACTCAAGGAAGAACAGCATTGGACCAACTGCATAAACAAAGCACTGATTACATGGATCGATCTATTGTCACGCAATCTGTACTTTCTAGCGCCATCCATCACGGTTAATGATCCCAAACTGGTCAAAATCTCCTCGAATATCCATCGTCTGTGCTTGGGATAGCGGCTGAAAATGTGTTTTAATATATCCAAAGCGCAGAATTTGAGTTGCTCGTAAGGGCTGAATGTGGTTTCTTGGTTCAACGCTTGCATCAAGACAGAAGTGCCCGATTCTGGAAAATCGTGAAAGAAGGGTACCATGCTGATATAAGCAACAATCACAAGTACATCGTCATCCAAATCCTCTGCCAAAATCAGCGTGAAGGCACGTCGAAAGAATCGAATGATCAATGGGATGAATGTCGAAATCAGGTGCTTCTGCCTTGGTGACTCCATGATCAGCTTGATAAAGTAGTCCGCATTTGAAGTTACTATACCAGTTATGAGTATACACACACTGTTTCTACATTATCCAGATCTACAAACTCACATGAAATGGCTTCGTCCTCAAAACCGCTGGCATCTATAATGGGGTATATGGTATAATCCAACTGGTTCTTGATGAAATGCAGACAGTTGGTAATAAGGTTTTGAGAGAGAAACTTCTTATCCAATTTGCAGGTTGTCAATATATCAAAAATCATGGAGCATGTTTCCAGAGCGTCGTTGATCAGATCCAGCATATCGAATGTGGTTTTCTTGTTTTCCGCCGTGTTTTTAACATAGTGCTCTATGATATCAATGTCTGTAGACACAATCACTGTATTCTCCATTAATTTAATCACTTTTCCAAACTTGTCCATGTCCAATGCGTCCAAATTCTTGCAGTGTTTGATGATGCTTGCTGTCAAAGACGTGAATTTCCTCATCACACTGATATCTAATGTCGGCAAATCGTCTGTTTCTCGAAACATCAGCAGGGAATCTTTGGCTTTGATCTTGTCCATGTTGTACTGGTCTAAATCTTGACAGATGCTGGAAATGTAATGCATAAGACGACTGGTGATCACTACCAAATGCTGTTAATATCCGTATCTATCTAGTATACGGCTTGATCCACTTACAATCCGTTGATTGCCCTTGGGGTGCTGCAAAGCCATTTGTGAATTTGACAGCCATTGGTGCTTTGGATTCATTAAAGGTTGGTGCCAAGGGAGCTTTGAATCCGTTCGAAGCGGGAGGAGGGGGGAACATGGGAGCAGGTACCTTAAATTCGCTGGTGGATTGCACAGGAAATGGAGCTTTGAATTTGTTGTTGGATGGTGGCGTAGTAGGAGGTGGATTGACAGGCAATGGTGCCTTGAATTCAGGCTTGGATGGAGGAGGCGGCTGCTTGTCCGCTTTCTCTCTCTTGGATGATCTGGCTGGCATCTTCTTGATAACGACGACTGGTTGTTTGATGGAGCTCTTTGCAGATGGAGGAGGTGGAGTCAATGCTGGCTTCTTATGCAAGTTGAATCTTAATGGGGGCTGTATCTTGGTCTGTTTGAAGAGATTGAGCATATGGCGAGGCGATTCATACTGCTCTTGCACGTCTAGCTTTAGTCTCTTTTGTGGTGGGAGCGGCTGGATAGGCTCTGGTGTTGGCTTTTTGGCAGCTTTTCTCTTATTTAAGGGGATGTCATCCTCGTCGTCTTCACTGCCGCTGCTGCTACTGCTACTGCTGTCATCCAGAATGATTCTCTTGGGTCTTCTTCTTGTTTTAGGCAGAATAACCACATCATCCGGATCAATGTGGTCGTACACTTTGCTTGAATTGCCAGCATCCGAGCCTGAATCCATATTGACTACTTATGAACTGAAGAAAAAGAATGAAAAAAAAGATGAAACGCGATATCTCGTTTCTTGTTTTCCGTTTTTATTGTTGTCAGACATTGAACAAGCGCGATTTAAGGGCAAAGCAGCTTTGGAGGCACGCGTTTCATTTGAAAGCCGTTTCTTTCTCTATAGGGATTCTTTGCCTTGGATGGCTAGGCATTGTTCCAAGATGTGGATGATGTTCTCAAAACCTTTCAGTAACTCTGGATCCTGCTTCTTTCTATCTGCGTGCCAGTCTGAATGCGCAAAATCAATCAACCTCAAATCACACATTTTAGGTGGCAATTCTTCCTCGGTCTCTACTGTTGCTGTGTCCTGTGCCTGATCTTGCAATAGCCCCTTTTCGTCTTCTGCCAGCATCTGTTTCCACGTCTTGTCTGCAGCAGATCGATCCCCTTCATACATGAACAGTATAGAAGATCCAATGAGTCTCAAATTGGGATGTTCTATCAGCGATTCTTGAATCTCCTTTAAGGTATCTATGAAACACTCTATCACCCATCGAGAGTATTTTGTTGGTATCTTTTCTTTTGCTGTGCTAGTGGAGGTATTGTCTTCAAGGTAAGTTCTATAGTCTTCTGTTTGTGTGCCGTACGATGACGTTGGAAATAGGTAGGCAAGAATCGCTTCTACTGTGTTGTCTGCTGTGCGTGATTTGCCGTATATTTTCTCGTATGTCGCATAGCGTTTGTTGATGGGATCATACACCTTGTTTTGTACATTGTTAGCAACGAGCGCAGGATCGCAACAGTAATGCGCTACCCTACCTTCATGCCACATATCCTCAATCCAAGCGAACTCGACGTTGTTGATATGGACTGACGTATCATTCTCTTTCGCTTTTCGTCTGTCGCTTCATTGTCGTATAAAAGGGACCCCATTTTTAAATCCAAGATACAAGGCCGAGTAAATCCATGCAGTAAATTCTCTAAACACAGGTTTTGTATGTAAATGGTTAAGGATGTGTCTAGTGTCATAAAGGTTCAAGTCTAGATCTGGTGTAAAAAGCTCAAAAAAGGATATGATCTTCGCTGTCGCTGGTGTCTATCTTTATCGTTTTGTTCTCAACCAGAGCTGAATCATCCAAAATTTTGAGATCGTTCTCAGTAGCTGCTCTCACTGTACCATAACACTCTGGGAGGAAGTCTTGAAACTCTGGAAAACTATGAGCATCCTGATAAAACTCAAGTTCTCTCTTTTTGCACGGTTTGACTACGATTAGATCGCTTGTAGGTAAAGCCATGAGTTGATCGTGCCCTGCTACTTGTTGATCGAAACGTACAAGTGATGCTGCGTCCATCTACAGTATAGAGTTAAAAAAAGAAGTAAGAAAACGAGAGAACCTTCATTTGAGATTTGGGCATTTAAGAATCTGCAAGAGTCACGACCAAATCATCGGGGGGGGGGGGGAAAGGAGGCATTGCGTTCTTGTCTGGTATAGTCTCCTACTGCAATCTAATAGACTTTGATCCTGTAACTCGGGCGAGATTCCTTTTATGGCTCATATATACAATCAAAGTTTGATGAGATACTTGAAATAGACTTTGAAAGACACAATGACAAAACTCGCCCAATGTGAATATCGATATTTAACAGGAAAAAAAAAAATGGCATCTCAATGTGTGCACATGATGAGATGTGATGATGAAATGACGATTTGCTGAATAGCACTTTATACACAACTGCATGTCCATGCTGTCAGATGCTTTGATTTCTCATACTGTCTCTTCTTGCCAAATAGTACATTTAACGCTAAGCAAGAACAACGGAGGTAAACCAAGGTACATTTCTCATCCAATCGAAACAATCGCTGCTCTAGCATCCCAGTACATTCATTGAATTTGCATTATGGAAACATCTGTTATCAATTACCAAAAGAACATTTAATAAAGTTTCGTTAGTAACGAAACTTACAAGCATCTTGTGTCATAAAGGCTTGGTTTGATTAGCCAACACTTGGTGATCGTGGCACGCATCAACACTAGCTAAGCTCTTGTGCAAATCAGTTAATGCCATACTTGAACAGTTCAGGACAAAAGGCTGAGAGAGGCTAAAATATTGGCTATTCCATGCTGCAAGCCTTTGGGGTGGAAGGAACTCTAGATAACCACAGGAAACATATGGTGGTTTACAAGAGAAAATCCGTGCAGCTGGATGATGCACGTAATGGACCGATTGCAATTGATCTTTTCTATGCTAAGATTGGATCTCTGCTCAACGAACTGGGCCCTTCTTATATGGTTCAATCATTCACAGACTTTCTCGTAAGCATGACAGCCATGAAGCTGCGATATAATAAGGGCAATTTTTGTACTTTAATCTCTGTCAAGTTCAAGTGCTGCTTGCTGTGCGTACACCTTTATGATGTATCATTACTGTAGCTACTTTGACGCTTACTTTCTTGTTACCCAAACAAGCTGGCTCATCCTGAGACATATTTCAGATACAGCATAGAACTGTGTAGCTTTCTATTGCTCACCATTGAGCGTACGCATGTATTTAGAGAGTCCAAGTCATTAACAATGTGAGCATATTTTTGTATGAGCTGGATAACGAAGCAGATCGAGTGGCGCTATTGATTGCTAACGGTTATCCTGTTGCAGTTTGCGTGAAGGTGGATAGTCTTGATGACAGATTGGATGAACAGATGGCTGGCACAGCTAAGCAGCTCACTGGTAAGTGTTGAGCATTATTAAAACAAGATTTATTCAGCAAGTAAACGTATGCCTTACTGTAATTGCAAAAGAGCACTCTTGGTTGCTTATACCAATAATAATATGAAACTTTCATGCTTGAGTGTAGATATTTTGAAGTTATCATTGCGTTGCATAAAGACTTTACAATATACAAATATGTTTATGCTTTGGGTGGCTCTCTACCTTCGCTTCGCTTTGGTGAGAACCAGCCTGCGGTAACGGCAGGTTGTGTTACTAATTGCTCTTGCGTATCCTATCAACATACTGCTACCTTCATTTTGACCCTCCACTTACACATAAACCCCCCTCATATTATCTGTGGATCTGGTTCTTATTTGATACTCTACATCCATATACACGTAGCTATTTCATATACGGGCAAGTATCATACAAATATTATCCCTTTTTAGTCCTTAGTGTCCCTGATACAGCAAAATCTGAGTGCATTTGAGCTGCGTTTTCTTGCGTTCAAGGCCGTTTTAGATGGTCAGAATAGCACCAAATAATTGCTCTCATCCAGCAGCTACTTGCTGACACTATTGCTCAATTTTTTGGGGATCAAAAAAACGTGGGTGAAATTCGACCAAAAAGAATGAGGTACCCCTCATGGTTTTCATTGAAAATCAAACGATCGTGATTTTGACCTTGAAAATGAAGACTTTTGCTATGGTAAATATTGAGTCAAAATGTCTCTATCGACCTAACGTAACCCTTCAAATCATCTTCGTGGAACCTTAATATGTGGAATTTCGATTTTTTGGCCGGAAACCTCTTTTCATATTTTCATAAGTTTCTCAATAAGTTTATTCAAAACATCTATCTTACTTGTCACCACTGGATGCGCTCTGAAAAGCACTCCAAGAATGTATTAGGAAGCGTTTTTTTAGGGGAGTCGAGCTCCAAGTTTTATTTAAAGTCCTTTAAATGTCATACTGAGGGATAGAAAAGACTGTTGGTGGACCCAATGTCTGCAAAGAAGGGGAATAAGATATTTTTTGAACTAAGTTGGGAAAGAAATCTACTACTAATAAGGTGCGACTCCTAGAGCCAATACAGTCTTGCGGAAATCGTCGAAATATAGATAATGGATAAGAGTACAAAACACCAAACGAGGACATCAGTACTACGTCAAAAAATCAAACAACTTGCGTTCACCAGAATTTGAACCGGGATCCTCCCGTTGGCATACGGGAGTTTCTACCACTTCGCCCTACCACCAGGGGCAGCAGTATTAGGAAGCATTTTTTTTTTGTAGGGGAGTCGAGCTCCAGGTTTTATTTAAAGTCCTTAAAATGTAGTATTAGGAAGCATAGGATGATCATCATATTTTACTTAGTCGAATCTGCCAAATAGTTCAATCGAGTCGAAAATAGAACGAGATCTGACCAATCTTGAGCAAAAAAAAAAAAAAACTGAGTTTGAATCATTTTGACGGTAGCGGGCGACGCTGCTGCTGGATAATCAAAATGCTTTTCTGATGATGGCAATGATGATTGAGATATTGATTAAATGACGAGGATTATGAATTTGATTGCTTGGCTCAAATATTTTTTTTTTGTTTTTGATGAACATGTTTATATCTGGCAACGTCAGTCAGCTTGGATCACCACTAAATACATGTAATCCCAACTTTTTAATCATGATTTGCAGCATTTCAACATCGCATGTAGACAGTATGCGTTTCATTGATTTGTTTAAAGTATACCATCATTGCCGCTGGCTGGAAAGCTACTCCGACGTGTTGGTAAGGATATCTTCAAAACTTGTATCAGAATAACATTGGGAATGATGGCTGCAATCTGGTTGACAGTTGGCAGATTCTGAGTCTGCCTTTCTTCATCAACAGTTAGCTCCAGTGTCATTTGAGGGTTAAGTCGAATATAAGCATCCTCGTTAAGGTTTGTCGTTCTTCTTCTTCTTCACTCAGGATCTCATGAACATGCTTGTAGTTGCGAACAATGTTTTTAATGATTTAGTTTTTATATCCTTCCGATTGATTACGACGACACTTTTTTCATAGTATTTTAGTAGGTTATGTGATATTAAGGATCTGTAGGAAAGCCATTTCTACACTTTGAAATTGTTTTTTGAAACGACAATTTATTGGGACATTTTTTTTCTAATTACGTCAAGAAAGCAGGGGCAGATTGATTAGCGAGAACAGGTGCCGTCAGATAATGCATCGTGCAACGTCGTAAAGTAGAATGTTGACATACTAACAAAACACGAACGCCAAAAGAGACCAAAGATCGATGCACGTATCACCAGAGAAAGAGTGAGTTCAAACCAGATGTCCAAATGTCACCAGACGCCAATTTTCTCCATACAAATACAGCCTGAATGTCACTTTATCAGAGTGAACACCTTCAAGCAATAAGCAAAAGAATTCATGAGACCGCTCCAAGACCAACGCCATTTCAGCGAACTGAAGCAGATACGCTATAGTAGATTGACAAAGGCTTAATCAAGGGAAATCTCATGAATGGCTAATCTTGCGTAGTTATGGATTATACACAGAGAACCTACACTCCAACATTGCAAACCACAATTGAGCTGCGCCGAGAGCAAATCCACTTCACAATCCGTTAGGATGGAATCTGCCGCTAATTAATACTGGCTACCATTGAGGAGTACCCACGCCGCTGAAGGAATAACCTAATGAAAACACCATACAATCTAGATTAGCCTACAAAAAAATATTCAATGGACAAGAAACCATCAAAGCTCGAGAGACCAAAGAAGACGCGCAGTAAGTTGGATTTTTAGCAAACCAGAAAGAGAAAAGAAGATAGCCAGTAGTATAACACCGTTGATACCTGTCTGAAGACATTAGTATGACCTAAGAAGAGCTATCGCCTAAAGGATGAGGAAGCACAATGCAAAATAGTGAAAGTGAGTGAAAAGAAAAGAAAAGAAAACAAAAAAAAGACTTTATTGCCACCACTATTATTATGACAGCAATCGAATTATGGGATATTTCCAGGAACAAGCATTGGATGCTCCCTGATACCTGGTTCAGCTCTGAAAAGCCCAGAGTTAATATATGTCATTTCAGCATTATGGTAAAGATAGACTCTTTGAAAAAAAAAGGCTGATGGCGCCTGGTGTTTAAGCTTTGGATAGAAAAACACTTGAAAAAGTGGGTCGATGCGTGCTTTCACAGAATTTTCGGCTTGCATTAATTGCGACTGAGGAACTGACAAAGGGCATTCATCCACTTGCATTGAATTTTATGTACATGAGCACTTGTGCTCTGATTGCTGTCTATACAACACATTGCTTCTGGATGATGCTGCCTGGTGAATTTCAAGTGCGTCGCATTCGAGTTATGTATGTACATGCCATTCTTTGCCGAGACATGGGCTGGCTTGATAAGGCAGAAGAAGCTTCACTGACCGCAAGATTGGCTACTGACACTCAGCTGATCTAAGAAGGTAGCATTTTGTAGTTTTTTATACTAGCCGTGCTGTTACTCATTCGCCAACAGGTACCAGTGAGAAATTTGGTCTCTTGTTCATGTGCGTCAGTCAACCTATCAGCGGCTTTATTGTTGCGTTCTTCAAAGGCTAGAAATTAGCTGGTAAGTGTTTGATCTACCGAGTGTGTCTATAAAATGTACTTATGAAATGTTTAATAGTTGTCATTCTTCAAAAGTCAAAGCTAAAACCGGCTTTGCCAATTCACTACTTGATGTGTGGCAGAGGACAGTACCTCGCCAAAGTAAAATATGTGGTGGATCAACTGAATGTTAAGTAAACCATGTTTGGCTGAAGACTAGACATTGGAAAGTGGAATGGCCCAGTTTGTGAAGCAATCAACATGGTATTTTTAAACGAGGAGAAGAGGTTGGTGATTTCTGCAATACAGAAATTAATCAGTTGAGGTTAGGATGCCTAAAAATAATTGACTTCATGTTTTTTTTTTTAAAGAAGGAGAAGAGAGGAAGAAGATCGAAGGAGAGAGTAAAGATACACCTAATTTATCTATTGCTATATCAACTACTGTAATGGATAACCTATTTTTATTCTTTCACAATAAGAAAAACGTTTCTTTAATTTAACACTTCAAGATTTGCTTCTTGATTTAACCCTTTTTCTGATCTAATTTTGCAAACGGAAATGACCTTGGATTTTAGAAAAGCTCATCATCCATCATCCTTTCAAAAATGTATAAATACAGCAGTTCAGAGCTAGTTTTCTGTTTTTTTTAGCACCATCAAAGCTTCTTATTTTCTGTCTAATGAAATTCTCAATTATTACTGTTTTCCTCCTGGTCATTGCCTTCTTTTCTTGTGCGTCTGCTTCGCCTGTCGCCTTTTTAATATGCCCTTGACCACTTTGAAGTGCCTTTGCTTGATGCTCGTATCTTGCAGAGAGATCTACAAGATATCCGGTCAAAACAAACGATGCCCTGATTGCTGAAATCATGGCTACTCTGAAAGCCAATCTTCATGCCAATGTATTTGCTTCGATCTCTGCTAATGTAAGTGCTATTTTGGTCGACGGTAGTGATTTTAATGCTTTTGTCTTTCTAGTTTTGCGAAAAGGCTTCTGCTTCACTCAAGATTCGTGCCAATATCCTAGGTGGTCTTATCAAGGTTGAAGACATCCATGTCTAAGCTATTGAATCTGCAGCTGTCAAGAATTTCCCAGCTGCTTTCGATGTAAAAGTGAATGCCAAAATCCAAGCCAATATCTATGAAAAACTCGAGGTCAGTCTTCGCAAGAGCTGTGGTGTCAATCGCTTATTAGATGAAATCGAGCTTCTGGATATTGTTACTGAATTAGAGACCAAAGCGAAAGCATGGGTCCATGTTGAATTACCAAAGATTGGTGTAGACTTGGGTGTCAGAGTTAAGGAAGAGCTCGAAATTGCTGTCAATGGTGTGGAGGTCAATATCCCTCTCATTCTTCAGATTGCTATTGATATTGGTATCAATGAACGAGCTACTCTGGAGACTTGCATTGACGCTGCTTTGAAGGTGTGCGCAAAATTGGATGCCAAAGCATCAGCCAAAGCTATGTTGGAAGCTTTGTGAATTAGAATCAGAGCACAATGAGCAATACTTGACATTGTTCTATAATAATAAATTTCTCTCTGAATTATTACCTAATGCTCATCTTTATTGATAATGTATAATTATTCTTGATCTGACAAACAACGAGTCTAATATATTTTCTTAAAAGAACCATGATCCAATCTTTCTTAGTGTTTGAGATTGTCCCATTGGCGTAGAAGCAGTTTCTGTGTGAGCTTTTCTCTGTGATTTCTTGTATTTGACCCACTTTTGAAATCTCTTTCTATTCAGTAACGTAGGTGAGGGAAAGCCTGATGGTGTAGGCGTGGTTGTAGTCTCTGTTTCTTTAGGTGGAACTGCTGGTGGTGAGGGTGCGATCTCTGCAATGGCCGTCTTTGTTTCTGATGTGCTCATCCAAGCTGGCATGTCCTGATTTGCAGGCGTTATTGTTGATAGTGGTACCATCGTAGGCGTGCCTTTATCACTGAGGCAACTGAGAGATTCTCTTAGTTTGGTTGTTGTTGGCATGGTCGAAGCACAGCACGTTTGCTGTTGTATAGGATGCTGGTCAAAGAATTCTCTCTTTTGATTTGCCTTTGTCTTGAGGATCTCTCTCATAGCGTATAGTCCAACAGTTTTGACATGTGCACATGTGACAGGATCCATCAATGGTAAACAGCGCATCAGGGTACACCAATGTGTGTACTGTGTATCCAGCATCTCGTTCAAGGATTGCTGGTTTGAGCCCATAAAGGACGATGTGTTGTTTGTATGGGTGGTCTGAAACGGCTCGATTGGATTTGGCCATGGTACACCATCCGCAGATGACACAGTTCCGGTGCTTGCACAACATTCATTAGGACATTTTTGAAGACTCTCAATGTCTTCTAATCGTTGCAGAAGAGCCCCGTAATTTTGTGGTACATAGGAAGCCCAGGGATCAATGGTGGTATGTGTAGGTGGCCTTTTCATGTCTCTCTTAGTGTGCGAGTGAGGATGTTGTTGCTGTTGTTGGGTCTCTTGCTGAGGTAAAAGTGGTAATGATTGCTGTTCCGATGTTTGTTGTTTGCTGGCGGATTCCTTTTCTTTCCAGGTTTCCAGATCATCAATTTGGACAGATAATCGCTTTACCAGAAAGGCTAAATCATCAATGGATACATTGCCATTGGACGGGGTAGTGATGGGCTCTACTTTGGATCGTTTTCCACCAAGCAAGTTGAGTTTTCGAAAGGAGTGATTGTTTGATAGCATGTTGTTTGGGAGAACGAAGAAATACCAGAGAAAGAACTCGTCTCATATCAACAGAAATTATACAAAAAGACAATCGTCAGAACAGTTCTCATATTACGACTTGAACTATTCTTACTTTTCAAAGAATTTCGGAGAGAATCATGTATGTAAATGTATTCATTGTCTTTGGCAGACTGAAATCTCCTTGCTGTGTGGATACAAAGACAGGTGACAATCTTGCAGTTCCCGTATGACAATCAACTTTTAACTTGTAACAATAGCATTGTATGACAAGCTATTCTATACATCTCCCATTGACGAAAGGACATTTGAATGTGGTGTGTTTAAAGACGTTTAATATATACAGCCGGAAATGGGATAACATTGGTGCCTGGTAACTGTTTTTATTCTCCCAGCCGCGTACAAAATGACGAACCATGGTACGGAAATTCTTTTCATGATCTACTGTGGTTACACTGATAGCTACTTCTCCGTCACCCCTTACATACATACATACATACATGCATGTTGTTATGAATTGTATATGTAGACAACCTTAAAGTGATGGGAGACGTTTTAGGAATATTATTTATACAGCTATTTTTAAATCTCGGATCAACTATAAACCTCACTGATACTGCACTATCATACCCATAAATATCGGTGAAAAAACCTCCTATGTATTCACTACAGAGCATGATTTTCCGCCAACCGACACACATTACACAAGTACAGCAATGCGCAGTTGTTGACATTAATAATCTTGCGTGTGTGTGTGTGTGTGTGTGTGTGTGTGTGTATACAAGCATATGATTTCCGACTGGTTTCAAACCCACATGTAGATGGGGATGTGATGTTAGCTTTGTTTTGTAGGCGACATTCAAGGCACTATGATGAAATAGCAAAGCCAGAAAAGAGGAACAGTAAACAAGATTGCACGATGATGATGTTGATTAGAGTTTGTTTGTCGACACTGTGGTTTCAGTCGAAAGTTACCGATTTTTAGTCAAGGCAGTTTTGATTCTCTTGGGGGGGGTATCGCTATTCACACCAAGCGAGTGGACAAATAACTTTTGCTGTGAGATATAAAACAATACGAGTAGATGTATGCATAATAGCTTTCAATGCCACTGAAGAACTGAATACCCTATTATATTCAAGTAACGAGCGGTTTTCTCTGGGTACATGCCTTGAGTCTGACACTATTTATGCTAAAAGATGATCTTTTTAAAGAAGGACATGTGCGCTCCTTTTTCATACACATATTTGCTAGTGGAATTCTGCCTGTTCTATACGTTGAACCACAGGGTTTGTAGTACAAGTGAATCAGAAAAAGGTAACTCCTGGTAAATTAATTGTGTGGTACGAGCTTTTTTTTTTTTTTTTTTTTTTTATTATTGTTGAATGAAAATGAGTGAATGAGCGTATGTATATGTAGAAATGTATGTATAAAAGGAGCGACTGGTAGTGTTATGTACAGTATTTTGATTTAGATGTGTATAGATTTTAAGCAGAGCCAAAAGCAAGATCCTCGTAGACACTTCTTGCTAGTTCGTAGACGCGGCTGTAGAGCTCGGACTGAAGATCAGATGTTAATTCAAAGATGTATCTGTTCAAGAATCCATGTTGAGGTGCTTCTCTGACACCAGGTGATGCTTGGCTAGATGTGCTAGTGAATGAGACAAGGATGGCACTCCAGACCTTCTCAGTCAGTGTTTTTTCTTTGTCCTCGGCAGCAAAGGGATTGTTTTCTTGATCAAAGATGGATTGGCATGACTTCAATGCCATCTTGACCTTGTAGAGAATGTCGAATCTGTCGACAGCAGCAATGATGTGATCGGCAATATCCATGTTGAGCAGTTCCAGAGAAGCAACGAGTTCATCCATGACCTCCTGTTCCCAAAGGCCCTTGTTGATGGCATTCAGAATAAGCTGACGATACTCAATATCGGTAGTGGTCCAAAATTCAGAGACGATAGCATCAACGCTTGAATAGAGTTCGTTGCTGAGTTCATGGATTTGATTAGCAATCATTCCTGGCATTTGTGCAACGCAGACATCTAGTAAAAGTCAGTATAAATTGCTATACATGATCAATTAATTAGTGCTTACCTTGGATGTTGGAGTGTCCCATCAGCAATTCAGATTGAGGTCTCAAGGCGGCTTGCATGTCATGAGGCGTCTTTATCACGATGGAGAGTTCAGTCAATAAACCCTCGTTGTGCTGACTGAGAATGTCATCAATGATGGATTCGTAATGGGCTTGAGCAGTGTCCTTGATCAGCATGTCAGGTTTAGTGGAACTAAAGTTGATTTGAAGGCCTTGAACAGCCATCAAGAAAGCGCATGTAAAGAGCAAAATGTATGGTAAGAGAGACATTGTGTGTGTATATGTATGTAAAGAGAGCAATTGACCAGCAACTGTTTCGAATGTTAAGAAGAGATGTCGAATTGAAGAGAGAGAGAGAAGATAGACAGACTTGCACATGGTGTCCCTTTGTATTTATACTAATTCAAACATCTAGAACTCTTTGTAGATAATTCAATCCCCATTGAGTATAGCATGCGCTAGACGATTGGCTTTGGATACACACATAGAACAAACAAAACATTTTATTTACGCACAGAACTCGTGATGAAGTAATGGGTTACACCTTAATGAAGGCACCGGTTGCCATGTATGTATATTTTGACTGATAGTAGCAGATAAGAGCCACACAGAACACTTGTATTTCTGGGTCCTCGTTCACCCAGTTTGCCTTGCCAGCTTTTGTCTGCCAATCTGTCTCTTTGTAAACGGAGCAATGTAAAATAGCTCAAATGCTCATTGCGCAACGCATTTGGAATCCGAACTTTTGTTGCACATAGAACAAGAGCCCCAGATTAGCGATGGTTCAGGAGGAGAGAAGGCGGATGGAGTCTTTGTAATGGCAAAATAAGGGGGTTTCTTCCCCATCTTGGCTGGTAGGGCGCTTCTTGCTTGGCTACTGATATTACTCCTGAATGCCCATTGTCAATATTTATATACCAAAGGATGATAACAAAGTCCAGCTTATATCCGAACCTTATTTTCTAAATGATTTGGTATCCATAATAGGTGAAAATTAATGTCCCTTGATTGGTATTTTCTTGATTAGATTTCGATCCTAAAAAGAGGGGCATCGCCATGAAATCTGTCTATAATAGTTTGGATTTACGTTGCTCCACTCATATAGAAGAGAGTGACAGAGCAGGTTGATCTTGTGTTTTGAATATTCATCATTTCATGCGATTTTCAGCGACACTGCAATCTTTATACACCAGGGGGTGTCTTGTTACACTACACATTGAGTGCGTGTGTGTGTGTGTGTGTGTGTGTGTGTGTGTGTATGTGTCGAAAGATTTTTCATTCTCATTCTCCTCCCTCTTTTATTTTTCCTTCAACTAGACACAACACATCAACATGGAAGAAGGTACTATCCATCAGGCGTTTATCGAGCATTTGGTGCTGACAATTCATGGCCTAAAATAGAGGCATTTTTAAAGCAACGTTTAGCGCTAGACGATAGACACGTTAAATTACTGGAAAAGAAATACTACAACTTTTTACAGACATTGTATGATGAACCATTAGAAAGGGCGTATGTTGTCATTTGATAGAGCAGAGTTAGCAGCAGCGCCTAATCATCCATTATTACTAGTCAATTTCAGCTCGAGCATTTATTGATTCTCTTGCTGAATTATCAAACAAGTCTGGAGCGCCATCCTCGTATACAGGCTGCCAATACACAAGAAGTAGAGGAATACAAGGACATTGTGGAAAAGACAGCCATCATACAAGGCCAAGCAGGCACGGATATTGTCACATTGAAGGAGGATTTAGTGAAAGCACAAAAAGCAAGAGATCAGAAGCTAGAATACGACCGCGTCGCAAGAGAGATCATGAAGTTTGAGACGAGAAACACATATGCAGAATCCATCAGTGATCTTCAAAACGACATTGCATTACTAGAGAAAGAGAAAGCCAGCAAGCTGAAGACGTTTGAAGATCGCAAACACAACTTGACAGCGCTGTTGGAGTCATTAAAGAATTTGCAAAAGTCGGTGGAAGATGAGCGTGCTCATATGGTAAGGTTCAACTGCACCAAGGCTATGATGACTATTGCTCACGATGCTTTATGACAGACTGAGGACCAAAAGAAGCTGGCGGACATGGAGAGGGGATATGTTTCTTCAGACGATGAGGGAGGTATCGATCTATCTGATAATGAGGAAGAAGCAGAGGAGGAGGAAAAAGAAGCAGTTGCATCGACAAACAGCAGATTCCAAGAAAGAAACGACGAAGAAGATGAAGAGGAGGGCATTTTGCTTGACACACCCATGGTAGAATAATTGTTTATTGCGTGAGATACTCTCCTACTGCGTTTTTACTGTAAATATAAAGCTTTTGTTGAATTTCCTCATCTTGGCTTTCCTTGTTTTTGAATATGGTGAACGGCCTACTGTTCATGTAATACATGCCGCCACTCTGGATCTCTGGATTTGATGCGAGATAAATGGAAGTTTGTGCTCCCTGAGCAGGAGAATTGGACAGTAAGTAAAAGACGGGATAGAACATGACATCCAATACATGGAACATGCCAGAGTTTTTTGCGAATTGTGTGCGCACCATACCCGGATGGACTGAATTGGCAATCAATCCCTTGTGCGTTCTGTCCAGATAATTGGCGTACATGACATTGGCCAATTTAGATTGCGTGTAGGCCTTCCAGCTAGTGTATTTGCGTGTCTCGAATTGGATGTCGTCAAAGTCGATGTGGCCAAATAGCATGGCATGGCTAGACAAATGAATGATTCGAGCAGGATGCGATTCATCTCGTGAGATCATTGATTTTTGCAGCAGCAATTCTGTCAGTAAAAAGTGACCCAGATAGTTGGTGCCAAACTAGAAAGAGTTATTATATCGACTTTGTCGTTTTGGCCATAGATATACCTGCATCTCGAACCCGTCTTTTGTCTGTCGCTTGTCGTTTAAAATCACACCCGCATTATTAATCAAAATATCCACCGTAATTGACTGATCGCCCAATCGACCCACAAGATCCTTAATTGAAGACAGGTCGGCTAAATCCACAAACTCCAAAACCACATTGCTTTGTTTGTTCGTGTGGTGTTCACACACCAATTGATGTGCTTGTCTGGCTTTCTCGGACTCACGGCATGCCATGATGATCATTTTTGGATCCATTTTAGCTAATCCGAGTGCCGTTTCTTTGCCGATACCATCACTAGCACCTAATTATATGCATGAGCTTTTGGATACAACACACCTGGATACCATAGCATCTCTTTACTTGCCCGTAATCAGTATCACCTTGTTCTTGATATCTAACAAACAAGCAAACAAACAAATATTAATACACATGAATCAGTTTGAAAAGTTTAAATGTCATATTCACCCATCCTTAATTGTGATTTGGGGGGGAAAAAGAAAGAAAAAAAAACGCTCTCTCCCCATTGCTTTATAAAAGACTACATCTTTGCTAAACTGCCGCATGATTGCATTGCGAAATTTCGATTGAGGGGCTGTTCATTGCGCAGACATGCAACAAGTCTAACTGTGACAAGGTGATCGTGTAATCCAATTCTTGGATGAAACTGTGTACAGATCATTATTCGGAAGACGGTTGTACACATTCGACTCAGTTGGATCGAGGAATGACGAATGCCTCTTTTTTTTTTTGGCTGGACAATTGTGAAGGAGCTGCAATCAGGCACAGCATTGTTACCTTTCAGAAGCATCTCATAAAGAGATCAAAGAAGATCATTTGTAATTTAATTACCGCCATCATGCGATAGATCCTTCGTTGACTACGCAACACGTCCCTTTCATGAGAGTTTCTACTGAATAGGTACTCGAGAACTTTGAGGTCTTGGTTGTAGAGTTATCTTGTTTGAGGCGCCTAACTTCTGGCTTTATTTTTGCCCTCCAGTATGAATGTAATAATCTCTTTAAAGGTATCGTGCGGCTACTGTTATGAGTAGTACCATGCATTGAGGTAATTGGCCTACCAAGCCATCAGTCTTTTTGGTCATTAATGAATTACTAGGAACAGCGAGTGTTTTTCGTATTCTTTACCGCCATACTAGAGCTACGTCTTCAAATCCCCATTTCTCGTCAGATCTGACTTTTCTGCGATGGTTCACATCTGTAACAGTGAGTACAAGCCATTCACTGGCAGACAGCTTATTAGCATTATCGTTTACTGCTCCAAAACATGTATATCACAGCGAAATTTGGATGCATTAAAGTCGTGATTTCTCGTGCTAGAAGCCGTTTTAGGCGGCCAAAATAGCACCAAACAATTGCTCTTGTCTAGCACTTACTTTCTGACACCTTTGCTCAACCTTTTTTGGGATCGTCGAAAAGCGACTCCAAACCATGAGGGATACCTCATCAAAAATATCGAAAATCAAACGATCGCGTTTTTGACCCCCCCCCCCCCCAAATGAAGGCTTTTACTAAGGCATATATTAGATCAACCTATTCCTCTTGATCCATATCAGCCTCTGAAACTTTGTTTGTGAAATCTTGCTATATAAAATCTCTACATTTTGGCAGAAAACATCATTATAAATTTTTGTACATTGCTCAATAAATTTATTTAAAATATCAGTTAGAATTAGCACCATTAGATGTGCCTTGAAGAATACTCGTAAAATGCATTAGGAAGTATGGCAAGATCATTACAACTTATATAGTCAAATCCGGCAAAATAGGTCGAATTGGATCCAAAAAGTTCGTAAAGGAACAAATCAGAGACGATTGAAAACCGGAGATTTAAATGATCCGGCTTGTTGTGGCAAGTTGAATCACGAAGGCAATTAGATGTTTGTAAAGCTAATAAGAAGAGAATTACAAGTTCAAACGTACTATCTTCCAAATCCGCTGCCTTCATATGTTGCTTTTTTACTTTGTCTTATTACATTGCTGTGAGATTTGATTATTGCAAATTGCAAGAATACAGTTGAAATCAACTTCTATACAAGGTATCGCGTACCCACCTTCAAGATAAATGCATCAAGACCCAGACAGACAGGAAGCATAGCATTCACAGTGAATATCCAGAAAACGGATTTACACCTCAAAGCTATAAGTTGCTGAATCTATGCTCAGGTTTGGCTATCCAGCGTCCTGACGTTAGCGAAACTGAAGGAGAAATGAGTGCGCCAAGAGTGACATACACAGAGAGCGTCCCCTCTGCTGAATCACGAAAGATGCACACTTCTGCACAATGCGACACTATAAATTCCACCAAACACTTGATAGACTTGAAAGGTTGGATAGCATGCCACACAGTAGCAGACATCACTTGGTTGGTAAATTGCTCACCAAATTTGAAGTATTTGAAGGTTACGGCTGTATGCCTCAAAGAACATCGCATGTACATACTCAGCAGTCGGCTCTCAACATTGGCATTACATGTGGTGACTCAACCAACGATTATCCGGGAGTCTTCTTCCATGTATGTACTGATCCGGTCGATCAAATATTCTTTGCAAGACCGTCTCAACCTCTCTTGCAAACGTCTCAAGACGACCGTATGTGTTGTAACTACGGCCAAGTGTTGAGGTTGGGGTACGTGTCTGTGGATCGTCTCATTGTTGAGATTAGCGATATCAAGATTGAAATAGAATTCGATGATTTGGGTATATGGAAGCAAGGAGTGCCCAATGCCATGGATTCCGCGTATGCCTCTTTGCTGGTGCAACGTCTGGTCCTGCAAAACAAGTACTAACAAGCGCAGACTGGCTGAGGAATTTGCAGAGACGAGAACATAGTATTCGCCAGCAGAGGCATATCCGTCTGGCGCTGTCATTAAAGCTGTGGAAAGGCGACAAGTACACTACACAATCATGTTTTATTGTTGCTGCATGTATTCTACAAACTATACATAGTAACGAAATCAGTAAAACAGCACTCCTTTTGCAATCCACCTTATCCTACCTCATCGATCAATATGGGCCAAGCTCCTTCCGAGTCGTACGCTTTCATATCTAGGTTCTGTTGACTCGCAAAATCAAGAAACTAAACACATATCTCAATCAACACATGTCCAGACACTAGCATGCAAGAGTACGTACCAAGTTCCATGTATCACGAGAGATGGCTTTGCCGTGCTTTTCCTAGTATGGCATGGCATTGTCAGTGTCATTCACCCTCCTACTGATAGATATCGGATCCTTACTTCCAAAAACTTGATCCATTGTTCCAGCAAGCTAAATCTATCTGTCAACAGTAGCCTCCACAGTTCAATAGCAGCTTCCAATGCTAAGTTCGACGTATATCAGCGTCCTCGACTCTTCCGTTCATCACATTATCCACTTACATAAGCTCTTTTGGCCTGTTTGTCTACCCAACAAAAAAGCGTAACTGTAGATTTTTCTAAACCCTTGGTCTGTCTCAAATTGCTGCTTCAATGTTATATCCAGTGCTTGCTTTAATTTCTGAACTGTATCAGCCTGTAATTCAAGACATCCCTTTGTAAATGCGTCGCGTGTAAATTCACCCATTCTCTCAGATCCCAATTGATGCGATATTAACAGAAACTCCAATTGAGTAGGCTCAATCTCGAGATCTTGACATAGCTGCATGGTGCCATCCACCGTGATCAAATCGGGCTTCTGGTTGTCTATAGATATTCGCTTGCCGGTAAGTCTCTGTATCCTAGTGATTGGCATGAAATGCTGATGTTACCTTTGTAGGCATCAAACAGTTTATTGATATTCTGGGTATACGCTTTGGATGGTTTAGAGCCCTGTTGCTGCTGTTGTTGACGATGTAGTGCTTGCTGGTCGTATACATGGTTCAATGCCATGTTGATATCCCAGTTGCATGCTTTCAGCATTCGGGCACACTCTCTTTCACTAAGCGTTGCATGTGAGTCCATGCCTCCATTTTATAAAACTGATGGCCTACCTCAGTCCAGTGAAGTCTATAAGCTGATTTACCTTGTCTATTTGTTGCTGGCGCTAATGAACCATCAGTATTACTCTCCGTGCTGACATGTTGTTGTGGTATTTACACTAGCCATGTTTTGCGTATTGTTGCAATGAGAAGAGGATTCAATACGCGCCTCCTTTCAACCGTTCTGAAAATTACACTACCCCGGGGTTTATAAAGAGCCAAATGCTTTCTTATTTTGTTTTTGCTCCACATCTCGTTTGTTCTTTTTTTTTTTTTTTTTTTTTTTATCTCTATCCTCTTTCATTTTATAGTAGAACATGTATAGACGTCTCATAGTGGCTACAGCCAAGTCATCTCGTCGTACCTATGTTGGACTCGCATTCAACCAAACGCACAAAAGTGACACTATTGATCGATCATTAAAGTCGTTTCAGCACACTGTCAATGGCCCTACAAGCACTATTTCTCAAGTTGGCAAAGGTACAGCTGCACACAGAATGCTAGCTCACTGACATTAACGCATTGGCAATATAGACGTGGACATGGAGAACGAGACAGAGCCCATCTTTGAAGTAGTCAATGCGGGTGTTGGTAAATCATCATGTCATCATCACTGGTTATGCTTCATTTGAAATTAACTCCATATATTATCATAGGATCAGCATTGTTAGTCAAAGTGAGTCTGCCACCCACACACACAACAACATAATGAACAGTAAACAGCTAATCACTTGAGCCGCATAGTTACCCCCTGATACTGAAATCACTGCTGCTACTGGATCAGCTTTGGGTTTATCCACCAAAGTCATTTCCAAATTAGCGCTTGACAAAGGCACTGTAGCATCCGTTGGTAGAAAGTTGGTGGGTGATCCCATGTTTTACCAAAAGGTAAGTGCAGAACGTCCCTTGATGTGGTTTGGTCTACTCATGGCAATTGAATACAGTATTATACCAAGAGTGCAGCTGGTGACATTTTGTTAGCCCCTCCACGCTTGGGTGAAATCACAACCATTGAATTGAAGAACAGTACAAAGTATATCATGCGACGTGATGCGTTTCTGGCAAAGACAGAAAAAGTGACATTTGATTTGGGTGTAAATCATGATGACACGGTAAGGATGGAAAAGGCGGTGGGATGTCATGACTGACTGGCATTGACCTGTGTCTCTTATAGGGCTTGTTGAACAAATTGATTCATACCGTCAGTGGGCCAGGCACATTGGCCCTCAGCCATTACGGTGGCATCTATCGCATTTCGCTAGCAGCAGGCGAGGAATACCAAGCAAATCCTCGTAATCTGATCATGTGGGATAAGCGCACAAAGCCTACTCGACTTCATGCTCGCCATCCTGTGGTGCCTTCACCTAAATCAAAGCTCAGAAAGTACGAGGTGATCAGAAACATTGTAGATAGTCCTTCTCTTCAACCCAAGTTACAGTATTTGGACAGCTTATCCAAGTCTATTCGCAATCTGATGCTGGGTGCTCCTGTAAGTTTGTGTTTGTATGATACAGATCCAGCTCGACTAAGGCACAGCAATTGTAGGATTTTGTTAAATTGAAGGGACCTGGTGATTTCTACTTGGCTTCTCGTGTTGAGCCTCGCTTTGAAAAGTCTAGATTGTAAGGACTTACAATGCTCGTTCCATGCCAACAACTCACCTGTACGTTTCTAGATTAAATGCTATTGCTGCTGCCAATGATTCTGCTTCTCAACTATTTGAGAAATCTACAGAAATCTTCCCTGCTGCACCTGCTCAAGTCGCTGATCCCTTGATCAAAAAGAAGCATCCTGGATACGCTCAAAAGTCTTCAAATGGTCGTCCTTCTTACTATGCTGAAATTGGCTCCAAGGGTACAATTGAATTTGTCCCTGCCAACCAAGATTAAAAGAAAAAAAAGAAAAAAAAGCTATAGCATAGTAGACTGTATTATAGTTTATATTAAATATCACAGTGTTTGTAAATTTCGTTTGATTGATCCAGCTGTATGTCATTTTCTTTTTTTTTTTTTTTTTTGCAAATGCGCCAAAGTTTTATCGATTTCGGTTGAATAGTTTGTGTAGACCACGGGCCGTGCCGATGAGAGAGAGAGAAAGAGAGAGAGAGAGAGAGAGAGAGAGAGAGAGATATCTGCATTATGCAGTATATCACTTTCACATGTAGTATATTGCTCGAGTTCTCTCAGCTTTGAATTACTGAATGATGAGAAACCACAAAGCTGATTTCATCTTGCTGAAAGGATGCTGTAAATTAGGATGGCAATGACGCTGCGTGTGTCACTATTTCCGTACTAACTTTAACCCTTTCCATTTGCAGATGGATTTGAACCCTTCTTTCACTCTTTGCTTCTCACTTTTCCTCTTACCCATTAGCAATCATACAAACACACATTTTGACATGAAATCTCCTTTACTCTTATTTAAAGGCAAAGGAGAATTATGGAAAATCATAACGAAATGTGTGATCGCTTACGAGATTGCCACTATTCTTGTGTTGATTCCTGCATTTTATAGAATTGCAGGCAGCCCACCTTACCTTGTACCACTTGGAACTCTGTTTTTCAACGCAAGCGGAACCGCCGGCAACCAGATCATGGGCATGTTGCTCAACGTATTGACCATGGCACCCGCTGCTTTCTGGAGTGGTGTGATTGTGAAGCTGTGTACAGTCTATAATTATGCTCGCTTGAATGGACATCCCGAGCTCTACAGTAACGGCGCTGGCATCATTGCCGCAATTGGATTTGGCATGTGCGTCTTTGTTACAGCTTATTACCGACTCAAGTACCCTCGACTCTATATACCAGCATTGCAGGGCTTCACCATGCCTTTCTTTATCATTACGCTGGGTGCTTACAAGACCGAGTTCAATGTCCTGGATGTGGTAAACACATTCTATCCCGTGTTGATTGGCGGCGCGATTGCTTTGGTTGTGAATCTAGTGCTATGGCCAGAGACAGCAGCAAAGGCAGCCGAGTAAGTTGGACAGCACCTGCATTCGTCATGAGAGAGATCAAGCCAACTAACTGACTGGCTAGGCGATCTATAGGCAACACAATGGAATCCATGAAGACTGTCTTGTCGTTTGTGCATGAAGATTTGCTGAAAAACGATGATTCTGGTGTTATGACAGGTGATGTGTCTGCTAGCACTAAGCTTCAGGGATTAAACAACAAGCTGCAAAAAGACATTAGCAGCATGAAAGCAGCAAGACAAGATGCCAAGTATGAAATTATTGTGTCCTACTACAAACCTGCTTACTACAAGCCATTGCATCGCTCCCTGTACATTTTGTCTCAAGATTTACTAGGCTTCTCTCTCGCCATCAAACGAGAAGTGCGCATCATGCTGGAGAAAAAGGTCAAAGCTCACCTGAATGGCCTCCGAAAACGACATGGGCTTGCAAATCCAGCCACAGCTGTATCATCCGGCAGACATCTCGTAGAGAAAGCACCCAAACCCATCTTGCCCACCACTGCTTCAGCCCATTTAACACTGCAAGCAAATGACCAGCTACATGCCAGTGTGCTATCTGGCGATACATTGTTACAAGGCAGAGAATACAAGGACATTGATCGACTCCAACAGTCTATTCAGCCATCGCTGAAGCGCTTCTTAAACACCTGCATTTTGACGCTGGATCAGATTGAAAACGAGCTGGTCGAGCACAAAGCAATTACTGTCAACAAGCAGCCACAAAAGACACACAGCACCTCCACGATTGATTTGAGCGCAGCTCTGACAGAGTTTAAAGAAACTGAGCTGATGCTGCAGCAGGAATACGATCAATCTAGCAATGTGCCCACCGAAGACCACTTTTTGGTGTTTACAGTCATCTTTACATTGGTTGGGTTTGGCAAAGAACTAATCACACTGCAGAACAATGTGCATGAATTGATTCTCAAGAGCAACAAGGACAGCTGGTGGCCATCTCAAATCCACTTTCCACATGCCAACATCAGTGCTTGGCTCAGTAAAGGTTCAACACACAAAGGAGATCAGTCACTCTCAGAAAAGGTCATTTTGGAAGACGACGAGCTCAGAGATATGCAGAGAACAACAACCAACCACGAGATGCGTAGACGATCCACAGTAGCTGGTCCTGCTGAACTACAAGAAGACAAAGACGATGAGGAAGATGAGGAAGAAGGGAGCCTGGCATTGAACCGTCGTATTAGCCGTATTGTGTCTCGCATCGAAACGAATCCAGACCGTCTTCAAGACGCCTCAGATGATGCTTTGACAACAGAAGAGCAGCACGAAAAGGAGATTGAACTAGAAGAAGCCGAATCAGTGCCCCTGCAGCAAATCAAAGGTCGTTATATTTGGAACAGGTGGCTCTACAAGCTGACAAAGTGGTTCCAGTACGGCCCCACGCGATATGCCATCAAATTTACAATCACCTGCGAACTACTAGCGCTGATGGCATTTCTACCTATTGAAGGTGTCAATGCACTCTACAACAACAATCACGGCCAATGGGCTCTCTTATCTGCTATGGTGGTGTTTAATTACACAGTAGGCTCTACAGCACTACAGTGTATATTCCGTGTGATTGCTACCGTCATTGGTGCAGTCGCTGGCTATGTTTGCTTGTTGGCTGGTAATCGAAATGAGAACCCCTACGTGATTGCCGTCATGGTGTTGGTGCTTCAGATCCCCATGTGGTACTTTTTGTTTGACACGAAATACCCTCGTATTGGCTTCATCTCAATTTTAACGCTGGCTGTGATCACATTTACTGGCTACGAAAACACAATGGATGAGTCCATTTTTGCACCTGTGTGGAAGCGCAGTATCACTGCCTTCTTTGCCATCATTGTCGTCATGCTGGTGGATCAAATTGTGTGGCCAGTGTGGGCAAGAAAGAAGCTCAGGACGTCTTTGGCTGATCTCCTCATTGCTACAGGTATCCAATACTCTCGTGTGGTATCTTTGGTGTGTCAAGAGAATACGAGCTCGTACAGGTACCGATCCACATTTCAAGAGTGCGAAGCCAATCAAAAGGTCTTGACCAAGCAGATGTATGTGGTTCATGAAATGTTGATGCTGGCTGCTGATGAACCACGCTTGACCAAAGGCCCGTTTCCCATCAAGGAATACGAACTGATTCTGGAGCACGAACGCAACATTCTTCACTGGATCCAACATATTCAAAAGGCTCAATCTTTCATCACCACTAGCGTGCGGCAAACCATCATGAACCCAGTCAACTCGTATCGAAAAGAAATGGCAGCTGCTGTACATCTCTACCTATATACATTGGCTTGTGCCTTACGCACCAAATCGTCCTTACCAGCCTCGTTACCCTCTGCTGAGATGGCAAGACGCATGCTACAAACAAAGCAATCCATGGGCTGGAAGAAGAATTACGAGTTGTTGTGCAGGATGTCTGCAAAATCCATCGCCAATCGTGAAAGTGCAGAGCATCAGGTGTTTTGGCATACGTACGCAGCTGGCTCTACAGAAGTGGTGGTGGAGCAGGAAGCCATGGGCGATATCGTAGCGAGATTAATGGGTCAGCATGTGTTTAAAGCTGCTACCAAGGATTGGATCCAATCTGCTTCATTAGAGTAAATTTAGTCTCGTATCTTTTCAAATAGTTACGGTTCTGTTTGCATATATATATATATATATATATATATAAGAGCACGTCGATTTCCTCTGTCTTGAGAAATAGTAATCATAGAATAAATATGTTGACAATGTCAGCTTAGAGGGCCATGTCGTTTAGTGGAAAATAGCAAAAAGTCCCATTCATTCATAAGCATTTGGCCTCGGAAATGTACCACATTAATCAGTTACTCATCGTCACCATGGTCAGCATCTTAGATTGAGGGAAATCTACCCAATATTGAGGAAAATCCATCTTGCTTTTTCAATTCTCCAATTATTATTTCAAACAGGGTGCAATGTTGGTAATGCAATTGGTTTAATTGAACCCACCAACATTGGGCATTGAATAAACATGTGCTTCAAGTTGGGATCATATCTTTTGTGCGCCTCCTGATAATAATCGATGCCATAAACCACATTGGCCTTGCTGTGAACTATTCTTCAAGCGATAGCACCTTCAAACACAGAATCTATAACCTCAAATGTGATCCAATGTCATGATCAATGTGACTGGGGAGAATAGCCTTTCCCCTCCTTCTTTGACATTTCAACCCCGGGCCATGTCAGGATTACCATTTCTCTCTTGATCAACTCTACAACTATCATACAATGTTTGGTGTTATTAAATCTATTCCCAGAGGTGCAAGCCGTTTACAATTAACAGCAAAGAAAGGACACAACTTTTATAAAGGTAAAGCCACTGTAAAATGGCAACATGTAGTAGACATTTGCAGAAATTGAACCATCATTTCCTCTAGGTACTGGCTCTGGTGCCATGGGTAGACATACCAAGAATGGAGGCTATTTGGTTGATTGGAACAAGGTGAGAACCTTTGTTGTACCCGACCTCGAGGGATTCACAGTATGTATTAAATATTCGTTGGGATCAAAACACATGTTGACTTAGTTTATGTAGCTTGGACCTTATGTCTCTCGCAAGACACCTGTGTTAGCCAAAAAGAATGCCACCAACTAAAAAAGAAAAGAAATATCTGTAAATCACCCACTCAATCACTGGAAACATCAAATGGATAGAAGAATAGAGAACCAAACAACTGTTCATTTGCAAGCTAATAAAGAAAATATTGTGTATAGTCAAGTTTTCTTTTTCAGTGATTTATCTGGATGTTAGTGTGTGTATCAAGGATGAACACGTTAGAGGCTTGTATCCATGGCATCTGTCTTTTTCTTCTTTTGCTCTGCCTTCCATTCAGCAATCTTGGCCTTCAATTCCGTTGCAGGCTCAACCATGTCCATGGATAACGGCATACGATTGAAGGGATCACGAGTATCACCCAACAAATGAGCACGGATAGTACCACGATCGACAATGACTTGGGATGTAGGTAGCAAGACGGGATCCTCCATCAGGGTAAAGAAAATGGGATCTACACAGCATAGTCAGTATTTAGGCAGCTTCCGAGAATTGAAAAGCAACTTACCTAAGAATTCATCTGGCACCTCGCCCAACTCTTCCTCTTCCTCCACGCCGCTTTGAATAGCCAATTCAACTTGATTGACAAACTTTTCAAGCGCACGAATATCATCCGTTGACTTGAGACCATGCTTTTGCAAGATGGAGGCAGCCTTTGAAAAGTATTCCTTACGGTAAGATCTGCCATCACGAGCAACAGCTTCCACAAAAGTAGGCGAGTTCAAGTTCAAATAAACATCCATGATCTCGGATAGTAATTTGCGAGGCTGGAAGTGGTATTTCTCTGGATTGGCTACCTTGAGTTCAGTGCATTTGGGTCCCACCAGTTGCACGAGATTGTAATCCAACATGGCAGCTAATCGATCCACAATTTCATTCACCAAGAAGGGCTCAATGACTTCAGCTGTCATGTATTTGAGCATGTGCACAGTTTCATTGCCGAGTGCAACGTAGGATTGAGCTTGTCTTTCCAAAGAGGGGAGACTACCTTCACGTTCTTGACGATGTTGCTGTTGGAAAAGGGGCGTTAGTCAACGAGAACAGCCATGCTTATTTGTATACTCACAGGTGTTTGTGCCTCCCAGGCTGCTTGGTCTTTCATTTCTAATTGAATTTGATGGATCTCAGTCAACTTGCTCAGACTTTCATCCATGAGATAGGTCACATCACTCATCAGCATGTTTACAAAGCGAGTGAATATATTGGAGTTTCTATCAACATCTCAATCAGTACTTGATCAATGTATCAGACAATGTGTGTATCTTACTGGCTTTCTTCTCTCAATTTGGCGCGATGTGCAGGATGGCTCCAGATGGTCTTCATGATATGACTGATATTGTAGCGAATATTAAACTTGTCGTAGAACTGAGAACTAGCGCCCGTTTGCTCGACCTCTGTATATATACATTAGAAAGTGCGTGAGTCTGGATTGTCGCCCGACTTACCGACATAGAAATTCATCAAGGAGGGAACCAGGTGTTGTAATGCCAAAGGATGCGAGTTGAGGATAGACTCCAGTTCACCAGGAACTCCCTTGGCGATGGGATAAGTAAAGAAGAACAGGATCTCGACCAATTTAGCCTTCAAGTAGGGGTTCTTTACGTATTTGGTGCTTCGCAAGAAGGTGATGATGAACGTAACAAGCTCATCATGAGGGCATTGCATCATGACTCGCGTTTCGTAACCGTATTTACCGATAAAGATGAACAGCTCGACAATGTCTTCAATCATCCACTCAGGGAGCATAGCAAACTCTACAGGCACAGTATCAGGCAAAGGCAAATTGACCTTTTCCCAGGGATGCTTGTGCTTGGGGTCCACCAGACGAATCATCCATGCCATGACGAGATCATAGAATCGCAAGGCTTCTGTCAAAAAGACGGGGTCCAAGAGCATGGTCTCATAAGCTAAACGGTAGGTCGTCATTTGCTCAAACTTGGCTTTCATTCGCTTGGCAACAAAGTCGCTCATGACGCCTTGAGGGGTCTATAATAGTGTCAGTGCATGAAGGATCTACGCAAATAGGTCGACTTACATTGGCTGTACGCAAAGCATCTGCCTGGGCTTTGTCAGTCTGCTTTTTGACCTCATTGTATTCACGCATGAATTCATTGAAATTGACCAGAGCACGGATAGGACCATAGTGCATGAATGCAAGAGTCATGAAGAACGTCTCAGTGATAAAGTTGTGGTCTATCTACATGTTAGTTCTAGCACTTGGTCTCTGGCGTAATTGCAATACATACTCTTCAACGTCTTTGATCCGCCATAGTACTGATCGGATTGTTCCTTGGTGGCATTGATCTTTGTATCTTCAGAGATGTCCAGGCGCTTATTTGTGCTAAAATAGGCAGGATCAATCTTATCAATCTTGGAGGCACGCAGGTCCAAGAACGGATCGCAGAAGGACAACAGAACAGCAGCGATATTGTGCATGAATCCATCAGAAGATACTGTCTGAATGTCTACTTGCATCTGTGCTCTCTTTTCGTTCAACTTGATAATGTGTCCAAAATACTGCAGTAACTTGTCTCTAGAACTGGCATCTGCTCTGACAATAGAATTACTGGTGGCAAACATGCATCTCTGTCATACGAGTCAATAGATCTGTTGTCATTGTCGTTTCTCCCTATAGCGCACTGTACCTGAATATTCTGAACACTGCCTCGGAGGCCGTTTTTGCATGACTCGAGATCAGCAGCGTTTCTGTTTTCTGAATTTTGAAAGTAAGATTCAGCGACTTTTGGCTACAACCATCATGCGCTGATGTGTGAGTATCATGGCCCTCATGTGAGTATTAATGCACTTACTGCTGCGTCAGGGTAGGCGCTTAATCTAAAGAGAGGACCAAGAAGCGAGACTTCCTCAATATTTGCAGCTGTAGCATTGGAAGGATTGAATTCAGGAAGATCTGCCACCTATATACAGCGATTAGATGCACAGCTATATCTCTATCCTCGCTCGGGTTACCATCATAGCAATAGCCTTGTTCTCACACAAATAAGATACCGATTGAATGCCGGTCTTGCAATCTCCCAAGATGTTTTGCAAGCGAAGTTCACCTGACATGGCTGCCAAAGCAGGGCCGAGAATCTATACGCACAGTTCAGTATCAAGCTCATCCAGTCGCATTTTGCTCATATCCATACCATATCCAATCCATCTTGATTAAAACGGTTGACCAATTCAACGATATATTCACTGGGCAATCCTTGTGGTGTATCAGGCTGCGATTTGAGTCGAGGTACAAGCTGTTCTGCGGCACCAAGAGGAGCACTACATATGCATGTGAGTGGTGGTTGTATATCTCTGATGTGTCAAGTCGACTTACTTTTGGATCTGAGGAAACATGTCAGGCATTTGAAGCACCAATCCAGAGTAGGACACAATCAATGCCTTAACACTATCCAATACGGCTAATCGCTGGTCCAGCACAGATTTCTCCAGGTTTTTGCTTCTCAGAAGTGTATTTCTACGAATCTCAAATGCTGTCTTCCAACAAGTCAACAAATAATCGAAATGCAAAGTGTATAAAGTATTTGAAATATCTTGAGGAAGTTCACTGTGTTGTTCAGTAGGGTCGATGGAGAGTCGAGCCACGATAATGCGATCCAAATACTGTTGATTGAGCTTGTTGGGTTGAGGCTCTGCATAACGGATGAGCATGAATTCTTCTCCCTGTATCTATCACTCTCACTGACCTTTTTCCTCAATGAGTTCGTCCACTAAACCGGCCAAATAAACACACTTTCCTTGCTTATACATATTGGCGGGCTGCACTGCCATGTCAACATCTATCTTTTCTGTCGGCCCTGATAAGCACTTACATTCAAGGTTACTTGCAAGATGCGAGAAAGAACATCGTCTTGCCAGTCTTCAAAGCTCTTGGCTGGTTTGACTACAATAGGTTGTTGCTGCTGTAATTTCTGTTGTGGTTGAGGAGGTGTTTTAGGTGTATGTATAGGTGACGAAGCTGGTTTCTATATAAATCATGCAGCAATGAGTGTCATGTCAAATGGACAACCAAGTCCTCGTACCTCAGGAACTGCAGTTTTCTTGGGCTTCTTCAATGGCACTATCTCATCCAGCGTTTGAAGTACTGGTTTGCTGGCAATGCTAGGCTTTTGCTCGATTGTCTTTGCTGCGGATGGCGAAGAGGCCGATGATGATCCTTCTGGTGTCGATGATGCCTGTTGTTGCATCTTTGCTAAACGCTTGAGACGAATCTAATGTTTAGGGATGTATGAGTATATGATTCCAACGTAGTATAATAAACTGGTTTACTTTATCAGCATCAGACATTGATTGATTGTTACTATCCATGATTCGTAATAAAGTTTCCTTTCAAGATGAGCATCAATCAATATTTCCATGGCGAACGCGCATTTTGTACATGGTGAGCCACGTCATGGACTAGGAACACTACTGTGAACCTGCACACTGTTGGATATTGGATCCTTGTTTGCGGCTAAATGTTGAAACATTGGATGATTATTCAATTGGTGTGTGATTCCAGACTAGTGTTCTGTGTCAATGATATAGGTAGATAGGCGCTATATGTTCAGGTGCACTCATATTCACATGTCATATATACTGACATCAGTCCACAATCCAATGAAGCCGTTCATGCTCTTTTCCCTTCATCTGCGACATTGAATTCCCGGGCAAAACCTAATTTATATATATATATTTTTTTTTTTTTTGCACAGAAGCCTGTTCTCTTCTCCCACTCAAACAATTTTGCGATATGAAACTCATTGGATTAACGGGTGGCATCTCCACAGGTAGATATAGCGCTTGGACCACATCATGTTACATTACTAACAGCAGCTCATTCGGATATCAGGAAAATCAACTGTATCAGCACTACTGAAAGAACAAAACATTCCCATCATTGATGCCGACAAAATTGCAAGAGATATTGTTGAACCTGGAAGAAAAGCAAATCAACTCATCAGACAGCATTTCGGTGATGAAGTCTTTCTGCCTGACGGACATCTCGACAGACCTAAACTGGGCCAAATCATTTTTCAAGATCCCGAGAAAAGAAAGATACTAAACCGCTGTACACATCCCTATGTCAGACTGGAGATGCTGAAACAAGCATTTATTTATTGGATCAAAGGTGCCGACCTGGTTATATTTGATGTGCCTTTGCTGATTGAGAGTAAATTGGATCGATTCATGAGCACTACAGTGGTGGTCTACTGCTCAGATGTGCTTCAACTGCAACGACTGAGAAAAAGAGACAATCTCTCGGAAGAACAAGCATTGCAGCGCATGAAGGCACAGATGCCAATGTCGGAAAAGGTGGCTAAAGCGGATATTGTGTTGGACAATTCAAGCGATTTGAATCAATTGGAAATTCAAGTAAAAAACATGACGAAAAGACTCAGACCTTCTACGTTCACTTGGTTGTTTGAATATGCTGGTCCTCCTGTTGCTCTCGCTCTCTTCTCTGTTCTCGTAAAACAATATGCCCCCACTTTATTAAATACCATTGGCGATAGTATTGCAACCCTGAGATGAATAAATAAATCACTGCTTGATGTATAATGTAAATTCGTACTCGAGTTCCTTGTGCTTTTGAACGCCTTGAGGCACTTGTTGCTCTACGTAATCTTCTAGTTCTTGGTGGCTGGCTAGGCGAAACGTTTTGTCGTCAATGGTAGGGAAAAATGTATCGCAATCCACCTTGGATATCACTCGAGTCAGCAAGATATGAGAGCAATTGGCATGCTGAATAGCCAAGTTGTACATCTGTGCGCCTCCAATCACAAAAACGCGAGCATGCTTGGCAGGGTCCACTGCTTTGAATGCACTTTCCAGCGAATCGACAAGGATTGTGCCCTGTTGTGTAGCATTAGCCAGGAATCTAGCAATCTACATTGTTAGATGTCAGATCCATTCGTATAATAGCTGGCACTTACAGATCATAGGTAGGGTTTCTCGACACTACAATGTTGTATCTATTGTCCAGAGGCCTGAATTTTGGCGGAATAGACTCCCAAGTAACTCGACCCATGATTACTGCGTTTTGGACATTGGATTGTTGTTGCAAAGCTTTGGGCACATGTGATGTGATATGCTTGAAGAAGGCCATATCTTTGGGAATACGCCATGGCAAGTTGCTTAATAAGCCAATGCCCAATTCTTCTGTAGCTGCTACAATCAAAGCGAATTGAGTCATGTTTGAGGTATAATTGAAAAGAAAAAAGAATTCAGGCCCGTTCGTTTCAATTTGGATTTGATAGATCCACACTGCCTGTGACGCTTTCATAGTGGCTTGAACAAATGGCAGTTGCATTTGAATGAATCATAATATCAGTCCCTAGACCCTAATTTGGAGACTGAGGGTCTAGGCATCTGTCAGGCCTGCCTCATATCATCATCATCATAACATAATAAATGTTCAGTCCCTAGACACTTTCAGAGCTTCAAAAAGGAAAGAAGTTGATCTGACAAGTATTTTAATAAACTGGCGCTATTAAATATAGAACGCAAGAAGAATAGCATAACTAACGATAGCGCTATGTAATTTGCCACCTATTTTCCATACGCTTCAAAAGCATCTATTACTGTATTGCCTTCATGATGAAAAGGGTATTGAGTTTGCCAGCCTACCCATAAGCCGAAATTAATTCAAACCCAGACTATAATCAGTTCCAGATTGGCTGAATCTTACTAATTCTCGACTCGATTGAACTACTTTGCCGGATTCGACTATGTAGAATATGATGATTATCTTATGCTTCCTTAAGCTTTCTTGGAGTGTTTTTCAAGGCGCATCCAATGGTACCAAGTAATATAGATGTTTTTAATAAACTTATTGAGCAAATTATGAAAATACGAAAAGAGATTTCTAGCCAAAAAGTCGAAATTTTACATATCAAAGTCCCACAAAGATGATTTCAGAGGTTGTTTTGGATCGATAGGAACATTTTGATTCAAGATATACCATAGTAAAAGCTTTTATTATCAAGGTGAAAAATGCAATCGTTTGATTTTCAATGAAACCATGAGGGGTACCTCATGCTTTTTGGTCGATTATTGACCATGTTTTTTTGATCCCCAAAAAGTTGAGCAAAGGTGTGTGGAAGTAGCTGCTGGATGAGAGTAATTGTTTGGTGCTATTCTGACAATCTAAAACGGCTTCTGGCACGAGAAATCACAAGTTCAATGCATCCAAATTTCGCTCTGCTTTGCATATTTTTGCGAGTTGCGAAGCGATACAACTATATGTCTGCCAGTATATGGATGGCTCCCATTGATACAAATTCAGAGCATCCTAGAGGAGTCATATATACAACTACAAACTGCTCATGCAGGCGATAGGGTCCAGATGCAAACCAAACATTGCCAGATGGTGCTACCAATTTTGTTCTATGAGTTCAGCCCGACCTTCTCAAGCACTACAAACTACAGCCACTGATGTACAAGTAATACTGTGATGACTCCTAATTTTATTATGGAATCAAGGCTTTGTTGCTCTATAAAAGCTAGCATACATGTTTACACGATCAATTGCTTGACCAGGTCTACGAATTCCCAACGGCTCGATATTGACAAATCCGTGCTTTTCAAACAAAGCGTTGTACCAAGGTTTTGTGCCTGCACTTCTCCAGTAAACTTGACCTCCTCTCTGTAAAGCACGTTTCATTTCCCTAATCTCGTTATCCAATTCCTCGCACGCATCAGGGTCAAACCAGTCCATATGATCCATGACAACAAGACGAGTCAAGTAGCCGTCTGCCATGGATTTGAGTGCGTCCAGGATGGATTCAGTGTGCAAACGGAAAGAATTCAGTGCGCCCGACGTCTGTGGATCGTGTGTCAAGAGTGTGAATACGTATGTACATTGAGTTATATAACAGCTTTACGGTACCTTGAGTGTCTCAAACCCATCCTTTGTCAAATAGGAAGGGCAACTTTTCTTTGTATAACGTTGCTTCAAGCAGAGATAGTAAAAGTATTGATCGTCGCTGAATAGTGAGTGTGATGTGATGGGGTCCAAGGTATTTTCAATGTATTCTTGGGTTGTGCACTCCTTTAAGAACATGTTCATTTGATTGATAGGCACTACAAATAACAGTAAATAACCCATCCAATATATCCACAGCAAACAAGTTACCTCCAAGCGCATTCCACATAAACATGGGATTATGAAGGATCTTTTGAATCATGGGCGAAAAGATGGCAGGTCTAATTTTGCTGCCCCATATATCTTTCTGTTCCTGAATCGTCAAAGCACTTGTCATGGCGTCAATATCCTTGCCGAGTCCTTGCATACGTATCCACCACTCGAGAATCGATAGAGCCAATCCCGAGTAGCCTGTCTTGTAAAACTTGTGGCTGAAGCGATCACTGTGCTTGTTCCAGTATTGGAAAGCATAAGAGCTAAGATGAGGCGATATAATGTTATGTAACAAGGTTGAAAAGTGAGGATGATTGCCCTCGCCAAACATGCGCCAGAAATCATTGTACTCCAATGCAGTAATACCAGCCAGTTTGAGTTCCAGTAAATGGTTCTGTCAAACCAAATGGCATGAATACGAGACACACACACACACTGTCCTTATTACATAGTATATCTTACCTGGCAGGGGTTCATATCGATACAGTGAATCTTTTTAGGCTGTGCTTGCAAGGCATATTCCAAAGCATTGTCACCGGCAGAAGTGATGACAAACATGACATCGTCTTTGGATATATTCAGATACTGCAAATCAACGCGTGGATCCTCCCAAGTGAACGCATAAATGTAGGATCTGAACTGAGTATGACACGACAAGGAAGGGTTGTAATCCAACCGCCACTGCTTGTTCTGGAAGGAGAACGAGGAGACGGAACGTGTCTGACGGCTTGCCATGAGACTGTTGGCACTGTTTGCATGGCTAAAGGACGACCGATTACTATGGCCACTCATGACGCTGTCTGTGTCATCAGGAATCTCCACCAGATTCGACAGCTCATTTTGACGAGCACTGGAACAGCCGAGCCAGATATAATAAGGCATTTGAATGAGGTAGGGGATGATGAAATGGTTGCGACGATTCAAAGATTTGATGGTACCAAACTTGTATTCCAAGTAATCACGACGCCCAGGTTGCAAGTTAATGTGATCCAACTCAAACCAAGCCTGCCAGAAATGGCGAGTAAACCAATTGCATTGACGATTTTGTTGAGGAGACCATTTTTCAGCAGGTGCATTGGATCGGCCCGAGACATAAAAGTCAACTACACCAACAATACCTTCAGGAGATAGTAAGGATTGAATACGATCAACAACGGGGTAGAAATGGTCCATCATGGATACTATTTAAAGTTGGTTTAATAACAGGTTTCTTTCGTTTTAGTGTGGATGACTCACTTACATGCATACGATACGGTGACGAGACTCACACTTCCTTCCAATGAGCCTTCAAGACCAGGTAATTGAAACGAGGAGGCATCTTGACAAAGCACAGTAACGTTCTTCCATCCCTTACTTTCAAAGCGCTCGCGAGCCACTTGACAAAGCGAGGGGGTCAAATCGACTAATATCACTTGCTCAAACTGCTCAATGGGAAAAGATTCATTCATGGTTTCAATGTTCCAGCCAGTGCCTCCACCGAGATCCACCCAGATGGGTCTCTTGTTTGTGATGCCAGTGGCAATTTGTTCTCGGAGCTGAGCAGCAGATAGCTTGAGCATGGTCTTGCGTCCACGCAACAGGGCACCTCGCGAGTTGTCATAAACTTAAAAAAATGAAGGGGGTCAATGTATGGTAGCATTTGGTACAAGAGAATACACTTACTCTTGGCTTGATCTTGGTAGAATGATTCAAGGCGGCTCTGTTGGTCGTTGCCATGGTTACCAATACGTTTAAAGAAGCAGGAATACATGAATTTCAATGGCACTTGGATCTGATCCCAGGCAACCAGGCATAGAGCTGTGGTGGCTGTGATGAAATACAGACATGCCATCCACCACCCTTGGTGCGCTTCGTTCCTGGACACTGTAAAGACACGCGTTTGCGATTGAATAATGTAAATGGAGAGCAATGCCATTGGCACAAATGCCAATCGTACAGAGGCAGGAAAATACTGTATATCTTGTTGAAATTTCATGATGGATTAAACCAGGAGAGGAGAAAAGATCAAAAAATAGGAAAGTAATAGATGGCTTCAACTTGACAAGAACCCATATAAATACACATTGAAAGGGGGGTTGAGCGACATACAACACCATTTACCGCCACATGATGAAGCAGATCTCCTAAACTTGATCCATGATTAAACTAACCCCCAAAATTACACAAACCCACGCATAAAATTGCCAATAAATAGGGTAAAATTGAAAACGTTGGAGCAGAATACAGCAAACACTCATTCATGTGTTGACCTCGCTATCCACCAACCAAAGCCCATAAAGATCCCCACTACTTGTCTTTAAGCACTATGTATCATATGATCCTTTTAGTTTATGCTGATCCATGAGTTTAATCCGATTGACATTATTGGCCTCTTTTTTATCTAGTATGGAATATCAAAACGTAAAGGAAAAACAAATGTTATACTAAACTAAAGATTAATGCTTTTATTGTCGTCCAAGAATTCAGTATCCTGCACTTCTTCAGGCAGTCCATGCAAGCGTCTATAGATCAAAAAGTCGTCATAGGTCTTGACTTGGCCCTGAGTTTCTTGCACCGTCTTTTTGAATACATTCAACGAGTGCTGGAATCTACGTTTATGATTGCTAAACCAATAGGTAATGTTTCTTGGCTTGAGGCCGGTTTCTTGCTGTACCTTGCGACGCTGATCCTTGGAGAGCTTGTCCTTGGTGCTGTAAATATCGAAAAAGATGGATTTAAGGTAATGTGTGGTTTTAGCGTCATAAGATGTAGCCGTGCGACGAGCCTTTTGGGAGCCGATTGTGCGAGTTGCTGCTCTCGTATTTCGGAGATTCTTGGTATTAGGTCCTGATTTACGGTTGCGGTGGCCAGTAACAGGCGTGGAAGGAGCAGCAGTGATAGGAGTAGTGGTTGTAGTTGGCTGCTGCCTCTTGTTAGGACGAAGTTCAGTCCATTCATCATCGTCGTCATCCATTTCAGATAATTGAGAGTAATCATCATCGTCGGTGTCGGGTGTTGGGCAATCGTCTTTTTGTCTCAAATCAGCATCAAAACCATCTTGTTGTTGTTCTTGCTGCTCTTCTTCATCGTCACTCAGTGTATTGATGGGGGAGACAGTAGTCAGAGAATCGCACGTGGGAGAGAAAGAGGACAGCTCTTCATCCGTGTTGTAGGGCGCTTGGATAGTACAAATAGTCTGTGCCTCTTGCTTTGCTTTTTCTTCATTTGCTTTATCTCGAGCTACTACAACATCTTGATGTGCGCACGTGGGAGAGCCGGGATAGGAGAGAAAGTTTTGTGTAGTGTGTTCAACCGAAGGTGTCACAGGAAGAGAGTGCCAGTTGGCTTGAGGAGAGTGAATCCAAGAAGGCTCAATGTGTGAGAATAAAAGAGGTTGGGCCATAGGTGTAGATTCAGTAGAGTCTTGAGTCAAGGGAGTCTCGAACCCGAAGCGGTTGATGCTATGGCCTGGAGTGGCAGCAGCAGCAGTGCTCTGTTGAGGTGGTACATAGAAGGCTGGAGTAACAGAGGCAGAGAAATCAGTAGCAGGCGTAGTAGCATCTGGTTGCAAGCTTGTCAAGTCAGTAAAACCAGGGGTCGCAGTAGGCATGAGTGCGGTATCCAGCGCTAATTGCGCTTGAGCATCTTGATTGACTTTATAGAGAATAGCATTGATAGCATCAGCAGGGTTGCTAGGCGTATTGGCATTAGTAGCAAGAGCAGATGTATCGGCATCATAGGGCATCAGATTGTATGTAGAGACAAGATCGTTAGACAGACGAGACATGGAGACTTGATTAGGATCTTTCAGTTCCACCAGATTGGTGTGTTCATTCAGCACGGGAATCACATCCTGTTCCTGAGCAAAGTAATCAATATTGCGCTTGATTTCATCCGCTTGATCCATCAAGGGAGCGATGGCTTCCATAGGAGATTGACCCAGCAAACGACCATTTTCCACAATGCTGATGACCGAGTGCATGATTTCAACCCTGTCCTTGAGGCGTCGAAAGGCCGAAAACATGCCTGCAGCTTCTTCATTTCTATCAGGGCATGATCTTATGAGTGTCACCAAACAAAAGTGGAGTTGAAGAGCAGCCATTTTGAGCCAGGCAGACACAGCAGGACGTTGTTCAGGATGCTGAGCCATATGGATATGACGCTGATAATCCAGCCAGATGCGAGCGAAACCGTTGAAATCAGGATGGCATACAAATGAAGATAGATCAGGAAAGTCCTGCATCATTTCGAAAAAAAGAATTGTGGTGGAAGACGGATGAGACAGCTCTTGGACATCTTGAGCATCAAGATCAATATCAAAGTTAATGTCCAGAGTGTCTTCTTGTGAAGAAGGAGGATACATGTCAACTGGATCACCACCACAGCCATCAACATGCCTCATTTGGGTACCACCATGATGGTTTGCAGAAGAACCAACCGTTGGATTAAAGCCACTCGACTCACCAGATGATGTAGAAGAGTAATAATAGCTCAAGCTGCTGGGAATCAGCATGTGCTTTGGTGCGGCATGCATGTCACTGTCATTTGATGATGAGACTTGACTTTTCACCATGATTTCGGGGTCATAGATGACAGAATCCATGAGCATATCCATTGTAAGAGTAAGTAAAGAAGAGAAAGATAGAGCTGTATCAAAGAGAAAGAGATGCGGTTAGTTTTCAGTCTTATACCATACGGATAAGGGGAAAGAGAGATTCTCATTTGGTAGATCAATCTCCATTACATGTCAATCTACACTGTCATTACATGTTCTCTACCTGTTTGAGGTGTGTTGTTCTATTTTTGTAAGACTAAGAAGGTTCTTGGTATGGATATACACTCCTTGTTGTATAATTTCAAAAAAGGTATCAAACTGGCATGTCTATTCATTTTCGACATACCTTATATATGCTGGAAGCATTTGACAGGCCATGTCAGTCTACAGCATAAACGTCTAATGCCATATATAGCGAACAAAAGAAGGGTTTAGACAATGGCTGTATAAAGAGACCCTTTTTCTTTGGGTTATACACGGCTAAAATTAGGTAATATAAACAAGGACACTGTACCTGATCACTTGATCTCGCACTCCCTCCCAAACCCATCCTTTAGTGTGGAAATGGGGGAGCTACTCTACTCTGTGCTTTCATGTGTTTACGGCAACATTTTCTACAGGCGCGTGAGCAGATTGAATGAATGAAAATTGGGACAGTTTGTAACGATGAGCATGCTAAATGCTTGAAACCTGTTCACAACCCTACTTGCTCTCAACACACACACACACACACATGCACGCACGCACGTAAAATAAGCTCATTGGGTTGTGGTAGTACCAGTCAAGTTTTTATATGATGATCCACGCAAGTCTGGATCATTTTCAAATGTTTATATATACAAAAGGGAGTGGGAGGGGGGATATCTTAGGCTTCATCTTCATTTCTAACAGGTGTGAATTTACCGCGATCTCTGCCTCCACTCACAGCAGCAAACTTGGCTCTGACCCAAGCAAACAAAGAGCAAGTGGGGAATTTGATCCAGACAATTATACCAACAATCACGAGCACAAAAACGAACAATCCGACAAAGGCATGACCATTCTCTTTGGATGGCACCAATGTAGCATCCTTTGTCTCAAAATCGGCTCTATCGTCTTCCAATGGGGGTTGTTGTGGCTCTATCGTAGTCTGTGATTTCTCAAGATCGTACTGCTTGGCCTTGTCATCCATGAGGCCCTTGAAGGGAGGTGCTGCATAGGTCTTGCTGTGGAATTGGGACTTGGGGTCGTCTAACTGCTTTTCAATCTCTTTTGTAAGTGTCACTTTGGGTGTATATGATTCGGCTTCAATAATGCTCTTGGCAATCGATTTGTGGAATGCTATTTTGTTTGTGTATATGAGTGTGTGTTACATTAGCCTACATGGAAACATTACCTGTCGTGAAATGAGTCTTGTCCCACCAAATGTAATCCGACTCTTTTAGCTTGCATTGGGCGTTATCATAGCACGTATCCAAGTAGGAAGCATTGGGATTTTGGAAAGCAAACACAGTGGGATCGACTGATATATCACTGACCAGCGAATGAATATCCACATAGTCCATCTCTAAAGCATGATGATGCTTGTTAAGATTGCCCACATCCTTCTCCAAAGCACGGTTGATATCAACAGATGCTTGACTTCTATTTGCAGCAACATTGCTCTCTTGATAGTATGGCATTTGTCCCAAAGGAGGCACATTCAATACGAGGTATCTGTCAGACAAGAATACCTTACGAGATGCTCTCTATATTCATGCTCTCTCGTCAGTCTCATGACGTTGTGTATTCAGTCTCTCTCATTTACCAGTTGTTGTCCAATACAGTCTGTGATAGCCTTATAATCAGGTTCTTGACGACCTGGAGGATGGATTTGTTAGTGTCCATTTTACTACGCAATAACAAACAATCCCTTTAGAGTAGTTACCGTGTCTTTTGGACATTTCAAATACATCTTGTACGCCAAACCAGAAGGCATACACAGTTTCCTCAGGTTTCAGATTCAAGTTGAGATTGTAGTAGGCTTCCAGTTGATCTCTGAGACTTGGCACTCTGTCTTCCTTGGCAATCGAGTTGTACATGCCAGTATCGCACACAGATCCACTATAAGCAAAACTATACAATGATGCGTTCCATCCAACTGCCAGGTATTCGCTCCATACAGGTCCATTTGACCAACGCTGGCTGTTTCCAACATCTGCGTATCATGGTTAACCAAGACGCACTGGCATGATTCTTCTCAATATGGACTTACCCGAATTTGAGTCGCCAAATACTACGAGATTCTTTATACTTGATGCAGCTGCTGTTGTTACAACACCAGCGAAAAGTGCCAGTACACTGAATGCTACCATAGCTTTGGTTGTGAAAAGGTGAAAGAAATACAGAAAAAGAAAAATTGCACTGCACTTGATCAAACCCCTCCTCTCAATTCCCTCAATTAATAAAGGCGAGATTGAATTAATTTTGTATTCAGGAGTTTCAACAGCTTCTTCTAACTTGCTTCATTATATGGATTGGCCATTTTGCTGTAAATATGTGCATTCATCTACCCATAATCCTACATGCGTTGAACAGAAAAGCATCAAAATCTTGCATTGCCCCATTTAGCCGCTTGAAATCTGCTTCAGTTCGCTTACTGTAACTCTTTCTCAAAGTAGATCTTTAAGCCAGTGAAAACGTGGACATTTAGCCGCTTTCTATTCAGTCGAATTTATCCTTAAATAGCACATTTTTTTTTTTACAAGATGTGCACTGCTTGTTTCGGGCGAGTAGGGTCTCTCGAGTCCATTCAGATGATCGCCACGAACCCGGTCGATCTCTCATGCTCCTGAATTCTCTCAACACTGCTCATCCTCTGACTCCACTGGATGATTTAGGTACGCACGATTGGTCATGTCCGAGATGGGTGTCTGTGCCCTATGTATGGATTTCAATCACATCCAATTCTAATGATCAATGGACTCTTTGAAGCGCCAATGTTTGTACACATTAGAAAAGCATTCCAAACGTGAAATTGGATCCATCAGTCTACAACCCCTGCTTGGCGCTTGAATGGCAATCATGATGGGATCATTAGGAATTCAGCATATGATGATTCTGCTTATACCAGGCACAGTGGAGCAACGGTCATACATGTTCCATGCTCGGGTCAATGAGATGTAGATTGTAATTGAGGTCAAGACTACATCATGTCGATCTCTTGACAGATCTGTGTCTGTAACTGTACAGTAGCGTATAGACATTTCCGTGTGTATGCCATCCACCCAAGCAGCAGCTTAGTTTCACACAACAATGACGATCCCAAGCCTATTTGAGTTCCCATTTTACCGAACTTCATTTCAATTTAAAAGTCCATGAAAAGATGGTTTGATGCCAATTCGTCAAACATTAAACCTTTCTTACGCTTCTAAATTCATTAGGCAAAACAGGTCATTCTTTTCGATCAATGTAGAAAAACTGCTTCTTTTCTCTCTTTTCCCATTTTTTTTTCTTGGTACATGTTGTAATCATAGTAGCCATGTCCTCCAACACTCCCATGCCATCTACCACTGTAGCAGCAGCCGAGCATCCACCACAACATGCTGCGCCCATTGTCAATACAGCTCACGACGATCTCTTTCCTTCAAATGCGACTGCAATGGACTCCAATTTAAACTACATTGAGAACACTACTTCATCATCCTCTCGACAAAGATCGATTCTGGAGTCCATCTACACTACAGAACATACCACACATACCCTCACATCATCATGGCGAATGAAGGCATTGGTCTTGCTGTGCATGCTGTCTTTGCCAGGTATATGGCTTGTTTGTATACAGAGGATGCAGCGTATTAACAGCAAATATAACAGTGGGCTGTCATTACCTGGAAGCAACGATGGGTACATTGAAAACAGTACTAAAGCATGTAAGTCAAGTTGTGTCACTCTGTGATGTCTGTCTGTAACGGAATTCTCTGCTTATCCGTTTTGCCCTGCCTGTGTGTGCGTGTGTGTGTGCCTTGATTTGAGTATTAATCGCTCTCTCTATTCTAGTCAATGCAAATCAATAATACTCAGTTTAGTATACTCCTATCATCCGTCACACTAGTCAACACCGTTTTACCGCTATTAGCTGGTGTCTTTATTGATGACATTTCCAGTCTTGGCTCCATCCGAGCCACGACCATTGTCAGCTGCATCATCTTTATTGGCAGTTTGTTGGTATCCATTGGCGGCAGTTTGAACAGCTACCCGTGTATGATGACAGGTCAAATCATTTATGGTCTGGGCGGCGGCATGATTGTGACAATGCAGGAAGGCATCCTGTCTCGGTGGTTTCGAGACAAAGAGTTGGCTGTTGTCATTGGCATTATGCTGTGTGTTGCTCGGCTAACCAAGTGGGCGGCAAAGATGGTAGCTTATCCCATCTTGAATGCCACGGGTGATCACTCTTGGCCCATCCACGTGGCTACCCTCTTTTGTGCATCTGGCTTCTTTATCAACATGGTGTACTGGATCGTCATGTGGAGAAAGGGATTAGCTACGATTTGGGGAAAAGAGATTGTCAGGTACGAAGGCTCTTACAAGAACGAATTCAATGCGCAACAGTGTAAAGATAAAGATCAAGATGAAAAAAAGGCCCATCACCACAATGAGCAGATTTCAGCCGACGACTTGTCCAGCCAGCATCCACAATCGCAACACACAGCACACAAGAGTAGTTCATTCAAATGGTCCTACTCTATTCTGCTTTATATTCCAAGCACCTTTTGGATGATTCCATGGATCCAGCTGACCATGTCGAGTGTGTTGAGTAGTTTTGATGATGTTGCAACGTACGTAGACCGTCTTTTTATAGCACACTGGATGAGCTAATGTCCATGTACAGTGAATATGTAGAGTTCAGATACAACACAACGAGCGTCATGGCTGGTGTAAGTAGTGCGATCAATCCACGTTAAAATCAACATGTAGACTCACTTGACATCGCATAGTATCAAAGTAGTTTGACTCAGGTTGTACCCATCGTAGTCGCTCCAGTCATGGGCATTGTGGTTCATAGATATGGTAGACGCATCACGAGTTGTAAGTACATAGCCGGGATGAGGTGGCATTGTCTCATCACGCATATTATCTAGTATTCTTTGCAACATTGATCCTGATCACATCCATGATCCTTTTGGCATACACTTGGGTCACTCCTGCCGTTGGCATGATCATCTTTTCATTCGCCCTTGCTTTGGGCCCTGTTTCTGTGCTCAGCTCCACATCGTTGTTACTGCCTCATGAACTAGCAGGCACTGGCATGGGCCTTCACAAATGTGCCAACAACATTGGTACCACCATTGTCTCTGTCCTGGTGGGCTACGTGCAGGATTTGACGTACCACGATGGCGACCCTCACGACGACATCACTGATCTCCAGTCAGAATACGATGGCGTCATGATCTTGTACGTGTCGATGGCTGGACTATCGACATTAGTGGTGTGTATCTTTTGGCTGATGGATAGAAACATGCTCTCTGGCTGGTTGCAGGCCAACAAAAAGGAGCGCGAGCGTCGTCTTGAACTAGTGCAAACCAAGGAAGAGGACGAAAAGACGCTTTACCTTCACGCCGCGCAAGATCAATTGGAGCAAGTCAACAGGGAAAAGATGAACGCTCTCAACATGATTGGATCCAGGTTGCGAGATTCAAAGACGTACTGGTTTCTCGGTGTCTTTTGCTTTTGGCTGTTTGTTTCATGGATTGTCTTTTTCACCTTTGCTTTAATGCCCGTATACCAAAGCTACATGTAAATAAAAAAAAAAAAAAAAAAAAAATCCTTCTAGAAGAAAAAAATGTCACTTGACGGAATTTGTCATGTTGTTGCCCCTGAAAAACGAATTAGTAAGCCAGGTGCCATTGAAATATCGCAGTTTGTATTTAGGGTAGTAGAAGATCTTGATGGCTATTGATCAAACGCAATGTAAGGTGTCAGCTTTACTATCAGACAGAGGATGCTATGCTAAGATTGAAGTTTATTTTACTATTGTTTCTATACAACATGTAGTATCATACGCTGTCAACATACCCCATTCATTCTAATTCTGTGTAGCCTGGGAACGCGACACGCATGTTGCATAACAAACGCAACGCAAGTCATTGAATTAATAATCAATGCATCTTGATTTAAATTCTGAATGGTATATAAAGAAGTTCTATTGAGGCCGTCTATCGTCTTTACCTACATTTCTCTTTCTTGAATACCAAACACTAGTAAACAACAATGGCCTCAGCTACTTCTGATCTCAAAAACATCAAGCTTCATTATTTTACCGTGGTCAAGGGTTCCAGTAAGTATTGCGCGATACGACGCACAATGGCAGCATGTTTACTAATCAAATCACTTGATGCTTATAGCCACAATGGGCCGTGGTGAGTTTGTCCGTTTGCTCTTGGAGGATGCTGGTGTTGATTTTGAATACCTCAGACACACTGCTGATGAATGGAAGGAACTCAAGCAACAATTGATCGCTGACAAGGTGCGTGCTCCTACCATGCCTTACATTACCGTGGATGGTGAATACTATGGCAAGACTGTGCCTATCATGCGTTTCCTCTCTCACAAGCTTGGTCAATACGAAGGTAGCAATGAAAAGGAGGTCCAATTGTTGGATGCTTACACTGATATGATCATGGATTGGGCTTTCCGTTGGGCTTCTGGTCTCTTCGGCACTGAAGATCAATTAAAGGCCTACAAGGAGACGCATGCTGTCAACAACTTTAAGGCCTTTGAAGAAATCTTGTCTGACACTGAAGGACCTTACTTGCTTGGTGACAAGATCTCTTATGCTGATTTCGCCCTCTACCATATGATTGAAGATGATGGCTCTGCTATTGATGCTGCCTCTCAGCCCCACTTGTCTGCTTTCATTCATGCTATTGAGAACAGACCTAATCTCAAAAAGTACCTTGCTACTGAGAGAAAGTAAATTATGACATAATACTTGCGATACCTATACATTACATTCTTACAAGTCAAATAAACCTCTCATTTTCATTCGAATGTCGTGCTTTCATGCTTGCGTTTCATGCAGTTGTTCACTATGCGTTCATGAATTCGTTCCTTGATCGAAGCGGATGAGGTAAAATGCCTCCATGTTGTTTACCGGACTGACCGGCAACAAAGCGCTGAGTTCAAGATTTCTGATTCTTGAATGTGAATCACATTCGATACTGACTGACATAACCGAGTAGCCTATGTAGCATACAGTTTCAGGGTGCAAACCGGCAGAAACAGGCGCCATGACAACGACTGTGATTTCAGTAACAAGGTTACTTTTATGGATGGCTGTAGCACAACAGTGCGGATCCACACTTTTGCCACGGCAAATCAAAATGTTCTCGGGTGTTTGTTGCGAAAGGCCACTCATCCCCCCGAAAGTTTTAAAATCTACGAAAAAAAAAATGTTTTTCGCACAACCACCTCTCTTCTTTTTTTTTTTCCAATCAAAAAATGTCGAGTCCACTTCCAGTGAACGCAAAAAGAGGATCTAGAGACTCACCTGATAACGCATCGTCCCATATCAATGAAAATGTACTGGCTGGATCCTTTGACAGAGCTGAATCTACTGCAAGATTGAGCTCCTCTCCCATGCCTTCCCACCATCATTTCGGTACTTCGCCTGCTCGTAACACTCACTCCAACTCCCACTATGGCACAAATAACAGTGATTTCCTCTCTGTCAACAGACCTCATTCACCCTTTGGCGATAATCACTCGGTCGATATGCCTGATGAAGAAGTCGCTAAAGCCGTCAAACGCCATTTGGTTTCCACTTCTCCTTCTGGCTCTCTTTCCTCTCACAACCAATACCTCAATGCTTCCTCGCCCTCTCGTCGTAGTGTTGCTAGTCGTCATAGTCACCGTGGGAGAGAAGACAACAGCGACAATGAAGACGAGGACCTTATTTCAAATGTCCACCAATTGCCTGGAGGTGCTATTACGCATGACATCTATAAATGGACTGAAGATCAAGAACGTAAAGCCAAAATGAAGCGATCCAAGTCTGTGATGGTTGCACGCCACGAACCTTCTGATCCTGCTTTGGTAAACCTTAAAGATCCAGGAGGATTCAGACGCCATTATGTCATTGATCGTGCTGTCAAGAAGGGAAAAAAACCACCTGGCTGGATCACACATTCTTTTGTAGACTTCTTGGCCATGTACGGTCATTTTGGTGGCGAAGATTTGAGTGATGATGAAGGCATGAGTAGTGATGATGAAGAAGATTTGGCCGAGGGATCTGATGAACGCACTGCTTTGCTTCGTCAAGCAAGAGCAAATGCTGTGGAGGGCACTGCTTCTCCAACTAAAGCTGTGTTTTTGTTGCTGAAATCGTTCATTGGCACAGGTAACTACCAGATGTGGGATGATTTGGTTTGAAAGATGCGTAAAAAAAAAAAAAAAACTAAATACCTTGCTATCTAGGTGTCATGTTTTTACCCAAGGCGTAAGTATTCCATGTTTGAGGAGGTTGAAAGAGGATCTACATGATGTTATCCTTTGGAGAGTGTATCGTGAGAAACTAATAACAATCTATTAGCTTCTACAACGGTGGTTTGCTCTTCTCCACACTCTTTTTGACGTTCATTGCCAGCATTTCTCTCTACTGTTTCTTGCTGCTCGTCAAGACGAGATCCGTTGTGCCTGCCTCGTTTGCTGATATCGGCGGTGTGTTGTTTGGTAAGCATATGAGAATGCTGGTCCTTGTTGCCATTACCACATCTCAGGTAAGACAAAGAAACATCATGTCGTCATGGCGATTCTAATTGGGTATACTTGTGTATAACATTGACAGATCGGTTTTGTGTGTGCCTACATGGTCTTTGTCGCACAGAGTCTACAAGCCTTGGTTGAAGCCATCTCGCACTGTGAAACCGATATTCCTTTGTATTACCTGATTTTGGTCCAGATTGCCATCTTTGTGCCATTGGCTATGATAAGAAAGATCCAAAAACTGTCTGTTTTCGCATTGATTGCCGATGCCTTTATTCTGATCGGCTTGGTTTATTTGTATTACTATGATTTCCTCATGCTGGCTGTGGAAGGTATCGGCAAGGTAGAATGGTTTGTGAATACATCCTCGTTCCCCATGTTCATTGGTACCGCTGTGTTCACCTTTGAAGGCGTTGGTTTGATCATCCCCATCACTGAATCCATGAAGGAACCTAAAAAGTTCCCCAAGGTCCTGTCCTGGACCATGCTGTTCATCACATTACTCTTCATCTCCATCGGTCTCCTCTCTTACCTTGCCTTTGGTGATAAGGTTCAAACTGTCATCTTGCTCAACTTGCCTGTCTCGCCCCTTGTCAACACCATCCAAGGCTTGTACGCTATGGGCATCTGCTTGTCGATTCCATTGCAACTCTTCCCTGCCATTCGTATCATTGAAACTGGCCTCTTCTCCAAATCTGGCAAGCACAATCCCATCATCAAGTGGCAAAAGAACATGTTTCGATTTGCTGGTGTCTTGTTCAGCGCCTTGGTTGCCATCCTGGGTTCCACCGATCTGGATAAGTTTGTCTCTTTGATCGGTTCCCTGTTCTGTATTCCTCTTTGCTTCTTGTTCCCTCCTCTTTTCCACTTGAAGGCCTGTGCCAAGGACTGGAAACACAAGACCATTGATATCTCCATCATTACCTTTGGTACTATCTGTATGCTCTACACTACTTATATCACCATCGGTCTCTGGACGCATGAAGGAGAGCCAGCTGCTCCCATTTCTCGTTGTACTCCTCACAACTAAGTTGCATTGTAGATTATTTATTTCTTTCTCTTTCTCCTGTTTCGTTTTTTTTTATACCTATTTGTATCGTTTTATCTTTTTCAATTGAAGAGAAAAAAAGAATAAAAGAGGTTTATCACTCTTTGATTCGTATTTTACGTTGGCTCAAGAAAAAAAAAAAAATACAGGTACAAAAAAAAAAAAAAAAAAAAAAAAGTCTACTTTATTCAGGTCATCTAGGCATGGATTTCAGTAATAGGTCTAGGTGGGAGATCTCGGCCAGCCTTGGCCCATTCCTTCAGTACTTCTCCAGGCTCGCCCAACACCTCAATGGCACGCGTGCGACGAGTGTGTTCGTGATCACAACGCACACCCTTCTTGCCAATGACGACACGATCCGATGTCGCATCCATGTTCTTTTCTCCTTGCTTTGTAAAGGCACGCACACCGTCTACCAAGACAGGTCCCGCTGGATGGTAGTGTTCTTGGGTGGAGTCCATAAATTCATGCACAGTATCATAGCATTGAAGACGAGCACATGTATTCAAGAATTGAGAGGCACAGCTGGGACAGCACAACATGAGGATATTGCAGGACGCATGGGAGCAGTTTTGATATCTGTTGCAAGGCTCGCCACACAACTGACATTTACCGAGTAGCTCATCCGTGATTTTTTCACCCATACGAGCATCAAATGTAAAGTTCTTTCCTCTAAACAGAGACTCCTTGTCTTCTTGTTGCTCAATCCAGCGACCGTACGATGTGATGCCACCTTCTACCAGATGAACTGTGTCGAAACCGGATGCTGATTGAAGAATAGCACCAGCTTTTGTGCATCGAATACCGCCAGTACAATACATGAAGATTTCTTGATCGCGAGGAAGGTTATCGCAGATTTCATTCATGGCTGTGATGCTATCTTTGTAGGTATCTGCGTCTGGGCATATGGCGCCATCAAAAAAGCCGATTTTACTCTCATAGTGGTTGCGCATGTCAATCAAAATAGGCTTCTTTCCGTGCTTTTCTTCGTAGGTGGTCAGCTTTTCATGCCACTCAGCAGGGGATAAGTGTGATGGTACATTATTCAAGTCATAGGTGCTAGAATCCAATCCGTCTGCAATTAGCTAAAGGAGCAGGCAAAGGTAAGCTTTCATGTGTTGTGGGTCTGACATGTATATATGTACCTGTTTACGGATGCGGACATGCAAGGCTCGGAAAGACCGTTTACCATGCTCAGTGCCAATGTTGAGATCCATCAAATCACCATCAAACATGGGCTTGAGGTACTCATCATGATACGCTTGCAGCTTGGGCAAGCACTCTTCAGGGCAAGCAATTTGAGCATTGATGCCTTCGGTTGAAATGTAGATACGGCCAACGATACCCAACTCACCGAAATCTGCCAAAAGCTTCTCTTTCAGAGCCTCTAACTCAGGCTTTGTCAAGGGATGAAACTTGTAGAAGGCGAGCGTTTTGTAAGTGCTTGAATCGTAGTTTTCGATTTTGGAGACGGGGAAGTTTCTTTCCAGGGCACTGGTCGTAGAAAAAGCATTTACTTGTTGTAGCGATGGCATCTCGCTGATGCTCATGGTGTATTGGAGGGCTGTGGGTGCTAGAGCTTTGGGGAGTAAGGTGAGTGTTTTGTTGCGGACGGTTTTGCGTAACAAGATGCTTTGTTGACTGAATAAACGACGAAACATGTTGGATGGGCAGAATTTTTTTTCGTCTCGAAATGGCCCTGGCCTGGCATTTACCCTTCATGCATTCTTCAGTTTTTTGTCAGACCATGTTTTTGTAGAGTCACAAAAAGTCTATTGATGAGAATACCAATTAGCTTTTGATCTGACAGCTGATGGAATCTGATTACATGTCAGGTGTATAAAATGTGGTCTTTAAATGATTAAACCTTTATATCAAATAAAGGCATGCGTAACAATATTAAAGATAGACAGCCAGACAGTTTCTATTACTTTCTGTGCCGCAATCCCCTTTTTGTTAGCTTCAAAAGCGTCCATTGTCTTCGTAAGGAAGGCATCGCTGTTGTTGCCAGCCCAATCTATTTGAAATTCCGCTTGATATTCTCTCCCGATTTGTTCATTTCTGAACTTTTTGGATACAATTCGACCTATTTTGCCAGATTTGACTATGGAAGTTGTAATAATCTTGCCATACTTCCTAATGCATTTTAGGAGTATTCTTCAAGGCGCATCTAATGGTGCTAATTCTAACTGGTATTTTGAATAACTTTATTGAGAAATTTACAAAAATGTGAAGTGATGTTTTCTGCCAAAATGTAGAGATTTTATATAGCAAGGTTTCACAAACAAAGTTTCAGGGGCTGATATGGATCAAGATAAACAGGTTGATCTAATATATGCCTTAGTAAAAGTCTTCATTCTGGGGGTCGAAAACGCGATTGTTTGATTTTCAATATTTTTGATGAGGTACCCCTCATGGTTTTTGACGAAAATTAAACGATCGCATTTTTCACCTTGAAAATGAAGACTTTTACTATGATATGTATTGGATCAAAATCTTTCTCCCAATCCAAAGCAACCTCTGAAACCACTTTTATGAGGTCTTTGTATACAAAATTTTGACATTTTGGCCTAAAGCCTTATTTCATATTTTCTGTAATTGCTCAATAAGTTTATTCAAAACATCTATTTTACTTAATACTATTGGAAGCGCCTTGAAAAGTACTCCAAGAATGTATTAGGAAGCAGAAGACGATTATTACAGTTTATATAGTCGAATACCATAGAATAGATTAAAGAAGTCGACAAAAGACAAAATTTGTCCAATCTTGAGCAGAAAAAATAAACTGAGCTTCAATTGATTTTGGCGGCGGCATTGCTGCCGGTTGACCTAAATGCCTTTCTGTTGATGACAGTGATGATTGCAGTGCTGATTCAATAGGGATCATGGAATTGAAAGGGCAATTGCTTAGCACAAATACTTTTTTGAGGAGCTTTGTATCATAATAAAGGCGTCTTTTACAATGACAATATCTCAAAAAAGTCGCTGTAGATCTTACACAAGCTCTGTATCTACACATAACCAGCTTTATGTCGCCATCTTATTAAGAGCATCAGCAACAGTGAATGGTATGGCAATTCTATTATCAGAAAATGGCGATTGTGATGCGCAAATGATGTATAAAACTTGAATTTTCTTTCATATCGTCTCAACAATAGGCTTCGTTCGATGTCAGCGTAAGCAAAAAGGATGCTGAGGGAAATACCTCCTCTCCTCCTCCTGATGGCTCTAATATAACCTTTCTTTTTTTCTTTTACTAGCTAATAATAAATTATTTAAAATCTACTTGATATACAAGATTTTTATTATCTCTGATTTAAAATGTCTTCGGCGAGATAGATCGGCTAGTTTATAAAAAGGTAGAATCTAAGCCATGTATAACGTAGCGGGAATCTTTACAGCTCCACAAATTTCACTTGCGATAATAGCATGGCCAGAACTGACGTGCAATTCCTTTGTTGTAAAGCTATTAACTGCTCTTTGGCGTCCGAAACATGCGTTATAGCCACAAAGCTTCAACAATGGGAGCAACTGTGTTGCTTCAATCTCTGAAATAATGCATTGCAAGGCATAAGTGTGTACAGTTTCCATCTTCTTCAGCAATGCAGGGATCTCATCCATGTCTAATACCAGCTCTGCTGTATTATATGTCTTCCAAACGTCTTGTGGCATTCTCTCAACTACAATTGTTTCAAGGTTTGGGTACTTGTGCGTCAAATAATCCATCAATCGGATATCATAGACTTTGCCAAATCTAACTTTGAGAGTGGTGAGGCCAGAATTTCTGTCCACATCTTGTGCTACCCAAGCTACAAAATCTCTGTCTCTGCCCGTTCCAGATACTAATGACAAATGGATAGTGAGCATCTCTAAATGGTTGCATTTTGTTAGTATTCTATCGATTTGCAAGATGGTGTGAATGTTTGATAGAATATTTAATGATCGTAAATGTGGTGATCTGCTCTAAATTGTAAAGAGTGGTCCATGTATTTGCTGTATATTTCTTAAAATTCAATTGCACTTCTTCCAGTGATTCTTTCAATTGATAAAGAATGGCATCGTATGTATTACTGTATGTCAATGCAGAGGGTATAATCTTGAGCATTAATTCTGTTTGGCCGTTTTCAATGGTTTCCAACAATATGATAAAAAACTGATCATCCAAGATGGTTCCTTCCAATGTCTCCAATGATGGGATGATAGCTACAGGCATTAGATACTTCATGTCTAGAGTAAAATGGTCTTGACGGCCAAGCGTGATATGTTTCAAAGCACATCTCTTTTCAATGTGACGAATAAGGTACATTTGCAGTGTTCGTGTTTGCAAACTTCCCTTGACCATGATGTTTCTTGAGAAAATGTGAGATTCTGCCATCTGCTTCCATTTGGTGCAAATCAAGGCGCATTGCTGTAGATCTTTCATTGAATCCACACACAAGAACGCTTTCATCCACAGTTCTGAAGGCAACGAGTAATCTGTCATATGTTTTTTTTTGAATAGCAAGTAGGATAGAAAAAGAATAGTTGAACAACTAATTCGAATTTTGAATATTGTGTAATAGCTTGGTAAATTTCCAGCGTCAAATCAGTTTTTGCTTAAGCCAATAGTAAATTCTCTCCTAATAATATCAATCGCTCAATCTTGGCAAGATATGCATAACGCATTGTCCTAAAGACGGTATCATCTGAATGTATTAGGTCAGGGATAAAAGCCTATATGGCGCTGCAATAGCCAACCTTGCATTACTATGAGGAATTGCGGATGTTTGAAGAGATTCTTGCCCCTAGATCTAACAATCATGATACAGCTTCTAAAGTACGGCAATAGCGATGAATTTTGGCGGCATAGTGCTCTCCAGGTTTGCTTACTACAATTCATACATGACGAGAAAAAAAAAAAAAAAAAAACGTTTCGATCCACACTTCTTATCCCCTGGATGAAGGGCCTTCAAGTGCCTCAGCAAAGCCAAATCTATGATTCATTGAATACATAACTTTATCCAACCGACGGCATATATTTTAGGTAATAGCAAGAAAAGCCTAGCAGTGTATGCAACATAGCATGATATCAAGCATGCCATTGACACTGTAAGCCACATCTCACATCTCCCATTCAGTAGTGACCGTATTAATTTTTTTTTCTTTCCTGTCAATTGAAATATTGAAAGAGCATGACAATCCCGGAAGGGAATCAGTTCTTTTTATCCCATTTGAGTTTATAAACTAGAACATCATGAGCGGTTTGTTGTCAACTCAACCCAAAGTCGATAGTCATTTAGATGATCTGTTCAAGAATTCCGTAAGTATATCAGAGAGATGTCTGGATTGCATCCACATGCTGACAATCAAGGATATGTAGGCTGGTAAAAGTGAAATTGCTGTCAAGCCCATCTTGACCGAGGAAGTCGTTGCTAATGTAACCAAAAAGACAAAGAGCCAAGGAAAGAAGGAAGCCAACAAAGCATTCTTGGGTTTCAAGAAGGCTAGAGAACTAGTTGCTGCCACAAACAAGGTATTTTGGATTTGGTGAATGCTCTGTGATCACACACTTATCGCTTATTGCCACCCTATAGAGAAAAGCTGAAGAATTGGAAGCAGAGACAAAGAAGAAGGCCAAGAAGGTGCTGACCGTTGAAGAATTGGCCGAGAAAGAGTTGAGAACCATCTTTGTCGGTAATTTGCCTGTCGAATGCATTGAAAAGGTACGACCCGGAGATAAACGCATGTTTGGAACTGGTTCACTGAGACGCTGATGTAGGAGGGTTATAAGCAACTGGAAGCAAGATTCAAAGAATGTGGAAAGATCGAGTCAATTCGTTTCAGATCAGTAGCCTTCTCACAGCCCATGGACCGTAAATCAGCATTTCTTGCTCGCAAGCTTCACGAATCCCGTGATGTTTTGAACGCCTACATTGTCTTTAAGGAAAAGGCATCAGCAGACAAGGCTTGCAAATTGAACGGTGTTGTGTTTATGGACAAGCATTTGCGTGTGGATGGAGCCTCCAACGACAAGCAGCATGACCGCAAGAGATCCGTATTCTTGGGCGGATTACCATTCGACACAGAAGACGAGGAGCTTTGGGAGTTTTTCAAGGATTGTGGAGACATTGAAAGTGTGAGAACCGTCAGAGATGCAAAGACAAATGTTGGCAAGGGATTCGGCTATGTGCAGTTCAAAGACCGTGAATGTGTGGATGCTGCATTAGCATTAACAGACAAGAAATTCCGCAACAAAACCAAGATTCGTATTCAACGTTGCAAGATACCCGTATCTGAAGGTGGTACCAGAGATGTCAAGAAGAAGGGCAAGAAGAACAATGCTCAGAACCGCAAACCTTCTGGCAAATCCGGCAAGCTGATACCTAGCCCCAAGAGATTAGAAGGTACGCGTGCCACCAAGAACGATGGCAAAAAGTTTAAACTAGTCAAGGCAAGCAAAAAGCCCACCAAGAAGGGTGGAAAGAAGTAAACTGAAACCTTTTGTGAATAAAAAAAAAATTTTCCCTCGAGCTATAAAAATAATGCAGTGATCAGCATCCTTCTTTTTCTTTCTTCTTTATCAACAATAGTAACACCCAAACATGTCAGCCTTGGATTGTTCAAAAGCCAGCCAATATCTATCTGAATACGAGCACCGAGATGGTTTGGCTATTGAGGCGCTGATGGACGAGCAATTGAGTGGTGGTTTGACCTACAATGATTTTCTGATCCTTCCTGGCTTCATTGATTTCGATGCTAGCAAAGCCTCTCTCGACTCCAAGATCACAAAGAACATTACACTCAAAACCCCATTCCTATCTTCTCCCATGGACACTGTCACTGAAACTGACATGGCCATCTCCATGGCTGTAAGTGCGGGTGCGTAAAGTGGATTTGATGTGTGTTGCTAACCGATTTTCTAGTTGCTGGGTGGCATTGGTATCATTCACCACAACTGTGATGCCAAAACGCAAGCCGACATGGTCCGCAAAGTCAAGACCTTCGAGAATGGCTTCATTGTTGATCCCGTTGTTCTCTCTCCCACCAACACGGTCGCTGAGGTCAAGCACATCAAGGAAGAGAGAGGATTTTGCGGTATTCCCATCACAGGTAGCACAGCATGAATGTTTTTTTTTTCATGCAACATTGAAATTAACCGAGTCCACACAAACTAGAAAACGGACACATGAATGGCAAATTGGTGGGTATCGTCACTGCTCGTGATATCCAGTTCCATAAAGATGATCAGTCCTTGCTCAAGGATGTGATGAGCACGGATTTAGTCGTTGCCAAGAAGGGTGTTACTCTTCAAAAGGCCAACGAAATCCTTCGTTCTTCCAAGAAGGGCAAATTACCCATTGTTGACCAAGAAGGCCGTCTCGTGTCTCTGTTGTCTCGCTCTGACCTTCTCAAGAACCTTCACTTCCCATTAGCCTCCAAGTCTATTGATTCAAAGCAGCTCCTGGTGGGCGCTGCTATTGGTACGCGCCCTGATGACAAGGATCGTCTTGCTTTGTTGGTGGACGCTGGTCTCGATGTCATTGTACTGGACTCTTCTCAAGGTAACTCCATCTACCAACTCGACATGGTTCACCACATCAAGGAAAAGTACCCCAAGCTGCAAGTCATTGCTGGCAACGTGGTGACCCGTGAGCAAGCTGCCAACTTGATCGAAGCTGGTGCTGATGGTATTCGTATTGGTATGGGCTCAGGTTCTATTTGTATCACTCAAGAAGTCATGGCTTGTGGTCGTCCTCAAGCTACTGCTGTCTACCGTGTCTCTGAATTCTGTCGTCGCTTCGGCGTCCCTACAATTGCGGATGGTGGTATTGGCAATGTGGGCCATATTGTCAAGGCTTTGGCTCTGGGTGCCAGTGCTGTCATGATGGGTGGTCTTCTCGCAGGTACCACTGAAACACCTGGTGATTACTTTTACCATGAAGGCCAACGTCTCAAGCGTTACCGTGGTATGGGATCCATTGATGCCATGAACAACAGGTCTGGTGGTAAGGATGGCAATGCTGCTACCAAGCGCTACTTTTCTGAGGGTGATGCTGTCAAGGTCGCTCAAGGTGTAGTAGGCAACGTGCTTGATAAGGGCTCTGTCCGCAAGTATGCTTCCTACCTTATCACTGGTGTCCAACACTCTCTTCAAGATATTGGTTGTCAATCTGTCACTCAATTCCATGAGGATGTATATGCTGGTAAGGTTCGCTTTGAAAAGAGAACTGCCGCTGCTCAAATGGAAGGTGGTGTTCACGGTCTTCATTCATTTGAAAAGAAGCTCTTCACATCTGCTTAAACAGTGTCAACTTATTATTGCATCTCTATTACATTCCAGCATCTGTCTTGTTTATAAAATACATTCATTCGAAATCAAATATTATTCGTTTTATGCAGCATTCTTGTTGGCTATTGTTGAAAGCTAATCACTGAACTGCTCTCTTCCACTTTGAAGCGACATTTGGTATCTATACTATGAGTCATATACTGAAAGATGGAGAAACGTCATTTTTTTTTTATTATTATTAAATGACCAGCATTAAACTGTGCTATTTAGCATACACCGGGAGCATCGTGCTTTTTGTGGCTCTTGCTATCTTTATCGTTGGGCTGAACTTTGCCATGAACGAGACTGAAGCTCGATCTGTGGTTATGTCTAGCACTTCTGTTACGGAATTTACTAGAATCAAACAGGGTCAATTCAAGGCCTGACTATTGAGATTTCAATTTTGTGCTTACCGATGATTCTCTGCCTCCTTTTCATCCCAAAGGTTCAATGCAGCAATGGTAGAATTTATATCACGAATAAGGATTTCCGAGCGATTACGAGAGAAATCTTCACGAACAACTACTCTCAGAAGCTTCAAATGCTCCATTGCATGAGCCATCGTGTAAGCTGGTACAATCCATCCACGTTCACGTAATTTAGCAGAGACATCAAACTAATATAGATGTTATCGAAAGTTGCGCATTTGAACCACACTGTGCACTTACCTCGTCGTACAGCTTTTTCTCCTTGAGACGGAAAGCGACAAGAGGAACACCTTTACCGCCTCTTTCGCTCAGAATGACAAATTTGCCAGTGTTTTCCAACTTGTCGGCCAAGTAGTCAGCAGTACTAACAAGGTTCTTCATGATGTGGGTGAATCCAACTTTACCAAGTCGAATAAGAACATAATACTGTGCAATGATGTTGGAAGCGCCTTTACTAAAGTTGAAGGTGAATGATGCCTATGGCTCTTGTGAGTGAATCGTGTTGAAACCAATGTATACGGCTAAAAACGTACCTGATCTGAACCGAGATAATTGATGTTGAAGATCAAATCCTCAGGCAAGTACTTTTTGCTTCTCCACAAAGCCCAGCCTATACCAGGATAAGTGAGGCCATACTTGTGGCCAGAGACATTGATGGAATAAACTCGCTCAAGTCGGAAATCCCTACATATCGATATTAAGAGTCAAGTTCATAATGTGCCTCTTATCGCCTTACCAAACAAGCTCAGGATACACGAATGGGGCAACAAAACCACCACTATGCAATAGCAAATGAATGAGTATGAGCCAGTTTACGTATACAAATGCAATGTATGTACCTGGCAGCGTCAACATGAATACCAATGTCCCAGCCCTTTTCTTTGCATTTGGCTTCCAATAATGAATCCAATGTTTTGACATCTTCATAATGGCCAGTGTACTACCATTGTTCGTTGGTTTCAGTATATCAACAATGTCTTTAAGCACTTACAGTAGAGCCTAAAATGGCACAAATACCAATAGTATTCTCATCAGCCCAGTCAACAGCCTTCTTGGGGTCCATGTAAAGCAAGTCTTCAGTACAAGGAACTTCGCGAGATTCAACTTCCAGATATCTATAGAGGCAATATGAGACATTTGCGTGATATTAGCTCATGCCCATCGTTTACCTCATTGCCTTGTGCCATGCCACTTGACAATTGGCACCCATAATCATGTTTGGCTTATCGTAGGGCAATCCTTTCTCCTTTCTAGCAGTTTGCCATCTACGCTTCATTGCCAATGTTGCCAGGATGATAGCCTCAGAAGAGCCTACCGTTGAACAGCCTAGAGCCTCAGCCTCAGGTTTATCCATAGGAGCATGAAAGAGACGAGCAATGATATTGACACAGCGATTCTAGAAGAGCGTTGGCGTCAGTATGCCCTTTTGTTGTACGCATCTCCTGTGAATACTCACACTAATCTCAGCAGTTTGAGGATACTCTTCAAAGTCAATAAAGTTCTTGGACAAGTTTTCCTTCATCAATTGCTCAGCTTCATCCTCCATGAAGGTGGTTACAAAACTAGCAAGATTCAAGGCAGGAGTTCCGTCCAGCTAAGGAGAAGAATTAGACGTGTGCCTATAAGAAAAGGCTACTTGACTTACTTCAATCTCATCCTTGATCATACGATAAGCGACATCTAATACATATCATGTTAGTATCATCATTATGATTATCCATGCACTCATTTGGCTTTTACTGGCTGGCATTTCCTCCTACATACAGAAATGGTTAGGTCTAACCTTAACTTTGTTTACCATGCGAACTTACATCTGGCATTTCATATCTGACACAATGGAGAGCTAGGGTGTGAGTGCATTTATCTACTGTTTGCGGTAAATTGCAACATACCTTGGTATATCTCTTGATGCCCAGCGAGTACCATAGATTGTAGTTTCAGTAGCATCATCATGATCTGTTTGATCATTTTGAGGTTGATCTATGCGTGCCACTTACTGTGAATGAATGCACATTGAAATGTCAGCATAATCACTTACTGCTAGATACAGCGCGAGAAAGAAAGACCATGTTGTTATTTTGTGTTGATTGATGATTAAACAAAAGAGAAAATGAAAAATAAAAGCAGCAGCCTTTTATGTACAAAAAGTGCATCTTGTTTCAAACGTGAGTTTATTCCGTGTCAAATCTATATTGACTGGGGGGGAAACGCATGAATTATTTGGTAATACGGTCATAATGATTACAATTAAGACTATTTGATTTTCTATGATATATAGGATTTATCACATTAAAAACGCTCGGGACCATTGTAAGCTAGTAATCTCTCAGATCCATCATCGTCTATGGAAGAGGTCAACACGTTTTCAGTAGCAATGTTCATGATGGCTTCGTAGAGTTCGCTGGCAGAGTGGAAATCATACTCGCTCATCAGCATAGCAGCAATACCAGTGACATGCGGGTTGGCCATACTTGTTCCATCCATGGTCTGACTTTCACTGCCTAACCAGCTGCTTGTAATGTTTGTTCCAGGCGCATAGATACGTACACATTCACCGTAAGAAGAAAAGCTGGGGATAATATCATTTTGATTCGATGCACCGACGGTAAACACATCTGGGTTGGCTGATGGTGAATAATCGCATGCATTGTCTCCACTATTACCAGCTGACACAAAGATGGGAATACCGTGTTGTTGAACCGCCATGGAAAGTGCGTCGTCGATGGTTTGTGAGCGTGGTCCAGTAAGTGATAAGTTGATGATGCTACGACCGGGAATCGCAATCTGAGTGACATGAGAGATAGCTTGGATTAAAGCGGAGGTGGTGCCATCACCATTACGGTCCAGAATCTTGACACCATGCAGTATGGCATTCTTGGCGACACCGTAAGAATTACCTCCAATTGTGCCAGCTACGTGGGTTCCTGGTACGCATAGTAATATATTAGATAAGAGGCATGTCATGAAAAGACCGTTGCTTACCATGACCAGCATAATCGACATTATCCTCGTAATCAATGAAACTTGCTTCCATACTGGCACGGCCAGCAAAATCAGGATGGTCGGCATTAATTCCGGAGTCAAAAACATACACATGAACACCTCCACTACAAATGGTATTAGCCATGCTACATGGAAAATAGAACATTCGGTCAGTTACCCAGCAGATTCGTCCACAGAATAGGTTGTCATGTCATCCTTATTTCTACGGTTGATGCGAGCAAGGCCCCAGCTAGGCACGTTTATTTGGGTGATAATGTTGCGCTTGTTTTTTGATGACACTTGACTGGAGATATAAGGCTGAGGCTTGGAGACGGTTGGAAGAATGGCTGCCTTGTAGACCTGGTTTGTCTCGACATATTCTACATCTTCCAATTGACTGAGGTAGTTGACAAAAGACGGGTTAAATGATCCAACAACTGCCTTGAATTCGTTTCCAATGTCAATATTCTTGACAGCTCTGGGCTCTAAATCCTCAGATTCTGCGTGAAGACTGGCGCCCTTGATGTCGAACTTGCCTTGAAGTGATCCACGCATGGTTTGGAAGGTACTGTAGTGATGGTTGATAAAGTCATTTGATTCAAAGTCTAGTAAAAATCTGGTCAGCGCAATGGGTCATTTTACAGCAACTTCTACTTACTGGTTATATTCTGAACGTTTCTTGCCTTCAACTTGACAATGTGGGTAGGAAAATGACTTTCAATGCCACCTGGAATCACGAATCCGGTATCCTCTCTCACTACCAATGCATTTGCAACATTAGAGCCTAAATAGAGGCAGACAATGGAAAGTGACAAGAAGGATTTCATTGAAGGGAGGAAAATATGAAGGATGAAAATCTCCAGAAATAAAATCCTTGATTATTTATAATAGTTCATTCACTGTAAGACATCCTTTCCCAAAGGTTTCGTCTCTTTTTTCTGATTTTTCTGTTCATGTCGTGGTGAATCATAATAATTTGAATGTTACAGGACACTAAAGGCTTTACTGAAATCAAGCTCGGATTTCCCTCCCTGAGCTTTAAGCACTCGAAAGCCCCATCTCCGCACATTAGATATCACCGCGAACAAACATTTACTAATAATACAACAAACATTCAAATTAATCGTTCAGTGTCCTCGGAAACAAACAAAGAAACATGCGCTTGCTTCTAGTAGCTTGTCAATAGTAACTACCTTCGTACAAGCCCGGGATAACATGGTGTGATTCAGCACAAAACAAGACAATTGATATATGGCCCAAGAGCTCTCTAATGTCAAAAGTTGTATAGTCTTGAGTGTGGAATATGTCTGGTAGCAGTAAGAGGCAAGAAAACCGAGTGCTTGAATATTACATGTAATTGACAGGCGGTAACAAAGCTTACAGGACGTTGCAAAATTGCATTGCTGACTCTTATCACCCTGCTAGCTTCTGTGTCTCCCTGAGAGACTGATTGCTTAGGGGCAGCCATTTCTGTAAGTATCGAATTCACAGTTTATTACACACAAACACACGTATATTGATCAAGATAGTCAGCCAAGTTGCTGAATTATTCCAATGAGAGTTGCAATTTCTGATTTTAATGTACAGAGCTGATATAAGCTTCGGGGAAATTTGATTGATTCAAATCAAACACGTATGTGCTTTACGCCCATGCAGTAAATGGTAATTTCACAAGTCGTAGATCTGCTTCGGGTACCAAATGTAGTTTGAGAAGGGCTTGCGTTCATCACGATACACTTATTCGTCTCCCTGGCCTTGATAGTGTAAAATGACCAGCCAGCAAGACGTAGCTCTACTATGTTGACCGCAATATGAGGCAAGAATATTCTAATCCTGTTTCTCCCGCTGTATTCATTGCATTTGGTTTCATGGGCTTTTGAAGTTGAACATTTAACACAATCCATATACCCTATTTGACACGAAAGCTTGGTATAGTAATCCTCTGTGATTTTGCAGCAATATAGAGAAGACAATGCAAGCGCTTTACTCTTGGAGTTTTCAAACGAAGTGGCTCTGATGGAAATCCAACGTAGCTGTATATAGCTTCTGTAAGCTGGTGTATTTGTTGACAATACGGTCGATTGAATATTCATATACTTTTTGACTAGACATGACCGTAATTGAACACAATAGTGAGGCTTTGCTATACTAATTTTTGAACGTTCCTAGCACACTGCGAAAATGGAGTCGTGTGTTGTTTGAATACACCTCAACAGTGAATGAGAAGCATTTTATTATGGTTTTACGAGTGTTTATGCTTCGGATGGCTCTCTACTATCTTCGCTTCGCTTCGGTGAAAACCAACCTGCGTAGCGACAGCTCGCGCTTCCGATTGCCCTTGCGGATCTTATCAAAATACAGCTACTTTCATTTTGATCCTCCACTTACACATGAAAACACTTGATATTATCTGTGGACCTGACTCTTATGTGATGTTCTACATCCATATACACGTAGCTACTTCATATACGGGCAAGCAGCATACTGGTATTTCCTCTTTTTAGTCCTTAGTATCCCTGATACAGCAAAATCTGAGTGCATTTAAGCCGCGTTTTCTCGCGTTCAAGGCCGGCTTAGATTGCCAGAATAGCACCAAACAATTGCTCTCATCTGGCAGTTACTTATTGCCACTATTGCTCAACTTTTTGGGGACCAAAAAAAAATGGCCAAAAAATGGCCAAAAAGCATGAGGTACCCCTCATGGTTTTCATCAAAAATCAAACGACCGCGTTTTTCACCTTGAAAATGGAGACTTTTACTATGGTATATCTTGAATCAAAATGTTCCTATCGATCCAAAGCAACCTCTGAAATTATCTTTGTGGGACTTTGATATGTAAAATTTCGACATTTTGGCCAGAAACCTCTTTTCATATTTTCATAAATCTTTTGATAAGTTTATTCAAATCATCTATTTTACTTGGTACCATTGGATGCGCCTTGAAAAATACTCCAAGAAAGCTAAAGAAAATACAGGATGATCATTATATTCTACTTAGTTGAATCTGCAAAAATAGCTCAATCAAGTCCAAAATTATCAAGATTTGTCCAATCTAGAACAGACTATGATTCTGGGCTTGAATTAATTTTGGCTTGTGGGGCCAGCTGGCAAACTCAATGCCCTTTTCATCATGAAGGCAATACAGTAATAGATGCTTTTGAAGCGTATAGAAAGTAGGTGACACATTACATAGCACTATCTCCAGCCATGCTATTTTCCTTGTATTCTATATTTAATAACGCCAGTCTATCAAAATACTTGTTAGATCAGTTTCTTTCCATTTTGAGACTTTGAAAGTGTCTACAGACCATAAATCTATTACGTTATGATGGGCATTTCGACTCTTCTTTGGTTGGTTTCCATCAAAGCAAAGCGTAGGTCAGGAAATCAACCTACGTTCAGGTGGCTCGTGCTGCCGCGGATCTTCGGTTAATATCGCAATATTAATAATAGCTAAAATGTTAGAAGAAACTTGTTTGTTGATTGATAGTAATTTAATATAGCATCTTTAATCATATATGGACCATGCCTGACAAATGCCTGGCTACTCAGTTTCCATATTAGGATTATAAAAGTGTCTAGGGACTATAAATTTATCATGTTATGATTATTGTCATTTGAGGTAGCTTCTTTACGTCCAGTGTTGCGATCCACACTAATTGAAAGTAAAGAAACATCCTCCATATCCCTAGTTCTAATGGACAACTGTTGAATATCAGCTGAATCTGCCAATTGAGATGGAAGACTGAAGCCTTCAGAGACACCAAAAACACATTTTTTCATAATCAACTTGAGAATCAGTGTATTAGCGCTTGTCATTAGTTGGTAAGTCCTCTAATTTCGTATAGATTATATATCTAACGATCCAAGCACCATGGTAAATCAAATAGAGCAGGCCAAGTGTATTCATGATAATGTGTATAGAATCCTTACTGGATGTTCAGTTGTCCAAAAGTTGCATTCTGAAAGATTAACATACAGTATATCAGTGGCATACAGTCAATCAAGACGTAGTAGCTTATACGCTCCTCTCGACATCTTTCCAAATACGCTAACCAATAGTTCATTTGGCTCTAATGCAACAAAGATGTTTTATTTTATACAATGTGTTTGGCTATTTACTGCTACTTTGCTCTCTCCAATGCTGCCCATATCGTTGCACAAGGAACACACATATACCACTCAATGAGCTAATTACCGCTAGAATAGTCAAAGACCAACCATTTCCTATATGATCTATCAAAGTAGGCGCAACGAGTGGCGTGCAGCCTGCTGAAACACATCTCATCAAATTTGCTGCACTCATTACTGACGCAGAATGCTTCTGATACGAGTCGACAATATATGTATTTGCTGGCGTCTGTACAATGCCCACACCGAGGCCCACTATACAATAATTTGTATTAGGATGGTTTTATGAAACACAGTACTGCTCTACTTACGCAAAAACAAGCCCGTCAGAGTAGCTGCAACATGTACCTTTATCTCTACACACCATCCATACATCAATTGACCTACGGGAAGCAGCAAAATACCAAACCACATGGGCGATAATCTTGATTCCAAGCGATTATTCACTGATTTTGCAAGCGCTTTATCTGCCAGCTTTCCAGAGACAAACGCCCCCAATGCATTTCCTATACCGTTCGCTAGATAAGCTAATCCAATTTGATAGCTGGAGAAATTGTATTGTGATTGTAATTGATGCGGCAGACTTGCAATGACAAAATACATGAATCCATAGGCAATCGAGTAAGGCGTGGTTGAAATGATAACTACCGGCTTTACCATCAGCTTGAAGGGCCTCAATATGCTTGTTGAAGTATGTTCATCACTCAACTTAATGTGTAGTTGCTGTTTCTTTTCTGTATCTTGCTTTAACTCTTTTTTCAATTTTAAATAATCTGCTCGCTTCTTGAGGATGATGGCTGATGTCTCTGGCAAGAAGAACAGTATCAAGAAGAAGGTGACACCACCCATGATTGACAAAAACCAGAATATAAAGCGCCAGCTCATGACTAACAACGTCTTGTTAGAGCACATCATTGATTTGGGCATATGATACTCACATTCATTGATGAATCCACCCAATATAGGCCCAAGCACCGGCCCTATAAGAGCTCCCAGGAGAAATAATCCCATGGCATTTCCCCGTTCATGCACGTCAAATAGATCGGTTATAGTTCTAGGTTGAAATGTAAGTGTTTCCGTGCGCTGTCTGGTCGGTTTGCAGCTTACCCTGCACCAACAGCCTGCGAAGCACTTGCACCCGTAGCTTGTAATGCTCGCAGAGCAATGAAAAGACCTATGTTATGGGACAATGCACATCCAATTGTTGATGCCACATACAGCAGAGTGGATAGCAGATATACAGCGCGACGCCCATGTCTTTCCGACAGTGATGCCCATAATAGAGGCTAATAATTTGATGAGTGCATGTTCAATGGGCGATGAATACAACGTACAGCAAACCCCATAACAAAGACATATAGTGATATAGTGGCATTGATGGATGTCATTGAAGTATTAAACGACTCTCTCACCTGTGCAATGGCTGGAACCTATATCTTATTCTATTAGCAGGTAATATTTTTGCAAGTATAGCATTTGTAGTACATATATAGAGCTTGTCAATGGGCCAATGAATCCCTGAAGCGCTACAATGGATAGAATGAACCACTTCTTTTTCCTGGATATCTTGTACTATGGCCGCATTAGTGAAAGAGGCGGTTGTTCATCACATTCACCTACCTTGATCGAATAGTCTGCTGGCGTTTGTTTCTCTCGAGAGCAATTCACATTCTCTTCTTCTGACACCATCACTACCAGATCGGATTCATCGTCAAATAGTGTTACCTCGCACGGGGTTTTCGACCGAGCATTAAGAGCTTTATAGAAATCAGTCGTTTCTTTTATTGGAGGATCGATAATTGTCATGATTATGTGTGTGAACAGAGAAAGAGATGGAGACTATTGATTGCATGAAGGTAAGTTCGTTTTTGTTTATTGTCTACTAGCTGAGTGGGAGAATTCTGTGAAATGACAAACAAAGCAGGTATGTTTATGGCGAAACAAACAAATGGCTAATATGAATGGCATGCCTTCAGTCCATATTGAGCACATGGGGGAGGCCAACGATGGCACTCGGACTCTATACACCAAAGATGATAATCAATGCGATGCAACTGGATGTAGATGGCTACTATTTCAGAGCTGTAAAAACGCTGAAGCCAACATGAATGATATTCATTTGTATTATATAGACTATGATGGAAGCAGCTTCCAATATGAATATCAACAGAAGGCGGAATCATTTCCAAAGGATTACTAGCGCTCAACTGACAACAGCACATGGACAAATATACGGATCAAGTATTCCTTTTCGGGCATGCTTACAGAGAGTTGACTACAGGGTTATCGTTGATGCCATGCATTAGGGATGGTTTATACCCATTGTGGCATCATGGTATAATAAAAATAAATTCGTCTTTGTGGGGAAATTGTCCGTGTGAGATCGCTCAAAGCAACCATGATCATTTATGATGGTATAATTTGGTCACAAGAGCAAGATCATCTTTAGAATTTGAACGAATATAGCCATCGCACTCTGTAGGACCAATGATTCACTTTGTAAACATGGCTGGTCTGCCTTTCCTTGAAGATCATCATACGGACATGTTTCTCACGATTCAAACGTGTATATTTGACCAAATCCCACAAAACAAACAAATCAAGTCAGTTGTGGCTCAATGCTACCCTTCCAATAAGAGGGTGTTTGTGTTTGTTTATACTCTGTAGGGCTATATTCAAGATCTAGTGAGCACAATGCAAGTTACCAACAGGAGCGACCGCCCGATTGCCGGAAGTCATGGTTATGGTTAGTTTCTATGTATTTCAACAGTGTCAGATGATGCGACCTGTATATTTTTCATTTAGCAGTGAGGCCAGAGTAACAGTATCTAGCCTCAACCTACATGAGCAGTTAGTCTCCAACATGGCAAACCCTAACATTAGTGATATTGAATTGCTGTATCACTGTTGGTACAATTTAAGTTTAGCCTCTAGTTTTTATAGAGATCCATGTATATTTCAGCCTGTGTACAGTGCTCCACGCGTTGTATTTTAGGTTTTATTAAACATGGTATTTTTTCATTAACCCCAATATACTGAGGATATTGGTGGGAAATTACTCTTTACTCCTACTGTCTGCCTCTCTGATTTTGTTTCCCAAATTTAGGTACAGAGTTGTGGGGAGGGTCAAGCTACGAAATATAGAACAATTGGGTGATACAAATATACAGCTGTAAATCATTTCCAATTGTATTCTGCAACCATCAGGGTCATTTGTTATAGTACAGAAAGAGCATAAATTTATTGACATTAAACGTTTTACAAGTATTAACATATACATAGGAAATAATGAAGATATATTACAGAAAAAGTGGTAGTAGTAGTAGCGGTAAGAGTTGGTGTATTTAAGCAGATATAGCAGTGTTTTCGGTGGCAGAAGGACTGTAGTTCAAGAAAAGCTCAGAATCCAACAGTAAATTCTCCAGCGAGATTGTAGCATTTAACTGTTGTACTTGAGGTGGTTGTTGTGTATGATTGTGGTTGAAAGGAACGTCGAGTAACATGAGCGATGGCAAATCAGGGTCGAACTGGCTCAAGAGCTCATTAGAGAACAAAGAGTTGAATAATGCTTCGTGATTATTGGTGTCGTTGGTCTTGTCAGTTGCATATGTGGTGAATGATTGATCGAAATCATCCAAGAGGCTAGCGGCATCCATGGCTGTCAAAGCGCTGGGTGATGAATGCTTGTTATTGTTGGAGATGAATGTATCACTGGAGGAGCATGTTAATGCTGGAGAAGTACAGAAATAGTCATCCGCCTCTTCTTCGTCCACAGATGACGACGAAGAGGATGAGAAGGAAGAGGGAGATTGCAAAGGAGAGAGGATTTCTGAGGGGATTACGATGGCTTGTTGCTGCTTGCTCAGTAGAATGTAAGGTGTTTGATCTGGCACAGCCAATTGAATAGGAGTAGCGGATAAAGCATTGATAGCTTTTTGTTGACAAGAGGGCTTCCATTGTACAACATCACCATCAGCGCGCTTCTTTTTCTTTTGCTGCTGTTTCTTGATGATAACTGGTTTTGTTGCATCTTCTTGAGACTTTTGTCTTTTGGACTGAATTTGGTTCCATCTTGTTCTGCATTGGCGTTGTGTTCTACCCGGGATTGATCCTGCAACTCGAATCCAACAACATCCAAATCTCTCAACGCCAATTTTGAGCATATCATCTTCTTCTTTTCTCCAGCGCCCTTTTCTCACAGAAGGATCTAATGCCTCGGTCCAGCGTGCCTGGCATTGGATACCAGTGCGGTTAGGAATGTATTGTGCAATGCGACTCCATGGTAGATTGTCTTCAGTCATTGATGCATCATTCAAATAGGGCTTGACTGCAGATGTTAAGGCCTCATCTTCTTCCTTTGACCAACGACCTTTATGAACATGAGGACTATGCCCAAATGTTAGTATCAATGCATTGACAACTATGCTATGTGGATGTCTTACTTTAAGGCACCGAGCCATCTAGTTGAGCATTGAACAGGTGTGCGACCGGGAATATGGCGAGCAATGAGGGACCATTTGTGAGGACCATGCAAATCAACAGCCTCAAATAACAGCTTATCCTCTTCTTCAGTCCAGCGACAATAGAATGGCGCTTGTCTACTATTGCCTTCTTGCTTGAATACAGAAAAAACTCCCTTCTTAGATTGGCTCATTGTTTGATAATTTGATTTGATTGATTTGTTTCGAGATGTATAAGTTGGAAAAGAAGAAAAAGACTAGTTTGAATCATAAAAGGGGTCATGGTATTTATATACTTTTTCATTTTTTTTTGCCATTCCGAAGTATATACTAAACGGTTCATTCTGAATGTTATGCAGTAATACAGGACCTTCTAAAGGCAATGCCTCAAGTCCTCTAAAGGGAATCCACGGGTAAATTCGGACAAATATAACAGCCAAAGGACTATGGAATAGTGATTGGTTTCTGTAGTGGGAAAATTAACCACAAAAGATGCGTTGGTTGATTAGAGGGGGTATATTTGCAATTTCCAGTTACACACTATAAGCCTAGAGCAGCAAAGCTTTGACATTTTTCACTCGCTCCCTCATTAGGTAGCTAATCCGTTTATAATGTGTTTGTAAAGTTTCATTGGTCCCACAATAAGCTACTTTTTGTTTTTTACCCACATTCTCTTTTATACAAACAACTTTAAAATGTCTATAAAAAATCAACATATAGCATAGTGATGATCATTGCTGCAATTATCTGATTGTGGAATAGACAGGCATTTGTAATGAAAGCTTGCAAATAGATGCTTGCCATGAGCATTTCGTAAGAGTTATATTGATCTAGTATCGATTCAGAATACATTTTCAATATTTGTAGTTATAAACGCATTTCCAACCGTTACAGAAGTTCACACTGAAATGCTTGTTTAGCTTTGTTAAAAAAGCAATATTACGTTACACGTAAATTGATTGTATAATAATTCAGCTATAGTTGTATATTTGGATGTCCAGAAGTTTGGCTTGACAGACACGTTTGTGTTCTTCTCTAAAAAAGCCCCATTTTTAATTAGATCTATAATGTATACGAAAGTATGAATGAATAATTTTATTGTTGATCAACAGTGATAAAGCCACTGTCCCTATATGCTTGAAAGGTTTATAAGGTTTCTTATCTGTCATTTGTGATATTATCTAATTGATCTTATCTCTGAGCCTTGCATTGACATCATTTTGATAAGCGAAGGCGTCCAGATTTCTACAATGTACGCTTAACAAAATAATAACCCAGGACAATAGAATCAAGTCAGTATCGACGCCATCAAAGCCGCTCATGATCGCTCAACTTTTAATGTGGTATTGAATGATTTCAACCTTTCATAGACTAGCCGATCTATTTCGTTACGCTCAATAATGGCGTCGTCCTGCGGGCTCTCGCCAAAGACATTTCAAATCAAAGATAGTAAAAATTTGATATATCAAGTAGATTTTAAACAATGACTATGTTTGATTCGAAAACAGGATGAAAAAAACTTGGCTTGAAACTTAATTGAAAAGACAGTAGTCGGAAGGTACAGACCAACTTATCATGTAGCATCATATCCTTTCAAAATTTTGTAGTATTGAGTGCAGTACAAGGTGAATAAAACCACCGGCGAAGCCGGCAATGGGGAGGGGGTTTGGGGGAGGGGTTTAGCCCCTCTACCAGGAACTTAGTAATGCATCTAATCCAACATTGGGTAGCATTGGTTTATAGGGAGTTTTACCGTAGCGAAACAAAAGTGCAAAGCCATGGTAATCAGGCGTCTAATCCAATACTTGGTGATATTGATCTATATGAGGGCTTGATCGCAGCGAAGCGAAGGTTCAAAACCATAGTATTCAGCAGCAATTTGATTTCTCATTCCCTAAATTAACAAATAGCAGATCTTTATTATTACAGACTTGAAATGTCTACGGCGACAGCCCGCAGGGCAACACCGTCATCGAGCGTAGCGATATTGCATCTAATTCAGAATTTGGTAATACATTAGTCTTTATGGGGTTTACCGTAACCAAGCAAAGGTGTAAAACCATAGTGTTCAAGCAGCAAATTTGAGTTTCATTTCCATTGTTAATAAGCTTATCAACAACATACGGCATCAAAATTTGCATGAATTAGCCTTACCAAAATCAATACGCCTCCTGTTCGAATTAGAAGTTGCACAAACTGCAGAACTGCCTTTCCAGAAAACTTCAGCTACTAAAGATGTGATTTATGCCGTGTAAATAAACTCTGTAAAGCAATACGTAACCAAATTTGACAGCTTTCAAGCCTTCATATCTTGACATGTAGACTTTTATGAGCCACTGGAATGACGCCAAGCAATTGTACTGGAGTAGTATTAACTTCCTGACACATTTGCTCAACTTTTTGGGCCAAAAAAAATATGGCCAAAAATCGACCAAAAACCATGAGGTACCCCTCATGGTTTTCACCCGAAATCAAGCAATCGCATTTTTTACCTTAAAAATGAAGACTTTTACTATGGTATATATCAAATCAAAATGTTTCGACTGAACTTCTTGAGCAATTTATGAAAATAAGAAATGAGGTTTCTGGCCAAAAAATCAAAATTTTGCATATCAAGGTTCCACAAAGATGATTTCAGAGGTTACATTAGATCGATAGAAACATTTTGATTCAATACATGCCATAGTAAAAGTCTTCATTATCAAGGTAAAAAACGCGATCGTTTGATTTTCGATGAAGACCATGAGGGGTACCTCATGCTTTTTGGTCGATTTTTTGCCATGTTTTTTTTTTGGCCCAAAAAGTTGAGCAAAGGTATTAGGAAGTTACTGCTACTCGAGTACAATTGCTTCGCGTCCTTCTGGTGGCTCAGAAAGGTCTATATGTCGAGATATTAAGGCTTGAAAGTTGTCAATTTTGGCTGTGTTTTATACATTTGCTTGTCAATAGGCAAATTTTTGTTATGATATCAAGGCGTAAAGACATTGTATATATTAATCTAGGCTTAGAGCATTATGTTAAATCTAAATATTCAGCTGGAAATATTAGGTTGAGTGGCACTGTTAAACCGTTGTATCAAAGCACAATAATACAGCTTATTGGTGACATAATGGCAGCTCAAATTACTAGGTGGTCATATTAAAGCTAAACGGAGTTCCCTGATACATAAGAAAAAATCTGCAAAATGGAATACAAAACTTTTGTTTCTTCAAATTAAATTATAACCAAAATGGCTGCCAGTGATCATACTTGTCTTACTGAGGGTTGTGGCAAAACTGCTACTCTGCAGTGTCCTACCTGTATCAAGTTGAAGATTGAAGGATCTTATTTCTGTTCTCAAGATTGTTTCAAGAAAAACTGGGTAAGCATTGGCATTTTTACTTCTGTTGCTTTTCTAATAAACAGTGTCAATAGGGTCAACACAAGTTGGTTCATAAGGCCAAGATTGAGAGTACATATACTTGAGCTGTATGATGCTGATATTCTTACTAAGATGTGATTTTATGATTAGGTGAACCTCACAATCCTTTCCCCAACTACCGTTACACCGGTGATCTCCAAGCTGTTTACCCTCTCTCGCCTAGACGTGAAGTCCCCGAGGGAATTATGCGTCGTAAGTAATAATGTGATGAACCGAATCACAGTAGGTACTGATGAAGTTTTTTTTTTGTATAGCTGATTATGCCGAGAGCAGCATCCCTGTGTCCGAGCAAAGTGTCCGCATGAGCTCTACCATCAAAGTTTTGAATGATGAAGAAATCCAGGGCATGCGTGAAGTTTGTAAGGTAAGGTCTAAAGGAGTCCATTACTGTAGTTAATAGAATATTCATGTCTGTTTGATAGATTTCTCGTGAAGTTTTGGATATCGGTGCTGCTGCCATTCGCCCTGGAATTACCACAGATGAAATTGGTAAGCCTACAGTTGGGCAATCCACTATGGCATGTAGACTAAACACTTATCATTGCCGCAGATGAAATTATCCACAATGCTACTATCGAACGTGGAGCTTATCCTTCCCCATTAAACTATTACAAATTCCCCAAATCGGTGTGCACGTAAGTACCTTGCACGTAGCATTTCGCCACAGCAATAGACATTGATCCGTATGCATAGTTCTGTTAATGAAGTTATTTGTCATGGTATTCCTGACAAGCGTCCTTTGAAAGATGGCGATATTGTCAACCTGGATGTCACTTGTTACTACAAGGGCTTCCATGGTGACATGAATGCCACTTATTGTGTTGGCAATGTGGATGCCAAGGGCAAGAAGTTGATTGACACTGCTAGAGAGTGTTTGGAAAAGTCCATTGCTATGGTCAAGCCCGGTATCAGATATCGTGATTTTGGCAAGGTCATTGAAGAACACGCCAAGAAGAATGGATTCTCTGTTGTTCGTACATTCAGTGGCCATGGTATCAACCAACTTTTCCATTGTGCTCCCAATGTTCCTCATTATAACAGTAAGTAGGCAGTATAAAGTCAATTGTGGTTGTATTAATGTGCGTGTGGATTCAATCAGATAACAAGGCTGTTGGTATTATCAAGGCTGGACACTGTTTCACCATCGAACCGATGATTTGTGAGGGTGGTTGGAGAGATGAGATCTGGTAAGTGGCAAGTAGTAGCTCATATTGTTCGTAAGATTGACATGTTGAACAGGCCCGATAACTGGACCGCTGTTACCACTGATGGCAAGCGTTCTGCTCAATTCGAGCATACCTTACTTGTTACAGAGAATGGCTGTGAAATTCTTACCAAATAAATTTAGAGATGCTAATTCTTTTTAGACCCATTTCTCATGTAAATACAAAAAATAAAACTCTGAAAGCTCAAGTATTTTTATTTACAAATGGTATGATTATGTTTACAAATTGTAGTGTATTAAACTTGTTTCGTTTTCATTTCAGCAAGCTGCTTAAATAATTCAACCATGTTTTTCGGATCCTTCAATTGCCAATTAGCCATGGTGCATTTCTTGAGTGTCATGGAGACAGTGTATAGATGGTCTCGGTCAATTCCATGACCATACAAGGTCGAGAACATGGATTCCTCGCATAATGCCATAGGACTATCCTGGTCGTTGGCATTACCTATACATAGCACAAAGTTGGGTCGTATTGTTTCAAGCAAAGTTTCAATTAAAGTGGAATAGCCTCCCGAAGAATAAAAGGAAGAACATTTTTGCACTTGAATTCTAGCTTTTGACTTGAATATCTTTAGTTGTTGGCCATGTGTAGCTGCGATGTTGACCAAATTCACTAGCTCTTCATTGCATATTTTTGAGTAGTACGACCTATTGAAGGAGCATGTTGGCCGCTGTATTGGACGTCATGTTCAGATGAGAAACTTACACTCTGTCAGAATTGAATGATTTGCTGAAATCAAGAGTAATCATGGTTTTGATATCAACGATACAAGAGCCCAACAGTTTCTGAACGTATTTTTGGAATAGTTTGATGATCAATTTTTTCCAGTCTGTAAATTTCTTGTCTGTCGTGAATGAGATAGATGTAGTTTTCCATGAAGCATCAGATGGCTGTCGAACAAATGCACCATACTCTGCACTAAGACCAAAGGAGTGAGGATTTTCTTTTGACCATAAATCAAGCTCTGCTTCTGTTTTTCCAGATACAACGTATACAGAGTTCATGGTGTCCTGACTGAGGGTCTCAATATAAGGCAAAAGCTTCTGGACAGCGGGATTTGCCGACTCGACATCTTCAGCTGGCGTGGTCAGGTTGTCCTATTTCATGTCAGCACTGAAACGATAATTCCATTCTCAATACATACGCTATCACAGATAATAACAAGTTTCTTTCCAGAAGCAGCTTCATAGGCTTCAATAAGCTGCTGGGTATACAGAGGAAGAGTTTCATGATCCACCAGAGTTTGAATAAAGCGATGCGCGCAAGTGGTAGCGTCATTCTCAAGCACAAATCGGTACAATGATTCATAACGCTTTTCAGAATCAATGGAACGCATGGTCAGTGTATCGTGAAGAGCAGTGACTAAAGCGGGTATGTCGGATGGGTCCTCGACAGCAGTGATAATGCCATTTGGTATGACGAGCGATGAATCTTTAGACATAATGAGTGGAGCATGGCGTTCATGCTGAGATAAAACAAATTCCCTGGCAGAGGTCAGTGTGGAGGAATGGGAGCCCAAAAAGAGGCCCAGATCAGCAGCAGCCATCAATGCTTCTCGCTCCTCTCTATCTAGTTCTTGATGATAGAAATGAACAGGCACAAAATCAGTATTGCCGTACAGCTGATTGATCTGGCGCACGATTTCAGGAATGGCTTTCAAATCACTTGCGGGGACACGAGTAGAACACAGATGAATGAGAACGAGGTGATTCATCAAATAACGGTCTTTGGAGAATAGCTGGGAGAATGCAGCTAATGTTCTAATCACATTTGCCACATGTGTATCGCGGCAAAAGATAATTTGTTTGTGGGGAAAGAGATCTCTGATCTCCTTTGCACGCTCCAAAACAGAAGATTTGAGAAGTAATCGATTGTCAACACCACTAGGAAATACACCTACGTGCTTGGATGAGGAAGAACACTCCATGTGTAAGAGTCTGGTGCATGCTGTAGCGAAATGGCGGGTATCTAGTTTGGTCTATTTGGTTGCGAGTGTTGGTAAACAGGTCATAACGGACACCCATCGATAACAAGGGGTTATTACCTGAAAACCAATGTGATCTGCTAGTAAAATGGATTCCAGCATGGATTTGCATTCTACAAAAATGATTCAATTTATATAGCAAGGGAGACAATCTGCTAGTCGTACCGTAAATAGCTGCAAGATGCTCACAATAGGGAAAATTAGCGTAGATGGACATGCCAATTTTGGCATTTGGCAAGATTTGGCCAAGATAGTGAGGCACCATAAGCAATTGATAATCATGAATCCAAACTAAGGCAATGTCAGCTTGACATCTAAAAGAACACACTTCAACTGAAACATACCTATATCGCCTGTATGATACCTAGCTGCTACAGCCTCTGCATAGGCCATGTTGACACTGCTATAATTCTTCCACATGCCGGCCATGGTTTTATCACAGTTTGATGGCGACGCAGGCGACACTTGAAATAATGGGTCAAGCACTAAATGTTTAATTGTTAGTTTCGTACTTTATGAATGATTGTACAACTGCAAGTTACCATTCACGACAAATGCGTATAGATCTTTATCAACGGAAGCATGCTTAGAAGGCCGAGAGTCGATGCAGATGGATTGTTCGTATCCAGCAAGTGATAGCGAGGCAGCTGCGTGAATCATGTACCACGATGCTCTGGAGCGCACATTAAACAGCTCTTTTGATGGTGAATATACATTTAATGGTACTGTCTGTGTCTTGGCTGAGAAGTGATTTGGCGTTGTAGGTGGTGAAGATGGTAGCCTATCGTCCGATGCGTATGTTGAGAATGGGATGGGAATGCCATCCGTACTCAATGGACATACGCAATGAATGATTTTCTTAATGCCACTTGCTGTCATTATTATAATTGAGAAAGTAGAAGAAGAAAGAGAGAGAGAGGGCGACGATTGCAGTATCTTATCTTTCGCTCTTATATGAATAGAACAAGATCATTCAGCCTTAAACCTTGCCATGATTAGGTAATTTAGGAAACGTTTAGCCTTTTCGCAATTACATTTGCCGCCTCGCTTGTTCTTTTACTGCTTATGTGTCTATCGTGGGCAATCCGCTCATTTGCAGGAGACTTTAACTCTTGATTGTTTGTGGATAAGCAAACAATAGACTGATGGTACAGATCAAATCTCTTCTGCTTGTTAATCAACCTTTAAACCTTCCGTATTATGTAATACAGACGGAATAACTGCACATTGATGCCAGAAACCCTTGCTACCTTTCCCAGCAATCCCCATGGAGTGGAAAACCTGGGCCCGATGCTTAGATAATCAACCCAAGAATGCATTTTATTAGGTAAATGTCAATCTAGGATAGGTTTCCCAGGGAAATGCCATCAAAAGCTAAAATAAATGATTCATTACATAATGTCTTGAGCAATTACCACTAGTTTTTTGTACAACAAGACATAGCATTATGTCATATACAGTGTACAAGCAATCCATGTTGCATACATGGCGGAGCACATTAGCCAAGGCACATTCCACTTACTCTAGAATGATGAGAACACAGCATCAAGTGCTCCCATTTTTTTTTGTGCCTGAGCAATAGGGCAAAATCAATAGACCACCAAGTCTGATCTCATGGTGTGTGAATTGATTCATATAGATGATCAACTGTTTGAGCGTTTCTATGGTAACGAAATGGATTTTAACATAATAGACGCTTTTCAAGGCTCGGGATTCTGCATTCATATGCACTATAAATGTAGCTTAACGCTTCATCTTGATTTGAACTGTAAATACACTAATAATCAAAAGAACAGCTCACCCCATCAGAAGCAACCCGCGGAATGTGTCTGAGTATAGGCGTTGTTGACCCATTTTACTCTGTTGTAGGTCATGATACCACTTTCGGTGCTACATGAAAGAATTGGGAATTACTGCAACTACAGTATTCATTTTCATTACGACTGGCCATAATTTTCACATTGGAGAGGGAGAAAGACAGAGATTCAACTACCAAATGGAAGCAAACCTCCCTTTTGTTTTCATAACGTGATGATCAGATGTGGCATGACGGTGTGTGTATGTTTGTTTCTACAACATCTTAATAAGGGAGTCTTGACTTCCTGCATGCTTTTTCAATGTGTGTGCAAGAAACTATCATTGACATGTGATAATACAAGATTAAAATTGAGAAAAATTAAAATGAAATGGATTTGTATGTTGTTCCTATAGTAAATCCATACAAGGGCTTCTTTATTGATCTTTAATAAGAGAGATATTGCAGTATAGAGAATATATGGAAGTTTCGACAACATTGCATTGAGGATTGATACAAACATCTGCAACGTAATTGGTGCAATGCTGATGATGGTGGTATAGTACTAATAAAAGTGTTGTCATGGCGTACCAGGTAGATGTAATTACATTATGTACATTTGAGAGAGAAAGAGAGAGGTGATGGACGTTTGAGCGACATGGTTGATCCATCATGTCAACGCAGTGGCACTGGGATTTGTTGGATGATAGTAGATGGCCTTCTCATCTTGCGGATCTTGCTCGTCCTTGATGATGGATGTGACAAACTTGAGGAACACCAGGAAGAGAATGATGGAATGAAGAACCATTTTATTGTGATATATATGTAAAAAGAGTTGAAAGAGTAATAAAGAGGAGAAAGAGTGAAAACAAGGATGTGTACTTATATACTAAATCACACTACATGCATAATACACCTCACGTGAAATCTGTCTGTTCACTATTAATTCTCTTTATAAGGATATTCTACAATACACACACACACACACACACACCTATTAGTATCCACATTGTCCATCATGCTCTCCATTTAGCACTTACCCAGGACATCGTCCTTCTTTCGCCACAACTTCTTCTTCTTCTTGGTCGTCACATGCTCTGCCCATACTTCAGTGCAATACTTCTTTTTGTATTTACGGATAAAGACAGGATCCCATAGTTCTGATGCAATGCCAAGATCTTTACAGCACCGCATAAGCGCATTGCTCTTGCAGCCTTCTGACGCAGTAGGTAATCCAGAAACATCGAAATAATCCTGCTCCCCTCTTGCTTGTGATACAAAACGTCCACTACAGATCAATGCGTACTCACGCGAGATATTCTTTGTGGAAATGGTGTGTTCTCCACGCGGTGCTAGTCCCCATCCACCAGGCCCAAATGCTCTGTTCAGTATACGTCTATATTTGATTTCAGGTAGATAGAGCAGACCATCTAGATACCATCCTACGATTAATCTCACGCAATGGCAAGTCCATCCCAAATCCAAATCTACCTGGCTTGATTTCAATATCCTCAGGACTGACAGGTTCAAGTAAAATATCAGCTACATCTTTGGGAAACTTCTCAGTGGATAGACCGTAGAATGAAGAGGACCAATTGTGCCCAGCTTCCTTGGGTTCTTCTTCTTGATCCACTTCAAGCGATGGTGATGCATCGAATTGATCGGATGTAGGGAAATGCTGAGGTTGTGTGGCTACTACTGGCGTCGCTGCTTTGGGTTCAGTATATGCCTTCTTGCTACTCACTTCAGTTGTGGTCTTGGGTTCGTATTTATTCTTGGTAGCAGGGGCAGCAACAGAGGGAGTGGCAATCTCCTTTTTGCTCACCTTGACATAGCGAGTGGTAGTGACACTGCGCTGTAGCTAAAATCCCAATGTTTAGAATACAGGTTTAGCATTGCGATTGTTTGGATAGATGTTACATTGAATCTCTGAAGATGGGCAGGCCTTGCGACACTTCTTTTCAAATGGCTGGCGATTGCTTGCATGTCAATCTACTGGTCTTGTTCAAAAGATGAAGTGAACTACGGATTTTGATTGTCGGTTCATAGTAAACGGGTGGTGCCTATGATAGACATTGGAGGAAAAATGGTCACTCTGAACAAGGAGTGAATGAAATGCCAAACAGCCATGGCATAAATTTACAATAGCCTTGAACTGAAACGGCCATTTATTCAGGATCCGCATATTTCTAAATGTTGCAAGATCATGTTACTTCTATAGAAAATCTCACTATCGAGGGCCTATAATGCGTATGGTTTCCATAAATACCAGTGTGTATACGTATTGAGAATAGCGTTCAAACGCTGATCTACTGGACCAAATGCTTTCAAAGGTCTTGTATTCAATATTTATGCTTCTAGACGGACAACATTTGAGGACCAGAGCAATGCCAATTTGTAAAATGAATACACAATGAGCGTGAGTAACTATTCAAGTAGTGCAATACGCAATTGCAAACATGTTAGTAGTGAGTGCAAATATAAATTACTAAGAAATCGATGTGAGAAAACCCATTTACAGTAAAAGATTTGGTGCTGATCTGAACACAAACCTGATGCGGAAGGTCAAAAGAATTGGCCGTGAGGTACTGATTATGCCACGCTGGGAAATATAGTTTTTCCATGCAAAAAAATGGCCTTATATATAAAGAGAGTTTGGCCTATATTTTCTCATTTTGCTTCGTAACTCTTACATTCAATTGACTCAAGATGAGTGCTGACAACGATGAGTGCACTCCTTTAATTCAACAGAATCATCGTCAGGATCCATCCATGAGCAAGAGCAACAAGAGATCCTATCATGTCTATGGCATGGCGCTCGGTTTCTTATTCCTGTTTGCTGCCTTTGTTCATTCATTCAGAACCAAATTGCCAACGCCTTTATCCGACACGCAAGCCAAGGAACTCGATGATTTCTCGGGCATTCATGCTTACAATGAATATTTGAGCCGTTTTACTGCTCCTCATTCTGCCAACACTCGTGAAAATGGTGCGATGAGAGATTGGCTCGCATCTGTCTCTCTCGAGATGCAAAAAGACGCTACTGCTCGCGGACTGCAAATGGATGTCATTGCTAATGATACCTCTGAAGTTGTTATTCCTCAAGATTGGTTCAGTGATAGTAAGTCTTGGTACAATTGCCCGATGTGTATGTATGCTGATCCATGCTTTTATTCAGATGAACACTGGTTTATCCACTCTCGCAATGTGATTGTCCGTTTGAATGGTACTTCTGGTAGAGAAGAGGCACTTTTAGTCAATGCTCATTATGGTAAGTTGCTACAATCTGCGCAAAAGGTGAGTTTGAGCGACTGATGTGGCTCGAGTAGATAGTGTCCCTACAAGCAATGGTGTCACTGACAATGGTATGGGTGTTGCCACAGTGCTCGAGATGATGCGCTATTTCATTGACAATCCTCCTCGCAATACCGTCATCTTTTTGTTCAATAATTTTGAAGAAGGTGGTTTGCTTGGCTGCAAAACCTTTATCCATCATCCTTGGTATGCTCCTGTCAAGCTTTTTATCAACCTTGGTAACGTATTCCATATGAATGCTGGGCAAAATGCTTGTTTCACTCATGTCAACCATTCTGAACTTTTTTAGAGGGTGCTGGTGCTGGTGGAAGAGCCATGATGTTTAGAACCTCCAACTTAAATGCCGTCAAGAAACTTGCTGGATCTAGCGCCAAATTGTTGCATAGTTCTCCTCTTGGAAATGACATGTTTAAGGCTCAAATTATTAAGAGGTACAGTTGCTGTAGACACTGACAGGCGCAAGATGGAGGAAACTGACATAAAGATATTATTAGTGATACCGATTACTCTGTGTTCCTCCAAGATGGTGTCCCTGGTATAGATATTGCCTTCTATGCTCCTCGTTCTCATTACCACACACCTCGCGATAACTTGGCTTACACGACTCCTGATGCTCTTCAGTATATGGGTCAAATGGCCTTGGCTGCTACCAAGGCAATTGCCAACAGCAACGATATGATAAACACAAACAAAGGTGAAGAGCTCTTTATCTACTTTGATATCTTGGGTCGTTGGATGTTTGCCTACAGTTTCACCACCTATCAAATTATCAACGTCATTGCTCTTTTGCTTGTTCCTGGTGTGGGCCTCTTCTTGACCTTAAAAAACAAGCCTTCTCAACAGACCACTTCATCGCTCATTAAGGAAAAGCTTTGCCTCCTTGTTCAAGGTGTCATTGCTGTCTTTTCCGCTGTGATTTTTGCTGCCTTGTTTATCGGTGTCGCTGTAGTTGCCATGTGCAAGATCAACCCTTCCATGACCTATGGTGATGTCTATGGCGCTGGCCTTTATACCTTTGCTGCTGCTTTCTTGGGCATACAATTCTCTCAATTGGTTCTCCCCATGAAACTCAAGCAAACCCTCGCTACCACGGATGCTGCTTGGTATGGTTTGCTTTCATTCTGGTCTCTTTTCCTCGTGCTTGCCATGTATGCTGGCTCAAAGAGCATTGCTAGCTTGTACTTTGTTGTCTACTTGTTGGCGTTCAATGCGTTGGCTGCCTTGCTTCAAGCTGTTGTCCCTGCCACTCAAAAGTTCCGTTCGCCCTTGATCTTCTTTACTCAAACCATCATGCCATTCATCTTTTTGTTGGAAATTGAGTTCTTGGCCATGGATGCTTTGCGTCATGCCACTGCTGATGGTACTCCTGAAATCGCTGTCTACATCTTCATTGCTCTTCCACTCTTATTGATTGCTTTACACTTCGTGCCCTGGGTTTATGTTGCTGGCAACTACCGCAAGGTTACCATCGCTGCTGCTGTGGCCTTCTTCTTTTTGTTCACTATTTGCTCTGCTCTGCAACCCTTCAATGGCTCATGGTCTCCCAACAAGCTCATCTTTAGACAAGAGTACAACGCCGGCGATGCCTTGGCCACTGTTATTGTCTCATCTGCTACTGGTGTGCAAGCTACCCTCAAGTCTTCCATTCCTGCTCACGAATACAATACCGTTGAATGTAGCCCTTTCAAGAAGTACTTGACTCGCTGTACCTATCAAACTGACCTATTGCCCAAGTATGGTGGCAACGATACCTTGTCAGAATTTGTGTTGTCCGAGGTGGAGAAGACTTGCTCAGAGACCACTTGTATCTCATCTGTTACCTATGCTTCCAAGAACAGTTTGATGTGCCGTGTCCTGTTTGATCCAGCTCAAAATGACTATGAAACCATTCAACATGCCTGGGTCAATGGCAGAGAGCATAAATCCAGCAACATCTCTTCCATCATCACTTATATCAATGATTATGAACAACCTGTTAACGTCAAAATCGAGTACCCCAAAGAGAGATATCCCAAGGCTACCTTTAGTTGTTTTTACGATGAATGGACTGAATTACAGATCCCTGCTTTCAATGCTTTCCGTGATAGCTTGCCTGAAAGCGCTACTGTCTTGATCCGTGGTCAAGGTATTGCTCTAGTCAATTATAAGAATGCTACTCTTTAAAACTTGTATTTAAATAAATCAGATCATAATCTTGCTTTTCAATTATACGATGAATCATTTGTATATCAAACAAACTGATATTCAGTGATCTATGTCTACATTTGGCCATGTAGAACAGCTCCATGTGACCAGCAAGCTGTCTGCATTTTGTGTTTTTGTGACGGTACGCAAAGCAAAAAAGTAATTTTTTTGCATTTATCTCTTTTATCAAATCAATCAAAATGGGTCCAAAACGACAAACTAGAAACAAGGGCAAAGGAAAGGCATCAATGGCGATACCAACAGGGGACACAGACACAGAAGATGTCGATGTATCCGCTCTAATGAAAGGTACAGGCATCTTGGATCTTGCCAATCCCAGCAGTATCAACGAAATCGAACAAGCAGATGACAGTAAAATGGAACTAGAAGAAGAGGGCTTTGAGGAGGACGATGACGACGATGACGATGACCAAGACTCGCTTGATGAGTGGATGGAAGAAGACGACGAGGACGAGACAGTGGATGATGATGAAATAACGTACAGTACATCGCTATAAGCATACGCCCAGGACACTGACAGAAATTGCTCATCACAGGACGCTTCTCAATCAATCAGCAGAGCAACGCTCCAAATTAAAAACAGGTGATTTGGATGAATTCCAAAGGGAGATGGAGGAGTTCGACAACAATTTAGCATTGACATCTGGCATTGGTCTGAATCGTGTCAAAAGGTCTACCAAGAAACGCATTACAGCAGGCGAGTTGAGACTCAGTGATGAAGTAAAGCGGGTACTGGGTCAAGCCAACGGGCTATATATCCAAAAAGATTACGGCAGTGCCGTGGATCTACTGCAAAATATCATCAAGGAAAACCCGCAGGCCTATCCAGCGTGGAATACATTGGGATTAGTGCATGAAGAGCTGGGGAATACAGAGAAATCACTCCAGTTTCGTATGACAGCTGCTCTCTTGACAAATGACAATGATCTATGGAAGGAATTGGCACAGAAATCAATGTAAGTCTGTTGCAGTTTGAGCCATTGATCTAGTACTGATACGATTATAGTGAATGCAATGCTACTCGCCAAGCTATCCACTGTTTCTCCAAAGTCATCAGCAACGATCCAACAGATGTCGATGCTATTTGGGATCGTGCATTTCTCTACAAGCAACTTGACGACACTACAAAGGCCATTGAGGGATTTAAAACTATTCTAGAGCACTATCCACATCACTTCAAGGTCATCAACGAACTGGCTCACTTATACCGAACCCAAGGCAAAACCAAGGAAGCGATTCAAATGTACGAGGACGCGATTGTTTGGCATACAAACAACATTGAAGAGGACGAAGATGAGGACGAAGAAGAAGGAGTAGAAGATGACTTCAAAAACAAATTGGGATATTCTGAAATCAACATGTTGAGTGAACTATACCTGATTCTGAACGACTACAAGAAATCACTCAACACGATCAAAACCGGTTTGAGACTGATTCAAAAACGCCAAAACGAGACTTGGTGGGTGGATCGTGATGATGACGATGAATACCTGGAAGATGATGAAAGTAGAACAGAATTTCCCATTGAATTACGAGTGAGAATGGGTGTTTGTCGTGTGTATATGAATCAAGTGAGATTGGGCACAGTAAGTTGGGCATTACTTGTTCTTGTTATTACCAAGAATTAAGTTACACTCCATAATAGGAACATTTCAAATATTTGTTGCAATACCCTGCTACTACCTATCCCGATTTGCATCAAGATATTGCTTATGCCTACTATGATAAGAGGCACTTTGATCTAGCGCTGCAAGTGTTTCAGAGAATTATTGATGTGTCAGATGTAAGTGGCCGTACCTTAGAGAGGCTAGACTTGCATACTAAAGACGTATCCACAGGAGGTACAAACGGATCTGGTTATTAAAACTGGTGATTGTTTCAAAGAGATTGGCCATTTGGATACTGCTGTGCAATTCTACAAGAATGGTAGGACACGTGTGAGATGTTATTGACATTCAACTAACCATGCCCAGTGCTGGAGGAGCAAAGTGACAATGTGGATGTGTTGATGTCGCTTGCTACTGTCTACGAAGAGCAAGGAAAAGAGGAAGAAGCTTTGCAACTAGTCGATTATGGTAAACTATAGATTTTGAATGTTTAAAGCTGCTCAACTCAACCACTCTCTTTAGTGATGGAGCAAGGTAGAAAAGCACGCAAGCAGAAAAGGTCTGACCTGGACAAGGACGATGACCAAGACGAATCTACCGCCAAGGACAGGCTCAACGAAATGAAGGAAAATCGAAGAAAGAGAGCCAAGCCATCCTCCTCCATCTTTGATGAAACGAGTAAGCAAAGTAAAGCAGAGTACTATCGTCAGCGTAAAAATGAGGATAAACGTTTGGATGATGAAAAGACGATTGCTACACACAGCATATTCAAAAAGCTGGATGAACAGGATGAGCAATTGGGCCCCGACTTGAGAATAGCAGACAGAGGTCTGATGCGTGATTACATGCGTAATGCGCGAGACCTACTTGAGGACTTTACGACGGTGTCAGCATTCTATCCAACCAAAAAATCATATCGATATACTGGCTTCTATGCTCTGCGAAAAGGAAGAAAAACGTACAGATACAACGCCGACATTGGTTTAGAAGCACACACTATGGCAAATCGTCTGCGAAAGGTCAAGATCAAGAACGAGGATGGCTCTACAACACTAGCAGACGCACCGTCGCAGGACATGGATGATGAAGAGACAAAGATGCACCAAGAAGAGGAGGAAAGGAACAGACAGCTCGTGCAAGCCACTCAATTTCGTGGCATTTCATTTGACAAATGGCTCTACGTGTTTCTTCGGTATGCATTCATCTTGGCTGTGACAAGACGAACAGAAGACGCTTACGAGGTGCTCAAGAAGCTTTCCAATGCCAATGTGTTTTATCAAAATGTGGAGAAAAAGACGGCCATCCGACTTGCCATGGTAGGTTGCGGTGTCATTGGCAAGAGCGAAAGCTTCATTCAGTTGGGCGCTCGTTGGCTTTGTAACTACTATCAGTTCCAAAACGACCCTTACAGACTATTCATGTCTGTTCTCAATGAAGGCATTTCAGATACTGTGGCCTATGCGTCTTATAATCAGCTGAGATACCTGATGAGAAATATTCGATTGATGGATGCACTTGTCACTAACAGACGCAAGACATTGGAAGGCTCAAATGACAATGCTGTTGCTTTGGAGGAGATTCTAAAACTGAAAGAAGCCATTCTAGCCATGAATGTGGACCCCTCCACTGCCAGTGAGCAGCACTACAGCCGCTTTTACGATATACCCAAGGAAACCGACATGAACATGATTAGCAACAACACTGAAAAGAAGGGCATTGCAGCTCCTACCCAATTAAGTCCTATGCTGCTGACCGTATTTGGAGGCATTGTGAGTCTGACCAAGAGTGTATTGGCTTCTTCTCGTAAGTAAAGTAAGTTGGACAAGCATGCGTGTTATGACTAACGATAAACCTAGTGTTCTTTTTGAGGTCGTATGCCATTGCACCCAAAGATCGTTTGAATACGCTTTCTTTAGGCTTGTCCTTGCTGCATTCAGCCATCACGCGTAAATCAGAAAACAGACATTTGCAAATCATGCAGGCAAGTAGCTTGAAATCCGAAAAAAAAAGACAGACTTGATAATAACTGTTACTTCAGGGCATGTTGTTCATCTTTGAGTATGCCAAACTGGCCAAACACAACCAGGAGGCAGAATACAACATTGGCCGTGCGTTTCATCTGTTGGGATTGACTCATTTAGCGGTGCCACATTATGAAAAAGCCTTGTCCATGAGAAAAGCAGCTGACGGCACTGTTGAACGTCGACCCGTGGAGGATGTGTACAAATGGCCCATTAGCGAAGAAGAAGAACAAGAGCTAGAGCAAGACATGGACGATGAATTCGACCTCAAATCAGAGGCTGCCTACAACCTGCATCTCATCTACATTACCAGTGGTTCCATGAGCTTGGCGCAGATCCTTATGCTTAAATACTGCTCTGTTTAATTAACTCAATAAATTTGACTCCTTTATCGGTTTCTTGTGGTACGCGCACAGATGCAAGGGCCAGATCAAACGAGTTTGGAATACGTTTGATACCAGTCGTGTGACTATGAGAGCTGTAGCTTTTGCTTCAGTCATTTCCAAACGTTGGATTTTCCATTTATCCATTTGGACATATGCCACCCAAAAGAAACCTGACACCTAAACAGCTGTCAAATAGCCTGAGCTACGTGCAAAAGGAAGCTCCCTTCCTGGCACGCCTCAAGAACCAGAATCAGGAAAAGGAAAAGACAGCTAGGAAATTTGAGAATTACGAGGATGGCCAAGACGATGATGATTATGACGAACTGGATGGAGCACAAGTAGTGGAACTGGATGCCAAAGGACGAGGTAAAACTATCAATAAAAGGCAATGATCGACATGACAAACTTGTTGACAGCCGTTTAAGAGGTGTTCAAAAAGCAGGATGAGGAGGACGAGAAGGACCAAGATGAAAAAGAGGAGGCATCCAAAGAGCCAGAAGCACCAGCAGTGGATGAAAACGGCCGCCTCTTGTTTCGCAAACAAGCGGCTTCATCAAAGCGCAAATTGCAATCTATCATCGATGAAGAGATCCAGAAATCAGACAAAGCATCGCTAAAAACCAAGAAGAAAAAGACCAAATCAAAATCAAAACCAACATCCTCTTTACTATCGTTTGAGCAAGATGATGAATAAATTTAGGCAACCAATCATCGAAGAATGCAACCACACTATAAAAATAAAGTTTCGTTTTGGATTTCCCTCTTTCTCTCTCTCTCTCTCTCTCTCTCTCTCTTTCTTTCTCTCACATCATGTCTCTCCCCTCTTCGCCAGCACCATGTTATCAGCCAGACAAAGTGTTTCAATCCAAGGTCAAACTGAGTAATAGAGCATTGGACGTTATCTCGTCTGTAGATCATAGCAATGTGCTTCGAAGAGTCGCATCCGTGCCGAATACCACAGATTATTTCTCCAGCAGCATTAGCAGCAGCAGCTCCAGTAACTCGACGCTAGACGATCTCGCTCCACCAGCACCACCACTGCCGCTGCAAGTGCACTCGACACCATCATCACCACGTCCCTCGCTTCGATCTTCCTACTCGCTTCAAAAGGACACTGTGCAAGTAGGGCCCACTGATTTTGAAAAGGTTAGATTGTTGGGTAAAGGTGACGTTGGGAGAGTCTATCTGGTCAAACACAAGGAAACCAAAAAGCTGTACGCTTTGAAAGGTGAAGCACTGACATCTCCTTGCTAAGATTCCTTTCAATTAATATATGCATAGTGTTATCGAAAAAGGAAATGATTAAAAGAAACAAGATCAAGCGAGCCATGGCAGAACAGGCCATCTTATCCACAGCAAATCATCCTTTCATTGTGCCTTTGTATCACTCATTTCAGAGCAACCAGTATCTGTATTTTTGCATGGAGTTTTGTGTGGGTGGTGAGTTCTTTCGAGGTAGGCTATAATGATTGTGCTCCAAGCAAATCAATGATACTGACGCCACGGGAACAACAGCTCTGCAGAATAGACCTGGCCGAATCCTCAAAGAGAATGACGCTAAATTCTATGCTGCTGAAGTGGTAGCAGCATTGGAGTACCTGCATCTGATGGGCATTGTGTTTAGGGATCTCAAGCCAGAGAGTAAGACCAGCTTTGCATTTCCACCCCACCCTACATTAATTGATTGATCTAGATATTTTACTACATGAATCTGGCCATTTGATGTTATCTGATTTCGATCTTTCTATACAATCACCTTCAGCAGCTCCACCCACTCTTGTACAACCTAATTCCCCATTTTCGGTAAGAAGGACATAAAGCATATTGGGAAATGGTACACTTACATATATTTCGTAGCGGCAACCTATGCTGGATACCAGATCATGCATGAACCTCAGGACCAACTCGTTTGTTGGCACAGAAGGTAGGTTTTTTTCTACTACCACTAGCCATGTATCCTGGCTCATGTCAATGCATTGTATAGAATACTTGGCTCCAGAGGTGATAAGAGGAAATGGCCATACAAGCACAGTCGATTGGTGGACATTGGGTATATTAGTATACGAAATGATTGTGAGCACAAGAGCCTGGCATGGTGTATGAGTGACAGACTCATTCTTTGTACATGTAGTGCGGATACACACCCTTCAAAGGGCCCACTCGAGACGACACATTTGAACTGATCCTCAGCCAATCCGTTGAATTTCCAGATTACTCCAGCAATCCTTATTATCGTGGGCCTGGATTATCCAGCCATTGCAAATCATTCATTCGAAAACTTTTGACCAAGAACGAAAAGAAACGTTTAGGAGCTCGCGCTGGCGCAAGTGAAGTCAAATCGCATTCATTCTTCAAATCCATCAATTTTGCATTACTACGAAACATGAAACCACCCATTATACCAAACAAGGACAATCCCATCCGTTGTATCCACTTTAATCGTCTCAAAGAAAGTATCAGTTTTGACTTGAATATCGATGATAAGCATCAGAACACCTTATCACCACCCTCACAGCAGGAACACAATCCCACGACACCACCACCAACAGATGACGATGATGATCCTTTTGTATCATTTAATTCAGGTACAACATGTAATTTATTGTATAATATTGTTGGTGTAACTCATCTCTTTGTTGTTGTTGTTTTTTTTTTTTTTTTTTTTTTTTTTTTTTTTTTTTTTAGTCACCATTCATAGGTAATCCATACGTGTAATCCATAATAAATACAATGCTAGATGCCATCTACCGTACATTCAGAAGACAGGCTCAAATTTGACATGTAAGACAACTCATCGGAAGCATCAATTACATCCACCTTGTTGAGAACTAAAAGACGTATGATGTGGAGGAGGCTGGCGGTTGTGGTGCATTAATGTCCATCGTTACATGCCAATGATACGACACTAAATATTCCTAGACCTCGCTTATGCTTGCTGTCAAACCTGAATAGATCCATTAAAAGCGCAGCAGTGTCTTTGTTGATTGCATTTAATACAAACGACATGGTATTTGTTTACACAGTGTTGTTGTTTATACGCTACATTATGTACCTGCTTTGTGACGCTCTGTAAAGCATATCGATGCATCATGTCCCTTGGTTGAGCAAACAACACTGGGTGCAGAACAGCTTATGTTCACCAAGTATATGCTGTATGGATGGTATATTGTCAGGATCTTCCTCTCCTTTTCTGTTCTTGTAATATATTTCTCTTTATTTTTCAATGTTGTATTATATTATTATTTATTGCGCTTTCAAGTTGGTTCATGGGGCTTCGATTACACCAAACTATCAATCTTGTAAGAATTCTGAGCATGGTGCAACGAACGCAAGTGCTACATCAGATTTGTGCGAAAGCATGCACACGGTTGAACAGTAGAATCTACTGCTATTCAGGCGGCTATGTGGCATTAGGAGATTTAGTGGTGCGAAAAGCATTAGACGAACATCATTACCTCGACTTGACGCAAAATTTGGTCTTGGATGAGACAACGGCAAAATGGGTATCGATACCAGACAACACACACTACGTTACAGAAGGATCACTCGCAGGTACAGCAACACCAATATCCGACTATCAGTACATTGAGGACGGCGGATACAATGGAACACCTTCCGTTCGAAATGTAACACGATTATTTGACTCTAAAACTGATCTATGGACCACCATTCCAAACGACAATAGAAGCTTAGCAAGTGCCATGTAAGTATCCCCGGTTTATGATAGCATGGGCTATAGTGTATACTATACAAACAACATTCAATCAAGATGTGCATTCGACTCAATGTTCTCCCATCTACATGCTAATGTGCAGCCTCAACACATTGTATGCCTACCTCTCTCTTTTTCTTTCCACAGCTACATGGGCACAGCAGTCAGTGTTCCGAATCAAAAACGCATCTATTATTGGGGTGGTCTAAGGTACACCCTCTGTTGTGTATAATTCATGATTTACGTGACGCTAAACTAATCAACACTACTACAGTGCTACACATTGATAGAGTATGTGTGTCTATTTATACAAGAGGAAAATACACTCATACGTACAAACAAAAATAGATTTTTGCCTGGAGCATCTGTCCTGGCGTGCTACCCTCAGGCACCTATACTCGTTTTGGCCATACAGCCACACTGGACAAAGATGGCATTCGTATATTCTACACTGGAGGCAGAATACGGACCAGCGATAGCAACAACAGTGCAGTGATTGACAGCATCAGCAACAATTCAACTCGCCTTGTGCCTTACTACAACCTGATCCCAATGAACGATATTCTCACTTACAACACATTGGATGCTACCTAGAGCCTTAGACAAAGCCCCTCCGCACCTACCATGTCCAGCAGAGATACATGCACACGGCTAATCTCTGTAAAACTGAACACAACGCTAAATAGATGACAATTTTTGACCTAATATTGTTATTTCAGTGCCTTATTCAGGAAAGATTCTGATATATGGAGGTGCAACGGATGATGGCAATGAAAAACGTATGTAATGTCGTACCAACCTGAAGCATGATGCACATGATGTTTTACCAAAATTTATAGATCCTTCTGCTGTATCCGACTATCTGTATTTGTTTGACTCGAAAACATTGGAATATACACGAGTGGACGATTACGAGCAAAGCCAAGGCGCAGGGCCACGGTTTGGACATTCAGGTAAACTACAAAAGGTTGTATGACTAAGCGAATGCTAATCCAGTTTGTTCAAGCCATTCTCTGCAACAATACCCTGTTTGTCCTGTTTGGTGTCAATCAAAAGGGGCTGATTACCAACGAGGTGTATTTTTTAAGCCTGGAAGGATCCGCAACATGGCTCAAATCATTCTCGCTCTCCTCCTCATCCTCCTCTTCTGTTCCAGGTGCCAATAACAGTAACAATAACTTTGATCCTCACAACACTTTGAATGATAAAGCCATCATTGGAATCTCCATTGGGTCCGTCCTTGTGGTAAGTTACACTGCACAATTTCATATAACTAAATAAAGGGTTTTGTTTTCCTTACCCCAAACTCTAAATCATTTATAGATTGCACTATTGATTACAGGCATCCTCTACGCAATTCATACGATTAGAGCAAGAAAGCGCCATTCAGCAGCTTCAGAAGTAACTGCACAAGAAGGACAGGCCAAGTGTCAGCCCGACAATCACAACAACATGTATGAGATAACACAAAAGAATCTGCCACATCTACATAAAGAATATCAGAGATACAGCTCTGCCACGTTTGATATGATCAACTCGCCCAACGAATACCACCATGTCAGAGCCACCCCTGATGGCGGTGGTCATGGCGTACCCATCTATGTGGATATTTCGTCAGATTCTGCTACATTGCATGATAGCAGCACTGCACCGCGTGGTTTTAGCTTTGATCATACGTTCAGTAAGCCTAATCAAGTAAAGAGCATACAGCAACAACAGCCAGGATTTATACTTCAGCAGCAGCATAGCAGCGGCTCATTACAGCTGCAGCCATCGTCTCTTTATTAGCAACCATATCCCTACAGCCGCATCAGATAATCTTGTAAAACCTTCTGCCATTTAGATGTCGGTTTTATTGATATAAAGAAAAGGAAAAGAAAGTATACATAGAAACAAGAAGTTTACATGAGCATATTACAACCATAAAATGAAGGGGGAAAAGAGAGAGAGAGAGAGAGAGGGAGAAGAGGGAAAATGCAAATGAAAAAAAAGGATAAAGGCATAAAATGTGGAGGGTTTTTATACAAGGTTGACTATATAGACACCGTTTTACCGATGGTATGAATGGAGGCCCATGGAATTGTCTCTTGAAGGTGGTTGCACATGGTTATTATCGCTGGAGAGATGAACAAGTGTGTTTTCAGTGGTGTCGTGAGGGATATGGTACCATTTATTCCATTCTTCCATGAGCGTATCGGGCTGTTCTTGTTCTGATGATTGCTGGTATGCTAAATGGTACTGATGGGTCAAGGGATAAGCGCTGCTCTTGGTTTTGTAACTAGAAGCGTCATACGTAACAGGGTAGCCTAAATTCAACGTAGCAGCACCAGAGAAGGATGATCTATTACTGCCTCTGCTGAATGACTGATAGTCATTGTTGTAGGAGGAGGTGGTCGAGTATGCATCACATGGAGAGAGCGAGGGAGGATGACTACCGGTGGTACTGCTGTTACAGTTAAGGTAATAATCATTATTAAAGAGATCGGCTTGCTCGGTGGGATAGACATTGTATGACATGGTAGAATCAGGCACATTATAGAACAATTGATGATAGGTGGTAGGTGAAGATCCAGATAAAGAAGACGAGGATGGGGAAGACAACAGATCTGATGATAATGATGATGGTAATAAATGTTGTTCGGCTTCCGGAACATCTCTTGTTGTGGTAGTCGTACGAAAGTGATTGAATAACCTTGAAGGTGATGATGGTGCTGTATTGGGCGTGGAGGTAGTGGATAATGAAGGAGGGATGTTGGACGAAGTACGACGTAATAAATGTTGTCTCTTCATACCAGCGGTTAAATGAGTTAATGATTGCTGTCGTCTTACTGAAGCAACAGGTTTCTGTAAATTATCGATGAACAGCCTTTCGCTTCCCTCTCGGATTGTCCAGAAGCAGCCCTTCCGAGGTGGGTTTTGGACATGGCCATCACGATCAATCTTGACAAAGGATTTGTGTAGAGAGAGATTGTGTCTTATCGAATTCTGCATGTGTCCATGTCAGTAGAGTCCATGTGTAGTCATTCACTAGATGTAATTACCTGCCAGCCCTGGGTGTCATTGGAGTAGAACGGATAGTTTTCAGTAATCCAGACATAGATATCATGCAATGTCAGCTTTCGTTCTTTGCTAGTCAGTATGGCATGGCCGATAATAGTTGCATACGAGTAGGGTGGTTTCTCTGTTCTATCAATTGGATTCCATGAACATGTAATCTCAATTGGACCCTCTGGATAGTGAGCGGTTTCTAATTCAATGCTTGATTTGGCTTTGAGTTCCTTCTTCCAAGAACAATCACTACGTCTACGTCGAATTGTTTTTGATTTTTCCATATTGATATATTGTGTATTTGAAAAAGAGAGAGAAAGAGAAAGAAAGAGAAAGAGAGAAAGCTAACAAAAAAAAAAGGGGGAAGCAATTATAAGCAGTTCCGAGCATTGTGCTTCCTAACGGCATCTTATAAAGTTGGGGGTGGTTACCACACGTTTGCAACAAAAAGATCTTTCCTACTTGAATCTTCTTTATCAGACCAGGTGAGTTACACCAAGCTATTTTCTACTATAACCATATAGCATCACATAGCAGCAGTTTCTCTAATAGAAACCGATATGTTTACATGTGAGGATGATCTTTTTCTTTTTGCAGCAGACAGACACTGGAGAGGGTTTTTGTTTATATTGAAATGACCCCCCCCCCTTGTTTTCATGCCATTCGCACAAATGGATAGACACTACATGCTACTGATACTAGCTTGCTGCTCCACTTGATGTGTTGTTGTTGCCTTTAGGAGCATATAGTTCCGAAGATTAGTTAAAGTGGTACGTGCGACGGCTTGGGTTCCCTTTGTGAGAGGTTACATACATGATTGCGTCGGTTCAGATGTTGTTGTTTTGTGCTATTTAGCCTATCCGTTGTCTTTTCACACACACACACACACTCATATGCTCCAACTTTAATATGTACATTTATATACCAAACTCACGCACACACCCATTTTAGCTTTGAATTCTATTTCTTTTTTTATTATCATGATGTGTCAAAATGGCATTTTCGAATTTTTGTACAATTGTTATATCTCACAAGTCGTCTTGCGTTGCTGTTGGCATTTACTCTTGTTGCTTTTGCTTTGGTGTGTTGACATTGAGTAATAAGGTATCAGAGTCAAGCATGACCTTGTTACCAGATCTAGAGATGACAGTGGCAATTTCACGAGCGGCTTCGATTCTCTTCAATTCCAAGAAACCAGGCTTGTTCTCAATGGCTTCACCAATCAATTCAGCAGATTTAGCCTCACCTTGAGCACGAACAATGATAGATTGCTTCTCTTGGCGAGCTCTGTCGACAATGAAAGCAGCACGTTGAGCATCTTGTTGAGCAATTTGCTTGGCTTCAACTGCAGACTCGAAAACGGGAGAGAAACCAACATGAGTGATGGAGACATCATCCAAAATAATGTTGAAACGCAAAGCACGACGAACCAAGTTTTCACGGACAAGACGAGACACACGCTCACGTTGTGTAATGAGCTGAGAAGCAGTGAATTGAGCAACAACAGACTTGAGAACTTCGTTGACAACAGAGGGGAGAATACGCTCATCATAATCTTGACCAAGAGTACGATAAACAGTAGCAAGCTGATCGACACGAGGCTTTGAAAGTACACGACAAGTGATGTTGACCATTTGCAAATCTGTCAATGTTGAAGGTTAATTTTCCACGTCTTGTATGCCAAATGTTGCTCCCCACACGCATTTCCCCAAGGACCTCTCATATGCCTCTCTCTCTCTCTCTCTCGCTCTCCTCTTTGAATTCCAAACAACACTTCAATTCACCATGATAAGGTATAATTACCTTTGGTACCGGTCAAAGAAGCGACATTGCGAGGCTTTGCACGGACATCATAAATGACGGGGGTCTCAAACCAAGGAATCATGAAATGAGTACCTTCATTGTAGACGGTATCTTGGACACCGAAAACACGAGTATACTTGATAGCTCTATGACCACCATCAACTAATATATATATTACACATGAGTACAACTACCCCGGACATATATATATTTGCACACAAAATTACCGTTGAAAAGAGATGCGTTGACACCATAACCAAGAGCACCGAGGACAGCAATGGCACCGACAGCACCACCGATACCCTTTCCGGATCCTTGAGGGAACATGCCTCCTAACTTTTGAGCAGCTTGCTTAGCTTGTTGTGCCATATTATATTGTATAAATAAGAATTAGAGTGAAAAAAAATCAAACAGCCCAACCTGGGAATATGGAAAATGGAAAAAAAAAAAAAGATGGATGGACATGGGGGACTGCCATAAAAATACGTCAGCTAGGCCTTGCAATGAAATCTTGCAGGCAAAAAGCGCAGTGGGAGACGCTGTTTCAACAAGAGATGGGATGCTTAAGGAAAACTTTAAAGGATGGATGTTTTGAAGGGCATTTACTACATGTTGCCGCTGTCGATCGTGAGCTTACTACATTGAATCGATAATGCAATTTGACATTGCCACAACCTCATCTTAAACCTAATGGCTTCGACGTTCTAATGCCTAATTATAAACGAGTTCCCAATCCACATTGCAAAACACTGTGCAACGACTAACATGTCCCCCCCCCCCCCTCCTTCTCTTTTCTGCGTGTGTGTTATCAATCTGTTATAGAGATGCTGTTTCAGTTTCCTTGTACAAAGCTATTCGTGCCACAATTCTGGAATAATCAAATTTAATCATCATGGGTAGAAGGATCAGCAAAAAAAAAAAATAAAATAAAAAAAAATAAAAAAAAAAAAAACTAAAATAAACGGCCAGAAAATCAACGCTTTTGGATATGCCGTATCTCCCATCCCACCCCAACCCCCTTTTCCAACTGATATTTCGTTTTACATTTATGCATAAAAGCTTTGGTTTAAGTTTACTGTGCATAAGGATCATCAGATTTGATGGAATCCCTCTAGAATGTCACCATTCTTTTCCAATCCAAGCATCAAAAGAATTACAACCGTACTAGCTTACATTGCAGACCTCTAACACTCTGTAAACTAGATGAAATCAGACGCTCTTTGAGTTATGTAGTCTCTGTATATTCGTGGATTATGACAGTGAATTGCTTTGTTGGTACCAGCTTTTTTGATAGAGAGGTTCGCTTCATAGTGTGCTGCTTTCATAATTCATCTTGCGACAAGCCCTTTTGACGTAATCTTCGCTTTGTGCTCTGTTCTGATTTGTTCATTTCTAGAGTTTTTGGACTCGATTCGACCTATTCTGCCAGATTCGACTATGTAAAGTGAGTTGATCACGCCGTACTTTCTAATGCTCTTATTCCTCATCATTGCAGGCATTGGGTCCACCAACAGTCTTTTCTATCACTCAGTATGACATTTAAAGGACTTTAAATAAAACCTGGAGCTCGTCTCCCCTACAAAAAAAAATACTTTCTAATGCATTCTTGTAGCACTTTTCAAGGCGCACCTAATGGTACCAAGTAAGATAGTTATTTTGAATAAACGTATTGAATAGTTTACGGAAATACAAAAAAGAGATTTTTATCGAAAATAGTCATATTTTGCATATGAAAACCTTATAAACGTGGTTTCAGAGGTTGCTTTGGATCGAGAGAAACATTTTGATTCAAGATATACCATAGTAAAAGTCTTCATTTTCAAGGTGAAAAACGCGATCATTTGATTTTCGATGAAAACCATGAGGGGTACCTCATGCTTTTTTGATCATTTTTTGGCAATCCCAAAAAAGTTGAGCAACGGTATTAGAACGCAAGTTCCGAACAAGAGCAATTATTTGGTGCTATTCCAGAAGTTTAAAACGGCTTCTAGCACGAGAAAACACGACAAATTCATACAATTTTGCTGTAGTATACGTATTTTGGAGCAGTAGTCGGTAGCTACTCAGCTGGCGAGTTTGTCCTGAGTTCTCTCCTGGTCGCATGAATAAAGAGGTAATACTTCGTGTACTTGCATGGATACTGCCATTAAGCAGGCACCTTAATACCAATTCTGACAGAATTGAAACTGCTATTTGACGAAATAAAAACTAACACGCGAAATCGACTGCAGAATAAAATACTTTGAGAAATTACTATGTGAAAAGACCGTTTCTGCAATACGAAAACGCTAACTTGCTATCATTACATAGAGCAAAAAGATAGCAATTGTCTGATCATCTTTTGTTTTGTAAATGAGCAGGATTGAGAGGTTTATCGCAAAATTCAACTTTATAGCAGTTACCATGCGCAGCGCACTTTCGCCATTTTGATCTGTCTTTGCATACAAAAATCCGATAACATCACATTTTATTTATTCGAGATAATAAGCTTCAGTTCCATAGCCTTGGATCATACCCAATTATATATGGTTTACAGCTTGGAGCACTTTTTGATGGCTTGACGAACACCTAAATCCAACATGATTTCCTCTGAACCACCTAATAATATGACACAATGTTAGCCAAGCTAGAAATTCATATTGATGCAGAATCAATTAAATACCTGGAATGGCATAAGCTGTTGAAATAGAGTAAAAGTATAATTTAATACAAGTATGTCGATTGAGTATTGTTCTACAATACTGACCTCTCACTTCTCTGTATAATCTCTCAATCTTTTCACCTTGGCCACCTCTAGTGTAAGCCAAACCACCAAAGATCTGAGCAGCTTCACGAGCACAGTACTCAAATGTTTGTGTTGACTGTGCTTTCAACAAAGCAATTGGGCCAGCCAATATAGTGGCCTGAGTATCATGAGGCAGTGTCTTGTATTGATACAGTATGGACTCCAACCAGGCATGAGTAGCTTCGCATTGACGGATCATGTGCCCAAACTTGTTTCTCAAGACAGCATGATCGACGAGACGCTGGCCAAATGTCTTGCGCTTCAAAGCATACTATACAAACAATCAGCCCCAAGATTTCATGCTATTTCACACTATATTTTACCTTGAGTGATTCCTCAATGCAGACACGAGAGAGACGACTTGCTTGCATTACGATTCCCTAACAGATGTATGCCGCTAGTTAGTATCAATACATACGAAAAAGGTTGATTTTTTTTGCCTAACAATGCGCTCATGGTTGAAGTTGTGCATCACATATTTGAATCCTTCGTTGAGTTTGCCAATTAAATGAGATTTGGGAACATGGACATCGTCAAAAGTGATGTACGAGGTGCCAGAACCCCACATGCCTTGGCAATCCATCTTTCTTGCATTGACACCAGGGAAGGTGCGCTCAATCAACAAGAGAGAGATACCAGCCATACCTTGTGCATCACCTGTTCTGACAGCTACGGTATAATAATCAGCATAAGCACCTTGCGTGATCCACTTCTTTTCGCCATTGACGAGGAAATGATCGCCCATGTCTTGAGCCGTGGTTGCAAGATTAGCCACATCAGAGCCAGCAGAGGGCTCAGTGATACACAAAGAGATGATCTTGTCACCAGCAAGACATTCAGGAACGATTCTGTTTTTTAATTCGTCGGTGCCAAAGTTCATGACAGGAGGAAGACCCTATCATCATGTTGAGTGTATCGAGTCATTCAGGATTATGCTGTACAACTTACAATGGCAAGACCGCCTTCCAAAGCCCAAATAAGGCCGCCAGAGCCACATCGAGCTAATTCATCGATACAGATGAATTCATGGAAAATGTCAAATTCAGCAGGTGTGACACCTCCGGGTAATCCGTAAGGCAGCAAATGGGCCATCTTGGGATCCAGAGCAGCGCCAGACACAGCCGCGAGGAAACCGACTTGAGCAGCTCTCTTCAACACAGACTTGGGAATTTCCTTCTTCTCGCTCCATTCATGACAAAAGGGACTGATCTCTTTATCCACCCATTCACGAACAGCGTTGCGAACTCGGATGTGGGATTCGTTGTAGTAAGGGCTAAGTGCCATGTAAGAAATCACTGTTCTCGCAACCAAGGCAAATCACTGTACCTGTTCATTTCTTGATACCATGAAGGGTCAGCGTAAGGAATACCCTCGCCAAATTTAGCAATTTGATTATCTGCCAAACCTTGAGACGCAGCAGCAGGAGTGAGGGCAGTAGGAGCTCTGGGAGCTGCAGCAGCAGCCTTCTCTTCAGCTACTTGAGCAGACCCAATGACACCAATTTGCATGGCAAGACCCACACGCTGCATGATACTGTCATTGTGGAACTGCTTAAATACTTTGGAGCAGTCTTTGCCTGCTTTTTTAGCCAGCACTTTCTTGCCACCGGGATGTTCATTCAAGAAGGCAGTTACATCAAAGACTTTGCCATCAATGATGATCCAGCAGTCATTGGGTGTGTTGTGAGCTTGCACTTGTTCAACGGTATAAGATTTCATGGTAATGTAAGTAGAGAAGAAATGCGGAAAATGGCCATCTTTTTTTGGGTATATTTATTCTGTTTACCCCACACATTGTAATTTGGATGAGTAAGTTTTAATTGGCAACCTTAGGTACCAGGATTGCGCGCATTTTGAATTCCTTCTATCAGAACCTTCCCTGACAGCAGGCACCCTTTACTGGCTCTGATGGTAAAAATCAACATGGCATCTTCGGAAGAAGCAGGATATAGACATTTGACATCATACAGGGTACAGCGATTCAGCCAGCTTTATTTTCTCAACACATTTCTAACTTCGTCCACCTTGTTACGATGCAACATGAATGTAGGTGTGATCCAGCGACCACAGGAGCATTGATCACCAGACCAGTTGTAAGCACCCAACTTGCACTGACACTTTGGACAGTCAATTCTACCTTGTAAATCGTCAATCAAGCCCTCCTGCCATTGCATTGGCTCAATGAAATAAGATGAACATGTGTTGTTTTGGATAGCTAATGATGCTAGCAGAGGGTTTAACGAAGCATTGACTTTGTTCAGTGATGCATTGACTTCTGAGTCGCCGGTGAATGTGGCATTGGTGGTGATGTTGATATCTGAATTACGCTTGTGGTAGGAAAAGGAGACTTGGCCCTGTCCTGCTTCGTGATCCACCACATGCTCTGATCCAACCAGCATACGTCTACACTTTCTGCATCTCAGCGCCTTGAATTTCTTAGTGTCACTTGCTGATGTTAAAGGTGTGTACTCTGGATCAGCAGCCAATGCCACATGCTCAATGTAGCCATAGTCTATATCGAATGGCTTAACACTCACAGCTAGCCTTGCCGTCTGCCTTACTTACTCTTTTGTTCTTCAGCCATACTAGCCACCAAGAAACGTCTGTATTCCACATGTTTAGCATCGACGTCAAACCCCAAATCGAAATAGAGTGAAAGTTGCTCCATGAATCCAGCATTGGGAGCTACGCTGGGACGTTTGCGTTTGATGATTTCGAGAGCGTCATCACGGCTGATCTTCTTTGACTTCATCAGACAAGCAGCCAACACAGCAGCACTTCGTGAGACACCTGCCTGGCAGTGGATGAGGATTCTGCCGCCTGCTTTGTATGTTTCTTGGATAAATTCATTGGTTTCATCAAAATACTGAATGATGTTTTGCTCATCGACATCCATCACACTGATATTCTACTTGAATGGTTATGTTTTTGCTCAGTGTGGTTCATCGCATACTGGCATTCGGTACCTTGTATTCAATCTTGACATCCAAATCGTTGTCGAAATCGCCCAGTGAGAGAACATGTGTTATCTTCTTGTCAGTAATGATGTCCTTTTTGAAAGCTTCGCAGCTGCCCAGATAGATGCGAGAGACAATCTCATGGTAGCATGGCTCATCAACGTCTCTCACAGAAGTGATTGGCATAGTGGAATGTTTGTATAATACGAGAAAAGGTTGTTGCTTGAAAGGATCATTTATTTTTTTATCACTGTCAAGCCACATTTGCATGGTCACGCTGTAAAAGGCAGGTACGATCGAGATTAATGCAGCATTAGAATCCAATGGACCGAGGATGGACCAATTGAGTCAACATACTATTATAGATGCGCCTTGCCAGGAGGCTAATAAACAAATGTGAGTACATCTATTCACTGAATGGGACGCATTGAGCGGCAAAGCCAGACAGATGTGCTCGAACTCTCTTGGAGATAATTCAAGTTTAACCTCTTGCTATTCAAACATGTAGGTACCACTAGAGGCCTTACTGCTGTCGATTTACTTGATCAACATCAATAAAAAAAACAGCTGTACACTGAAGATAATTTCAGTGGGACCACACACTTTACTTGCGCGACAACAGTGCTCATTGGATTCAGGAAACACAAAGAGCAAAACGCTCATTGGAATCAGCTCATGGACCAAGAAACATGTAAGGAAGCATTTAAGCGTTCAGCAATGATTATCAAGACGGGATTGCTTAGGATTACATATTGCTCTAGACGCTTTGATGCTCTGGCATGAATCTCTGTATGTAATTCTTTAAACTGGTTTGCTACGGAAACTAACCAGTGTGAGAAGGTTACCATTTTGCACATTTCTGTAGAAAGCTGAATGAATGTAAGCCCAACGGATTTAAAAGGATCTCTTTGGGTTTTGCTTCATTAGACTTCTAGCTTGCACACATACTATCGAATGAGTATCAGAGGCTATCAATCTACTCCACTACTTGTCGGAATACGATAGACTTTCCGTCAGGATTGAAAAGCGAGCCTGGATCAACACCAAATCATGGAAACATGAACGCTGGATTTTAATCTTGTTGTTTGTGTGTGCGTGGTTATACATTAAATGTGTAAACTCGTGTACCAAAACGCTTTCTTCTTCTTTTGTTCCTCTATTCAACAATCGCACACACACACACACACACACACACGATGGGAGCGATACTAGAGGGCGAATATTTTACACTTACAGGAGCCTTGATGGCTGTATTGTGTGTCTATGTCATATTTGGTCGACTATTGGGAATGTATATATTCGATAGCACAGGAAGCACGGGTCTTCGAAGACGACTGATGGTGCAAGTGGTTGTGTTGGGAGACATTGGCCGCTCACCACGTATGAGATACCATGCTACCTCATTAGCAGACTCAGGGTGCACTGTGGATTTGATCGGTTATGCAGGTAAGATGAAGAATGAGGTTTCAATTGCGGATCCTTGCTCATGTCACGCTGAACGCAGAGACAAATCCAGGCGCCAGAATCAATGTAAACCGTCATATTCGTGTTCGACCTATCCGCCAAGCGTGGTCTATTCCTAAAGGAATGCCAAAGATCTTTTATCTACTGTGGGCACCCTTCAAAGCCTTGTTTCTATCTATTCAATTGTTCTGGATCATGGGCTGCATTTCACAGAAACCAGACTTCATCATTGTGCAGGTAACAGAGAATCACTGCCAAATGCTTTCCCTGACACTCAATACATCCAACAAGTAGAATCCACCATCAATCCCCACATTGTTTATCGCTAAAGGTATTGCCTACATTCGCAAAGCATGGTTCATCATTGACTGGCACAACTTTGGTTACTCCATCCTCGGCATGAAATTGGGCATGAATCATAAACTTGTACGTTTTGCTAAATGGTACGAACAACGCTATGGCAAGATCGCTTTCGCTCACATGTGTGTCACCGATGCCATGCACAAAGAGTTGCAAAACAACTGGCAAGTGGAAGGGCAGATCATGACAGTGCGCGATAAACCTCAATCTGATTTCAAGCGTTTGGATATCGAGCAAGTGCATCGACAATTCACATTTTCGCTCAAATTGGTGGAGGATTTGGTAAAGAAGACAGCGGATGGCGAGGAATTCTTGGGGCACTACAACGATCCCAAGCTGGGAACACTCTTGACAGATGCAACTGATGATGGAGGCTTGATTTGGAGACAGGATCGACCCAAATTAATTGTCTCCTCCACCAGTTGGACCGAGGATGAAGATTTTTCAGTCTTGCTGGAGGCTGTCAAGCTGTATGAGGCATCAGCTAAACCTTCAGATCCAAGATTGTTGTTTGTAATCACTGGCAATGGGCCCCAGAAGAAGTATTACCAGGAAAAGATCAAGCAAATGACCTTGAAAAAGACCAGAATTGTCACTGCGTGGCTGGAGACAGGTGATTACCCTTTATTGTTAGGAAGTGCTGACTTGGGCATCTCGTTGCATACAAGCTCCAGTGGCATGGATCTCCCAATGAAGGTAGTGGATATGTTTGGCTGCGGCCTTCCTGTGTGTGCTATCAATTTCCCCTGGTAAGTTGCTAAAACGAGGATTGGATCGCAATGACTCATTGTGAACATATTTTCAGTTTGAATGAATTGGTCCATGATGGTGGCAATGGCTTGGTCTTTGAGAATAGTCAGGATTTATCAGAACAGTTGATGGTAATTGAACAAGTGTTACCAAAGGGGCGCATTTCTAACGAGATTTTGTGTAGGAATTGTTTGTGAAAAATCCCAAGAAATTGAAAACTCTTCGCGAAAGCGTGATCAAGGAATACAAAGACAACACATGGCAAAATCAATACAAGGAGATTCTAGTCAAGCTGTTCAACCAGAATGCGGATTGAATAGCGCTGTAAATCGATTGAAATACCCTTCTTTTTCAATAAATGTTCATTTTGAAGGCTAATCGCCAAAACTTGGTCAAGCTGACATTGTGATATCTCATCGAGCTACAGAATAATAGCGTATTTGCTGCTGACTGATCTATTAAAAACTCCCAAATGGAGGAAATCTTTAACGCTATGTAGACCTTGGTTGATGTATTGCGTTGCATTGCATTACTCTAAGCTGTTGCTTTTGCTTCAAATATACAAAAGTGAGGCAAAGAAAGACGTTGCTTCAATGGATGCTGAGATCATCAGTGTATCGAGGAGATAGTCTATAAATAAATGGTCTTCTTTCTGTAAAGTTTGCCAGAGCAGTTTATAGTAATCAAGCAAGTAGCGTTACAAAAGCACACGTTTTTTAAACAGACTTATTTATGGAATGTTTGTGAAAATCCCAAAAAATTGGAATCTCTTTGTAAAAACGTGGTTAAGGAATACAAAGTTACCACATGGCAAAAGCAATACGAAGGAGTTTTGGTCAAGTTGGTGAACCAAATCATGGCATGGAATGCCTTGTCGATCACCTGAAATGCCCTTTTCTTCAAATAAATGCTTTAGGATGGTTACATTTTCCAATGGCCCAGTAATTAAGTTGATAAAGCACTATTCCGCGCATCTTCATATATAGTCGCAATGTAAAGTTTACCGCTTTGATGCTGCAGGATGGTTTCTTTTTTCACAAAACTGAACATTGCACATGTTAAGAGCTGATGGATTCATTCATTATTCCTCTTTGAGCATAGGGAATGTAGGGCACAAAACGTTCTGCTGTACATCAAGTAACCACAAGACGCAATAATGAGGCACAGCAAATATTTCATCGCATATCCACTTTTGGGCATCATCTTGATAAAGCTTAATTTCCAGATGCATCATTGTATACCGGCAGCACATTTGGAATCAAGATTTAAACAAAGCATGCAACTGTTCGTCAAATGGATGCATCAGAATCCAAGGAGAAGCCGCTACAGCAATGAACAAAATTAAGGATATGATTACACAATATTTGTGTTCTTATAGAATTACATTGCGTATTAGGACAATCATACTAGTAGTGTCACCTTACTTCATTGTCAGATGCAGATGAAATTTGATAAAACTTTTTCTTTATAGTGCTAATGTCTGTTTGCTAAACGTGGCGATCTTGTTTCCAAGTATCACCAAAAAAAGGTTTTGATCATGCCACGCGAAGATAATAGATAAAAACCGTGTGTGCGTGTGCGTGCTTCTCTGTGTGTAAGAGAAACATATTTGTCCCAGAACAGTCCATGAAGCCGGATATAATACACATATTGCGATCATTTCGGATCCGCTCCTCCCTTTGCTCTCCTTTTCCATTATGAAAACTATAACAAGACGAAAGAAAGTTTGTGTTTCAATCTAAATAGTAGAAGAAGTATACTATAAAATATTGCAGCCCGATGTTGGATGTATTCTGATGTGAAAATGCCTAAATACAGCAAGACCAACGTGCAAACCAAAGCTGGTTCTTACTATATGACGCACTCTCAAGTTTACTTTGAAACACTATATGAGCGATACTCTCATCATTGCTACCAGTGATGGAAAATATACATTTGCGTTCAACTCATAAAAGGCGGGTCGCAATGGCTAATTATTCACCATTCATATCATCATTTATCGCAATCTCGGATCATTGCAATGATCAAATAAAGCAATAAGCTATTTATATACCATGTCGTCCGAATAATAATAAAAAAAAAAAAGGGTATTTATTGTTACTATAGTATAGTTTGTTCATCACATTTCAATCTGCATTTCGGCTATTCATTTGACATGACAGCATGGGACAAAGAGTAGTAGCGGATCAAATTCTTGTTGATCTTTTTCAGTTACCATGGCAACCGAGCCAAATATGCAGAATGTATCAGATCAGAAAAAAAGGACCTTCCAAAGGTACCCAAATACTCCAAAACGAAATATCCAAAAGAAACATATTTCTAGAGCTTCTTCTTTGTACGACATTATACTTTCCATTGTCCGGATTGGTTATTCCGATAATATATAATATTTATATTCTAGTCAATGGTTTGATGTTCTCTCTTTTTTCTCCTTTTTTTTTTCTTCCTTTTTCTTGAGAAAACCCTTTTTTACAACCTTATTTACACGTTTATTTTATATTTAATTCTTTCTCTTCTGGCTCTCTTTTTTTTTGCCTTTCTTTCCTCTTTCTTCTCCTTTAATTCTAAAAAGAATATAAATCACAATGGGAAATCAAGCAAGTAAAGTGATTGAAAAGTCAAAAGAGAGAAAAGAGAGACGCATCAACAGCAACTCAAAGAGCAATCGCCGCAGAAGTACAATTACATTGGGTGGTCGTTCTCATTCATCGCTTGTCATGGCAGCCAGCAAAAACGTTCAAGCTAACTATGATTGGATTGACGAAAAGCAGGATCCAACTTTGATCCACACACCTCCCCCTTTGCCCAATTCAACAAAGTCTAGACGCCAATCCATAACTGAATTCTTCTCTGGTAGAAAGAAGAGTCTTGCTCAAGAAGATTTTAGAGAAATTGACAGACTCCAGAGATTGGTAAGCTATCTGGCTTGATTTGATTTGTGTGGGTTGTTAATGGCATCATAGCATTATTTGTTGAAAAGTGCTCGCAAATCAAACACATGGTGTGATATTGAAGGTTCAATGACAATTGTGGATGTTGGCACGGGAAATGGGATTTGGGCCCTTGAAATGGCTTCTGAACTGTTGGACTGCAAAGTCATTGGACTTGATCTGCGACCTCCTACCGAACAGCAGGGAAAGCCAAAGAATCTAAACTACTACGAAGCAGACATTACTGAAATATGGCCATTGGAATCCAATTCGGTTGATTTGTAAGCTTTTTTCTATGTGAATTGCCTGATTTGACGTTGACTAATAGATACTTTATTAGCATCTTCCAACGTAATATGGGACAAAGTATTCAAAAAGACCAATGGCCGCACGTCTTGAGCGAAATGCTGCGAGTGTTGAAGCCTGGAGGAACAATCGAGCTGGTAGAAGCTGATTTGATCCATCATAATCCTGGTCCAGTGCAAAGAGCATTTGATGAATTTTATCAAAATCAATGCGCAGAGAATGGCCTTGATTTTGCATTTACAGGCATCATCAACAAGGAGCTTGAGGCAATTGGATTCTCAGAATTAGATCATCGTACATTAGATATACCCATCGGTGAATGGCCTCAAGATTCTGGTATGTATCTATTAGTAATTCATGCCACCTCTTTGTCTGACAATGGCTTTTTAGAATTGAAACAATTCGGCTTTATCAATAAGGAAATTCAAAAGGCATTTCTGAGAAATAGAAAAAGCTTTTATGTATCAAAATGGGGAATCGCACCTGAAGATTACGAACTGGCCGTGCAAGAAGTATTGACAGAATTTGAGGATTACCATGGATTTTCTCGCTTCAACTGTTGGATCGCCAAGAAGCCATCATCGTAAACAACGTTTACTTAATTTTTACCCAACTATTACACCACTATTTAATTATGATTAGACTTTTGTAACGTCTCTATGTAAAACCCTTCATTTATAGAATTATAGACACACTTTATGTTAGAATTAGTATTATATATACTTTATATTTATTTATGTATTCCACCACTTTTATTACCTCCCTTCTCTCCTTTTATTTCTTACTCTTTTATTATATGCTTAAATCGTTCAACTACAGAATTAATTTTACCAGTTGAAAGCTTGTTAAACATGTTGCATTGGTTCTGCCATCTTTGTTCACATTATGCTGTTAAAACAATGGTTGTAAAGACTCTTTTATTTGTAAGTATAATATTAAACATTAAGTAAAAAGTATAAGCAGGGGAAGAGAGATAATATATATATAAGTTAAAGATTATAGGAAGTAGGGAGAATGTAGTGGGATCAATTGAGCGAGAGAGTAAGTAGTAGAAAAATAATATATTGTACAGTAGTTCACGAAGTTTGGTGCGTTAGGGGCCAACGTTGCGTAAGGATCATTTCATGGATGTGCTTGATTCACTTTTATCTTGAATAGGGAGGTCGTGATAGCGAGTAGTGATGCTGAGATGGATGCTGTCTAGGCCTTTGCTGCTATAAAATACCCAACATTAGACTTTGACAAGACTACCTCGATACATATTTACTTACGTTCGAATAGGGATGACTAGAGTTATATCGAGAGGAAGGTGGTGTAGGACGAGGATAAAAGTAAGATGATTGATTACTATTACTGCTGTAGAAAGGAGATGTGTCTACTGATGCTGCTGTTGGTGCTCCCCACCTACTTTTCTTTTTAGGTTGTTGCTGTGCAGGTGGTGGAGCGGGCGCTGATTGTGGTGGTAAAGGAGGAGGAGGTGCTTGTCGTTGTTGTGAGATTCGTTCTTCTGCTTTGGCTTGTCGCTTCTTGTTTTCTTCTTCCATCATCATTTGTTTGATCAATTGAAACAAACTGTGTTTCTCTTCTTTCAAATATTGAATTTTCTCTCGTATTTCTTGACTTGTCAATGATGGCGGTGAGGATGATTGCTCTTTTAAACGTTTTGGAGAAGTTGAGATGGCAATAACTTTCTTTTCTTCGACTGGCGGTGAAGGCAATCCGCCAATGTGTTGTTGTAAGTGAATGGGAGAGGAGCCTTCCATTGGGGATGCTGTTGAAAGCTTGCGCTTGTTGTTGAATTTTCTCACTATGGCTTCTTTAACAGCATCGAATTGATCATTAGGCTGGAAGTGAAAGGTAATATTTTCCCTTGCCGTTGATTGTTTGATTTCGAATATTGTGTCCTTCATAAAAACAAATTGATTTTTAACTATATACAAAAATGATAAATGAGAGAGAAGAAAGGAAAAAAGGAATGAATGGAAGGCTGTACAATATATATCAAGACAAACATGAAAATAATAGACCGAAATTACTCAAAAAAATCTTTCATTCGTTGGGTTTCTGAAATACGATTGTCTACGACTGTTTAAATTGCACATTTTTGCAAAATTCCTCTTCATCAGAGACATGCTGCGTGCTCTTGGCTTGCTGCACATTCGTATTGCCATCGAAAGCCCTCTTTGATTCGGTTCATGCTTTGTATGTGATTTGTAAAAGATTGAAAGAGATATCATGCTTCGTTTGCAAGGAATTAGTTGCCATGGAAATTTAAAAATGAAATTTGCATTCAGTTGATTTGGGAACCTTCCTGCTGTTGCTGGCGAATATGGTTGATTAGAATGGTGCATTTGCACTGTGCTACCCATATGGCGGTCAGATGGTGCTTTTTATATACCATAGAGTAACGAAAAATGAAGTTGCTACGTATGTATCAATAAATGTGCGTTTGAAAACCAAACCTTTGCTTTACCATCGATTGAGGACCAAAATCATGACTGATATAGGCATAATCAGTTTACATTTCAAGCTTGTTAAATCGCAAGCGAATAGCACGCAATGTATTCATTTTGTTTGTTATCATGAAAAAGACATAGCCAAGAAAAAGAAAAGTGATGCGACTCTCCTGAAAACAAAAAAACAAAAAAAAAAAAAAAAAAAAAAAAAAAAACAGGAAGAAACCTACCAGTGTGAATCTAATGTCATTTGAGTCTATTATATACGTAGTCACTGAGAGGTGATTGGTTATGGAAATACAGCCTAGATGGACATGTTATAAAGTTTGACCCCTCCTCATCTATTAAGAGTTATTTTGCTTCTCTCAATTATATACAATCAAAATGGCCACTCCAGCTACTTCACAAAAAGTCCTTTCTCTCTACCGCAAATTCATCCGCCATGGAAACAAGTTCTCTTCCTACAATTTTAGAGACTACACCATTCGTCGTTCAAGAGATGCCTTCCGTGCCAACATGACAGAAACATCACCCGAAAAAATTGCAACTTTTATCACAAAGGCCGAGCAAGAATTAGCTGTCGTGAAGCGTCAAGCTGCTATCAGTCAAATGTATACCACAGGCGAACACTTGGTTGTTGAGGCACCACCTAAATTCTAAATCAATAAAATGGAAAGAAATTTGTATTTGTCATCAGCTTTATAGCTCTTGAGTTGGAGCTATCAACTGGAAAGGATAAATGCAAATTCGATGTATTTATTAATTGTCAAATAGATATAAAGCTGGTTTGCATGTGAGTTTATGAATTGATTGAATAGGGACGGAGAGATGACGGGTATGAATACATGTATTTGCTAGGATCAAGAGGGGGGGGGGGAGGGGATGTTTTTTTTGTGTGGGTTATCATCGCTAGCAAGATGGAAAGTGAGGCATTCACTGTCGTTTCTCTGTGGGATCTTTGGACATTTACAAGAGTTCAGCGATCCTCCGTGATGCCGCGCATTTTAAAGAGTTGAAGATAGCACTGCGAATTTTTGACCAACCAATTGGGATGCCAAATGTGCGCAATATCGGCGTTGCTCGTCGCTAATGTATTCAAAGCCTTATAGATGCAATATTAAACAAATTTGATGTCGAGCATCATAAATTTGTGTAGGCACCACCGTTTATTTCGGAGCACCAGCTAATGAGAAGCGTAATACCTGCAAGAGAAAAGCGAAATCACTCTATCGACCTTCACAGTAGTTCTAATATATAGGACATTTTGGCGATCCTCGCATTGAAAAAGTGCTATGAGGCAGACCTAATAGATCTATGTTTAGTATATCACTACTAGCCAATCAATCTCGCTACGCTCGATGATGGCGTCGTCCTGCAGACTCTCGCCGAAGACATTTCAAATCATAGATAATAAAATCTGGCATATCAAGTAGATTTTAAACAATCATCTAATAGTAAAAAAAAAAAAAAAAAAAAAAAAAAAAAAAAAAAAAAAAAAAAAAAAAAAAAGGCTATACCAGAGTCAGAAGGGAAAATTGTCCATCTGCTGATGTTGCTCTTAAGATGGAGGCATAAAGCTGGCCATGTGTAAATACAGGACTTGTGTAAGACCTACAGCGATTTTTTGAGGTATTGCCATTGCAAAAGACGCCTTCATAAGGCAAAACTTCCCAAAAGAAAGCATTTGGGCTAAGCAGTTGCCATTTCAACTCCATGATTCCCATTTGATCAGCATTGCAATCATCATTGTTATTAACTGAAAGGCATTTAGGTCAGCCAGCAGCAATGCCGCCGCCAAAATCAATTCAATCTCAATCTTTTTTTTTTCTGTTCAAGATTGGACAGATTTTGTTTTTTTTTCGACTTCTTTCATCTATTTTATAATGTTCGACTATATAAGCTGTGATGATCACCCTACACTTTCTAATACAGCCCCTGGTGGTAGGGCGAAGTGGTAAAACTCCCGTATGCCAACGGGAGGATCCCGGTTCAAATCCTGGTGAACGCAAGTTGTTTGATTTTTTGACCTAGTACTGATGTCCTCGTTTGGTGTTTTGTATTCTTATCCATTATCTATTTTTGACGATTTCCGCAAGATTGCATTGGCTCTAGGTTTCGCACCTTATTAGTAGTAGATTTCTTTCCCAACTTAGTCCAAAATATCTTATTCCCCTTCATTGCAGACATTGGGTCCACCAACAGTCTTTTCTTTCCCTCAGCATGACATTTTAAGGACTTTAAATAAAACCTGGAGCTCGACTCCCCTACAAAAAAAAAAAAAAAAACACTTTCTAATACATTATTGAAGTACGTTTCAAGGCGCTTCCAATGGTGTTAATTGTAATAGATGTTTCAACTGAAATTATTGAGCAATTTAATAAAATTTGAAATGAGGTTTTTAGCGAAAATAGCCATATATTGCAAATGAAAACCTCATAAAAGCGGTTTCAGAGGTTGCTTTGGATCGAGAGAAACATTTTGATTCAATACATACCATAGTAAAAGTCTTCATTTTCAAGGTAAAAAAAGCGATCGTTTGATATTCGATGAAAACCATGAGGGGTACCTCATGCTTTTTGGCCAATTTTTGGCCATGTTTTTTTAATTCACAAAAAGTTGAGCAAAACTGTCAGGAAGTAACTGCCAGATGAGAGCAACTGTCTGGCGCTATTCTGACGATCTAAAACGACTTTGAACGCGAGAAAACGCAGCTCAAATGCACTCAGATTTTGCTGTATTATGCATACTCTTGACTAAAAAGGGATAATATCTGTAGGATACTTGCCCGTATATAAAATAGCTACGTGTATATGGATGTAGAGCATCATATAAAAATCAAATCTACAGATAATATAAAGTGTTTTCATGTGTAAGTGGAGGGTCAAAATAAAAGTAGCAGTATTTTGATAAGATATGGAAGAGCAATCAGTAGCACGAGCTGCCGCTTCGCAGGTTAGTTATCACCGAAGCGAAGTGAAGGTGCTAGGGAGTAGTTGCTACTCAAGTACAATCATTTGGCGTTATTCCAGTGGCTCAGAAAGGCCTACATGTCAAGATATTAAGGCTTCAAAAATGTGTGTTTTATGCATTTGCTTACCAATAGACGCGTTCTTTTATGATAAAAAGGCGTAAATACATTTTGTACTCATTAATCAAGACTAAAAGTATGCTGTTACACCCAAGTATTCAGCTGGAAATACAGTACTAGGTTGAGTGCACAGATGTATTGCTGTATCATAGCATACGGATACAGTTCTTTATTGAGTTGGTGACAATTGTATGACACACTAGGTAATTTAGACGAAATAGATAGTCAATATCTAGTTATTTTCCGACTTTATAAAAGAGATTTCTGATGTATATCATAACAATAAGCAGTTCGTATCTAGTAACATCCAATGTGGCTTTGGGCCACCGATGGAGATTTGATATAGCTGTAAGACAGTTCTTGTAAGCTAGCAACCTTATCACAGAATATGCGCATCAGCTCTATAGTTTTAGGAATGGCCATCTACGGTAATTTTCTGAACCAACGATGTGGCTTTTGATGGGCTTGCTTTGAAGGCATCCAACACGCCGCCAACAGTGTTTTGCAACACTATATAACTTGGTTGTATACACGTTCAATCATAGTATGCCATGAGAAAAGTAGAGCGGTCTATAGATCGAGGATTAGAGGGCCAAAGGAGCTTTGTGTCCATGTCCGAAATTTGATGTGCTAATCAAATAATAGATGGTCTTTTCAGCATAGCATTTGATATTGATACATCTTCTTAATGCTATTTGCTTTACTGCTTCTCTTTATAGGCTTATGCATTACGTATTGAGGTTTGCCATATTCAGAAGTGTAAAGCAACTACTTTGCTTGTGTATAATAGAGTCATGTTTGTATCAACCTATATGCGATAGAGCCCCTTCCAATTTTCAATCCATTCACAGATGCAAATGTACACATATATACAATCAAGCATTTACGGTTCCAATCATTTAAAACGGTCCTGAATGACTCAATTTTCGAATCCTGAAAACTATAAAGCTGCACTCTTTTTTTCACTTCTTTCTCATATAGTCTGTCTCTTTCTTCTACTTGTATTCTACTTTGATTCAAGCTTTGAATTGAGCTTTGTGTTAGAGCTGTGAATTAGAGCTAAAAATTGGGCATAAACCTTGGTAGTTTCAAGAATTTAGTTGAGTTTTTCCTTGAAACAATAAATAAAAGCAGATTTAATGAAAAACTATAGCCAAAAGATGATACCGTCTACGGTTTGGCAAGTTGTAAAAATGGGTTGATCAATTTGATAATTATAAAAAGGATAGCTATATACGCAACATAAGAAACATTTAGTAACATCCAAATTTGTACCGCCTATAAACAAAATATGAGAAACTACTGCTTCATAGGCAATAGATACAGATATAAAACATAAATTAACGAAAGCTTATAAAAATATTAAAGGATCAAACCAACAAAATTTATTCGAAAAAACGTTACATAATCACGTTGACAACAAAAGATCGACGCTCCGTGTCGTACAAAGGGTTTCGAAGGATAAAATTTGACAGCTCAGGGCAGACTCAGATAGTCTATGCTGTTAGTGGTAAAGGGAGCCAGGAGTCCCTTTCCCCATGCTTGAAAAGGCTATCCTAACCCTATCCCCAAAGTCTGTTGTGGTTTCCACCACACCAGAGGCTTCCTGCTACCTCTCGCAGGACCAACATCTATGAAAACTTCTGTTAGTATTATATACTTCACAATAAGGATCATGTTGAGACTTACCTGCGACAAATGCACATAAAACAGTGGTATATACCAACCAGAAATGAGGGATCAAGATGCCAAGTTGACCAAGAAGATGCTGCAGATAGGTGATGCACTAGTACGATCAATATGAAAGCATCACCTTAATATACAAAACCTGATACAAGTAGACTAGTCTCACGGTTGCTATTCCGAGTTTGATCCCAGAGTAATCACGCAACTACAGTATAACTATGCAACGCGTCAAAATACCAAAGTAGGATCTAAACAGTTAAAAGTACTCACTGTAAGCAGCATCACAGGCTATCATTGCCGATAATGTACGAACTACCAGTGGGTATTGCACGCAACTATAATACTAAATATTAGTTGGTATGTCCTATGTAAGTTCTTCAAAAATAAGGAGACAAGCATACCACAAGAGAATATAAAAAAGTTGGAAGAAGAAAGAAACAGAGAAGAGAAAAGGATTTATCCTCAATCAAACTGTATCTATTGCTCAGATTGTAGAGAAAGGTGATTGAGATGAGATTGTACACAGATGTGAGCACCACAGCTTCAAAAATGCGACCACTACACATAGTGATCTTGGGATGTTCACCACTCACCAGTCGATTTTCAGGTTGCCAATGAAGGTGATCCATTTAAATAAATAAGGCCAGCGAGAGATAGCGCGAGGAAGCAGGAATGCGTAAATTTGTGTAGTATAGATGTCTAGGCTGATGGATGTTTTATCGTACTGCTTTATATTCTGGAGTTACAGCTTCGAACAAGGTCCAACTCAGAATTACTTAAAAATTGTAGAACAGTGGATGGTGAGACAGACTATAGTCGAATGTGTGATTTGAAGATAAGCTTGCCTAAATATCATTAACAGGTGTATATTGAAAATGACAATGATGTCTCCAGATGCTTTACGGATTTGGTATGATTCCAAATTTTGCACGAAAAAAAAATTGGTCATATCTTGAGAAAGACGCAACATATTTAGATAAAACAAAAACTATTCAATGATTCTACTTTGGATCTGTTTCAATGTAAAGGTTTTAACCCCCAAATGTACGTTCCCTTAAAGGTTTTGCTCAAAATTCAGTATTTTACGACCTTTAGGTAGAGACGTTGTCAAACGATCCAGAATCGAGTGCAGAATTGAAATGTGCAACAAATGATGTAAGTGATACTATATGGCTTGTACACAGATAAGCTTGTTTTCCATATATTTTAGAGGCTCTCTAAGAGGTTTATGTACTGAACCCGTGCCACTTTGCCTAGAGAATTGATCATTATTATTGTATAAACCCAAGAAAACCCCACTCAAATTGTTCGAAATCGATCCACAAAGAGCATTGTATGGACGTTTTTTTTTTTTTTTTTTTTTTTTTTGCTGTTGTTGTTGTTGTTATCAAAGGAAAACGTGGTTTTGCCACTGTAAACTCCCATATGGGTCTGGAAAATCGATTTCTGAAAGGAAGCATTGCATAACGTGCCCAAACGAGTTCTTATTTTGTAGAGCAAACACAGGGGAGCAAAATCTAGTTAATAGAGAAGAAGTCTGGCTGAATTGGCAGTTGTACCGATAATAATGTTGAAACACTGTTTTCTTATTATATAATGGTTACTTTATACTTTACTCGTTTAATTATTGGACAACCAATGTAGCAACTAAAGATCCCTTTATTATATGTTTACCAACCTCTCAAAGTGGGCATATAATCTTCCTAATATGAAGCCTTTACATGCCGTCAACATAAAGCGCTTAAGACTAGGTGATTCGTAAGGCCTAGTACTAGGTCAGTTAAGGGACATTGTGAGGATAGCGTATCAAAGTTGGAAGAATGTGTATACAATTAAAAGGGCTATTGGTGTAAAAACAAAACAAGCTACTACTGTCATCTAGTCTTGGAAAGCATGGCTCATCAGTATGTCAATAATCCATCGATAGCTACTACAAGTTGACAAGAGAAGGGAAATAGGATATACCTTTGCTTATAATACCTCAATGAAATTTATTATTATACGGTGCATAAATAATGTTACTCTAAATGTAGAGCTTTTGATATAAACGCTGTAACATTTACATTTACCTATTTGAAGAAAATCCAAGTACAGTACAATTATCAGATAATCCAGCACTCATCTTCGTTCAGGATGCTGCGTCGATGATACCACGTCCATGATGGAGTTAAATGCAATACTTGTATACAACAATCAGTATTTATACTTGTTTATATTAGGCCTCTTCATCTTCTCTTGCTACTGCATCCGCTTTGGCACTATTATTGCTTATTGCCGAAAGAAACCCAGTTTTCTGCTCGAAAGAGGTTCTCCATTGTTTGCCATACCTTTGGACTAAAAGCACAGGGATGCTATTGAGAACACTGATTCCAGCTAAAATACTGAATACAACGCCTGGTCCAGCCGCTCGAACAATGGATGTAGAAAAGATGGTAACAATAGCAGCAGCGACCGAACGAAGATTGTTGATTGCCATAGCGCTTGCTGATTTACCAGGCTTGGAGTCTACCAAATATACATTTGTAGGGTTAAGCGAGTTCATTTGACCAAGGGCATCTAACGTATTGAGGAACAACAGCAAGTTAGTGTTGTGCATAGCAAAGGTAGTAAAAGATTCTTTGCATACAGACAAAGATCCCGATCAAAGGAGCATATACACCAACTGCATTTTGACTTGTCCAACCATAAATCAAGAATCCTGCTGGAATCAAGAAGAATGAAGGCCTTACAGCCGACAATCTCATTTCTGGATCAACATTTTCAGGACCCTTCAACTTGTGCAGCCTCTTGATAATGCGATCTGCATACATGCCACTCAAAATTGAGCTTATAACAAGGCCGACGCCAAGGCAGAGATAGCAAAGCCCCACTTGCCATTGCTCGAAATGATACACAGATTGAAATGTATCAGTCATTGATTGATTCTGCGAATACAGTTACTACAACTGAGTCGATTGAGGTGCGCATATATACTTGCAAGAAAGAACAGCGAAGAGTAGATGACAGTATTGTACAAGGTAATTAAGACGACAGTGGGATCTCTGACCATAGTAATCATTGGATAAAATACATTGCGCATCGTTTTCAAAGCAACAAAGCGTTCTCTGCCATTGCATTGCTCCTTTTTAGAAGTAGCTGATTTACGGAGCGTTTCAGGTAAGAGAAATATCAGCATAATCAAGAGAAGTCCAGCTATATAGCAAAGTAATGAGTATATATACATAATAGCTAATAGGTATTCATACCAAATATAGCTATGAAGTAGAACGTTGCTTGCCAGCCGAGATATTGACAAAGAAGAGAGCCAACTGTAGGGCCAACAACCGTGCCAAAAAGTGGCTAATATGGAGATTGCATTAGCTTTCAATCCTTCGTTTTGAATATCAATCTTACCCCAACGAAAAATACACCATAGGCTTTTCCTCGTCGAGTAACATCAAATAGATCAGAAATGACGCCGGCACCCAATGCTTGCCCTGAAGTTGCACCACACGCTTGAACGGCACGAAAGATGACCAACATGACGATGTTCTTTGAAAAAGCACAGATAACGGAAGCTACAATGCCTATAGACAGGCTGTAGATATACATTGGCTTTCTTCCATAAGCATCGCTCATACTTGACCAGAACAGAGGCTTCAAAAATATCAAAGAGAAAAATGTCATTTGTATGTATAAAGTATCCATAGGTCTATATACTCACGGCAATGCCAGCAAATACAACATAGGCGGAGACAGTACTATCAATAGCTGGTAGTGAAGCATTCAGATTATCGGCCATTTGGAGGATACCAGGCAAATAGATCAATTGAGCCATTGAGCCATTGATACTAATCAGGGCAATCAGAAGCACAATGGTATTCTTTTTCGTGGGTGAATACAACTGCGGATCATCGGAAGAATAGATATCGCCCAAGACCTTGGCTACAATTGACTTGACATAGCCTTTCTTTTGATTGTTGACAGTGTAAGACGATAGACCTTCTTCATTTGTAGCAGTTTCGCTAATTCGATCCTCCTCGACGACGATTTTGTTAATCTCTGGAGCATTGTTTGTGCTTGGGTTCTCTTGCTTCATTGTAGATATTGATTTATATTACACATTAAAGATCTATTTGATCTGCCTATATATATATATATATATATATAAAGCTGATCTTTTTGTTTACGTTACAGACAGTTGGGTGAGTCATGATGCTTGGTTTGGTACGAAGTAGGAAAAACTGCACAAATAAAGGAATTGATCCAGAATTTAGAGATACACAAAGTTTCCGGGGTAAAGTTAATGTTGAACAACGCTCATTGTAAACGCGGTTTTCGTCCGATTGAAACCGAATGTACGAAAACGCCATTACGGTATTTGACGTAGCATCTATCGACACGTATTTCATAGATTCCAGGCCATTTACAAAGCGTATTAATTCACACAATGGTATATATGCTTAGCAATGTGATCACTATCAAGATGGAAATCATTGTGATGATCAACTCGTGAAACGTGAGTCACTATCTGATGTGGTGGTCAGTCATGCAGGAACCAATGCAGCGAACGCATTTGATCAATTGCACCTCCCACATTTACGTTGGTCATTCTTAGCTACTGTAGCGATGATCTGAATTCGACGAGTGTAGATGATATGATTGATCTGGCAGATCATGCTGATCTTTATTCTTCTTTTGTGGTAGAAGTAGTAGTACTAGATTCGGCCTTGATCTCGCCTCTAGCAATGCGTCTCAATGAGATAAAATCAGCCATGAGAGCAGTTTCTTCCTCAATGATTTTAAACACACTCAGCATGTCTTGCCCCTTTCTCTTTAGCAACATGCTTGCTTTTTCACGCACGCCCTTGTTTTCCTCGCTTAATGAAGCAATCAGTAGACACACGCGCTGCAATGTGAACAAACCAGCATCCAGTCGTCGAACGTAGAAATCAGCTTCAAAATCCTCGAAATCCTCTTCATCCAGCACACCTCTGGCATCTTCAAGCTCCTTCTTGACAGCTTCGTCCCTGTTCTCGTATTGTTCCTTCATCTCGACAAGACGGTCCACCTTTTCATAGTCGTCCTCGGTGAATTTGAGCAATAATCGCATGCGCTGTACGTCTTCTTGAGTGAGATGTCTTAAAAGCGATAAAATGATACATGAAATGTGTTCTAGAATGGCTTAAGTTGTCAAGAGCAAAATCAATCTACTGGCTGTAATTACCTTCGTCTTCAGATTCGTTGAAGGCAGAATGATGTGATTTCTTGAGCTTCTTGTTACCTTTGCCCATAAAGAGAGGAAACAAGGCTTTGAGGCCAGAAGCATCCACAAATCGAATACATCTGTCTCTGCCGCCTTCTTCTCCACTCAAAGCGTAATTTAACACCTTGACAGCTCTGATACGAGCCAATGTCTTTTCTCTGTGTGTCATGATGATGAGTAACCATATTTGGACTGTAGAGTGGATCTACTTACTTGAGCATAATCACCATCAACTCAATACCCTCTGACTCCAAGAAGCGTTGCTTATTTTCTTGTTCATTCAGCAGTGAGCAGATGGCATTGAAAAAGTTCTCTACCATTTCTGTCTCGTCTTCAGAAGCAGCGTCTTTGCGTCTGTATGCCTAATTTTCCAACACTCAATCCCAGGACAAATTTTGTATCATTAAATTCTACTTACAGACAGTGCCCTTAAAAGAATATCCACACCATCCAATTCGCCCACCTTCAAACGAATATCTAACAATCTCACAACTTAATACAAGCTTCTCGTCCAACGACTCAGTGTATACATACCTCTGTTGTCCTGCAAAAGAATGGAGAGTATTTCACTAGCGTACCCAATGTTGGCATCAAACCCCTTGACTTGCAGTCTTTTGAGTAACCAAGGCAAGATGTCAGTCTTTAGCGCAATGTCTTCCGCATACTTTGGTTCTAATGAGATGATGTTTTCAAAGATACCTAGGATCTTGAAGACGCCTTGACGATCTGATTCTTCCTGTTCGTTCAATCTACCCAAGTTTTGCACCAGTAGCTGCAAAAGTTCATTTTCCAGCTATTTCTGATATGAGTTTCTTAGTCTGCCAGTTGTTCGCATTCTGACCTTACCATGGCATCCACAAAGGCTTTGATGCAAGACTGCACTTGTTCAGATCTCTCCAACTCCTCTTCAGATGAGCCGACACCCACATCTTCATCTGTCAATTCGTTAATGAGATCAATCGTGTCGATGGCAATGTCTGTGTTTTCATGACTCAACAGTGACATAAGTGAAGCAACACTGCCAAGATTCACGAATTCTGGGTACATGTGAGGCGCTTCAGTCAATGTTAATAGATTCTTGATCTCCTCGTCCAAGTCTGCCTCTGATTCCATGAACTTTTCTGGTTGATCCGCATAGCGCACGCGCATCTCTTGGTTTTTGTTGATGGCCTTTTCAAACTTGAGAATCATCTTTTTGACATTGGCTGCTGTTAATGCTTCAGTCTATGTGTTGATATCAGCATCAAATCATTCAATTTCATGTGCAGACATACCTCATCTACATCGTACTCGTCCACTAGATCAAGAATATTGCTCTGCTCGCTTGTCAATCCGCCGCCAAAAAATCGGCCTTCCTCATCATCTAATTCAGTGTCTTCGTCTTGGTACCGTTCAGCTGTGTAGGGTGCGTCTTCATCATCGTCATAATCCCCTCCCATGTTTCTTCTCTTAGACGAGGGCTCTTCAGCAGAGTTGTCTCCAGTTTGCTCGCCAGGCAATGTGGATGCCTCCTTGTACTTGTCAAAGAACTGCATATCGGGTGTAGCAGGCATTTTTCGTTTGTTACGGCCAGTTGGGATGGCTGGCATCTGCAACATATGGTACGCGCGTTTCAGAGGTAAATCACTCCCGTAACTCTTCATATACATACCTTGAATAGATCGTCGATATTCATTGTTGTAGGTCCCAATTGAAAAATCAGAGGTTAAAAGTGCTCTCATGTAGATTTAGGAGGGGGTTTATATGATTATGCCATCATGTCGTGACTCTGGTTCGACTAGGATTTGAGGAGCAATATCAGCGCTAGAGGCTTACACATTGAAAGCTTTTCACGTTTTACCCTTTCATATACATTTTACTCATTTACCATGTATAACGGTATTGGCTTGAGCACTCCTCGTGGTTCTGGTAAGCTGCTTACATACGCTACTCAGCGATCCATGTACTCAACTGACCTTGATATACAATTACAGGTACCAACGGTTACGTTATTCGCAACTTGTCTTTTGTCAAACCACCTCCATCCGACAGAGAAAGAAACACCAATGACTTCAAGTCAAACCCTAAAGTAAAGAAGGCCAACATGGCCATTTTGGATCATGATCGCAAGCGAAAAGTGGAAGTGAAATGCATGGAGCTCACAATCAAGTTGGAAGACGAAGGGTAAGTTGAGCAATCAAGCGATGCTCCCTCAATTGACTTAATAGCTTATACCTGCTAGCATGGATGAAGCAGCAATTGAGGAGAAAGTGCAAGAACTGAGAGATCAACTCATGGCAGACATTGAAAAGCAAGATCAAAATGATAGCAAAAAGTAAGTAGCGCTCTTCCATCTGAAATGGCCCCCTACTCATCGTCATGGCAAGCAGTTTCAAAGAGTACGAGACGCATCAGTTGGCTGCTGCTAAAGAAAAAGCCAACGAAAAGATGAAGAGAGCACTCAATATCAAGAAAGAGTACGTTGAAGGCGCTGCTTTTGATCGCGACTTGCAAGCTCAAATCAAAGAAGAAAAGAAGGCACGAAGAGAAGCAGAACTGGAAGCCAAGTTTGCTCGTCAAGAAAAGTTGGAGAAACAGAAGCGACAACGACGAAAAGAAGAAGAACAGCGCCAAAAGGAGGCAGCTAAGCGTAAATCAGAGAAGGCGAAATCAAGTGCATCGACAGACGATAAGGAAACCATGGATATTGATGATAAAAAGACATCCAAGAGAGCCAGAGATGTGAGTCATTCTCCACCTCCTCGCAAATCTCGCAAACGCAGCCCTAGTTACAGTCGCAGTCGTAGCAGAAGCACAAGCAGCAGAAGCAGCAGCAGAAGCAGTGTCAGCCGATCGAGTTATAGTGATAGTAGTCGTAGTCGTAGTCGTAGTCGCAGCCAAAGTTCTAGCTACAGCCGTAGTCCTAGTCCTCGTCGCAGATCTCGCAGTAGAAGTTACAGCCGTTCAGTCAGCCGTAGTAGATCACCCATTCGCCGTCGTCGTCAGAGTAGTGTCAGTCGTAATAGATCGCCTGTGCGTCGTAGAGGTGGTCGTAGCTTCAGCCGTTCTTCTCGATCTAGCATGAGTCGTAGTAGATCACCTATCCGACGTAGAGGACGTAGCTATAGCCGTAGCTACAGTCGTAGTAGATCACCTCCATCTCGTGGCCGTCGCGATAGCAGAGATTTTTCAAGCCAGAGTCGTAGCCGTAGCCGCAGCCGTAGCCGTAGCTATAGTGTAAGTAAAACCATCTCTTATTTAATGGAAAAGGGCCGCGAATATTAATATATGTTGGATATAGGATTAAGGCTCTTGAATGCAATTACGTAGGTGGAGTAAAGAAGATGTCATTTAACTTCTTTAACGTTATCCATGGTAAAAAAAGATATGAGAATAAATTACCAATTGTATATGATGTTTATTATGATTCAATATTCTTGACTTCAAATACCATCTTCTTATCCTGTGTCAAGCGCTGGATCAGGGCATCGCCCAAAGCTGTTGAGGGAGTCAGTACATCTCCTTCGGCGCCTGGCAGCTGCTCCCTGTAGGCCGTCTGAAGAATGCATAAAGCTGCCTCAATCACAATACGGCATGTGTCACAAGCCTTCAAAATCAACAATTACCTTCAGCTTAAAGGTTTCTATTGCTATGTGTAAACTATAGAAGCAAGACTGTAATCAAGCGGCGTTCGCGATTTTCTTTGATGTTATACTGTATATTGAGACAAACTAACCGATCTATCTCGCTACGCTCGATGTCGGCGTCGCCCAGTGGGCTTTTGCCAAGGACATTTTAAATCAGATATAATAAAAGTTTGATATATCAACAATTTATTATTAGTAAAAAAAAAAAAAAAAAAAAAAAAAAAAAAAAAAAAAAGAAAGGTTATATTAGAGCTACCAGGAGGAGGTATCTCCCTCAGCATTCTTTTTGCTTACATTGATGTCAAACGAAGCCTATTATTGAGACGATATGAAAGAAAATCCAAGTTTTATGCAGCATTTGTATATCACAATCGTCATTTTCTGATAATAGAATTGTCATATTATTCATTGCTGCTGATGCTCTTAATAAGATGGCGACATAAAGCTGGCCATTAGTAAATACAGGGTTTGTGTAAGATCTACAGCGATTTTTTTTGAGACATTGTTATTGCCAAAGACATCTTTATGAGGCAAAGTTCCCAAAAAAAGCATTTGAGCTATTCAATTGACCTTTCAATTCCATGATCCCCATTTAACCAGCATCGCAATTATCATTGTCATTAACAGAAAGGCATATAGGTCAGCCAGCAGCAATGCCGCTGCCAAAATTGATTCAAATTCAGCTTATTTTTTTCTCTTCAAGATTGGACAGATATCGTCTTTCTTCGACTTCTTTAATCTGTTTTACGATATTCGACTATATAAACTGTGATGATCACGCTACGCTTCCTAATACATTCTTGGAGTACTTTTCAAGGCATTTCCAATGGTACCAAGTAATATAGATGTTTTGAATAAACTTATCGAATTATTTATGAAAATATGAAAAGAGGTTTCTGGCAAAAATGTCGAAATTTTACATATCAAAGTCCCACAAAGATGATTTCAGAGCTTGCTTTGGATCGATAGAAACATTTTGATTCAATACATACCATAGTAAAAGTCTTCATTTTTAAGGTGAAAAAGCAATCGTGTGATATATAATGAAAACCATGAGGTACCCCTCATGCTTTCTGGTCGATTTTTGGCCATGTTTTTTGGGTCCCTAAAAAGTTGAGCAAAGGTGTCAGAAAGCAACTGCTGGGTGAGATCAAGTGTTTGGCACCATTCCAGCGGCTCAAAACAGCTTCTAACGTGAGAAATCATGCTTCAAATATGTCTAGATTTCACTGGGCTTTATGTGCTTTGATTAGTAAGAGGCAATCCAGAGTATACTGCAGCTCTGTATAGGAATTATTCCCATTGAAACAGACGTACAGCATCTTATAATAGAAATATTCACAGTAATGGAAGGTCCTGACGTGAAAATGGTAGGTTAGACAGTGCACTAATAGGATTATTGCCAGGCCGTTTGATGTCAGCCATAAAACCTAGCATCCATCAGACATGCACTTCCCTTTGGTTCATAGACTAATTTGGATCACATCCGCACGCAAAGCAGAGAGTGGGGATGCAAACTTAAGACAGATAATGTCTCAGCTAAGTCATATACGGCATATATTTCAGCATCTCGTTGTCAAAAAGGTGTTTGACATGACTCATTCCGGTGTATTGAGCAAGTAGATGTCAATGAGTGGTATCTGCAATGACGTGCTCACAATTTTAGAGCGCATGCTGGATTAGATCAACGAACGAGCAATTTAATGTATAGCTCATTGGGATAGCATTAAGTAAAAGCGACATTTTATATCGGTAGTAGAAAGCTGGCTCACTGAGCCAACAAAATCCGTCGCATAGAGACATACTACTTTTGGTCATGGATACTAAAAATAACATCAAACCAGTTGCCACTGAAATGAATGTCATTCAGCTTGTTAGGAGACGTGCCCGTGATTAAACAGCAGTGCCCTTGGCAATGCATGATGTATTGTATAGCCTGAATTCTTGATACATGTCAAACGCTGATTTCCAGTTATTTGATTCAAACAGTTGTATCTCAATGGAAGAAGGGACGTCCCAATGTGTATATGCAAAGCGCTGTCAATGAGGTCCATTGAGAGGCAATAATCACACCTATGGCATTTGGTGATCGTCTCATTGGTATGGTTCTACTAAAGGATTATTACTTGCTGCATCATATTCCATATGTAATTGAAAAACTTGACATATAAAAGTGTCAAAAGAACCCCATCGGCATAAACTCCGTACTCAAAACGATGGTGAACAGATGATATCATAGTGCTTTCTGTCCAACAATGCTATCATGACACTGCGCCATCATACCTCATGCATACTGGCATGCATGGCTCCAAACTAGCTGTATTATCTTTTTGCCAAGCAAAATGTACTGAGCAATCCCAGCCAGGCTGTTGACTTTTTGTTGATGACTCAAGATATCTCGGTAAGCATCGCCTATTTCACCGAAGAGAAAAATAGCACTCCGTTGACCTCAACAAAAAGAAATGACATGTCCAATATGAAATGATCGACCAGCAAAAAAAAAAAAATCCAGAGGGACATGGACGCCTTTTATATACATCTTAGTACGTAAATCAATGTATAAATAGGCAAGATTGACTATTTGTTTGTCATACAATGCGTCCCGCTTTATCTCTACGGTGCTTGAAATCCCAAAGATGCATGTATACAAAATGATGCTATGGAAAGATGCGTACTTTGCCAATGTTGTGTTATGCTGCGTATAACACAGAGGACATGTGAGGTCGCCTGGCTTTCTTTAAAAGGTAGCAAAGAGAGAAAGGGTCCAGGAAAACAAGGAGCAAGATGGCTATTTATGGCATATCGTATTGAAATCCGCACACTAGAAAGAACGAGCACAGAGAGATGGAATGGCAAGAAATCAATGTAAATCTACAAAAGCAAATACATTGATGGATAGAAAAACATGATGCTTACATGCCTTATTTAGTGTTGTTTTTCGTTTTTTTTTTTTTTTTTTTTACCTCGGCTCTGGAAAAAAGCTATAAAAGACCCCCAATTCTTTGCAATTGCTATATTTATTTCCTCTTTTCTCTTTTTTCCTTTTCCTATTTTTATCATCAACATGAAATTATTCAAAAAGAAGAGCAAGACACCACCTAGCACACCTGGCGCACCCAAAGAGCCCGAGATGGTGTATAGCATGACCCCAAGACATGGCCATGCTCAAGATATCTTTGATGAGAATGGTGTGCGTCAAGTGGCAGGCTGTCTGCCCATTGACCCCATTCACAAGCGATTCTTGCTGGTGTCCTCCTCAAGCAATCCTGGTGCATGGGTGATTGTAAGTACTTGTAAGCTAGTGTGTGGACCCCACGCTAACTCTCTTCATAGCCTAAAGGTGGTTGGGAAAAGGACGAGACACAAAAGCAAGCAGCCATGAGAGAGACATGGGAGGAAGCAGGTGTAAAAGGCGTCATTACAAGACATATCGGTGTGTTTGCCGAGAAATCAAAGACGGGTGTGAAAGCGCACCACTGGATCTATGAAATGGAGATCAAGGAAGTGACCAAGAAGTTCCCAGAGCAAAAGAAGAGAGAACGTCGTTGGGTAAGTCTCGTGTATTTGTTTGTATGCATTTGTGGTCGTTCACACACATACACACTCATTTAGTTTACCTATGACGAAGCTGTGCTTGTAGTGAAGGCAAACTACATCCACGATGCACTCAGCATGTCCAGCCTCAGTCCTCTTGTGCATCCAAATCCAGAATCCCTGCAAACAGACAAAAAGAAGGAGAAAAAGGAAAAGAAAAAGAAGAACAAGGAAGCGGCCATGGGAGAACAGGTAGACGACGATGAGAGCGATGAGGGCAAGAAAAAGGAGAAGAAGGACAAGAAAAAGAAGAAAAAGAAGAACAAGTCTGACGGAGAGGAGGATTCAGCAGAAGAGGACCCATTAGTCGATGAAAATGGCGTGCCACTGACGGAGGAGCAAAAGGACGCTTTGAAGAAGGAAAAGAAAAAGAACAAGAAGAAGAACAAAAAGAAGGGCGAAATCACGGAATTACCAGACGATGAGTTACCACCTCCACCTTCGTATGTGAATGCTACACCTCTGGGTAAAATGGACATTACACCACCTGCAAAGAACAGCACACCAGTGGAAGAAGTGTATAGACCGTTAAACCCCAATCCCAATAACGCACACATGCTAGTGCCTCCGTCTCAACTATATCAGCAGCGTCAGGCCATGCCATCTCCCTCACAACGTCCGCCTCCACAAGAGCAACACTATGTACCACATCAACAGCACCAACCCTACCCTCAACAACCACAGCAACAGCAACAACATCACCAGCCGTATCCAAGCGCTGTGAGACCACAACAACATCAATTCCCTCCACATGGCCAAGCATATCCTCCTCATGGACAACCACAACAGCAATATCGTCCCACTAATCAGCCCTTTCCTCCTCACCCTGCTCAAGGTCATCGTAGCCCTGCACCTCGCCCTCAACAATATCCCATTGCTGCTCAACATCAACAGCAACTGCCTCGTCCTCAACATCCACCATTGCATCCAGATTATCAACGTGCGCCCTCTGGAAATATGAATAAACCATAGACTCTATTATCATGCATTTTCTTATTCTGTTGAATAAACCCATCTATATAATACTACCTCAGATGTCATCATTGTGCGTTTCATTCTTTAATTGTTGTTGCGGCTGCTGCCATTCATCCTAGTAGATTGCTCGAGGTATCACACATCACAGAGGAAAGATTTCCAATTCAAATGCCACCACGTGAAGGAGTAGGGGGTTTTTTCAGCCAGCCATTTTTTCATGTAAGATAAAAAGACCTTTGCTTACTCTAAAATAGATGCTTCTTTTTTCCCTCTTCTTTCACTTTTCATTACCCACATCTCGACAGGACAACACATAATGGAAAGAGATACCACCAGTCTATATACTACATTGGAAATAGCCAAATCAGCAACCCCACAAGAGATCAAAAAAGTAGACACCAGCTTATTTCTATGATACCGAGGCATGAAAAGCTGATCACTTACTTCCACAGGCTTATAGAAAGCTAGCTCTCCGTTATCATCCGGACAAGAACCCAAATTGCGAAGACCAAGTGAGTTACCCTGTATACTTGATAGTATGCACACAACTAACATAAACCCCCCCCCCCCTTAGTTTCGAAGTGTCAATCATGCTTACGAGGTACCAAGAGAAAAGAGCCAAGCATAATATTGGGTCGAGATTTAACCATATAAAGTCTAGCATAGATCCTTTCAGACCCTCAAAAGAGACGAATCTATGACAAGTATGGTTCAGTAGGACTGAATATGGCCGATACAATGGGAAGCACCATGTTCTTGGATCCAGAAGTGGAGGCCATCGTGTTGGCATTCTTTTGTCTCGTATCGATTGTGATTGTATCCGTGCTGATATGGCTGATTTTCATGTGTCTAAGAGTAGATGATACCATACATTGGCCTTGGTCAGTGGTGTTCATCCCACTGTGGTTGGTGAATGCATTGGTATTGTGGGCTACCATGTATCGCATGAAGAACTATGATCCAGAAAAGAACGAGGAACTGAATGGACACGCCAATCAACAGCAACAAGCAGATGAGGATGAGGATGGCGAGAGGGACGAACATGATGGACTATTAGGATCTTCGCCAAAACACATTTCCAGATTACAGCACGCCATTAACCAATACGTACCGTTTATTCATTGCTGCCTATTGACACTATTTCAAATCTTGGTTGTACTACGATTGGACTACGTGATAAAATGGAAGATGATCTATGTGTTTGTACCATTCTACGTGTATGAACTCGTCAACACACTCCGCAATGGTAGAAAGGGCTGGTATTCAAGGAGTATTGTCGTAGTGCAAATGACGGCCATCTTACTGCAATTGACTTTTGACAAGGCATCGTGGGCTATTGTGTTTATACCCGTCTACTGCTTGGGTCTGTATTATGCGTACAAGCTGTGGAGACAATACAGAGTGTTTGCAAGTTATCCTCAGCGACAAGAAGCGCAACAAGGACAAATGCTGGTCATGATAGCCTCCATTGTGTATGGTATTCTCGCTGTCTTGTTTTACACCGTGTTGGGGTTGATTATTCGACGTCTGGATGGATCGTCGCATATCAAATTAGGGCTGATTCTGATTCCCGTGTTCATCATTTTGAGCATTGTTCTATGCTGTACTGGATGTTGCTTCCCCTGTATGCTGATTGTATCGTCTATGCCAATGGAAGAAGATGTAGAGAACGAACAAGCCTCATCACAGCAGCAGCCACGTGTGCACTCTAGCAGACGCATTACAGACAACTAAAAAACAGAGAAACAAACCTTGGCAACATTACACACTGTGAGGCTGGTGTTGTACTTTTTTGGCTGTCAGCCTCTGGTTGCCCTCAGTCTTCCATTAATAAACTACCGAAAAAATGTTCCCAAACTTCCATGTCCATTTAACTTATTTATAGCTGTTGTGGTTCCTGTAAATTCCATCCTTCTTTCTTTCGCTTTTGCTTACCTTTTTCTCTTTAATATGCTGAAAGTGTTTCAAGATCCTTTCAAAAGAAGACTTGCGATATCCTACTTGTGGGATTGGGTGCTGGTGATTATCATGACAGCAGCATTCTTTGCTATTGATCAAATCACACCATTTCATAGAATGTTCTCGCTTGAGGACAAGACCATCATGTTTCCATATGCCGAGAAAGAATCTGTGCCAGTGTGGATGTTGCTGGTATGTAAGATGACTAATATGCAATAAACATCCGTGCTCACTGTAGAGTGTGTCATAGATTATTTGCTTTGTTGCACCCATTATTGTCATAGCTGGCATCTCGCTCAGTGGATATGGTTACAGGAGAAGTCTTCATGATTTTCATAGTGGTGTATTAGGTATTGTATAGACCCCCCCCCTCCCCCTAATTGCCAAGTGTGCTCCTTATTTAATCAGTATACAATTAGGCCTTTGCTTGGGTTTAGCCATGACAATCATGTTGACAGATGTGATCAAGGTACAGTGGAGATTATGCTGATCATATCCCAGCTACTAACTAAAAACAACAGGTTACAGCTGGAAGGCCAAGACCAGATATGCTTTCTCGTTGCCAGCCACCAGCAGATGCCGTCGATCCTAGATTCGGATTAACTAGTGTAAACATTTGTACAACCGATATTTATTCTCATACTATGATTGATGGCTTCAAGAGTTTTCCTAGTGGACACTCATCATGTAAATTTCATATGCAATAGGCGTGATGTAGCATCATTTAATATGGCTATTCTAATTGTAGTTTCGTTTGCTGGCTTGGGTTACTTGGCATTTTATATTGCTGGTAAGATCAAGATGTTTGATGAAAAGGGAGTAAGTAGTCGTAGTGTGGTGGCGTTTGATGAGGGGCCCATCTTGACCATCTACCCTACAGCACACCTACAAAGGTTTCTTGTTTGCATTTCCCATCATTGGAGCCCTACTTGTTGCTATTTCTCGCACAGAAGATTACCGTCATCACTGGCAAGATGTCACCATTGGAGCCTTATTGGGTACATTCTGTGCCTATTTCGCCTATAGACAATACTATCCAGGGCTTTCACAAGACTCGTGCCGAGACCCGTTTTTGACTCGTGTGGCCTACTGCAAGCGAGGTTTTGATCTTGAATCAGGCGGCGGCAACAGCAACGGAGCTGATTCCACCATTGCATTACTCAACTCGCAATCACACAAGCAACCTGGCATGCCCAAAAATCTAGGTAAATATCAACAGGATGATTTCAACAGCGAAGCATCAGGTCAATCCGATTACAACCATCATCAACATGTGCCACTAGATTACGCAACAGAGAACTTAATGTTAAATCATACGGATTCAAATAATAGCACATCTCCATTGACGGGTGCACCAAGGAGAAATCAATAAATGCTGCTTGTATTTTTTATTCTATAACAGTAAATCGTCGAACTCTTTCATGAATTCTATTCTTTCTGTAGACAGTGGACCCAGAGAAAAAATGCATGTCAGCGTCAAGAAGAAACCACACCAGAAGAAAGAGTCTTGTACAGCAGTGACACTCAAAACAGAGCTCATCCAGTGTTGTTGGATCAGAGTGAAAAGTTGAAGAAAGAGCATGGCTGTGTGATCTACGTTGTCTTGTTGTATGAGAAAGAGTGTTCGCTTATATACCGCTTCTGGTGATAGATACAAAAAGGAGGTTATCAGCACAACCCATCAATCTGAGCATGTCCTTGATGGACCTTTGTGTTTCATTTATGCAAATAGGCATGTTTTTATTGAATGATTGGATGTTTGAATGGTATTTAGATATCTTTGACCTCAAAGACCATACCGTTGTTATGTCTTAAACGATCCAACAAGACATTGCCAAAGGCAGTGGCAGGTGTCAAGATACCGCCTTCTTTACCAGGTAAATCTTTCAATGATTTGATAATACATAATGCTGATTCTGCCACCATACGACAAGTATCACCGTAACCAGGATCTCTGAAGCCTGTAAGAAGTAGCTTAGTATACAGTTGAATCAAACGTTTCTCTGTCATATACCTTTTACAATGCCCCTGACACGAACAGGTTCGTCATAAGGCTCACTTTCAGCTATACCAACAAACTCAAAATCGAAACAGCCTTTGGCTCTAGCCTCAGCATTAGGGCCATCACCAGAGCCAGGCAAGGCATTGATGATCTTTTTACGCAAGAAGGGCACCTTGAGCAACATACCAAAGATAGGGAATACAGTATACAAGAAGGAAGTGATAAGGAATGCCTTCAAGAACGAGGCAGAGCTAGTTTCCCTGTAGCTGAACAGATTACCATAACTCTTGCCACGATCAGCCCAAATAGACCAACTGCGTCTGACCACCTTTTCATTAATAGCAGACATTACAAAGAAGGCTTGCCATGTGTTGCCAAAATCGTGATCACGCTTCATGATAGGCAGTGCAGGCTTATCAACACCACGATGAGTAGCTAGCAAGTAAGGATCCATTTGCTGTTGTCGCGTGATGGAAGAATCCATCAAGACACCAATGCTGGATTGAATAGTACCACCAGAAGCAGCTCCAACGATTTTGGTGACACTCATCTTTACTGAGGCCAAATCGAGATTGTGCTTGTTATGAACGTATTCTGAAAGCATGTAGACACCTAAATCACTGGGCACAGAGTCGAAGCCACACGTAGGCACAATAATCACATTACGTTCCTTTGCCTTATCATCCAAAGTATCGATAATTCTCTTAATCCAAGGGTGCTCGCCAGTAGTGTCTACATAATGCGTCTTTTGACGAACACAAGCCTCGACAAGAGGCGTGCCATATTTTATGAAAGGTCCCACTGTGCTGATGACAACTCGTGTTTGTGATAGCACTTGATCCAGTGTGTCAGGTTGACTGGAATCGGCGATGAGGAGATCAATGTCCTGGTTATTGTATATCATTACATCAGCATGAATTAGTCACTTCAATGGTAGATTGGTTTTACCTTTAATGAAGAATCCAGCTCGGTAAGTCGTTCTCTCACTTTCTCGAGTTTAGCCAAGTTGCGGCCAGCAAGAGCCCATTTAAGATCCTGTTGCATGCTTGTTGGCACATGATGGCGAATGCCGTCGGTTGTATATCCCATTTACCTTGTCTTGAATCTCTGCTAAATACTCGCAAGTCAATGCACCAGTAAATCCAGTAGCACCAAAGACAACTAATCAACATCTATCAGCCATCATTCACCATTGCAATGAGAGAGATGTTACCCAAGTCATATTTTCTCTGGTCGTAATCAGTAGTAGTAGCAGCAGCCATTATATTTTCAAAAAGTAGAATTGTAATGGAAAAGGAGAACGAGATAGAATCGAGAGAGTTTCACCGACTTTATGAGATCAGTGTCCGCATACGACAGTGAGGCGGGTTTTAGTTGGGATTTCACATGTGATGAGCAGGTAGAAATCCAGCCATTTGGTGATTTTGTAAGCTATATAGCTACAAAATGGTATGGCCCCGTAATTCTACTTCCAAGCTGGTAGAGGACCACTGTCAATTAAGAGCTTTTTGACGTTGAAACACTGCGAACTGAAACTGGAGTTTGATGAGCACTCAAATATAACAGGAAGAGCATCCTACACTTGACGAGTGGACTCCAATTGGCAATGCACCGGTTCCATCTAGCGACTGAACGGGTTAATGCAACTATATTGCAAGGCTATTCAACATTGGGAGGCTAACGGGGTTCTAAACAGAAGCACACGTTGAACTTCCAATGTCAATGCTCTTGGAAAGAATTCAGTTGACCACGGCGCTTGGAACCTTCTAAAGCAAGGTCTTACTGACGTGTCTCTGAGCGAACAAATCAGCAACTTTTGTCCACTTGTTCAAAAGTCATAATGTAGCTTGTATCACAGTAACATACAGTACAGTTTGAATCTGAGTCAATTGTTGTCAAATCTTGTCAAATCGCGCTTTGTAAGCATAAACACGTTAGAGCAGAAGATACAAGCACATATATAGTAATATCGATGATTCCAATGTTTGTCAGAAAACATATATTGATACAAACAGTAGTGCCATCATTGGAAACAGTGACAATTATGGTACAAATAAATGAAAGGAATGAGTAATATATTATGAGAGAAATCTATTGCTTCAAGTTGATATCCTTTGCAATGAGTTGAGCAGCAATAGGATGGTAAAAGTGCTTGTGTTTCAAGAAGGTTTGTTGAGCTAATTCAGCACCATTTTTGGCAGTGTAGAGATAACGGTAAAGAGGGCGAACAAACTTCATGCGACCTTGCTCAGTGATGAACTCGACAACACTAGGGTAGATCTTTTCGTAGCTAGCCATGACACAGAGTTGCTCCCAACGGAAACGGATATCAGCGTTACGGATAGGGCTCATTTCATAGAGTTCGTCCATCTTGCTAAGCAAGTTGTGGGGTAATGGTTTGCAATCAGTCAAGCGCTCCAAGAAGACGACTATTGTTACATGTTAGTTCAATGGCAATAACAAAGGAGCAGATCAGACAACTTACTCTTTTGAGTGGAGGTGAAGCTTTCAACATCCTTGGTAGAAAATTCAGAAAGATCTTCCTTGTCGCGGGCAGCATCCCAACGAGCAGCAAGATTATAACAAGCATCAGCGAGGCTAGTGTCAAAGTTGGGGTCAACAGGAGGCATACCAGCGCCGTTGATCCAGAGGTTGAAATCAATAGACTTCAATTTATCGAGCACTTCTTGACCATGGTTCTTTTCCATGTATTCGTGAATGTGAGCTAACCAATCATCGGTGGTAATAGACTTGGAGGCAAAACGTTCAACGTGAGCCTTCATGTAAGGTTCAAAGATGGCAGGGCCACCAACAGTCTTTTCAATGTGATAAAGCAAATTGAAACCCTTTTCATAAGGAATAGAACTGAAATAGTCATCGGGGTCAATGCCACTACTCAAATCAGGCTTCAAGACGGTAGCAGGGGAATCCTCACCAAAGAGCTCGACGCTCTCCTTCAATGCCTTCCAACCAATGATGGAACTGAATTGTCTTTCAGGCTCGCCGTGGAGACGAGCTATAAAGCATCTTCAATATGCAAACTCCTTTTTGATCCAACCATTCAACCCACTTACCAGCAATTTTACGCTCGATGAACACGGTCCAGCCTTCATTCAACCAGAAATGTTCCCAGTTCGATGTGGTGACCAAGTTACCCATCCAGCTGTGAGCAATTTCATGAGCAACGACATCAACAGCACTCTTGTCGCCTGCAGACCGTATTAGTATGAATTATCTAAATACAGCTTACGGATATACTTTACCAGCCAAGAGAGTGGGTGTAACAAAAGTCAAGCAGGGATTCTTTTTACCATAAAAGTCAGTTCATTGTTCATTCGATTTAAAGTCAAACCGGATCGGACCGGATACACTTTAGATAGTCCACATACCTCCATGCCACCGTAAGGGAAAGAAGGAGGCAAGACCAAGAGATCATAGCGTCCCCATTCATAAGGAGTCAAAAGGCTTTCGCCAGTAGCAATGAATCTTTCAGTATCCTATACAATTGAACGACACATGAGATTCCTTATCCAACAGCAAGGTTACTCCTCTTGAATTTACTTACATCGAATTCCCAAGCAGCTTGCTCAACAACTTCAGGTTCGCACCAAACTGTGGAACGGGGACCGATTTCACGACCAGCCAAGTTACCAGCAGCAATGGCAATCAAGTAGGAAGGAATAGTAGTGTTCTGCTTAAAGTTGTAGGTCTTGGTACCGTCATTGTTGTCGTCAGTGGATGACAAAAGAGCAGACATGACCACAGGCAAAGGAGATGTAACGGAGGCAGAATAGGTCAATTTGACAGATGGTGAGTCTTGAAGAGGAGCAAAAGCTCTGGCATGGATCTAATAGGTCCATTAATAATCAAATCGACCCTCTCCTGTACCCAATCTAACTTACAGCTTGGCATTGAGAGAACAAGTAAGGATGCTTCTTGCCAACAGTCTGTCTATCATCAACCTCGCACATTAGCATCCACAGTAGACCATTCCATTCAATCCGTAAACTTACTCTGGCTCCAAGTATTGAACAGCGGTACACTTGTCAGTAGTAGAGTACTCAATCTTGATTTGGAATTTGGTGCCTACTTGAGCCAATGTCTCGGGGAGCTCAATGGTCAAGGCAGAACCAAGACTCAAATGGCGTTCAGCAACAGTGTACTATAGAACGCGTTAATATTGCCCTACTCGTCCCCATGTCTTGCACACTTTACCTTGAGAGATTTTCCATTCAATGAAACGTCCTTCAAATCAAGGTAACTGGTATCCAAAACAACCTTGGATACGTTAGGTACCAAGGTGATCAAATCCAAAAGAACGTGACCATAGATCTTCTTTTCAATGAAGGAGATGGTCCAGTCGAAATGAACATGTTGAGTGAGCACTTCTGAGAGATTGGCAAGACTGCTAGGATCAATGACTTTGCTGCTAAAGTTGGTGGCTGCCATGATGAATAAATGTAAGGAAAAAAAGAAAGAAAGAAGGATGTGAAAGAAGGAAGAAATTTTTGTGCAAAATAGAAAAAGAGCCAATTGAAACACTTATCAATGTTCGTTATCTTGGGCTTGTTCAATCACCCGTGAGAATAAACTTTTAGGTCGCCGTGGAAAAAAAAATACATTAGAAATTACACAGAGATGTCCAACTGTATATTTTTCTTGGCTTGATTCATATTGCAATTGAATGTCGGATTGCACAACGGCGTAAAGTCTTGGGTACAAGTAGTTTATTCGCTTTTTCGAGGCTTGGAATGGTTGAGAAAGCCATGAACAAGTGCTCCAATGTGTGTTGTAGAAACGAGATGAATGTGCCTGAATGGGCATTTTCTACCAAATTTATGTAATGTATAGTACCCCCAAAAAATCTTCCTCTCAAGGTGTGAATGTTACACTGATCTAACTTGTACAATCAAATCTACTTTTTGCGCTGTTTGCGCCATCTCGATTCAAAATCTTCCCGTCAATCCACACTGGATCGTACGGGCTCATAATGAATAGCGGGGCAATTGGTCCGCAAGTCCTTGTAAAATAGTATCTTTGCTTGGATTGTTTAATTCAAAAAGTGGTTACAGAATAGCCATTGGCAATGATGACCGCTGAATTTGGCGACGATCAAGGTACCAGCTTGAGGCTGCTTTAAGGAAATAACATCTGATGACAGCATCGACGCCAAAAAGGTATTTACGTTCTAATCGACTGCTTCAAGTCAATAGAATCTGTTTCAAATTGTTTACTTATAGCTCGATACATCAATTTGGATAATATAAACGTTATTTCATCCAGCTGTAAACGTCAAATACTCAAACAGACCTTACCAAAGAGCACCATGCCCTCCAGACACAGTTTGCATAGGCATTGCTATTCAAAATATTCAAACTCCTCTATACAGTCTGAAATTTTTCGTGACAAAAAAAAAATGAACTTTCTGGGACATGTTTTAACATGTTTTGGTTGATATCTGCAGTTTTTAATATGTTAAATTTTGAGGTTGCCAGCAGCTAATATGTGCTTCATAAGATTTTGCTTTTAATGGTACTACTTTTGTGAAACTCTGTCACCAAAAATTTGGAATAATTTGCACCTGAAGGAAATCGTGTTTTTCGCGCACAAGTGTATTTTTTGCATAATAAATGCCTCAAAGAGCAATTCTATGTGAAAATTCGATTATTTGCGCATATTTTGGATTAATATATACTATATAAAAATTGCCGTTTTTGGGGCTAAAGTTCGGAAAATAGGATTCTCCATCCATCCGGATGTGTATACCCTCATGAAAAATGGTCGATTTTTGGAGTTTTTTTTTTTGCAGAAAATGCATCAGATATCAGTTGCCAACTCTGAAAAGCAAATTGGTGCTATTCTGAGCTCTTGGATCGACCAAAAAATGTATAAGATATGCCTCCAAAGTCGCAAATTTTAAGCCCTGAGATAATTTCAAAGGCTTGATTTGACTGTAGCTGGAGCACGATAGATATTCATTCTTTTGTTTTGGATACTCTTTGATGTCTAGTTTATGTTGGTATTTTTTGTTTCGCAGAAAACTTAGCGTTGAGTGCGTAAGAGCTGATTTTTGTCTTGGATTTGGGGGCCAATCGGCTTAAATCGTTGTTTCCTGCAGTGATAGTTCTTTCTACTAGTTCAACTACTGTAATTAAGCTATTCTCATAATAGTGTACAAACTTCTTGACGATTTATGCCGGGATTTTTTTAAGCAGCTCCAATCGAGGAAACAAGGAGAATACAAAGATGTTGACTATATTCCGTCATCCCCATGGGCATCATAGTTCTTTTACCTCTCCGCGATTTTCCAAGCAACGCATATCCCCTCTCTTTTCCTTTCTCATCATTTAAGCATTATGGCCAAGGTAAGTTGCTATCAACTCGATCATTTCATGACACTCATCCATTACGTAGCCTGTCAATCAAGACAAATTCGAACCATCTGAAGTCTCCTTTGGTGCTGGTGCACTGTCAGGCAACTATGATGAATTTACTGAATCAGACACTGTTGAGGCCTGTAAAGAAGCTCTCTCATCTGGTAAGCTTGAAACACGCTTCTGATCAAATCCATTGCCTAAACGCATAGACCCGTAGGCATCAACTCATTTGATACCTCTCCTTACTATGGCAAAAGCGAGTATATCCTCGGCGATGCTTTGCTCAAAATTCGCGATGAATTTCCTAGAGAAAGCTACTATCTAGCCACCAAGACAGGCCGTTTTGGTTACACTGTCAAGGAAATGGACTACAGCGCAAAGAAGACATACGAGAGCGTTGCTGAGAGTATGAAGCGTTTGCACACGGACTATCTCGATGTTGTTTACTGCCATGATGTTGAGTTTGTAAAGTTTGAAGAAGTCGTTGGTCCCAACCAAGCATTGGAAGCATTGTTCGATCTGAAGTCCCAGGGCAAGATCAAGTACGTTGGCTGTTCTGCCTATCCTTTGGATGTTTTGTTGAAGGTTGCTGAATACCAACACGCCAAGGGCCAACCTTTGGATATCATTCTCTCTTACTGCCATTACACACTCCAAAACACTCTCTTCGCAGAGTATGCTCCTAAATTCAGAGCTGCTGGTGTCAAGTACTTGATGAATGCTTCTCCTCTTTGTATGGCCTTGTTGCGTGATGCCAAAACACCTGACTGGCATCCTGCTCATGCTGGTATTCGTGAAGCTGCCGATAAAGCAGCTGCTCTGGCTGCTAAAAACGGATTATCCATCTCTGATTTGGCATCTCGCTTCTCTTTCCAAGGCAGAGATGAATTCCAACTGGACTCTACTGTCATTGGCCTCGCTAGAAAGTCTGAAGTGCAAGATGCGATCCGTTGCTGGAAGGATGTCAAAAACCGCAAGAATTCTGAACTGGAAGACAAGATCTTGGAAGAGATTCATAGTTACTTTGAGCCTTATAAGAACTTCTCATGGCAAAGCCCCACTGATAAAGAATTATGCAAAGCTTAAATCGAATAAAATGTTTTTAGTTGCGTTTCTTTATTATCATCAATATCTTTTTTAAGCACCATAGCCACGAATGCTCTCTGCAAAGGCCCATTCAGTCTCCAAAACGTATGGTTCAGTAATCTCTAAACCACTTTCGGTGATCTTTGCTCTTTGGAACTATCAAACACTCATCAATACAACAATTTGCAGTAGGCGTGTATGCGGGACATTTACCTTGTTCATGGATCTAGCATCTCTGTAAAACAATACCTTCAAACATTCGTTCATGATTTCAATAGCCTCTTCCTCTGTTAATTCATCTTCTCTTCCCTCAACTCTTCTTCTCAAAATAGGTTGTGCTAAATGTGCGCCGAATCCAGTAGCAATTGTAGTAGATTGGTAGGTTGTGCCTCTCAAATCAACATAACCAAGGAATTTCTCTCCCTTGTTGATACCACCAACAACTAGAGAGTTCCAAAGAGGGTTGAACTTGGATCTTCTCTGGTACATGACTCTCCATAAATATTCGTAGATATGTGGAGTACCTAAAACATGCCCATCGTCAGCGCAGTGCTCTTGGACCCTATGAGATACATCCAGATTAGTAGATGTGTGTAATTGCATACTCATTCAAGGTATTTACATGAGGGAATCCAATAGATGCTGAATGTATTGATAATCTGAAATATCGCCAGAGGCGCCAACAATAGTGCTCTCTCCAACAGGATATAGTCTTTTGATATCACGGAAACGAGCTAAAGAGCCGTATGAACCTGTACAAACCTATAAATCATCCTGCTCATGCCATTGAAGTTGCATACACACGTACCAAGCATATCTGCAGCCATCATGATACCGTCTCTATACTTGAAAGCAAGAACAGATGTACCTGTGACCAAGGGTTGCCTAGAGATGTACTGCGATTAATCAATGCCATCCATGTATACTGGCTTGCTTATCTTACTGTGTTCTCGTCATAGGTCCATAAGCAGATTCAGCAAGATGATCGGGAACGGTTTGGTACATGGGAACAGTGTTGTATGCATCTGTGTTTTCGGAACGAGATTTGCCCCAGTTTGAAGGAAAATGGTCCATGATGATTTAGTTGTAAATTGGTGAGTAGTGTAGAAAAAAGAATAGCAAAGGTGCTTTGCTGTTGAAAAACGTAATATAGTGCACACACACACTCAAGAACATTGACGCGTCGCCCTATTGCGCTTGATCATGACGTCCTACTACTACAAGCCAATCAAACATGTGAGTTGAGCCTTGATTTGCCGGGCTTGCGACACTTTCTAATCTGTGCTTGCCTTGACTACGGTCTATGGACATTGCTCAAGAAGTTTGCCCTTGTGAGGAGAGATTGTTACTATCAGAGTTCTTGGGCATTCTTTGTAAAGCAAGCGCTATAGCCACACATCTCGCCATTTGCATGGCCGCATTCATCAATGATTGGTTTCTCTTCTCTATCAAACGACACTGCTTCTTGGAAACCCTCCATTTCATATCTGGAGCTATGACAGACGGCCAATTACAACATCTGCGCATGCTTCTCAACATTGTGAACGAAAGCTTTTGAATGAAAAATGAAGACATGCCATTCGAAACTTTAGAACCACTACTCTGTCATGGTATTTACAACTCTGATATATGTAAAACTATGGAGCAGTTATCACGAACTAAGCAATCAATGACACGGCGATACTAAACATGACCAAAAATGTAAAGGGAATCAGTCTAATGGACAAAAGGTGGGCATCTGCTATACAGATGATGCTGATGAGGCTATACATCATAAGCAAAAGCCCAAATTTGAAGAGTTGTCTCTGGCAATATCCATCTTCTCATTCATGTGGTTATCGTACACATATAAAGCACAAGCAAACATGCACAACAACATTTAGTACCCACATGCAACATGAATCTGATAAAACTCGATATAGCAAATGAACTTATAACATTGGAGAGGGCTTCAGTAATCAAAGGCCTTTATTCGCATCAGACAAAACTATCTAAACTTTTCTTCAAGGCATATACAACCCAAAAAGCTTTTCTTGTTTTTTTTTCATTTACATTTGAATTAAAAAGAGGGTCGGCGTCACTTTGCAGGTAGTGTAAGGCAAAGGACACCTGTGGATTCCAGAGATAGCAAGCCAGAGCTCTGGATTCCGGGCGGAAAAAATTAGATTAACAACGTGAGGGAACTTGTCCCTCATTATAGTTGTTAAACTATAAAGAACAGATACTACACTTGATCTTAGCCAAAAGGCCTGAGAGGATAAAGATGCAATAGTTTCTGCATTTTGAGTGCCTTTTTATACTTTTTCATGGCTGGAAATTTTCAAATTGTGACAAGGTTCCATCGCATTCCACATGACTGTTTCGTTCATCGCACCAATGCTAGCATATGGTTACCTAATGCGATTGGCGAGTCAGTAGCTTGACGCGACGCAGTAGCACGCTGTAGTTCAAATCATCGTAGTCAGGTACAATGTTTAGCCCTGGATTGAGCATTTCTATATTGTTCAAGCGCAATGCTCAACTCAAATGTTGAAGGGTTTGCTTAAATGACATTTGACTAGCAATTTATGATAAATCATTCTACCCAATGAGTGTTTACGCTTCGGTGAGAGCCAATCTGCGCAGCGGCAGCTCGCGCTACCGATTGCCCTTGCGTATCTTATCAAAAAACTACTACTTTCATGTTGGCCTTCTGCTTACACATGAAAACCTTCATATTATCAGCGGATCTGGTCCTTATGTGATGCTTTACATCCATACACACGTAGCTACTCTATATACGGGCAAGTATCATACAGATATTATCTCTTTTTTAGTCAAGATTGTGCCTAATACAGCAAAATCTGAGAGCATTTGAGCTGTGTTTTCTCGCGCTCAAGGCCGTTTTAGATCGTCAGAATAGTACTAAACAGTTGCTCTCATTAGGCAGTTACTTTCTTACACCTTTGCTCAACTTTTTGAGGATCAAAAAAACATGGTCAAAAATCGACCGAAAAGCATAAGGTACCCCTCATGGTTTTCAGTGAAAATCAAACGATCGCATTTTTGACCTTGAAAATGAAGACCTTTACTATGGTATATCTTGAATCAAAATGTTTCTATTGACCTAACGTAACTCCTGAAATCATTTTTGTGGGATCTTGATATGTAAAGTTTCAACATTTCGGCCAGAAACCTCTTTTCATATTTCCGTAAATTATTCGATAAGTTTATTCAAAGCATCTATCCTACTTGGTACCATTGGATGCGCCTTGAAAAGTACTCCAAGAAAGCTTAAGGATGCACAGGATGATCATTATATTTTACTTAGTCGAATCTGCTAAAATAAATCAATCGAGTCGAGAATCATCGCGATTTGGCCAATCTGGAACAGACTGTAAGCCTGGGTTTGAATTAATTTTGTGTGGTGGGGCTGGCTGGCAAACTCAATGCCTTTTTAACAATACAGTAGTAGGTATTATTGAAGCGTATGGAAAGTAGGTGGCAAATTATATAGCACGATAGTTAGCCATGCTGTTTCCTTGAATTCTATATTCAATAACGCCAGTCTATTGAAATACTTATTAGATCAATTTCTTTCCCTTTTGAGGCTTTGAAAGTGTCTAGTGACCATAGATTTATTACATTATGATGAGCATTTCGACTGTTCAGTTGGTTCTCTGACCTACGCTTCGCTTTGGTAGAAACCAACCTACGTTTAGGTGACTCGCGCTGTCGCGGGCCTTTTGGCTAATAATACAAAATCTATAGCTAAAATATTGGATGAAACTTGATTGTTGATTGTTTCCCTTGTTTTTTTTTTGCTCGTGAGGTTTATAGTCATCAAATGTGAGGTATTGAAGAGAAAAACAGCAAGTACTAGCTTTGATGGCTCTGCTGAATGATTGAATAACCAGATAGTTGATACTACAATGCTCATTCAGTCATTGTTAGTATCAATAATTATTGGCTAAATCCTAATGTGGAAGTACTATCCATGATATTTAAAGGAGCCACAGACATTTACCGAACTATCCCAATGAATGCTTCTCGATTTAGTAAAAAAAAAAAAAAAAAAAAAAAAAAAAAAAAACGACTTGCTGTTTCGTCATGAGCATTCGATGTTCTTGATCGAATGATAGCATTTTCATACGAGAATGCATTGAATTGATGCTCCCGCTACCTTCCGTTTATATTCGTCTTTTTAAAAGAAACCTGTCCGGCATCAAGAGATGGCAATGTCAATATATCACACACTTTAAAAGAAAAAGACATCACCTCTGAATACTTAGTATAGCACGATATATAAACGATTGAACCTCCCGATTACAGTGAAAGCCTACATAGATATTTGATGATTGCTGACAGAAAGATGAATGATGCAGCTTTGAGTATCATGAGCAAAAGCGACAAACAAACACACAAACAGGTTTTTGTGAGAATAAAATTGCTAGTGATCCAAGTATTTATCTGCAGTTAAATGATATATGGTCATCTTACGTTGTACACTGTCATGGGTTAATGATGATGGGTGCTTTTAATTTGGGCTACTGCTGTTGATCATAGAACTCACAGACTGCGAACAGCTATCTAAATATTAAGAATGTGATTATCAAAGGGATTACCATAATCAGTATTCCGTGATGGTGATTATTAGCTTTTCTATACGAAATAGGAATGCTTGAATCTTAAGTGGCACAGGCAATTTTAAAATGAAATGTTGGAATGCATCGCTGTTCCATTAGAGATGGATATCCATGCTGTAAATTAACATGCAATCAAGATTTTAAGAGTGCTGTCAAGGCTATAGACATCAAAATGTCCAATGCAGTGCCAAATGGCTCAAACAGATCAAACATTTGCTCGTTATACATCGCAGACGATGCTTTGTCCGGTCACATTGATGGTTCCACATAGCCATTATCATTAGCTTGTACCGTCTCCACAAAACCTTAAACCTCTCTTTCTTTTTTCTCTTCCTTTTTTTTGCGTTTTCACCTTTTTCGTATCTCAAGCAAACTTGAATCAAATGGTTCGTTTACTACTCGACAAGCCTGAAAGACGCCGCATCCTTGGCCAGATCGAGAATTGGAATTTTGGAATAGCGCCCAATGGTAACCTGGCTCAGGAACACAGTTTCGTTCATCAAGCAGTGCCAGACATCTTTCGAGAAGACACAGTCGATGGAGACAGTGCTACGCTCACTGACATGGCTATCGATGGCTACTCACCCATCATCACAAGATCCGAATGGACAGAGAATCTCATACAATCAGGTGCATCCAATCCAAATGACGCAACAACCGTGAAATCACTGGCCATCTGTTCCTCGATATTCAGGAACGACGTGGATTTTACTCGACTGCAATCCAAACAAAAGCCAAAGATCCACTATACCAGTATCACTACCAATGCATGCGTAAGGCTGGACAACATTGCAAGATTAACAACCGAGTTCGAGAATGATATAAGCAAGGCTCAAGAGCACTGGCCTCAACACCCGCAGGTATCATGGGACAAGCTGTGCCGAATCTGGAATAAATACGGGTTTTTGTGGCCAGAAAAACTACATTTAGGTAACGTGCATCATCGATTAGATTCAAATGATGGAGTCTAACCAGCTGGTTGAACTACTAGGCTACAAGCGCAATTACAATGATTTAATGCAAAATGTATGCAGACATCAGCACAATAAACACTGTACAAGAAACTAACGTACCTTTTTCTGATCATGATAGAAAGGGCCAATATCACAAGACCAGTTACAGCAGCACAGCCCACAGACGTATACCATTGTTTGGAGAACAAAATTACGGCCTATTTACGAATTTTTCCCAGAAACACATGTCGACAAAAAAGCCTATATTGCTGATATCATTCGTCATATTTCATCACTTGTCGTCTTCAATGGCTCTTTGTTCAAGCTCAAGAACATGAGGACGCACCAGTGCTTGGGCCGTCAATCCGTGGCTGATGGTGATGATGAGGATACAGTAGTTATGGTTTCCGATCAATGCGGTACGGGTGACACAAACGAGCATTCATTGTGGAAGCTTCGGGAGACGGGCTCATCACATTCAGACACATTATCATATGTGTTTCTAGGAACTGAGATGCTCTTGTGTTCAGACCGTAACAATGACTCTATTCTGACTAAACAAGGCTCTTTATCCAACTCAAGGTATGCCCTCAAGATGGACTATCAACAAGACAGAGATGACTGCAGCTGGCGTATCAACCCATCTAGGTATTCGCTCAAAACAGGCAAAAAAGCAGGTGCCTTCCATATAGACGACGTGATATCAAGTCTGGTCTACTTAAAAGACGGTGATAGCGTGATTATGAGCCAAGACTCACACTATTTGCGCACGGACTCCCACCATTTTACGTCATTCTCCCCTATTTCCAACAGCAATAGCCCAATGAATAACAGTTCAGGTGGGATGCTCAAAAAATCACCCATCAGCATCATGAGCATCGATGACAGATATAACTTTTCATCAGCAGAACGATCTGAATCAAACAGCACACAGCCTACTTGCAATTCACTCAGTAGCCAACAGCTCGGCAAGCATAGCATCACTGACTACAGGTGCAGCAGTATCACAAGCCAATCCATGTTTAACGGCACTGATGTGTTCATGGAGAAATTAGGAGTCGATGCCACCAGAATCACTACAGTGGATTATCAATGGAAGATAGAGCTCGTTAACAGCCTGGATAACATTTCAGTTGATACAGTAGTCGAGCATCCAGCCAAGCATACAGCATTTACCGATACAAAACCATCAAAAGAAAACCATGTACAGGACACACCATCAAAACAGGACTCTAATACAAATTACAATGTGCTGATATCCAGCATTGTACCTACCAGAACACCACACCCTATACCCAAAGAATCGCCTAGAATACTCACCCCTTTTATAAACAAACCCCAGAAATCCCAATGGCTCGATGGCAATCTCAAGCTATACAACTTGCAAAAGGATTCAGACGAAAGCGATGTGCCCATTGAAATAGCCAACATCGATCTACGTATGGACTCTAATAGTCGATACAGCACACCAGTGGGATCTCTTAAATCCATACCGTCCAATGAAGAAATCATACCACCACTCCCAGTCCTATCCGCAAAGAAATTAGGCAAGCTTCCCATGCAGAGCTTTCAAACACACCACTCACAGCAGCACCATCATCAAAGCGGCAGCTCTCCTTCTGGCAGCAGCGGTGATGACAGTGATTGGACAGCTTCACCAGCACCTTCTTTCTCTCGATCACTGACCCCGGTTCCCAAGAAAGAAGCAAACATCAGAGATACTACTGCAACGCCCGAGATCACAGAAGCAGAGGCTTTCAAGCGAAAGATACAACAGCAGTTTGAGGATAAACAAGAGGTCTATGCAAGCATATACAGAAACATATTTGCTCAATCCACACCCACCTCCAACACTACGAGTCGCATCCGATACTATGACGATGAGTATGATCAACCCATACACCAGGGCTCCTCTACGGGCCAACCAAGATCTTACACCATGACACCCAAAAGTCGCTACAGCCAGCCTACACCTACTTCATCCGCTAATCTGACGCCAGAGGAGTATCTGCTTCGAAAACGTAGCCGAGAAACATCTTTCATGTTGCTCGTTCGACAAGAGACCAAGCAGCAATTATGGCTGAGAGCCATGAAGCAGTCGACATTAAGCCATTGGCTCCAATCCCTTACCTCAGGCAACAAAAGAGCCCAACGTCAATCAAATCAACCGCAAAATGTGATTGTGTTGTCCACAAATGCATCAGACGACAACGCTGAGGGTGTTATTGCTCCCACTACTACCTCTCATATATCTACTGGCGACATTCGGCTGCAACATTATAGCAAGAATAATAGAACGATCAAAAAGAAGAAGGGATTCTACCAAAAGAATAGTTTCAGACGACAAAAGGGCATTATAATCTAAACGAGGCGTGAACAAGTTTTATGCCACTTAACTCATTTTTTCAATAAATAAAAAGTAATGATTCCATGGCCATGTTTTTTGGGTCCCTAAAAAGTTGAGCAAAGGTGTCAGGAAGCTACTATTACTCGAATACAATTGTTTGGCACCATTCCGGTGGCTCAGGAAGGTCTACATATCAAGATATGATGGCCCCGAAAGCTGTCAAATTTGGTTGCATTTTTGCTTTATAGTTTTTATTTATGCTGCATAAATCATATCTTTGGTAGCTGCAGTTTAATGGAAGGGCAGTTTTGCAGCCTGTGCAATGTTTAATTCGAATAGGAGGCATATTGATTTTGGTAAAGCTAATTCATGCAAATTTGATGCGTTATGTTGTGGGTAAGCTTATAAAATGACAAGGAGAAACCAAACTTACTGCTTGAATACTATAGTTTTGCACGAATCCTTGGCTACTGTATTACCCTCTTAATAAGGTCAGTGTTACTAAATGCTGCCTTGAAACCAGAAATCGCTCAATCCACAGCCAAATAGGTGGCAAGAAATCACTTGAATTAAATACGTCATGTTCTTGGGATAGGGACTTCTGACATCTGATTGTCTACGGGAACATTTCTTTCATAGTTTTCTAGTATATTATAAAAGGATTAGAAGCTGTAAACTACCAATTACGTCTAAAATGTTCCGCGTGTCTTATAGCCGTCATCACCTCACTAATAAGCTGTATCACTGTGATATGATAATGCGATGCAGTGCCACTCAACCTAATATTTCCAGCTAAATATTTAGATGTAAAAGGATGCTCTGAATCAAGATTATGCATATGATGTCTTTACGCCTTTGTATCATAATAAAAACGCGTCTATTGGCAATCAAATGTATGGAATACAGCTAAATTTGACAGCTTTCGGGCCATCATATCTTGATATGTAGACCTTCCTGAGCCACCGGAATGGTGCCAAACAATTGTATTCGAGTAGTAATAGCTTCCTGACACCTTTGCTCAACTTTTTAGGGACCCAAAAAACATGGCCAAAATTCGACCGAAAACCATGAGGGGTACCTCGTGGTTTTCATCGAAAATCAAACGATTGCATTTTTCATCTTGAAAATGAAGACTTTTACTATGGTATACGAGCCTTTCAGCACTTCGGGTGGTTTCCTGACCTACGCTTCGCTTCGGTGGAAACCAACCTACGTTCAAACGGCTCGCGCTGCCGCGGGCCTTTGGCTAACATCCCAAAATTAATATAGCTAAAATGTTAGAAGAGGAACCCTGATTGTTGATTGATATGTAATCACTAATCGTATGAGTGTTTATGCTTCGGATGGTTCTCACCGAAGCGTAGCAAAGGTAGAGAACCAACCTGCGCAGCGGCAGCTCGTGCTACTGATTGCTCTTGCGTATTTTATCAAAATACTGCTACTTTCATTTTGACCCTCCACTTACACATAGTAACCCTTCATATTATCTGTGGATCTGATTCTTATGTGATGTTCTACATCCATATACACGTAGCTACTTCATATACGGGCAAGCAGCATACTGGTATTCCCACTTTTTAGTCCTTAGTGTCCCTAATACAGCAATGTATGAATGCATTTGAGCTGAATTTTCTTGCGTTCAAGGCCGTTTTAGATCGTCAGAATAGCCCCAAATGGTTGCTTTCATATGGCAGTTACTTTCTGACACTTTTGCTCGACTTTTTGGGGACCAAAAAAACATGGTCAAAAATCGACCAAAAAGCATGAGGTATCCCTCATGGTTTTCATCGAAAATCAAACGACCGCATTTTTCATCTTGATAATGGAGACTTTTACTATGGTATATCTTGAATCAAAATGTTTCTATCAATCCAAAGCAACCTCTGAAATTATCTTTGTGGGACTTTGATATGTAAAATTTCGACATTTTGGCCATAAATCTCTTTTCATATTTTTACAAATCATTCAATAAGTGAATTCAAAACATCTATTTTACTTAGTACCATTGGAAGCGCCTTGAAAAGTACTCCAGGAAAGCTTAAGGAAGCATGGGGTGATTATCATACTTCACTTAGTCGAATCTGCAAAAATAGCTCGATCGAGTCCAAAATTATCAAAATATGTCCAATCTGGAACAGACTATGATTCTGGGTTTGAATTAATTTTGGCTGGTAGGGCCAGCTGGAAAACTCATGCCCTTTTCATAAGGCAATACAGTAGTAAATGCCCTTGAAGCGTATAGAAAGTAGATGGCAGGTCATAGCACTATCGTTTATGATGATATTTTATTGCCTTCTATATCGTTCATAATGATATTTTATTGCATTCTATATTTAATAACGTTAGTCTGGACATTGACAATGCATGGGTTGCATAAAATGTCTGCAGTAAGTAATGAAATCTCTGAGGCTCTGAGACGTCGCTCAAATAAAACATTGACAGCACTGAGCAGAGGAAAGAGGGTAGAAATTACAGTGGTTTTTGTTGATTGATTGTAAAATCATTATTCTCATATGAGCCAGGTCTGATAGATGCCTTGAAACTCAGGTTCCATATTAGGATTGTAAAGTGCAAAAGTACTGAACATTTATTATGTTATGATATGAGCCAGGTCTGATAGATGCCTTGAAACTCAGGTTCCATATTAGGATTGTAAAGTGCAAAAGTACTGAACATTTATTATGTTATGATATGAGCCAGGTCTGATAGATGCCTTGAAACTCAGGTTCCATATTAGGATTGTAAAGTGCAAAAGTACTGAACATTTATTATGTTATGATATGAGCCAGGTCTGATAGATGCCTTGAAACTCAGGTTCCATATTAGGATTGTAAAGTGCAAAAGTACTGAACATTTATTATGTTATGATATGAGCCAGGTCTGATAGATGCCTTGAAACTCAGGTTCCATATTAGGATTGTAAAGTGCAAAAGTACTGAACATTTATTATGTTATGATATGAGCCAGGTCTGATAGATGCCTTGAAACTCAGGTTCCATATTAGGATTGTAAAGTGCAAAAGTACTGAACATTTATTATGTTATGATATGAGCCAGGTCTGATAGATGCCTTGAAACTCAGGTTCCATATTAGGATTGTAAAGTGCAAAAGTACTGAACATTTATTATGTTATGATATGAGCCAGGTCTGATAGATGCCTTGAAACTCAGGTTCCATATTAGGATTGTAAAGTGCAAAAGTACTGAACATTTATTATGTTATGATATCAAATCAAAATGTTTCTCTCGATCCAAAGCAACCTCTGAAACCACTTTTGTGAGGTCTTCACGTACAAATCTGGGTGTTTTCACTAAAAACCTCATTTTGTGTTTATTAGATTACTCAATAGTTGCATTCAAGACACCTATTACAATTGGCACCATTGGAAACGCCTTGAAAAGTACTCCAAGAATGTATTAGGAAGCGTAGGGTGATCATTACAATTTATATAGTCGAATATTGCAAAACAGATTAAAGAAGTCGAAAAAAGTTGAAATCTGTCCAATCTTGAACAAAAAAAAAAAGCTGAACTTGAATCAATTTTGGCGACGGCATCGCTGCTGCTGCCTGACCCAAATGCATTTCTGATGATCACAATAATGATGATGATTACGATTGTTGCGATGCTGATTAGGTGGATATCGTGAAGTTGTATAGACGATTGCTTAGCTCGAGTACATTTTTTTCTTGGGAGCTTTTCCTTACTATGAAGGTGTCTTTTGCAATGACAATCTCTTAAAAAAGTCGCTGTAGATCTTACACACGTCCTGTATTTACGCATGGCCAACTTTATGTCGCTATCTCAAGAGTAACATCAGCGAATGAATACCTCCCCCTCCTGGCTCTGATATAACCTTTATTTTTACTGTTAATTGATTGTTTAAAACCTACTTGATATGCCAGATTTTTATTATCTCTGATCTAAAATGTCTTCGGCGAGAGCCCGCAGTGCGGCGCCGTCATCGAGCGTAACAAGATTGATCACCGAGTAAAAACTATGCTACAGAATCGGCTGAAATATGTGGTTTACAGCTCGCTAGTCCAAATTACTAGGTAGTCCGTATCATATCCGTTTAGCATTAGGGGCATTTTGAGCGAATGATGTCTTTGAGCCCTGACACCAATGGTCCCAATCCTAATACGAGAAAATGGCATTCAACTAGAAATTAAACTACTTATTGCATCCTATGCTAATTTATTTCGTTATTTGTAGTCATTAACTACTGCATGACAGTTGGAATAGCACTCTGATACAGTTTGGCAGGTGTAATCTATTCTCAAACTTGATGCATGCTCATTTGTAGCGTCACAAAACGCGTGAAATCTAAACGGATTTAACATTCGAATCCAATTCCGCGTATTTAAAACGCTTCTTTTTTAAGCAACCATGTCAGACTACAATGAGTATTTGAACATTGCAGTGCTCCAAGAGAACAAACCTGTAAGTTGGTTTACTTCTACAGCTTGAAAGATGCCATCTAATCTCAATACACACAGGTGACCTACAAATCATTAGCGAGAGCCCTTGGTATCCATGTCAACAAGGCCAAGCAGTAAGTATGCTTCTCATCTCAAGGCAGACTTTCAATGACTCATTCTGAATGTAAGAGCATTATACGAATTCTCAGAGTCTCGATCCAATGTTCGAGCTGTCTATTGTATTACTGGTACCTCTCTCAAAAGCAACCAATTCACTATTCAACTCGTCAAAGATGCTGAATTAGATGGTAAGCCAATATAGGTCATTACGGCATTTGTTTGCAGATAGTAACAATGATTTTCAATCAGACGCAAAGAAAGGTTACAAGGAGATTTCTGGTATTCACGTTTACAGCATCACTTCATTTGACCCTGACGATTTCTCCATCTTTTACACTGCATGCAAAGACGCTCCTCAGCTTGCTATCGAAGATCGAGTAAAATGCGGTATCCTCAGAAACTCAAATGTCGTCTCACGAAACATCACTCCCACAAACCGCACAGTATCTGGAGAGCAGAAGAGCGTCTCTATATCTAATACCAAATCTTTGACATCTAATACATCAACTAAGCCTATCACACCTCCCAACAGCACATCTAAAACAACCTCCACCACTACGACTGCCAAAAGAAAGGGTGCTCTCAATTTTGGACCTGCTTCCACCAAGAAACAAATCGTTACTGCATCGCCAAAGAGTGAAGTGCCCGTCTCAAAACCAGTGCCCAAGAAGAGCATCAATAAAATGAAGGCCAGGAACGAGCAAGGTAAGAATTACGGGTACATGCTGCATGTATAGTAAGGAACTCACACCGATCAAGATGATCTAGATGTGCGTATGGCCAAGACGTCCATCAAAGCCTCTGATATATTCTCGGATGACGAAGAAGAGGAAGAGGAGGAACAGGATCAAATGAAGGAACCTCAACCAGCTGAAGATTTGGACATCGTTGAGATAGACAATGAGGTTGAGGATATGGAAGTGGTTGAATCTGTCAAGGAAAACGAGTCTGTTCAGGAAGAACCCTCGGTACCTGCACCTCTTGGAAAAGCCAGAAGAAAGGTACTCAAGAAGAGAACTACCAAGAATAGCCGTGGACATTTAGGTAAGAGAGATGGTAGCTGATTTCTGCAATGGTATCTTACACCAAAAAACAGTGACAGAAGAATATTGGGATTGGGAAGTGGTTGATGAAGCCCAAGTTGAGTTAACAACGCCTACCACACCCTTCAAATCAAAGACACCCTCAACAGCAGCAGCAGTAGCCAACAAACCACCAAACAGCAAAAATGCCAAAAATGCCAAAAATGCCAAAAAACCCACGGGTCAATCTAATCTGTTGAGTTTCTTTAAGAAGGCTTGATAAAACTATTAAAACAGGATAAAACTATATTATTATAGCTAAAACTGCTCCGAGATACATTTCCAGTGATGTCGTTGATATTGTTTTACGGTTTCGACTGTTTGTATGCATGCTTTTTGAGGAAACAAGTCGGGTCGAATAGGCTCGGGTGCTTCTCCCAGTAACACATTCATGCAAGCAAGCGCTGAAATAGCAATTGAATTTAAATCATAGCCTCCTTCTAACGCAATAGCCAGTTTGCCGTTGGCCACACTTTTCAGCAAATGTGTCATTTGTCCATAACCTGCTGGTGTCACTTTGCATTTACCGATGGGATCGTTGATGGCTGCATCGAATCCAGCAGACACTATGACAAAAGAAGGCTGAGCTTACGGTCTCTTTCATGCACAATATGAGCACACTAACCAATGACAATGTCAGGATCGAACTCCATGGCAATGGGTATGACAATCTCACGGAATGCGTAAATATAATCTGCGTCGGTCATGCCTGCACAGGGCCAAGGTATATTCACGGTCTTTCCGACGCCCTTGTTATGTCCAGTGTAGGAGGCGCATCCTTTTAAATCACTAGGGTAGAACGAGCCGTCTTCGTATCGATGCAACGAGATATACAATACATTGGGATCATCAGAAAAGATGCTCTGTGTGCCATTACCGAAATGAATATCCCTGTGTTGATGGTCTGATGAATAAGCGCCAACTTGGACACACATATATATATATAAAGCACACTTACCAATCGATGATGAGCGTTTTCTTGACATTCAACTTTTTCATACAGTATCGTGTAGCAATAGCAACATTGTTAAACAGACAGAAGCCCATTGGCACATCTGATTCAGCGTGATGGCCAGGAGGTCGAATGATGGCAAACGCATTTTTGATTTCGTTTCGAGCAACAGCCTCCACCAGATTGCACAGACTCCCCACAGCGTACAGACCGCTTTCGAATGAATTGGAGTTCAAGTATATTGAATCGTAATCCTTCTCCATGTTCATGTATTCGGCTCTCGTTTTCAAATCTAAATCATTGTTAGACAGGCCTCTCTACCGCTACCTCCAAGACGAATCCACCAACCTGACGTATTTCTCAATGTTCTGTAATGTGTAATGTTATGTACAAGCAGAATTTCGTCCTTGGTAGCGCGTCTGCTTTTGATACGTTTGCATTCTGTCAACAATCCATGTCGCTCCATGATGTTGAAGATTTTGAAAATACGGCGAGGATCCTCGGGATGAATTTCAGTGTCATCAGGTGTCGCATGATAGGACATGGCCGTATCGTACACAAAGCCTGTTTTCAGTAATCTGCGTGGACGAGCTAAATTGGCTAGTGTGTTGTGTTTGACCACGGTGGCTGTCTGGTTGTCGCGATGGCGCGCAAATGTGTAGGGATAGCTGCTCAAATCAACCTCGCTTTCATCGTCTGCTGATGATAAATAATCCACTGCAAATTGACTGGGATCAAGTGAATTAGCTATATCGCTGTAAGTGGTTACTTTGCTTCGGCTCTCTCGCGCAGGAAGTCTTCTCATGGCTGCTACAGTTCTCGCGAGAGTGTCATTTTGTTGGCTGCTAGAGGTGGACTCAGGTGATCTGGAAGAAGAAGCGGTTTTGTCCATGCGCTTAAGGATCTCATTGAGTGTGGATGTTTCAGGGAAGGATAAGCTATGTGATGGTTGCGTCTGTAAGGTAGTGATGGGCAGTATCTTGCCGTGCCTGAGCTGCTGCTGCTGCTGCTGGGCTTGAGCATCTACCTCGACATCGGAATCAGACTCCAATTCATCAATTTCTTCCTTGTCTTCATCGCTCAATCCCATGCTGATGTTAGATTGTGGTTCATTTGACATAATATCTATATCGTTATTCTTGTCGCTCAAGGGTTGGTCTACGCTCTTCTCCTTCTTTTTAGCGAACGATATTTTGGATGTGAGCGTGGCGTTCAGTTGTCTGTCAGGCTTGTTTGATTTCGTCTCTGAGCCGCTAGGCGAATTGGAAGGTGATTGGACTGGTATGGCGCCTAGGCCTTGAGATGCCTTCTTTGAGGTGGATTGCTTGGATGGAGATGGCGTCGGCTTTGAAACAGTGAATCCCATATTCCTTAAATCCTGGCTTGAGGGAGATGCACTGACGGATGATGTTTTGAGTGATTTTGGCTTGTACTTGAATGTGCGTGCAGAATCATCCGTTTCCTCGTCGGACGACAAGACGATGGTCTCGACTGGAGCGCTACTAGAAGCTGCTGATGCTGGAGATGCTGTTGGAGATGCTACTGCTCCATTAGGCTTGGGATTGCTTGCAGATGAACCGCGAGGGGTCTTTTGGGAATATTTCATTACGCTGTATGAACCGGTATCGCTCTTGGTTTTCTTGTGGATGGAATTTCCTTCTTTTTCGCTCGCTCTTTTCATATCGAAGGGTATCTCTTTTGGATTACAAGACAATGAGAGGAGAGACCAAACACGCTCTCCACATGTTAAAGCGCGATGAGGGGAAGTGAACTGCTTCTCGTGACCGGTAATACTCTCTGAAAAAGGTCCAAATGTCGACAGTAAACGCACTGAAGCAAAGCAAAATGGATGAAGCATACTTTACTTTATTCTTTCTTTTTCATATTTCTCTATCATATATTAGCCAACCATGAGTAATACTCCATTGTCCCCAGAAAAGGCTTCTTCTTTGCCTTTGCTGCCTAAAGATCGCAATTTTGAAGGAGGCGATTCACCTGCCTCCACCCCATCAACCTATCCAGCCAAGCGTAGAAAGGTGGAATCATCATTTCGCCAAGACAAAGAGGAAGACGCGTTGTCTACTGACGATGCTGTCATGACAGACGCTTTGCCCATCATCCCTGAATTGAAACCATCCAAATGGCAGGGCACCATCAACAATGTAGTGAAAGCCATTGTCTCTATTCGATTCAGCCAGGTGGCTGCATTTGACACAGAAGGTTTATATGACTATCCATATGTAAGAAGGCACTGAGACATTAAACAAATGAAATTACATAGGCCCTGAGACGTCTGAAGCATCTGGTTTCATTGTGGATGCAAAGAATGGCATCATTTTGACAAATCGACATGTTGCTTGTGCTGGTCCGTTTGTCGGTGAGGCCATCTGCCATGATCATGAAGAAGTCGATGTCTACCCCATCTACCGTGATCCCGTTCATGATTTTGGTTTCTTAAAGTAACGTATGATTCATGTGTCAGTCGAATCCCAAACGCTAAGTGATTTCTACAGGTTCAATCCCGAGAAGATCAAGTACATGCCATTATCCCAAGTCGAGTTGAGACCTGAATTGGCCAAAGTGGGTTTGGATATTCGAGTTGTAGGGTAAGCATCCTAGGCTGGTATAGAGAGTGAAAGAGAAATTGACGCCATGCCATAGTAACGATGCTGGTGAGAAGCTCAGTATTTTGGCTGGTTCTATTTCGAGACTGGATCGTAACACACCTGAATACGGTGATCTGACGTACAATGATTTCAACACATTCTACTTGTAAGTTTGCTATGGAGAATCAATATGCTGCTGCGGCAACTAATAATTACTGTAGGCAAGCTGCTTCAAGCACGAGTGGCGGAAGTTCAGGTTCGCCTGTTATTGACATTGACGGTAATGCTGTTGCATTGCAAGCAGGCGGCCATACCAAAGCTGCCACCGATTTCTTTTTGCCTTTGGATAGAATCAAGCGTGCACTAGGCTTCATTCAAAGAGGTGAAATTGTGCCTCGTGGCGACATCCAAACACAATTTACGTGAGTAGATGCTGTGTATCTAGAATGGGGCTCGTATTGATTTCTTTTTATTTCATAGATACCGTCCATTTGATGAAGCACGTCGATTAGGCTTACGTCCAGAAACCGAGGAAAAGTTGAGAAAGCTGTATCCCGACGAGATTGGTCTTTTGGTAGCAGAAACCGTATTGCCTGAGGGTCCTGCACATAAAAAGTTGGAGGAGGGCGATATTTTACTGACCATCAATGGCGAATACATCACCAAGTTTGTGCCTTTTGAATCTATGCTTGATTCCAATGTCGGTAACGAGGTGTCTATCTGTGTTGAAAGAGGAGGAAAGCCTATTGAGATGACTGTCAAGGTGGGAGATCTTCACGCTATGTAAGTAACGGGACGGATGTTTTGGTGGCCCGTGTAGTTAATGTGATGTGAATTAGTACCCCTGATCGCTATGTTGAAATTGGCGGCTCCAAGTTGAACGAAGTGTCATATCAATTGGCCAGAGCTTATTGCATCCCTTGTAAGGGTGTCTATGTTGCTGAACCCTCTGGCAGTAAGTATATTTATAGGCCATGTTTCTTGTACAAAGCAAATACCTAACGGTGCTTGTAGTGTTCCGTCTCGATGGACCTGATAATGGCTGGATCATCAAATCTGTAGACGACAAGGACACACCCAACCTCGACACATTCATTCAAGTCATGAAGACCATCCCAGACCGTGCTCGCGTGCCTGTTGTGTATTACTCCATTGCAGATACACACACTACATTGGTTGCTGTGGTTCAGGTAGAGAGACATTGGTCCAGCTTCAGATTAGCCGTTAGAAACGATAACACTGGACTGTGGGATTTCACTGATTTGGGAGAAGCACTGCCTCCTAAACCTCTCAAGCCCTCCACCAAGCATTTTATTCAACTGGATGATAGTCTGGGCCCTGCAAAGAACTTGATTCGTTGTTTGGTCAAGGTCAACTTTTACATGCCCTGTCGTTTAGATGGCTTCCCTCGTAGTCGTAAGCAAGGCACTGGTGTTATTGTGGATAAGGAAAAGGGCCTTGTCATTGTCAGCCGCAGTATTGTGCCTACATCGATGGGTGATTTGACATTGAATGTAGCCGACTCGCTGGTCATCCCAGCCAAGGTGCTGGTAAGTACAACTCACAGGGCATAGCAGAAAAAAAACACACGCCTCATTGTTTACCTAGTTTTTGCATCCTACACACAATTTTGCAGTTGTTCAATACGATCCCAAGCTTCTAGGCGAGACAGATGTTCTCAGTGCACCATTCAGTGATAAGACGCTATCACAGGGCCACAAAGTAACATTGGTTGCCCACAACCACAACCAAAGACCTGTGTGTTTAAACACTGTTGTAACCGATGTCACATGTGTCACCATCCCACATAATGGTGTAAAGTATATTCTGCCTCTTCCTTATTATGGCGATATCCGAAATGCTAATTCTTATGCTTGATAGACTCCTCGTTTCCGTAGTATCAACATGGACGCCATCACACTCGACACGCCCTTAGCGCTCCAATGCTCTTCTGGTATTTTGGCAGATGCAGAGGGCCTTGTGCAAGGCTTATGGATGAATTTCTTGGGTGAGCGCAACATGAATGGCCACGACAACGAGTACCACCTTGGCATCCACATCTCGACTGTGCGCACTGTATTGGACCGTTTGAGAAACGGAGAAGAACACGTCGCACTTCGCAGTATCAATGCTGAACTAATGCCCGTTCAAATGGCTCAAGCTGCAGCCATGGGCCTGTCTGATGACTGGATCAGTAAAGTAGAGCAAGCGAATCCAGCAAAGCATCAGTTGTTCATGATCAGACGAACCGAAGCCGCATCCGAGAGCGCCAAAGTGCTGAAGGAGCTTGATTTGATCCTGTCCGTGAACGGAAAAGTGATTACTCGCATGTATGAAATGGATGTGCAATACGACTTGGAAGAGATTGAAATGACCATTCTGCGTGCTAAAAAGGAGATGGTTGTCAAGGTCAAGACAAGTCCTGTTTCTGGAGATGGTACCAGTAGAGTCATCTTTTGGGCAGGCGCAGCGTTACATGGTAAGAAGATTCTCAAATGCACCAGGGATTGCAAAAATGCTGATTTCCTATTTTGATTAGAACCCCATAAGGCCGTACTTCAGCAAAGCAAAACATTGCCATCACAGATTTACATCTCTGCTCGTTCAAAGGGCTCCCCTGCCTACATGTACGGTTTAGTGCCCACCATGTGGATTACGCACATTAATTCGAAAAAGGTGGTTACCTTGGATGATCTCATTGCTGCAGTGAAAGATGCCGAGGACAACACTTATGTTCGTGTGCGTTGTCTTAGTTTCGATAATGTCCCCATCATGCTTTCCGTCAAAATGGTGAATCATTACTTTCCACTAGTCGACATGGTCAAGGACCCCAATGCGGAATGTGGTTGGTCAAAGAGAGAGTAGATTTGAGTCAAGACTTTATAGAGCATTTATACAACATGTAATAAATAGTACGACGTGGCTCAGGTCTCACAAAAACTGGCCATATTTCTTCTCGAAAGGTGTATAAAAAGAGCTTTTAAATTTCTTTAGCGTTCTTTCTCTTCTTTCACCCTCTTTCTTATATTAAAATGTCTAAAAAGAACAAAACCTTACTCCCGAAAGCTCCTCCTCAAAAGAAGTTTAAATCCACTGCATCCACCATCATTTCTGTGGTACTTGGCCTCATTGCGGCCTATCTGGTGTCTGCCATCATCCGCATTGAAATCAATGGCAGACGAGGACTCAAGTCTACAGCTGAATGGAAAGAGTTAATAAAGGAACATCCCTATCAACGAAGAGACACTGATCTCCGTTCTCCTTGTCCCATGTTGAACACACTTGCCAATCACGGATTTATCGCCCGAGATGGCCGCAATATCAAGTCCGAGGAGCTGTTTGATGCTCTCATGTTGATGGGTGCACCTCCAACAGTTACTGTCCTCATTCTCAACTTTGTCTACTTTCAATTACAAGAAGCCAACCCTCAAGACTCGCTGTTTGCGCAATTCAAGCCTCTTGAAACATTGGATCTGGATAGACTCACCGTATTTGGCGTTTTGGAACATGATGTATCACTCACAAGACCTGATTCTACTCTGCTGGGACACTTGGATACATCTCATGTCGTACCTGAATATGTAGAGAGAATGATCAGACTAGCTGAGACCAAGAACCAAGGCGAATTGAAGGGAACATTTACTCGTGAAAATGAGAATGATGCTCGCAAGTTGAGATGGATGGAGTCTATTCGAGATAACAGACACATGCATTTGAATTTCTTCTCACAGGTAAATAGGAAACAGCATGTCTTTGATCCAAACAAATAGACTGATCACTTTGCACCTTGCATTTTAGTTTGCCTCCAGTACAGAATGCTCCTTGCTGCTGGATATTATCGGTCGTGATGGAAGCATTAGCTTACCTCATTTAAAATCGTTCCTATTGAATGAATCCTTCCCAGAGGACTGGCATCCTCGAGAAACCACCTATACAATGAAGGAGCTTGCTACTAAGCCTATGATCTGCTGGCATGGACTTCGTAAAAGTCAAGTGTCTTTGGATTTAATCAATGAGCTTGCATGATTGCATCAATAAAAAAAACCCCTGTATTTATTTATTAGAGCTTTTCGGCTGTCTTTAGATCTTTCAAGTGTCCACAATAGTGTTGGTATAGTTGGGTTGAACAGAAGATGCTATCGTTACTGTGCTTGGACAATGTATTTTCGTAATTTATCGAATCAGATTTTCAGTCATTGTAGGCATGTATTACATAACGCATTGCATAATAATAGTGGTCTGCTACCTTCTTGCGGCCACATTGGTCATGGATGTCTGGTGTTCTGAATTCAACAATAAGCATCATTCGCAGAATATGTTTCGACCATTTATTCTCATTCTAAGGCTTTAAATCGCATGAGAACCTTTCATAATAAGCGGGTTGTAGCGGCAGATCTAACACCTCCTGGAATGTTCCACGTATACATCAGCGGAAACAATCCATATAAGAGTAGACGGTGTACTTGCATTACTTTTCAGTTCTCAAATATACGCAAAACACGGTGAAATTTGGAAGCTTTTGAGCCGCGTTTTCTGGTGCTATAGGCTGTTTTAGCTCGTAGAGTAGCACCAAACAATTACTCTCATCTGGCGGTTACTTATTACCACTATTGCTCAACTTTTTGGGGATCAAAAAAAAAACATGGCCAAAAATCGACCAAAAAGCATGAGGTACCCCTCATAGTTTCTCATCGAAAATCAAACGATCGCATTTTTCACCTTGAAAATGAAGACTTTTACTATGGTATATCTTGAATCAAAATGTTTCTATCGATCCAAAGCAATCTCTGAAATCATCTTTGTGGGACTTTGATATGTAAAATTTCGACATTTTTGCCAGAAGCCTCTTTTCATATTTTCATAAATCATTCGATAAGTTTATTCAAAACATCTATATTACTTGGTACCATTGGATGCGCCTTGAAAAGTACTCCAAGAATGTATTAGGAAGCGTAGGGTGATCATTACAACTTATATAGTCGAACATCACAAAGTAGATTAAAGAAGTCGAAAAAAACGACATCTGTCCAATCTTGAACAGAAAAAAACACTGAGTTTGAATCAATTTTAGCGGGTGGCGCTGCTGCTGGCTGGCCCAACTGCCTTTCTAATAATGACAGTGATAACAATGATGGTTGCGATGCTGATCAAATGGGAATCATAGAGTTAAAAAGCAATGCTGGGATATGACCAGTTGGTTCTGCTTGCAGATTGACCATGTTGGGCAACCATATGCTATAAAGGCAGTCAGGATGAATACATTTTACTTAAAGGCCAACTCGAATCATGCATTTGGAATTCAATAACACATCCCATGTACTCGCGTAATCGCATCTGTCATCAACTAAATCACCGACCAAAGTGCATGGTTAGAGATATGTCACTCCACATTACCACCGCTGTGAACAGTTGGCTAATTGCTTGAGAACTGTAAACGGGTTAGTGCCATAGGAAGTAGTTGATCCAATCCAAGGCAACAGAATAGCGTACAAACAAAGGGATGTTTCGCATAAAAGATGAGAATAAAAAGAAAGGTTAAGTGCCTGTTGTTAGTTTAAAAACTTCAGAAATCCCACGGCTTTGTTCTTTGAATTTCGCGATGTGTACTTTACTTTGGACCCTGAAAATAGTACCATTGGATCCATCAAGCGATTTGCTTTCTAACGATGTACATACTTTCTAATAAAATATCCTCTCTTTGACCACAAATTGGCCATTTACTTGCTTATCTCTCTTCAATTCATGTCCTTTTGTTTACTTTACATGTGATTTTTTTTAAAGCTTAATTTTGCCTAGCAAATGAATTGTTTTGATTTTGCATGATTCGAGTACCTTCTAAAAGAGGACAGTTCCTAAAAGAATGACGTGAAATGTGTTGACTCTTTATGAGTTGAATACTCTTGGCATAAGAACTAAAAACAGGTTGCAGGAATGATACACGAGAATGACCAACTCACTATGTAAATGTGGGAATATTGATGATATCTAGTAGCGCAAACACTTGATTGACATCATTGACATCATTGACAGCAACCATGATAGCTGGAAACAAGATGACTTGCACTGGTTTGAAAACAATCCATTATGTTCCATTCCATGGAGATTGCCGCAGTAATATTCATATGGCACGCTTGTTTTCCGAGGTGTACACTTGTTTCTTGGTCCAGAATCAGTTATGCTGGCTCCGATGTGATATAAACGACAAGAAAGCCAACCTTAACACTCGTATTGCCCGATTAGATGGACAGTTTATGGCTGATGTAAACAACAAGAGAGATGGATCGAGAACCGTATGATCTTGGAGAGAGAAATTAAGGAGAGGTAAAAAAAAAAAAAAAAAAAAAAAAAAGATTACTTAATCAAGCAACCAGTTGCATCTGTTTCAGTGTCAAATGACATTTTTTGTTTACTTTTTGATGAGGTTTGAGCCAGTGAAAAGTTGTCTGTTAATTACATCTAGGAAGAGATGGGGGAACTCGTTTCATGTGAAGGTGGAAAAAGGGCTTTTTGAAGTAGCAAAATGGACATAACTCGAGACAGAAAACAGTTGAAAGCCTCGGACGAAGCGGATCAAATAGAGCAAGTGTCAAACGTCAAAATGGTACTATTTTCACGCGCTCAAAGTAGTATATCGTGGAGAAAAGTAAAAGGAAACGAATTTGAGTGTGGCAAGGACACTGGACTCACATGAAAGTCGATGAGAAGGATATAAATAGATGGTTGTTTCAACAGCTTTTCCTTCTTCTTCTTCTTCTTCATCATCATCTTCATCTCATCTCTACTCTCTATTAACAAATCTCTCTGCAAGCGAACTCTCTCTGCAAGCGAACTCTCTCTGCAAGCGAACTCTCTCTGCAAGCGAACTCTCTCTGCAAGCGAACTCTCTCTACAATACTCTTGGGCTCTCTTTCTGCTTTATACATGGTCAAGTAAATCAAACACTGTACTGATGATTGGCTTTTTCTTACACAATGCTCTCATAATTCCATGGTTCTCTTAGGTTGCGGTCCATGCAAAACATGGTCGCACTCTCCTCGTATTTTTAGATAATAGCAACATACAATCAACTCTGCAGGTATGTACTCGTCACTTCTAGCTTATAAAGCAGCATGACTCACCATCTCTCTATTTTGACTTGCAAGCACTCCATACTTGGTTGAAGCCTTGGATGAGGTCTAGGGGTCATGCGCGTAAGGTGGTTGTCTCGTGTGGCCTCAGCACCTGTTGCCCCGGTAGCTCGTAAGGGTGATGCGACGAGGCGCTAGGTGCGTTTCCCGGGAGGTGTCATCCCATCCTTGTTGCTAGGGATATGCAAGTTGTGGAGGATAGTTTGCCTTGGAAGCATGGCTTCATCTTTTGGTCTCCTCGTGTTTCAAGCTGCTCTTTTCATCGTCCATCAAGTATGCTACAGGGTAAGTATCCTTTGTAATAATCCAATGTCCCTCTATATATTGTAGATCTATTTGCTGCAATGTCAAAACCACTTTAGTACACGGTGCCATCTCTACATCTATACAAGACCAAGCCATGCTCGTATCTCTGCTGCCTGCCATCTATTATAGTGTCAAGACTCATGCTGCCTAGTATATATAAAGTCAAGCCATACTCGTATCTCTGCTGCCTGCCATCTATTATAATGTCAAGACTCATGCTGCCTAGTATATACAAAGTCAAGCCATACTCGTATCTCTGCTGCCTGCCATCTATTATAATGTCAAGACTCATGCTGCCTAGTATATACAAAGTCAAGCCATACTGCCACATCTGCTGTCTCTATTCTATACACGAAACCTTGCAATACACACATCAATACTATCTCTTACCTACACAAGTTAAATCAAATTATATTCAAGTTAGCTAGCATCTATTCAAATCTAAACAAACTCTCATACATTATCATCGTTTTCTATAAAGTTACAAGCAAATTAATAATAAAAAGAGTTTTGTATTGCCTACTATATCATTGTCTTTTATTACATTCTCTATTAAAACCAATGTATAAACGGAAAACTGTCTGAAACAGCTGATATCGCAAGTGCCACTGATATAAATGCTCTTGAATCGTGAAGCTGTAGTTGAAGATGAATGGAGAAAGTCTGACTATGGCTATTTCGAAGCACTGTTAGCTTTAATGCCATACAGAGTACCGCTATCATTGCAGGCAATGCAACTCTTTTCTCGGAAGAGATGGCTATTTAGTCATTGTACACACGCAGTCTTGCACAAGCTTCATGCCTCATGTTATTAGAGATAGACACATTTATTGGATAATGCGCTTGAGAGTTTATGTACTAATATACAAGTTGTTGGATTGCTATGGATACAAGGTATTCCAGACTTCAAGAAGTTTCTAGAGCAAAATATTTAGTCGTTGCAAAAGCACTAGTAGTGTGAGGGACTATATACACACATGTAATTATACAATGACCTACGTTCGCTCAACCCGTAGTTTAATATAAAAATAGCCAAAAATATCTTAAAGCTTTGATAGAGATATGACTTTTGCTACAGTATCTACGGTATCTATAGTTGTATTAAATGCTAGTATCATATGCATCTCAGAGGGTATTGGATACCGTAAGCGATACTTGACAGAGCCAGCTGCTGATTTTTCTGCATAAAGGTTATTCACAGTCTAGCGATGGTTTATGCTTGATGGAAGTATCTTGGTTCTGGCATACCAATACATTGATTTCTTCAAATTTCACTACTCAACAAGTGATCAAGGCATACATTATACCTGAATTGCCTCTTGGCATTCGACAGAATGCAAAACACAGCAACAATTGGCAACAATTTCTTGTGCTAGAAGCCGTTTTAAACTGCCAGAATAGCACCAAACATTTTCTCTCATCTAGCGCTTACTTTCTGACACCTTTACTCAACTTTTTTAAGATGGCCAAAAATCGACTAAAAAGCATGAGGGGTACCCCTCATGGTTTTATCAGAAATTAAACGATCGTGTTTTTGACCTCAAAAATGAAGACTTTCACTATGGTATATATTGAATCAAAACGATTTTATCGATCCAGGGCAGCCCCTGAAATTACTCTTGTGCAATTTTGATATGTGATATTTCGGCTTTTTGGCCAGAAACCTCATTTCGTATTTTAGGGAATTGCTCAACAAGTTAATCCGAAACATTTACTTTACTTGACACCATTGGATACGTCTTGAAAAGTGCTCCAAGAAAGCGTAAGGGAGCATGGGGTGATCATCACAATTTACATAGTCGAATCTGAAACAATAGGTCGAATCATGCTCAAAAAGTTAGAAAATCAACAAACCAGGACAGACAGTCGAGCGGAGATTTGACAACTTTTGACTAACAAAATGCATTCTTATGAAGGGAATGGACATTTTGAAGCGAATGAGAAAGGTAATACTAAATCACAAGGTTGATACCAAGCTCGGCGTTTTGTTCAAACCTCTGAATGTACCTAGCGACTGCAAGCTTCTTAAATTAAATAGATGAGGTCCATTTTCTACTATATAATAGTCTTTTCTGGAACAGCCACATTGCTGTAACACGCCCAATGTCCTCAGGAACCGGGATGATCTTTTGAAAGACGACATTGGTATCCCAAAGCATTCTCAATCTTGCAAGGATAGTAGCAAAGCAGTACTTGATGTGCTAATCTTAAGTTATATGGCAAATGGTAACCAAGAGTCTGCTCCTCAAAACGCTATTTGGATGATTCCGCTGAACTTGACGGGAATGTTTGATCCTGTTTCAGATACATGTAATTCTATGGATGCTACCCAGAGTATCGTAAAAAGAGATATGAATTGATTTTAAGCTATAGATGGTAATGATTTTGTGACATGTAATGCATTGCAATCGCGGATAACAGCAGCATCAATCAAGTATCATTTGGCATGATTTGAGGCATATCAAAGCTGCGTCAACTTTATAGCGTTTACTTGAACGCTACGTTTATTCACTGCTCCATCCTTTCCTAATCTCTCTATAAGATGGTGTAAAGGCTAAATCATTTCTGAATCGAATCATGATTACAAACAACATACCATTTTATTCATCAACCGAAGTGAAATCATGGCCCAAAGAAAGGGGAATTTGAGGTGAAATTTTGAGGTCACGACGTACCCAAAAACCAAAAGACAACGATCATCCAATATTATATCATCCCCAAAAATATTACTTGCTCTCTTCTTCTTTCTTATTTTTGCACACAAACGCAGAGCAATGGATGCTTTTTTTGAAGTGGCATCAGCCAAGTTGGGAGGCAATCCCACTGCCGAGCAATTGAAAATTGTAGCCTCTATTTTATCATCGTATCCATGTGCTCTTTTATTCAAACTGATTCCTGCCAAAAATGCACAGATGAAGCATTTGTTCTCCATCTTGGTCACTTCCTACATCATGACCTCTGTGCTGCACTACTACCAAGGCTTTGTGCACATTTCGTTGATTTGTTTGTTTACCTGGACCTGGATGAAGTTTTATAAGGGCAGCAATGGGCCTTGGATTAACTTTGCTGTCGTAATGCTCAGCATGTCTATCTGGTAAGTTTAACTCTGGAGTATTCCACTCCAATGACTGACTATTTTTCTATAAAGCCATTTGCAGCGTCAATGGGGCGGTTACGATGTTGATGACTCGAACGATTACTCGGGTACACTGATGATCGCCACTGTAAAACTGACATCTTTTGGATTCAATGTAGCTGATGGTCGTACAAAGAATCAAGCTGTGTTATCCAGTTACAACAAACGCATGAAAGTGGAGCAGTACCCAACTTTGATTGAGTTTTACGGATGGATGTTTTTCTTTGGCGGATTCTTGGTAGGACCTACCTCTGAATTCATGGATTACATGCGCTTTATCTCCATGCAAATGTTTGAAGTCAAGGGCAAAATCCATGCTCCTTCGCCTGTCAAGCAAACGCTCTTCTTGATTGCCAAAAGCTTGTGCTTTGTTGCCATCATTGTCACTGTGGCTCCTTATTACAACTCGGCTGATGTCGGTTTTGTTGCATTTGCTGATCTTTCATTTGGGAAAAAGTAAGTTCGAAATGCGCTGTAAGTGATATCTCATTTACTGACTCTTTTGTACGCCTGAACAGGCTGGTTTATCTTCAACTGGCTGCATTTACGTCTCGTTGCAAATACTATGTTGCATGGTTCTTGTCTGAGGCTGCTTGTGTATTGTGTGGCTTTGGATTTAATGGCTACGACGCTAGTGGAAAGGCTCGCTGGGATCGTTTCACCAACATTTATGTTCGCAAATGTGAATTCAGTCAGTCTATCAAAGAAATGCTTGATCACTGGAACATTGGTGCCAATCGCTGGCTTCGTTACTACGTATACATGCGCATCACGCCTCCTGGACAAACTGGTGGTGCTTCAAGTACCTTGGTCACCTATGCCTTGTCTGCTCTGTGGCATGGATTCTATCCTGGCTATTACTGTAAGTGCGCTGATACAGTGATGATGTGTATAGTAAGCTAATCAAATCACAGTGTTCTTCTTGTCCATTACGCCCTTCCAAATGCTGGCTCGTCATATTCGCAGAACATTCCGTCCTTTGGTCATGATTCCTGGTACCAAGAATCCTCAGCCTGTTCTAAAATTCTTTTACGATACAGCTGGTGTCGTTCTCACCATGTCCATAGTCAACATCTTGTCTGCTGCTTTCAACTTGCTGTACTGGCAACCAGCTATCACCGTGTGGAAGCAAATCTACTTTATTCATTATGTGATTGGCGTTGTAGGCTATGCTATCTGGAGAGTAGCCAATCGTCCATTGAGAGAGTACCAAAAGAAGAGAGAAGCCAAGGCTATTTCGCAATACACTCGTCCCCCTACGCCACCTGCGGAAGAAAAGATGTCTGCCATTCAGCAAAAATCTCAATAGACATCATACACATACATACTCATTTTGTACATAATATACATATAAAACGAAAGAGAAACACTTATACTCTTACGATGAAAGATACGAAACGATGTGTTTATTTATACTACAGTTGCTTTGGTAAACCTGAATGACGAGAACTTCTCTGTTGCCACTATTCATTGATGCTATTGTTGTTACCAACACATTCTTGCAGAGTTGGAGGGTATGTTCCTGGTAAATGCTGCTGTTGCTGTTGCTGTTGCTGATCATTGCAGTGATACGGAGAGGGATATAAAGGCGAATGATTGCTTGTAAATGATGGCTGTAACAGATATGTGTATTTTAGATGTGTTAGCTTCTCCCCAAGGATTTCAAAGAATTTAGTAATTCAATACCTTTCCGTCCAACTGGGTGTAAATCTCATTTGATCTTTGAGAAGGGTAAGGAAACAGTGTTGAATAACCGATGGATGCATTGCTGGATGGAAGAGAAGGGTTTGTAGTAACAGCAGCCATGGTATTCATTTGCTGTTGTTGCTGTTGTTGCTGTTGTTGCATAGCATGGGCATGGGCTTGAGCAGCGGCATTAGCCATAGACTATGCATACCAATCAGTATTATGGAGTGTACATTTCATGCAATGTGCAGTCTTACTAAATGCGATAAATCCGGCGCATTAAGACACTCTTGAATCAAACTTTTTCCTTCTGGTCTTGTAACTAATGGCTGTAGTTTAGGTGTCGTAAATGTATATACAAGACCAGTTTCAGAAACTACCAACAAAAGAACCTGCGTACCCGTCAATGTGCTCAATTCATAAGCCTGTGCGTATGTCCTATAAGCATGCTATTGACATATCTCTATTTTTCAGCCAGATACCTTCTTCATAATACCAGCTTTCCTCTTTGAGAATGTAATGTGTCGCCTGGATTTATCTTCTATATACTCGATCTCAATTTTGCGTCTACCGGATCTCTTTCCGGGTCTCGAGTCAGCATCATCTGAATCCACGTCTAATTGTAAATCTGCTGTAGAAGATAGAGGCGTGCCAAAATGCAGTTGATTTGACGATGTTTTATAATTGAAATTGCTCGAGTTCATTAGCGTGTGTGCAAAGAAAGGAAAAAAGGGATATGATATACAAATCAAAGTATATACGGAAGAGAGACAGATGAATACAAAGTCATCCATGACATCCGCCTCAACAAAAATGAGTTGTTTTATTTTACCCAACAAATTTTATTGCGAAGTGATGAAATGGCTGGCGTCATACATCATTGCAAACCAAGGGTGAGGAAACTGATCGTAATAGTCTACATCAAATTTGCTGCCACTCATGATCTTGAACATGTTTTTAGTCAGTGGCGAGGTCAGGTCTTCTGGTGGCACCTGATGGCCTTGCATGAATTTAATAGAGTCTAATTCATTCAAGCAGGATTTCATCATGGATCTTGCTTCTTTAGCAATATGCTTGTTTGGTGACAATGCTAATAGCACCAGCACGTCCAGAGCGTGGAATAGGAATTCACTGGCAGTTAAGATGTAATTACCTATAAACTTGGAGTTAGCATGCACTTCTTCAGTCAGCCTTTGCACTGAACCAACTTACATGAGGATGGATTAGCCACCGCCAATCGATGAATAGCGTACAGCAAGAGTCGACAGCTCTTTAACGCCATTGTCAACGAATGTTCCTGCACCCACGACAGTATTTGCTGAGCATAGTCCGCCATGGATTTGGGCTGTAACAGACAAGAGTAAGTGCTGACGTGGAATATGTGAAATTGTATAAAGCTGGTCAACAGAATAGAATCGGTGGCTTGATCTATTGCTTTGAAGCATTGCTCTGCGTCATATAAATCATCACACAGTCGAAATTCAGCTGGAATCGACCTGGCCCACTCTTTCATCACATCCTCCATCCTGACAATGGATTCAAAGCTAAGCGTACAAGTTCTTCCCACATGTACGCGATGAATTTGTTTCTGAAATAGTGGGTATTAGTAATCATGACAAGCTAAAAGCCGCTGCCAACTCACCACAAAATGCATCACAAACTCATGATTGTACAAGTTAACGATCCAGTTTTGCGATCGCACAAATCTTTTGGTTTCCTCACATTCATCGTCCACGTATTTCCACACTGGAAAGTGAAAGCACTCGTTGTCTGTGAAATCGTCTGCGATGTAGTCCATCAAACGACTGATGGACATTGATATGGTGACATGTCGAGTAAACAGCATCTTTTCTACGTCAGTGATAGGCGCCTGGTCGTTGGTATAGGTATAGTGCCCAGAATGAGGCGAGCTTTCAAAGCAGGCGCTGGGGCCCGTGGCTCGGTATTCAGGGTATTCCTGTCGTAAATCGAGCAGAATCTGATAAGCCATGGATACTAATTGACGGCATTCAGCGAATTTCAGGGTGATGTGCATGTACTGTATGAGTAGATTGATGCCAATCACATTTTCCAATCTCTTCTCGGGCACGTCAAACTGATCAAAAATGATGCTTCTGGCTTTGGCATGGAAATAGTCGCCCATGTTGCGCCTTTCTCGAGGTGAATACTGCAAATGACGGCAAGGTGTTGAGCAGACGTAAGCACAGATACCCAGTGTGATAAGGTCTGTCAAGGGGTCTTGTATAGTGGCCAGTTTCGCTCGATAAGTAGGCTCGTGCACCAGTGGGTTGTATACGTTATGACAGCTAAAGTAGTTTGTCAGGAGCTGATCTACCAGCGCATTCGGGTCCAATAAGAGTGTGCTTGGCAGCAGCAGTGTCGATGGTGGCTCGGCAGGCTTTGTCTTTATGCATCGAGTCAGAATTTTGATGGTGAATGGGATCAAACTGCCAGTGCCTTCCTTTCCAAAACTCATAATAAAGTTGGCATTGCATCCTCTGTAAAACGCAGTTGACATGTCCTCGCCATCACTGTGGTAGCTGGAGGAACATGACGATGATGATGAAGAGAAGGAGGAGGATGTTGATCTGCTTCGGATTCCTCCCAAGGGTGATAAATAAGACACCGTTGGATCAAACTGCAGTAATTCGCTTATGTTTCGAATCCCTGTTTCTATCTGGAAATTGCCGTTCTCAATCTTGACCTTCCAATTGTGAAATAAGCTTTGAATCATGGTGTTGGATAGTTCTGATAAGGGCTGTCTGTCGTTCTGTGCAGGCCATGTTGCTCGGCATGGATTGTTATAGCTGCTGCTGCTGCTGCTGCTGCTGCTGTCGCTGATGAGATGCCTGCTTTTGCTGCGGTAGAATTGCAGTTGCTCCTCCATAAAATAGACAGCTTCTTCCAGTTGCTTGACTTGATCTTTCAAGGCATCTATATCCTGATGCTCCTCTACCTGTCCATCTACGCTATATGGACCATACGAGTAACCATCTTGATTCGTAGGTTGTTGACATGATTTGCCAAGCCTTTCACATCTGGCGCATTTACGATTCAAGTCTGGACGAACGCACTTTCGGCGATGCTTTCGACATTCTATTCATAGAGCATTACATACACACACACACACACACACACAGACAAGGGCAACTAAATGCAAACGAATTACCAGTGCAGGGTGTACATCTCACTTTCATGGAATAAGAGTCAATTTAAGGTTTAAAGCCAAGCAAAGAAATGAGTAAGAAAGAAAGAGAGAGAGAGAGAAAGAGGGGGGTGTTCATACCGAGCAGTAAGAGAAAAGGTATTTTATTGAAAAGTGCTAAACATATGATTGGTCATATCAGACCTCAATGGTTTAACTTTTCTTACACCTGCAAATCCCCTTCTATCGCCTTTGGTCATCATGATCTTCCAATTCGCCTTGAGGTTGGATAACACTCGTTCAATCTCTTCATTGTGATCTGGCGAAGAGGCTAGTAGCGATGTCATTTGAAGCATTTTGGCGGCTGTTGCTGCTGGGTTTTGCGATGATCCGAAATCAGTAAACAGCTTGTTGAAGACATCTGCTCAATGCCACATTAGACTTGCATCACGCACAAACACACACACACACACACACACACACACACACAAACAGAACCTCACCTTCTAATCGTTTTGTCTGCAGCAAAATTACATTGTCTCTAAAACTACGTAGAGCCATATTACGCACGTTCCACATCTCGGCTTCATCAGGTGATCTGTAGCGCACATCTGTTCGCAATGGCAAGAACACTGCTTCAAAATAAGGCAACGCATACGTAAAGAAAAAGGACCACTGCTCAACAAGTCGATCTAGCAGCTTTTCATCTGTCACGCCAAACATTTTGGCATTCAGCGTAAACATGCCGTCTCTCAGCAGCGCCTCTATATCACGGTAAAATTTGGGTGTAATGGAGTCTGATAGACATCGTCGTAGTAGCTCGTTAAGATCTTCAATAGCGCCTTGCACGCCCTCTCCATTGAACAGAGGCAGCACTCGAACACACAATGTTTGCCAAGCATCTCCCTGCGCTGAAGTGACATGATGACTGACAGCTACGGGTGGTAGTGTAGCGCTGCTTAGACTGTTTTGTCTATGGTACTGGAAGTTGGGCGGTGTGGCTGCCATGGATTGTGCTGCCATGGACTGAAATGAGATGTTGCTCGCTGTATTGTTGGCAAAGTAAAAGTTATGCTGTTGCTGTTGCTGCTGTAACTGTGCGTTGGAAGGTGATGTGGGCGACATGACATCGTCTCCTCCTCGTAGCTGGAGTGCGGATTTCTCCATATCACGAGTGATTGATTTGGCGTCTAATGCTGTAAGTGATTTGTGGATAGAAGGTGATGTGATGGGTGATGTGGGTTTTTGCGCTGGCTGTGAGATGGACCTATCTAGACTGGCTGAACTCGCTTGTCGTGGATGCGAGGTAGACGATCCAGAATTGGATCTCACACTGTGCCGCTTGGTTTGGCTGCCACCACCACTTGGTGGAGGTCGCATTGTCAGTGTTGTCGCTGATAATGATCGCATCGGGTTTGGCTGTATAGTGGAGCTTGATATGTGTGTGTTGGCAGAAGCATTGTCCAGAGACGCAGACAGCGATGAGGACGAGTTGGAGGACGAGGAAAGAGCAGTAGACTCTTTGTCCTGTGTATCGTCTTCTATCGGTAGCGGTGGAAGCGGTGCATTGTAGATACTCGGTGATCCCATCTCTGCTTGCTGGTTGTCGTGGTGTTGAATGAAAAGGAGAAGGCGAAAAAAAGTAATAACTGCAAATCCGGGACATGGCCCATTTAATTGATTGGCTCTCATGACTTGAGGAGATGCAATGAGTGTATATCATACCGAGGTGTAAATATTAGTAACGATAATTGTGATGGATTTTATTGATTCAAGTAATGAAAAAGGAAAGCAATTATCTCTAGATGTGATAATTTTATAGAGTGAAATGAGTAAGAATGAGTATAGATGAGTTGATATTAGATAGAATAGTAAGGTCATATAATGCATAGAAAGATGGAGTGCAGCGCTAGTGGTCGGTTTAATGCACTTGAAGCGCCTTGACACTGTTTTTTAAAGAATGGCCACTGTCCTTGTTGCTGCTGGTGTTGCTGGTCGTAGTGCTATTGCTGCTGTTGTTGTTGTTTGCCTTTTTGTTTGTGCGTTGATGGCGATCTTCGTCTAATGCTTTTGGAGCCACAGGCACAGATTGTCTTTTCAGTCTGTTACTTTTGTTGTTTTCTGACGCAAGTGGTGGAATACTGGGTATAGATCGGCAAGTTGAAGGAGGTTGCAAATGTGAAGAGGATGAGGAAGCAGCGAATGACATTGGGCGTTTCTTGGTAGTTGAAGTAGGACTTGTGGGAGGTTCCTTGGGTTTATTACTGCTAAATAGCTTTCCAAATCGATGCCCCAATGTGGGTGAAAGCTCATTCTCTGTGGCCATCTCTTCTCTCTGCCTGAAAGATTGTCGACGACCGTTTGTACTAACTCCCATCATCAATCTAGCAGTTCGACTCTCTCCAGCGGGAAGTCGCTTGCGATACACGGAGCTTTTTGGTGGTAATTCTCTTTTAGTCTTGGGCGCTGTGGTGGAGGATGTGTTGATTTTAGGCTTCCTGGTATTGGACTTGAGTTCAGAGAGAGGCGATCGTTGCGATGCTCGTTTATGCGACAATTTCTCGGCAGTCGATACTGTGGCGGATGGCGGTTTTATCTGGCGTTGTGGTGGTTTCAGGACTTGGTCCATGCGCAGAGGCACCGTGTTGGACCTGGTCAACGGTTTGCGAATAAAGTTGTCTTTGGCATCGCCGCCAGACACTGACTTCTTTTGCACAGGCGATTGCAATCTGACGGATTTGACTGATCTCAATCTGGGTGCGTGCATCAAGTCTTCTGGATCCTTCAAGTTTTCAATGACAGGCTGTAAGATGCAGAGCATGGGAATACGAGAACCTTGGCTGCGATTTAAGTCTGATATCGATTGTCTTTTACGGATGACATTGGCGATCTTTTCCTTGACAGGTATGGATGCAGATGCTGTTTTATCGACGGAGAATGCTGGTACAGGCAGTCTGCATTTGGCAGGATGTGTTGGTGTGGAAGGTGGCTTCTCCATCATGATAGTGTCATTATCACTGTTTACGGTTGCTGTTGTGACGGTAGATAGGGGTAACACAGAAGTAATCTCTGTATCGAAACAATGCATGTCTTGCACACCACTTTGCTCTTTATGATCTAGCATGCTCTCCTGTTCAACATCGTGCATGCTATCGGATAGATCTGACTCTGACTGAGACGAGATATCGTGGTCGAGTCGAGTGGCTGGGAACAGTAGCTCTGGCTCGTAATCCGTCAAGAATGGGTGCTGATGTTTTATATATAAGGAGTAGTGTAAAAAAAGGAGATTCAGTATTGGTTGTTTGTGTACATGTATTTGTTTTGCCTTACCTGTAATATGCTGTTTGCCGATGACCTCGTACGAGGATCAGGATCAAGACAGCAGTCCAGCAGATCCACTAGACGAGAAGGAAGATCCGGTGGGTATTCTGGTTTTCCATTCTGCAAAATGCGTTCCTTGATCTGTATATTGATTTTAGTGTATTGAGCCTCTTGCTCCTCTACCATTAAAAAAATTTTTTTTTTGGTGTACCTCTTCTTCGTCTAATTTCTCATCCTCATAAGGCGCCTTTCCCCCATTTAGAACTTCCAGAATCACAATGCCCAATGCCCAGATATCGACTTTATGATTTACAATCTTTTGTTGAACTAATTCAGGTGACCAAAATAAAACAACCCCAGCTTCCTCAACGCTTGAATCTGCTGCAGGTGAAATAGAAACCACGCCAAAATCACCTAGATGGCAACACAAGTGTTAATATCAGCTATTGCTTATTGTTGTTTCGCTCGTGTAGCAGCACATTTACCAATGACGATGGTGTTGCTCTCTTGATCCAGAAAAATATTGTCGCACTTGATGTCTCTGTGGATATAGCCATGACCGTGCACTTTGGCCAATCCAGATGCAATGGATGTGATGATATGCACAAGCTGGCCTACAGTGAGATGATGTTCAAACACATACTGTTGCAACGAGCCACCGGTGCAGAGTGGCATCACTAGATAGACAAATTCCTGATGCAAATGGACTGCCAGCAGCTTGAGGATATTGGGGTGTACGCACTTTGTCATTGAGTAGATTTCATTCTCTACAAGTTCCTTTGGCATGACAAACATGTCCTCGTACTGATTCTCTTCCACGAGATACTTTTTAATGGCAACCTGCTTCTGTGTTGCACGCTCGATACATTTATAAACTCCACCCTGAGCACTGAACCAGGTGGGCTCCTTGTCGAGGCCGGCGTATATTGCATCTGGATCTGATGAGAGAACGGGAACTCCATTCACTTGTTGCATGGTTTTGGTGAGATGTACAAAGAAAAGAGAGAGAGAGAGAGAGAGAGAGAGAGAGAGAGAGTAGAAAAGCAAAAGAAAGGGAGAAGAAAAGAATTGGAAAAGAAAAACGTGCGCATCAAGAAATAAATTGGTTCAAGTTCCATCGGAACACTAATCATTTAAGGGCTTCAATTCATTGCTCTTGTCCATTTGGATGATTTCATCTGTATCAACCTCACCCTGATCAATGCATACAAGCAGCATTGGAATATACAGAAAGAAAGGGGAGGGGCTGATCGTTATCTTGGCTTTTGATAAGTGTCTTGTTCGCACTACTTGCGGCTGTCTTGATGTTTACATTTTCCCTCTTTTTGATGAATTGCACAATCCTCTGTATTTTGATAGTAACGAGTCTAATTGGCAACTCTTGGGTACAGACGGAAATTCAAGATCAATCGATACAGCAATCATCGCTAGAAACGTCATCTCATCGTGCTTGATGAACCGAAATGAACAAAGCAGAGGGCTGTGGAAATAGGATGACATCCTGATTTATTTTGTGGCCCCTCACAAACAAAAGCAAATCATCGGAATGATGCACTGTGTATGACACTGTACTCGCTGACTTGATGTGGAGGCTGCCCAGGGTAGCACTCATGCATTTGACGTGCTCACACAATACTGCCATCTGTTTAAATCGATTCATGTAGACAGCATTCATTCATGCAGCATGATGATTGTACACGCATATTGTTTTATCATAAAAAGCTGTATTTTTTTTTTTTTTCCTGATGTGTATAAAAACCTTTTGCCGTTCTATTTTGCTAACATTTTGATACAAGACAAGCATGACAATTCGCAAGAAATTATTGGCTTCCATTCTGCCCATCCGCACAAATGAGCCAGGCACCTCGCCTGCCTCTGCTGTGCCTGTACCTGAAAATCATCAGCACGAAAATAGGAGCCCCGCACCACATGCTTCTACTAACAACAGATCAACGGGCGAGCTACAGGATCCACAAGAACCTCTCAAGACCAACATACCCAGATTCTCTTCTCTCTGGCTTCATAGGCACTGGAAAACTGTTTTTCATACTCCAAGAGGAGTAAGGCCTTACCGTCGTTTCATTGTTAGCTGGTTGGGAAGGATAGGGTTTATAGCGAAAGGGATCGTATACGCTGTCATGGGCGGTTTATGCATTGCAACAGCGCAGCATCTGAAAGGCGACATTACAGGCACCGAGTCCCCAATGGTTTGTGTAGTCTAGTTGATGTTGACATTTAAACATAAGCTCAACATAGTCTGTTTGTATAGGGAGCATTTGTATTTCTCGGTCTGTTCTCCATAGGTGCGCCTAGCCTAATTGTCATGCTAATTGGCATACTCTTTTACTCTGTTTGGCGATTCTTGGTGTATCAATTGGTATCTTTGTCTGTTATATTACTAATGCAGAGATGATTTGAAGCTGGGAGGGATTGACAGGGCAGGGGATGTGATGCTTTATCGTTGCACTTTGGTAATTTCTTTCGTGCAAGATTGTCCCTCCATCGTATCAGGCATCGTCTATGTCGTATATCTAATCTATATAGGAAAACTGTTGACACAAACCAGAGAAGAGAGAATGAACAGCACGTTCCAGTCAACAAGATGCTTTCCCTCTTGTTGGGCAAGCTCGGATCAGTGGGCGTATCGAATGGCCGTAGGTGTATTTGGCGTGGCATTTGTAATTGCATTTATAACACAAGCACAAAACGGATTCTCCAATCGATGGCATAAAGACTTGAAAGCGGAGAATCGCAGCAAAGCAGAGAAGTACATTGTGTATGTCTTGGGACACCTTGGGTTTTTGGCTCGTGCAGGTGTAATAAACAAATATGCTATAAATTTCATACGGACAAACTATACTCATAATCAAAAGTTTTGTAGGTGTTTATGTTTGTCGCTGTGTTCATGTTTAAATCATTGCGACATCTAACAATGATTTCGGAGAGAGATGCATTTTCTGATGCCATCAACCAGGTAATCAGTGTGCATGGCGGTTATATAGGCCTGTGATTTCTTGGAATCGGTGTTATCCTGTTTGGTGCATTTGCCATCCTAAACTCGTACTACAAATATTTTCCGACCCCACCTCCCAGTCGAAACTATGTATATAACTATGAGAATAGAACAACTACATGTGAGGTGGTCTCTACTTCTTCTTCCTGAAATGCCCGCCAAGTAAATAGTGGTGCAATGCAAGAAGTAGATCTAATCGAAAATGAAAGCAGCCTTTGAAAGGGTTTGTCGTCACCCGTACGCAAACAACATACAATCATATTTTGCATTATTATCAAACTAGTAACCAGTGGCAAAAATGTACATACAGTATGCTAAAGCACGATCCATCTATAACTGCCTTTAATAAATCAAAGATTGGGTCTTCTGAAGATGCTTTTTATATAAAAAAAAAAAAAAAAAAGTTGGTATCATTCAGGAGTCATCGCTCGAACCATTCTACGATTCAGTAAAAACACAGCATACACTACGGGGATTAAATAGTATATAAAATATATAAAAGCCACTATTTTACAGTATCTATAACACTGGCCGATCCATCTCGCTACGCTCGATGACGGCGTCGCCCTGCGGGCTCTCGCCGAAGACATTTCAAATAAGAAGAGATAGTAAAACTCTGTTATAAAAGTACATTTTAGACAATGACTATATTAGGCATGAAGCTTGATATAAACGTCAGAACTTTGAAGGTACAAATCAATATTTTTTATGAAGCATTTACGTTATATTATTATAAGACTTCTGGTTTACTACATCCTCCGTCCGAGTCGCATTTTCTGGCGACAGAACTGTGATACCATTCGCGGATGCTGCTCTTGAGATGGCGACACAGAGCTGGCCATGCGTAAACACTGGACTTTTATGAGATCTACAGCGATTTTTTTAAGAGGTTATCATTGCAAAAGACACCTATATAGGGAAAAAACTCACAAAAAAAAACCCAAATAAAAAAGGATTCAAGCTAATCGATTGTTCTTTTAAATTCATAATCCCTAATTAATCAGCATCACAATCATCATTGCCATCAACAGAAACGCATTTTGGTCAGCCAGCAGCAATGCCGCCGCCAAAATCAATTCAAGCTCAGTTTATTTTTTCTGTTCAAGATTGGACAGATTTCGTCTTTTTACGACCTCTTTAATCTGTTTTGTGTTATTCGACTATATAAACTGTGATGATCACCCTACGCTCCCTAATCACTACGGCCCAACTGATGTTCTCATGAGAATATCGATGTGCTCATATGAGAATCTATTTGATGTTCCCGAAAGGTGAAAAATGCTCTCATATGGGAACATCGGCGTCCCTAAAGATCTATTATAAGTCGACCGATGTTCTTATGAGAACATCCGAAATGTTCCCATGTGAGCACATTCATATTCTTATATGAGCACATCGATTTTCAGAAATTTGAAAAAAAGAGTGCTCCTATCGGGGTCGAAATCACAACCTATCGGTTGTGGATCTGACGTTCTTCCCACTAAACTACCCGATATCTTATTGAAATATATTCTTTTACTTTAATAAGTAGTTATTAGGTAATTTTAAATTGCCATTTTCTCGTGCAATTTATAATACGCTTAGTAATTTTATGAATCTTAAAGATAATAAAAGTCTCTCTGTTGCCTACAATATTATAGTTTAGCTATTAAAACCATTTTATTCATGTGGAAAACTACACCTTCTCAAATGAGAACATCAATGTGCTCATGAGAACATCAGTTGGGCCGTAGTGATTGGCGGGTTGAGCACAATGCATTTGGCAGGGTTTCAGCGGTAATCGAGCAGGTGAGAGTGTTCTTCAGCCTTCTTTAAAAGACGAGGCATGTGTGGAATTTGAGGCTTGATAGACTAAAATTCACGGAAAAAAAAAGAATAAAAAAACAGTAATGTCAACTTGATAAAGGTATATTTTATTATCAAACTGACAGGTGTAAAGTAAACTGAAGTCTCTCTACTGGCCAGGTAGATGATCCTTCTTATATACTATAACAATGGATAAAAGTTCTATTAATTAGATTGACAAATAAGTCAACTCACATCAACTAATGTCTAATCATGCTAAAAGACAACTCCAGCAAGCTAATCATGATTTAGCTCTGTCTGGATGAATAATTAGACTCTCATCCAAAGTACCCTGATCTATCCTTTCCATAAGGATAATTAATATCGATCTAGTAGCATGTATCCGATAGGTACAGTCTTCTTAGTCTATATTAATAGTACATATCTGAGTGTATATCGCTAAGCATACATCTTTAGCATGTATCTGGATATATGGCATGTCTATAGCATATCGTATGCATGTCTATAGCATGTCTCATATATAGTACAAGTCTGTAGTACATAAAGTATCTGTAGCTAGTATCACGGATATAAGCATGTGTCTTATAGCGTGGATCATGAAGTGCACATCTGAAGCAACAAGCTCATAGTGCATTAATCTTGGTGCCTATCCAGATATGGTAAACATCCGTAGTCAATGTCGGAATACAAGTATAAGTCTATAGTGCCATCCATGTCCGTGGTGCCATCTATAGCCTATATCTTATATAGTATGAATCTTATAGTACTAGCGTATCTGAAGTCCATATCTTCTTATAGTATAAATCGATATCGTACATCTAATCCAGTGTATATACAGTTTATATCTAAATCTGGTAACTGGATGAACTGTCGGAATGCAGATCATAGTGGATGTATTCCACAGCATGGTTTCAGCAGTGCCAATTAGCACGACATCATCAGCATATAGGATCGAGTTCAGCCAGGGACTGTTGTATTTCCGTTGCGGAAAGGAGTCAAAAGAGCGAGATGAAGGCATTGATATCGTACGTAGGAGTGCAGGGAGAGTATTAATGTAGTGTGAGTACAAAAAGGGACTCAAGATGGATCCCTGCAACACCGCAGTAGATGGCCAGAATGAAGGAGAGCGAGCACCGGATACCAAAGTCTCAATCTTGACATTGTCAAACAAAGATTGCAGAATACCGAGCATGGGATCAGACACATGGGTTTCGAGAGCACGCCAAATGACAGGTCGATGCACTGTATCATACGCTTGTTGGATGTCCAAAAAGCACAAAACAGGCGGTTCACCATGATGATCCACAGTATGTTGGCGACAAAGTTCATGTAGAGCAAGAGCAGAATCAAGCGTGCTGCGATTCTCACGAAAACCATCTTGCACAGGATCCAATTCAGGAGCAGTAGCCAAGAGATCGGGATAGAGACACAATTCCATCAACTTGCGAAGCACAGAGCAGAGACTGATGGGCCTGTAGCTAGCAGGATCCAATGGATTGCCTTTACCTTTGAAGATGGGGACAACTTGTGCAGTGCACCAATCCACAGTGACTCGAGACTGTTTAGGATATAGATCATCTCTGAGAGGCAAATGTATTAGGCGTTGTATATTACATAAGAGGATCTGAGAATGAGCTGAGATGCATAGTAGAAGTGAGAGGTCTTTATTCAAGCAGCACGAAGGAACATGAGTGGTGCCATCAAATGGTTAATCTATATCCTGGTTCCTGGAGAGTGGTAGCCTATGGCCTTTCGTCCCTGGAAGTGGGTTTCAATTCGGACAAATGTTCTTCCGTCAAAGCTATTAGGAAGAACATTCTATCCGGGATCATCTTTGTTGTTTATCCTTGACTGGTGGTTCATGAGTTCTGATGCAGCACATCCTCGTTAACTGGTTCAAGGCTTATACAATTATCCCGCATTCAAGATCAAGGTTCTATTGCTGCGGCACTGTCAAATAACTATAAATACCTTTGATATCTACACTAGTTTTGACCTTCATTCAATTTTGGAATAACTTAATAAATATATTCAGTTCTACTGTAGGGGGAAAAACTGTCCCGTTCGTTTAAAATTTTGTCTTTTTGCACAAGTTTTTGGTCATTTCTTTGTATACAAAGTCGAAATATATATCGTTTGAATGAGAGAAAGCAGTGCTATCTATACATAATTATAACGTTTTCAAAAACTAAAATCCAATGATTTTATTGGTTAAAAAATAAATATAGAAAAATGTACATTTTATTATAAAATCATTAATAGTGAGTTGAACCACCTTTGCTCTTGATGGCAGCCTTGATTCGGGCAGGCATACTATCAATATATTTCTGGCACTCTTTTTCTGTTATTTTGTACCACTGAATGTTAATACGCCGCTCTAATTCTTCTTTTGTAGAGGGCCTATTGGGATACTTATTAAGACGAAGCTTTAGGAGATGCCAGACATGTTCAATGGGATTAAGATTGGGACTTTGGGGTGGCCAATCCATAATTTCGTCTGGGTTGAACCCATTGTCGGTGAACCATTGCTTAGTAGTGCCTGAGGTATGCGGTGTTGCCCTGCCTTGCACTACGGCCCAACTGATGTTCTCATGAGAACATCGATGTGCTCATATGAGAATCTATTTGATGTTCCCGAAAGGTGAAAAATGCTCTCATATGGGAACATCGGCGTTCCTAAAGATCTATTATAAGTCGGCCGATGTTCTTATGAGAACATCCGAAATGTTCCCATGTGAGCACATTCATATTCTTATATGAGCACATCGATTTTCAGAAATTTGAAAAAAAAGAATGCTCCTACCGGGGTCGAACACACAACCGACAGGTTGTGGGTCTGACGTTCTTCCCACTAAACTACCCGAATATCTTATCGAAATATATTCTTTTACTTTAATAAGTAGTTATTAGGTAACTTTAAATTGCCATTTTCTCGTGCAATTTATAATACGTTTAGTAATTTTATGAATCTTACAGATAATAAAAGTCTTTCTATTGCCTACAATATTATAGTTTAGCTATTCAAACCATTTTATTCATGTGGAAAACTACACCTTCTCAAATGAGAACATCAATGTGCTCATGAGAACATCGATGTTCCCAAAAGAGCACATCCATGTTCTGTGAGAACATCAGTTGGGCCGTAGTGTTGTTGGAATTGCACATCAGACGGTGCCTTCCCAAAGTGCTCAAGAGTGTCGACCAATGATGTCTTCAAAATATCGACATACAAGCCCGAGTTTATTGCGTCTTCAATAATGGTAGTACCATAACCAGGCCCCTCCGTTGTTATATAACTCCAGAACATGACCCCACCGTCATTTCCCTGCAACTGAGACTTGACTTGATACGACTGCATGATTCGGCCACCATTCGTCCAGTAAAAAGAATTACCATCTGAGCCCCAAAGATTTATTCTTGTTTCATCCGAAAACACCCAACGACGCCAATCAGCAATAGTAAGATGCCTATGCTTTTTAGCCCACGCCAATCGAAGCCGCTTGTTTGTCTTGCTAACAAAATTGGTCTTTACTTTTCTACGAGATTTAAGTCCATTTCGTCTCAATGACTTGCGGATGCCATTAATTGACATATCATGGCCCATCGATCTTAAAATTTCTTGTGCTGCTCGGGGATTATCTAAAGCACCTGATCGAAGTCCTCTTGACACTAGGGACATAGTTTTAGCACCAAGTTTTTTCGGTCTTCCGCCAAGAGGTCTAGCTGGGTCAGGGCAATATAGTTTTCTGAGCCTTGTAAGAGTAGAGTTACCCACTCCTGGATACAAATTCTTTATCTTTGAGAGCGAAAGACCACGTTGGAGCAAAGATTGGAGAATGTTGCGCAAATCTTGTGTGAAACGAGCAGGCAAAATGAAAGTTTTGAAAAAAAATAAGAAAGCAAAGAAATAAAGAAAAAACATGAAGAAACTAGCTTCTCTTATACTTTTAGAGTGCTCCTGGGATATTAGATATCCTGAGCATACCGCGAGTAGTTTTTTAGATTTCTTCAATACGTCTATTTGAAGTAAAGATATCAGCCATTCTATATCATCTAGAATTACCCACCTAACATTTTTGCCACGTCTCACTTTAGCTGGTTATACTGGAATTAAAATATAGTCCAGCCATAAGGTTTTTACGTTGCTGTGATTCCTATAAGCTGTTCTATCGAACGCAGTATGGGGTAGCTTTGTTTTCTGAGTTTTGGCAATATACTGGGTAAAAGTCAAGATTATTTGAACGAACGGGACAGTTTTTCCCCCTACAGTAGTTGTATTTCCTCTGTCTCTATTTCGTTATTCTAAACAATTACAATAAAAGCTTCTTTTACTTTGGGCTTGGGCTCCATACAGTGCAGAACAACTGTGTTGTGCCAGAAGTGCTACAACTGTCTATAAAGGTTAAGGTATTCTTGATGGGTAGATATGTCTGTGTTGTGCAACAATGATAAATTCGTAATAATAAGTCGATGATAATAATCAGTTGTCAACTTATCTAAAACGAAAGCAAAGAGCTTCTTTATTACAGGGCATCTAGCTTGCTTAAATATGTTAGATCCCTGGTCAATGACTACTACGTTGAGATGGTATATAAATAGCAGGCCACTGGGGCCTTATAGACTGTTGGTATAGCTTGTTGAGAGGCCACCTAAGTCGATATGTTTCATGTAGTGTAGGTGGATCTCGATATCTTGACATTGGGGAGATTGAATGTATTGTAGTTCCTGAGGCACCTGTGCACACACAATTGACTGGACTTGTAAACATAGATGTGATGTGATACGATAAACATCATCTATGCTGCTACACTGTAAAAGGTGGCTTGAGGAGAAAGTGAATGTAGCCTAAGATGCATGCTTGTATGCAACAAACAACATGGACAAGCTATGATAAGTGAAGTGCATCTCAGCTATCTAAATACTGAGGTTCACCAGATGTGGTAAGCGTTGTACAAGATAAATTGCTACTTTGGCATTCAGAACTTAGTATAAATAGAATAACTCTTGTCTTCATCGATAAATCTTTAGTTTTTGTGTCTGATCTTATTCAAATAAGTCGTTTCTTGTTTTTATAATATCGAACATTTTTTATAAGCTACAAATAATAATCCTTTTATTCTTTGTGCTTAACAAACTGGAGCGTCAAGTCAAATTGTAACTTACTCATTCTTTTGGTAACACAACCCACTACGCCGTCGTTTTAGGTCGAATTCTGTGCAAATCTAGCCATTTTCAAGCACGAATAACTCATGCCACAAAGCGTTTTGAGCGCTTGAAATAGCATCACACGCCTTCTCTTGGCCACGCTTTACTTCTTGATGCTTTATCTCAATTTTTTTTTGGGTTGTTGCAAATTCATGAAAATCATCGTTTTTCCATGAGTATTAGCAAGGGAAACTTCTTGAAAATCAAACGATCGCATTTTTCACGTCAAAAGTGAATACTTTTCCTATGATACATATTAGATCAAATTGATCGTAAAGATGAAATGCAACATTGGAAACTCTTTCTATGAGACTTTCATATGCTAAATTTTGACATATTCACAGAAAACCTGTTTTTATATTTTTGGAAATTGCTCATTATTTTTGGTCTGAAAGCTGAGAGTATTTAGCACCATTCGATGCGGCTTCTTTAGTTCTTTAGAGATGTATTAGAAAGTTGGGTGTGACAACGACAGTTTTCATAGTCAGATTTAGCAAAAACGTTTAAAGGATGTGAGATCAAATCAAGTTTGAACACGAAAATACCACTGCATAATTTCAAATTAAACTACCGCAATTACGGCTGCTACGGTACAAGACTGAGACTAAATCTACTGGTCGTGACGTCGGATAGGGTGCTCTCTCATTTTTCCCTGCCCCCATTTTTACCCTTTTTGCAAAACGCGTTCTAGTATCAAACCATGGTGGTTTTGGACACCGTTTGACTGATAATAACACTCTAGCTTCCGATAACTTTGTCTTGTACTGTTGGAAGAACTTGATACTGCTTCTTTAAAGTGGAATATATTAGATACTATTCGATAACGAGCACTGGAAGGCGTAGAATTAACACTAATTGAGCTTATTAGGTTTTAATGATTTTTTGCTTGTTTGAGTGAGTACTGCTGCCATTACTTCTCTGGTATCTCTGCTGTCTGCGTCTTTGGTTTATCATGTCTGGCGGTTGTTTCTTTGGTCTTTGTCTGGTCTTTGCTGGTGGTGTTCGTACTTTGGTTTGTTTATGGTGCCGGTGTTACTGCTGCTGCTGCTGCTGGTGGTGGTAATATGGTCTTTCCTGGTCTACTCTCTTTGGTTCATGCTCGTTCTCTGGTCTATATTCGGTGATTGTGTATCCTCTGGTCTATCTACGGTGGTGGTAAGTGGTAATTGACTTCTTTGGTCTTTGTCTAGTCTCTGCTGACGGCGTTTGTACTTTGGTTTGTCTATGATGCTGGTGTTACTGCTGCTAATATGGTCTTTCCAGGTCTATTGTCTTTGGTACTTGCTCGTTCTCTGGTCTATCGACGGTGGTGGTAAGTGGTAATTGACTTCTTTGGTCTTTGTCTGGTCTCTGCTGGTGGTGTTCGTACTTTGGTTTATCTATGATGCTGGTGCTGCTGCTGCTGCTGCTGTTGCTGTTGCTGCTGCTGCTAATATGGTTTTTCCTGCTCTACTATGTTTGGTGCATGCTCGTTCTCTGGTGTCGCTCGTTTTTTTTTTTTTTTTTTGGTTTGTCTATGGTGCTGGTGTTACTGCTGCTGCTGCTAATATGGTCTTTCTTGGTCTACTGTCTTTGGTACATGCTCGTTCTCTGGTCTATATTAAGTGATTGCGTATCCTCTTCTGGTTTATTATCGACGGTGGTGATAAGTGGTAAGTATCTTCTTTCTTCTGGTCGCAATGATATAAACTTCTTTGAACGTTTGTATTGTTGCTTCCTTTCTCATGATAATGCATTCATGATGTTTACTTTTTTGCGTTTTTCTTCTTCTTTTGTTGGTTGTGTTGCTTTACATCCGACTATTACCATGCATGTTGCTCATGTATGGATTTTTGTTGCAACAACAATGAGCTGTTCTGAACGTCTCTGATGTTGTATTTGTTACACTTTTCTTTGACTCACTTTGTGTGAGTATCCCTTTTTTGCCTACGTACTACTATACTCCTATTGTAGTATGTTTCTTTTATTACTATTATGTTTCTTTGAAGCATTACTTTTTTTACGTTGTGTGGATGTGCCTATCCCTGAAGCTCAACAAGACTCTATCCGAGGCCAGGAGGTGGATAGGCTGCCTCCACTTGGTTATCGCTACTTACTTTCACTACGGCGAAAACCTTGGTGCAAATACACCAAGTTTAGAGCAAAAGCACCAAGACTTAGATCATTTGCACCAAAATTGGGGTTTTGAAGGTGCATTGGATTTTTTTTCAATAAAGAATTATCAGTGGTATCACAAAAAATGGAGGTACATCAAATGCTTAACCATTTGAGGAAGTAAGGACAAAATATATTACACAAAAACACATTTTTTTGAGTATATAAAACTTTGAAATAAAGATTGCAGCACGTATTGTTTGTTATAGCCTAACGAAGGTTTCAAAATCTATCTATAAACATATGTAAAAAGAAGCAAATTAGGCATATTTTTCGAGTAAATGTCAATTTATGAATTCCCAAAGGGTCATCGGGTGCTCAAGAATAATAATACGATTGCCCAATGTTTCCTCTTCTTATACATCTAGTTTGTTATATACGTTTCCGGAACAAATCTAAAGAGAATGGCCTCTAAACACTTTATCTCGCAGTTGAAAATTGATTGTTGCACATGCGGTGTTCAGGATAGTTTTTTTTTGTGTTTATCAAGGTGTCTAGTTCTTATATAGCTTTTTTGTTCTGCATGTTTAGGCAGGAAATTAAGCACAATATCAATATCTAAAGTTTTTCTCGGTTTTTTCGTAATACCTTCCTATGTGTACAATTGAACGGCAGATCTATCACTATTCTATCAAAACTAAGAGAGATCAAGTAAACATTCATTGAAGAATACCGTATAAACCATGAAGGAAAGGGGAAAACTGAAATTTATCAGAATCATATTTGCGTTGGATCTTGAAAGTCTTTTGTATTTAAAATACCGCTTCAAAGTAGGAGCTAGCAGCGTATTCAGCGCTAAAAGCAGTAGGAAACACCTATTTGATGCTAAAAGTGGTAAAAATCATCTTAGAGATACGGGAGAAACAGCTCAATAGAACCTTTCCGGTTTACAAGAGCAAAAAGATTGTTGTGGGCGGAATTTTAACCATCGTGGCCCTTGTGTTTCGTTGATATTTGCAAAAAATCAGTGTTCAAAGCCTTAAGTAATAGTAGGACGAGGGGAAAACAGAAGGAAGAATTCAATAAAGAATGGAAGGTGAGGGAGACGGCAAAAAAGAAGACATTTGTCGGAATCTGTTTTGTATACACGCTTAGGTTTTAATAGCAAGGGTGAGACATAAAAGCATTGGCAATTGAATGAAGGAAAAATAGGAATTTCATACAATTTTAAGATGCCATTGTCTGGTAACAGTGCTATTCGCACTAGTGTTTTACTCAAGTTAAGGTTGGGGCACCTACTCCGCAATTAATGGTGCTTTTCGGCACATACTAAAGGAACTGAGCGTTGTGTAGTGAGATGAATGGGATGTCTTTGATGTC